TAATGAGCTTCGGGGATAGTCTTTGGTCTCGGATAGGAATAGAGGCGACTGACCTGACGCATATCGTGGCTAGACTGACTGGAGGTCACGCGAACTGATAAGATTGCTATTATTCTAGCCCTCAGCTGCAGATAAGAGAAGGGCGACCAAATTGACATGATAGAGAGGGAGCATGGTTGGTTGTAAGCCATTAGGCGTTCGGTGTCATGGACATCTGAGGTTGATGTCACTCAGTGTTATTCGAGGGCTCATGTACAAAAACCGGCCGCTTTACTGTCTTATTTCAATCTAGACAAATATATAGACTGGCAAAGAGGAATTAAAGCTGAATACAAAGTCGGTTTCGCCCCGAAGGGTGTCCTCAGCACTGGGCCAGCCAGATTTCACAGGCAACTGCTCTGAACAGTTTCACAACTAAGAGTGAGGGCTATCCCCTGCTATGGCTTGCAATCAAATAATTTGCATTTACTCCCAGATGGCTTCAGAACTTGGACCAACCCGCTAGAGCCATGTCACGTCCTCATGATAAGTTGGGTCGCACACTCCTTCTCTGGCAGAGGACTGACTATATCAACTTGAGGCATCTGTACTATAACGAGTGCTTAGAAGCCCTGATAACTACTGCTAATCTGTAAGAATAAGGCGAAAGGACACTTTACACGGCGTGTGAGAAGTATGTGATGAGACGTTGAGCTTCGCACCGGAATATCCTCTTACCAAACCAGACCCTTGACCTGCTCAATCTTCTTCACGTTAATGTTCTTCCACATAATGACAGAGAATATCGTGATAGAGTACAAGCAAGTTGCCGCAATCAGCATCAAGCGCTGGGTATCACCGTAGGCCTTGTTGATGGCGTCGCGAGTGGGCGATCCCCAGGGGTAGGAGGACTGAACGGTGAGATCACCATAGATGCTGGCAAATTCTCCCATGGAATCGGCTGGGAGGTACTTTGTGAGCTTGGCGGGGAAGATGCCAGTCCACATAGCAGCTGCGATAGCCAGACCAATGGCTCCGCCAACGGAGGAGATCATACGCTCGACAGCTAGGATAGCAGGAATATCCTGATGTTTAGAGACAGCCATGACGGTCATCTGTTCGCAGATGACGAGGATACCACCACCAAAGGCGATGAAAATTTGGCACATGACGATGTAGCCAATATGAGAGTCAGGTTGACGGAAGTGAATCATGAGGCCGACACCGAGGATAGTAAGGGGAACTCCAAAGTAGAGAGCCTGCCACTTGAGACGACCGTTGATGCGGATGATGACTCCCATGCAAAGGGCGCAGAAACAAGAGCCGACGGTATAAATGTTGGTGATGTAACTGGCGTGGGCGATAGACTCGCGGAAGACGACAATCAAGAAAGAGTAGAAATAACTATCCCAGATGTACCAAGCGCAGTAAATGCTCGCCACCATAGTAAAGGTGAAGAAGACGGTACGGTTGTTGATGAGGTACCATGGGATAAAAGTGGTGGGGGCGAGGAACCTCTCCCAGGCGGCAAAGGCGATGACCAAAAGTCCACCAAAGATCAAGAAGCAGATGATCAAGGGAGACTTCCAAGTGTTGGACTGGTAAGAGTATAGCGAGAAAGCCAGAAGGAACAGAGACAGACCGGTGATGATGAGCAACAGGCCAACAACGTCGAATTCCTTGAGGTAGTGGACTACGGACTGGGAAAAGGTGCGGTTGCTGGGCTCACGCTTAACGAGACCCTGCTTGACAGCTTGGCTCTGGTAGTACCAGAAGAGACCGCAAAGAGGGAGAGTGACGACGGGGTAGACGATGGCCCAGAGACCGAGACCCCAGCGGAATCCGATGTGCTCGTATGCGTGCTGAGCAGCAGGACCGTACGCCCAGACAGTAGCAAGGTAGGGCGAAGAGGCAAAGGCGATCATGAAAGCTCGGCTCTTAAGCGACGAAGTATCGGCAATAAAGATGGTCGTCGTAAAGTCGATACCAGTATACCCCACGCCGTAGAAAACTTGGGCAGCCGCATAGGTCCTGACGTTGTTGCAGCCAGCCATCATGATGATGCCGATAGTGACAATGAAGATCATGATGCTAAAGGACTGAGGTCGGCCCCAGAGGTTCATGAGCTTGGCATAGGGGAGGATGATGAGACCCGAGACCAGGTTGGAGACGATGGAGGTGGTGGCCGTGAGGGAGTGTGACTGGAAGCTACTGGTGACGAATGGGGTCAGGGTGCTGATGATGCCAGATGAAAAGGCCTGGATGAAGGAGATGAGCCAGATACTAGCACACATTAACAATGTTCTAGATAGAGGGTGATTCACTCACAGAAGGTAGGCAATGATCAAGTGCTTCCTCGTCCAGACCTGAGTCATGGCCCGAACAGCCTGGACACCCTGATCAAGCTCACCATCAGACTTTTCCTGCTCAAAGTCCGCAGCGAGCGTCTCCTTGTCCTTTGCAGCAGCTTCATCATCGTTGCTGGCACGAGTCGGCTCTTCGACCACGGGAGCCTCCTTGATGGGGTTGCGGAAGGCGTTGAACCTCATTGTGTTGACAAGTTGGACCGCTGAAGTAAAGGCTGGATGAGAGGGATGGAAGATCAGATAAGATGAGACAGAAAGTATGCATTATATATCAATCAGCATCCCACTCGGGCATGCCAGCCCTGTCGGGTACTCTACACCATCCCCTGTTCAACAAAAGACTCTAACTTGACAGTAAACGCATTCCATTGGGTCCAGAACTAACCGATCCTCTGCAGTAAACCGGGTATACCGTTTGCATGATGCGTACCCACCTGGGCCAAAGAAACACCTAGGCACGAGGACGAATCCATTAATCCTCCTCTAAATATAATCAATAAATTGTAATAAAAATATGTAAAAATCTCCTAATTATTTGATTATTTCAAGGTTTTTTTTTTTTTTTTTTTAAGGAGTAAGGCAATTCTCTTAATACTCTGGCCTCTCATTTGTTTCTCTGCCCGGGACTATCTCCACGAGCGAGAGCTTTTTTTCTTCCCAAAAGGAGTCTCGATGCTCCATCCAAGCGGTTAAGACGGCATGTCCAGGTCCACCCCACGACCATCCGTGGGATCGCTTGTCTGGTGCCAAGTGGAGATGTAGAGTAATTTGGTCTGAAACGGGCATGGTTGATTGATCTTATCAGATGATCAGCAAGGACAAGAAAGAACAGTTCGTCCCAGTCGACCGGTCTGGGAGCTTGGACGGGAGGGGCTTCGGAGCATTCGCAACCTTGCCGTAGTTCCGTGATCAAGACGGATGTCAACGTATTTTCTGCTTGTTAAGTCCTAGAACTCTAGCAAACGCTGTCAATGATGAAGTGCTCTATTGCGTATAGCTTGGACAAGGTCGTGATCAGCTCAGCTTGAGGGACTCAAAGAAGCATGCCACCATTAGCTCGCAAAAACCTCTTCCGGACTCTCCGAACGATGCCCTCGCGTCCACAACGTGGGGGAACCCGCCGAGATACCTCCATACCCATCACCAAGGGTATGGATTACTACACGTCGAGTCTCGGTGGGCTACCTCCTAGACTTGGCAGCAGCCCTATGGGCTGGGCACCATGACACGCATTTGCAGAAAAAGATGAGATACCAAGTCAACGATCTCTGTTTTCTAAGGCAAAAAAGGTCCCTGAATTTGATAAACCAAAAATAATTAAAGACTTATGATACTATTCCTTATTTTTATGTTTTATTTAGCTTATCATTAGATTATTATGTGAGTATTCTTTATTGAGTGTAGACGTCCTGGTGTCTCAAGTTTTTGTACGTCCGGGTGCATGGGAAACTCTGGGTTCTCACGCGTCAAGCGAGACACGCCGGGCAAGCGAGCTCCTGGTCATGTTTTCCGGGAATAAGATCCAGAACGAGCCATCCGCGTGCCGATTATTAACTATTGTCGTTAGGGCACGCTTTTGTTTGGATCCGTAGCATCCCACATCCCGATGAGTGAGGGCATGGTTGTTGAGGAGTTACGTTACATCGTTGCACGGACAAGTGCTTCCAAAATCTGTGTTGTCAAAGGAAATCTCCAGCGTCTTGAGAATTTGCAAGGGCAAAGAGCAATCAGGCACATGGCGGCTATGACGATAAAGCATGAAAGAGAGGCAGGTTCTTCGAGGTCCCTCTGTGAGTGTGAAGAGATGTTCAGGCATCGATCAGGGTCATCGCCCTTCATCCAGGCTCCAATAGAAGCGGGTCGGTGACTTCGCTCGGATAGTGGGCAACCAGGGTATGCCAGCGCCGAGATTCATCGGATGTGATGAACTGTGAATGCTTACGCAGGGATGACTTGGACCTGCAAGTTAAATAGGTAGTAGGTAATGGATCTTTTCAATAACAAGCTCAAGCAACTTGACCCCCAGGTTCAGTGCAGCCCACATAAACAAAGCAAGCACCCATCTCAAGGTCTTATTGAATCTCTATCACTTCACAGGGCTTCCGAGCCATTACAAGATCCCACGGGTAACTTTTGTAAATCTTGCCATCTTTGCAGAACTCGACCGCAAACTTTGAAAACCCCGATTGCCTTTTTTACCCTCAAGCATCACGGCCAAATTAATGGTCAAAGCCAATAATTAGAGCCTGTCAGGGGTTCCATTGTTGAAATACTCCCGTTTGAAGCATTGCTAGAGGGCTTTGTACCTCCCATTGACATGCAATTCTAACAAAGACACCAGAGTGAAGGAAGACATAGTGACCCCTTCCATTGTGATTGTGCTATCCATGGAGACTTTCACCCCTCAGCTATTTGGCAATGTTAAAGCCTCGATGAAATCCTCTGTTTTTGGTTGTCCACCTGCTCTGATTACTAAAAGCTGGGTTAGTGTCATGATGGGTGCCTTTGCTAATTCGATGTAGAAGGCCCTTCGGCTGAGAAGAGGGTTAAATTAAGGAGTGTGGATAAGTTCAGTAAAAAAGATACAACAAAAACTCTATGTTGTCTAATAGAATGTGACTCGTCTCCGATATAGTCAGCTGACAAGGTACGGCTTTACTCCCACCATGCAACGTCCTTCTCCCTCAAAGTATTCGTTCCGCAGTGAACCTCTCCGCCTCGAACATGATGAGACATGTAATCATCAATCAGCCAAACCGTCATATTGGCCCTGGCATACACGTCTTTAACAGCATCCTCGAGAATATCCCGCCCATTAATGACAGGGCCCCACGGCTTGGGCGCCAGGCAGTCATGTCCAAGGACCAGCCCGTTGATAGACTGCGGAAAGAACGATTTGACTTGTCGTTCTCCTGGAGGAGCCCTGTTGAGGCGCAGAGGATGGCCATCTGGGGTCTTGGGCCAAGGGTAGGTGACGTCTTTCCAGAGCGTGGGGACGCGGAGGATATCCGACTCGGTCAGGGGAACTTCTTCAAGGAGGAGGTCGAGGGTGTCGTTGATGAAGCTCTGTGCGTAGGCATTAATGGCGACAAAGTCTTTGTCGCTAAGCAAATCCTTGATCGTAAGATTCCGGACCTCTGGATCGATAAAGATGGTCTCGTTGTCGGGTGTCATGTCCCCGTCGTAGCTAATGACCTTTGTATCACCATGACCATCCTTCCAGGCTTCCTGTAAGAGACTGAACGCTGAAGCCGTATCGACAACGGCAATGGTGAAGCCAAGTTCGTTATCGTATGGAACAAATTGAACCAATTCGTCAACGTGTCCAACAGCCAGCCATCCAGTCTCGAGAACCAATGGTTTCTGAACACCCTGAGCTTCCAAAAACTTGATCATCGACTCTGCTGGATATTTGTCAAAGTGCTTGCCTGTGATGACTCGTCCGCTCTTGTACTCGACTCCTGCTCTTGAGGTGTATGGTGGGATGGTTTCAAAGTTGCCCCCAGAATTGATCTCCTCGTGACCAAAGCCTGACCCGAGACCTGGCTGGAAACCACCGATTTCAGGACCCCGTAAAAGAGAAAAGACTTGGCGTCCTGCAGCACGGCCTGATTGAGGAGATCGCAAGAGTACACGGATGGAGATTGGTCCGTTGGGGCCGGGCATGCTTGCATATCCGGGTTCGAGAAAGTCCTGGGCCCAGATGTCGTCCGTTTCGTTGAAAAGAAACAACGGAATGTCTTGGTCAAGATTTTCGAGGGCATTTTGGACGGAGTTGATGAAGCCAGTCTGCCAGGTAGAAGTGGTGATACTTCCATCAGTGCTGAGGACCACTTCTGGGGCTTGCAAGTGGTGATGGATGAGCACGGGGGCTTGTTTCATAGCCACAGTGTCGCTTGCGGTTGTATTTCCATCAGTTACACTGAATGTGATGTTTACAAGTCCATCCCAGATTGAAGAGTCAGTCACCAGTTCTCGCCCGTCGATGGCCAGTGTGAGGCCTGCTGCAAGGCTCGTCGCATTGAAGGTGATTTGAGGGTCGACCAAGGACCATTCTGAATCTGGACTCTGCCAGAAAATTCGAACACGGCCAAGGGCGGACTTGGGAGTAGTGTAGATAGAACCAATAGCATTCTGGCTCAAGTTCTTCAGTGGAAGAGTCTTGAGAGGAGCTGCGTATTCAGGGGTGAGGAGGCGGTCTCCAGATGCGTCGTTACAGGCCGCCAGCTCAAAGTTGCTGAGAGGTTGCTTCACAAGGTCGACATCTGGGCAGCGATGTTGCTGATCTCCTATGTTTGGGAGGAATATCGCGCCACGGCTGGAAGTCCATGTGTGCTTGTTTGCAGCGTCGAGATGGTTGATGATGCCGTCACGGTTGGTGTCGGCCAGAATCTGTGGGTTGAAATTTGATGTGCCCAGTACGGCGTTGATGCCGAGAAAAAGAGCCAGCAATAAATGCCGAAGATGAATATATAAAAACATGGTGTCTTTAGCGATGAGAATGAGTGAGTGAAAGGATTGTTGAGACGTTTGGTTCGGTTCGCGTCTGTCAACCTACCTTTATATCTCCTCAGAGACAACACTTTCACGATCTGCCTCGTAGCATGCAGCGTAAAAAGCTGCGGAATTGAAATCAAATTGCCAATTTGGGCCAAATAGCAGTTTGCAAGCTGCCTCATCAAAGTCCGCCAACCTGCGAGGCGGTGTTGAGATGGCTGAGTCGATCTGTTCCTAAAGCGGTAATATGAATGGCCAAGACATGCTGTGGCTATGGGGATAACGATATTACGAAGAATACGAGGATCGCACTTCGGGGGGTTTAGTATTGCTTACTTTACTTCGGGACAACAAATGGCTTTGTATTACTTCTGACAAGTTCAGACATTTCTACCTGGCTGTTCGCATCGCGCCCTGGCTGCTGAGGTTGGCGAACACCTACCTACTCTGTCAACTAGACCAAGATCTGCTTCAAGGAAATTGGATCAATGAGCCTGGCAGAAGCAAGTAATGTTCGAGAGGCTGCGTCTTGGGGGATTAGTGCACTGAGAAATCATGAACATCGCAACTTTATCAAGGGTGATGGAATCAGATGGCCTGATTCTTAACTGGGCTATCTATGAAGTGGAAGCGGATATTGAGACTCAGGTAGATCACGACAGGTTGTGAATAAATCAGTGTGCTTTCATATTTCACTTCGTTTGATAGTTTTCTCTTGTCCGTATTTGGGAAAGTGTGGTCCTTATTTGTTAGTCTCATTGCGATACATTCTCTAGGATCTCAGACCTGGGTGATGGCTACCTAGTCAGAGCCAATGAATCCCTACGCTGAAGGATTCAATTCTATGCCAGTTTTATGTTCAATCAATTCTCTTATGCTATGCCAATTTATTCTTCTTGTCTCAATGTTCTAGGCGCAGGCTAGCGTCATGGTTGGCTACTCCGTATTGACAGAGTAACCCAGGCAACGTGCAAGTCAACCAACTGATGGAACATGCTAGCCAAGTCAATCTTTGAAACACTCAATTAGGCGATTCAATCTCAAGACCGGATCCGCTTCCTATTTCGGGGCGACTGGCGACATCCCGTCAAAGCCGCGAGTCAGATACCACGTGCGTTATATCAATGCAATGCTACGGGGCAAAAAAAAAAACAAGCGGTTGCAAATTCAGGTCCCCCAACAAGACTTGTCGCCTCAAATACGTTTCGACCCGGACGTCTTAACCCATAGGGGGTAGACGCCGCGTCCGGCTTGTTCGGGGACCCGGCACTAACATGCCAGATGAGGTCCTTGCGTCTTGTCTGATTGGTGGCTTGACCGGCGCTGGGTTTGTTTCAAGCAGTCAAAAGCCGTGCCGAGGCATATGGAGCGCCCCAAGTTTCCACATTTACACCGAAGATTCGAAGAGAACTTCGGTTTCTAAATCTCAGATGACAAATTATGCTGTATCCTTGTTGATCGACTGATGGTGGGTGCTTAGTTACGTCAGGAGAGATAAGAGTTTTACCCCTTATATAAACTCATGGCCGTTTTTCAAGTCTTTGAGGATACCTACTATCAAGTAAATCATACATCACAAACAGAAGCAACAATGTCTCTCAAGTTCAACGTCTTCCGCGGTTCCCCCGAGGGAAAGATCTTTTCCTCCAGCGTTGAGCGCGATCTCCAGCCCCACGAGGTCTTTATCGAGACGACGCACTCTGGCGTCTGTGGAACGGATAAGCTCTACCAGCCAAGTGGTATTGCACTAGGCCACGAGGGAATTGGTATTGTTCGTGAGGTTGGCTCTAGTGTCAACAGTGTCAAGGTTGGCCAGAGGGTTGGATTTGGGTATACGCATGAGATTTGCGGGAGCTGCGATAACTGCTGCAGAGGTAAGGTCCTTTTCAAACATGAGAGAGAAATGTTATTGACACGGTGGTAGATCTGGATCAGTACTGCAGAGAGAGAAAGATTTATGGCTTTGCCGACACCGACAATGGATCTTTCAGCTACGGCGCCGTCTGGGACGCCAAGTGCGTTGTTCCCATTCCTGATGGCTACGACTCAGTCGACGCCGCTCCTCTCATGTGTGCCGGTTCAACCGTCTGGACTGTCCTCACCAAGTATGGCGCTCGCTGCGACGACCGAGTCGCCGTGATGGGTATTGGAGGTCTTGGCCACTTGGCCATCAAGATCGCCGCCGCCATGGGATGCCAGGTTGTCGTCCTGTCTAGCTCCGAGTCAAAGAGGGAGGAGGCTATGGAATATGGTGCTGCAGAGTACCATGTCTTCAAGTCTGGGGATGAGGCTCCGGCTGACTTCAAGCCTGTCAAGCATCTGCTTCTCTGTGGCAGTGCAAACGTTGACTACGCCAGGTAAGTAATCATTTTTTGAATCACAAAGTACAATTACTAACAGCTACAGCCTGGTCCCTATTGTGGACACTGATGGCATCATCTACCCCCTCACAGCCAGCCTGGAGGCCACACAAGTCCCCCTGACCCAGTTCTCCATCAAGGGAATCCGAATCCAGGGCTCTCTGGTTGGTTCTCGCGACAGCACCCGCAAGCTCCTCGAGTTTGCTGCCCGCAAGAACATTAAGCCCACAATCATGACATATCCTTTGAACGAGGAGGGTATCGAGTCAGCTCTGCATGATCTTAAGGATGGTAAGGTTAGATACAGGGCTGTTTTGGTTAAGGAGTAAATGTGGACGAGGCGTTGAGGTGCGGGATGATGAGGAAAAGCGATGATAGAATTAGAGATGTCGTTATGCTAATGCAATATTGGGCTTGATGCCAACACTGTTGTACACGCTATATTTGCCATGACAATTCATCAGCTCGTGTATTAGATTTTCAAACTGTATTCTCGAGGGCGGCAAGGGATGGAAAGCTGGCTCGGCCGTCACGTTTAAATCAAGTCAATTCATTACGACTACATCGACGCATTTTACTCAAATGCCATTACACGATGTCCCTTCCTCAGAAACATGCCATTCTCCTCCCACTACTTCTTCTGCTTCTTCTTCCTGTTCTCCTCCTCAATTATTGGCCCACACGTCGGGCAGTCAGGTCCCTCAACCCAGTCGCAGTCGGAGTACTCATCACTGAAACATCCCTTTCCCTCCAGAAACTTCTTGCACTTGTTTCGATTCGTCTCTGTCTTGTGGAGGGTCTTCATGCACCGTCGGCACACCTGCTCTTTCCAGAAGATGACACACATGTTGACGGTGCGTGGTTTCGAGGATGCGTTCTGTTAGGTCTGAGAAGGTTTGGTTTTTCGAGGCTGAGATGGTTAGTTGGGAATTTGCCGTCGATGGTAGGATTTCATTTCTTTACGGAGAGAGAGGGACGGGACCAAGGTTGGACGAGATGGGGGAATTTATACTTGGTTTGATATTGTGATTCAGTGCAAAGATGAGATGCTGATGCGTTCTTTAGTCTTCATCTGACTCCGTACTCCTTGATAGATGAATGTTTTCATCACTGAATCAGAGTTGATGCGTCAGAGAGCAAAATACTCGATACGATATTGTGTCGAGAACAGCTCCGATTCTGGCAGTGAGTAGTAAACGGGATGAATACTGATATAAAAACTAGAAACGAATCTGTGAAACGGCAATTCAGCACGTTTGGTGTGACTCGGTGTTCTGGAGCACAGGCTGACCCCATGATTTCTTGTGTCTCTTTCTTCAGCATATCTGCCTTGAAATAGAAACTGTTTGCTCACAGACACGTTGTTTGTGTCCTAAGTTTGCATCTATACACTGCAACCTGCGTACAAACACAGCCAATGAATAGCTTCCATCGTGTTATTCTCACATGATCCGAGTTCGGGCAACACATCTAAAAGTCTAGAACGGACCCATCGGAGAATTGACCGTCATTCTAAAAGTTCATTACGATATATGCAATGATTAGACAAATGTCGCCGACTGTCTTCGGTCCATCACGTCACATTTCCGCGCAATTAACAACTCGCCGACATTTATAAGCAGATGACGTCAGGTTGATAAGTATTAGACCATCTTGACAAAGAGCAGTCTATAACTATAAGATGATTGTCTTCCCCACAAAGTGAATCAATATTCAGTTGACAACTTCATCTACTATCATCATCACAGTCAATATGGCCTCCAAGTCTTTCTACGCCCTTGTCGCCGGAGTCGGCCCTGGAACCGGTAAGCTCATCATCCCCACTCTACCCGAACATCCCCGCTTATCGGTCCATGAGGTCGCGCTACGGCGTTGAGATTCGCTCAAAAGTACCCCGTCGTGCTTCTTGCCCGTCGACCCGAGAGCTATGAAGAAGCTGTTGCGGACATCAAGAAGGCGGGTGGCCAGGCGATTGGCATCACGGCCGACGTTTCCGATCCTACGAACCTCAAGAATGCCCTTGCGTCAATTGACAAGGAGCTTCCTGGAAGTCGACTTGCCGCTGCTGTTTTCAATGTCAACAGTGGTTTTGCCAAGAAGCCTTTCTTGGAGTTGAAGGTTGAGGATATCGATGCTAGTCTCAATGGAAGCGTGTATGTGAATCTCGACAAGTTGGTGGTGCTGAGCTGACACTTCAAAGGCGGGCATTCTTCCACTTCGCCCAAGCTACACTACCTCTCCTCCAAAAGTCTGTTCCTGATTCCGAGTATCCCCCAACCCTGATCATCACTGGAGCAACCGCCTCGGTCAAGGGTTCGGCTCAATTCGGTTCCTTTGCCGCTGGAAAGTGGGCGCTGCGAGCCCTGGGCCAATCTCTCGCTCGAGAGTTCCATCCTCAGGGAATTCATGTGGCACATGCGGTTATCGATGGTGTTATTGATATTCCTCGTACAAAGGATTGGCAGGTTAATGATGGTGCTGAGGATGGCAAGATTAAGCCAGAGGCGGTATGTATTTCTTATCTGTGAGAGAAGCTGAGACTGACTGTGATTAGATTGCCGAGACCTATTGGTATCTTCATACCCAGCATCGATCTGCATTTACGCACGAGGTTGATATCCGGCCATATGTTGAGAAGTTCTAAGATGGAGATGTCACCAAGATCAACGATGCTGATAGTATAATATGACTTATGACTTCGCTCGCTCCTTGAGACTTTGTGTAGATGTTTGAACCTTGGCAGCTGATACCTTGTCTCGTGACTATCGAGGCTGAATTTCTTCTGGGTGACGTTGTAGCTGTGTGAACAAACCGAGTCTTTGGACATCAAGTCACAGACGCGGACTTGTTCCCCCGCCCAGAAAGCCACGCTCAAGTTGATTACTATTCACGGCATACGAACCCCGCCTCGAGTTATGACCTCGGTTGTCAATAACGCCCTAATGCCCGAGTGTCACGACTCCAGTCTAAACTACAAAGCCTGCAAACTGCACTTTGCCCGGTTGTTTGATCATTTCAATCACCGAACAAAGAAACAAACTTGATTGTCTGACAAGATGCCCTATTACCAAGTCTATCATTCATACCGTCTTGACCAGGAACAGCGACAGTCAATCGCTGCCTCTATCACCGACCTGCACTGCAAGACCTTCACTACACCCTCGTTCTTTGTCCACGTGCATTTCATTCAAGAAGAATCCAGTGCCGGAAACTACTTCTTGGCCGGCACGGCTCACACAGCTACATCCAACCGCATCGTCGGCATCGTACGAACGTCTGCCACTCGACCAAAATCTGCATTTGATGAGCTAGGAGCTCAAATCGAAGGGGCATGGTACGATGCGTTGAAGATAGCTGCGCCGGTTGACAAGAAGGAGTGGAGCGAAGGTGACGAGAAGAAGCGGTTGACGATGGTGACGTTTGTGCCCATGGTTACGATTCGGGAGGGAGGCATGGCTATTCCGGAGGCAGGACAAGAGGGAGGCTGGCTGAAGGGGCAGATGCCCTATTTTGAGGAGATGAGCGGTAAGGGTATCGCTGATTTTACAGATTTGCTAGAGGAGTTGAAGGAGAGGGATGATTTGAAGAACCTGCTTCAGTAATTGAAGGGAGGACATGACATACACCTTGCAACCTCTAGCTCACAGATAAAATACTCAACATGTCATTGATGAGCATTGCGTTTTCCTACAACTTGCCCAGAGCTTTCACCTCGGTCCGCGAAAGCTGATAGGAATAGCCAAGGGGTGTTGAATGCTGTTATTCGGGCCAACCAATCCAAGACCTTTCATTTTCCAACGTCGAGGGAGTCATTTTTCCGTACATACAGACGACATCCGTGCCGTTTCAGCCGCTTATGACCATCATCTGCCGTGATGCCGCAGACTGACATCGGGATAAGCACAAACCTTGGCTATCTCCGCAGGCTTCGTCACTATGTCCGGAAACACCGGCCTTTGCACCAGTTGGCTAACGCGACCTCGTATTCTTGATATTCTGATTGGGGCTTTTCGGTCCATTGTCTGCTTTCATTTCCATAACGCTATCCAGATGTTCGTAGAACATGGGACTTTGTGGGTAGAAAATCGGAACAAACTTTAGAGGCCGGAGTTACTCGATCTTGTCAAGGACATTGTAGATATTCCCGACACAGGAAATAGATCGCATCGTCTTTGAATCAAGTATAAGTAACACCTCCCGAATGTGTCAAGACATCATCATCATTGACGCTTAGACTTCCCAACCCTCTACCATCTACACCAAACTCTATAAACTCACAGCCTCGCTTCAACAACTCGGCTTCCTAGCATCAAAACTTCCATCTTCAAAATGCCCAAGGTCCTTATTCTCGGCGCTACAGGCTATCTTGGCAAAAGACTCGCCGACGTCCTTGTCCGCAGTGGCCAGCATAGAGTTTATGGTATTGCCCGCAACGAAGCCAAAGCTCAGTCTCTCGCCGTGGCCGAGGTCATTCCCGTCATTTGTCCCAACCCGGTTGGAGAACCAGAGGCTTATCTCAACGCCATCCGAGAGCATCACATCGATGTTGTCGTCGATGTCGCTGGGGCAAACCAAGACTCGGCAAAGTTTCTCAACGACGTTCGGCAGATCGGTCAAGAACGCTTGAGCAAGTACCAAGCTGCTGGACTACACACCGGTCCCAAGCTTGGATTTATATATGGCTCGGGGACATGGGTTCATGGATCCAGCGAGGAATTAGTCAATGATCTCGATGTCGTTGGACAGAGCGCAAACAGTCAGCCACCAGCTCTGGTTGCCTGGCGTACGGATTTGGAAAACTCCATCTTGGCTGCTTCAGATGTCCTCGACGTCGCCATTGTCCGTCCAGCTTTGATCTACGGCCGTGAGAGCACCATTTGGACACCTTTTGTCCTCCCTCTTCTACAAACCGCTCAGAGTGGAAGCTCGGACAGTGTCGAGATTCCTCTCCGGGCCGACTCCAAGCCTGGACTGATTCATGTCGATGATGTTGCGACGGGGTTTAAATGCGCAATTGAGAAATTGTCTCTTATCAACGGCGGATCTACGTATCCAGTCTTTGATCTTGTCACGAGCCAAGAGAGCATGCGAGGCATCTTTGACGCTCTGGCTAGAGTTTGGAAGTCCAAGGGGAAGTTTGAGTTGGTTGGATCCGGGGACAATCTGTTTGCGGAGGCCATGAGCACGACTATGAGGGGATCATCTGATCGGGCGAAGCAGCTTCTTGGTTGGGAACCTACGCGGACGAATGGGTTCATTGCGGATATGGATGTGTATGCTGCAGCCTTTGCGTCTCAGCATTAGAGGCATCTGATATTGTGTAAAGATGGTAGATGTAACAATTCGATTGTATATCCATGTTCCTGAACTCCTTGCTTGGGGCTGCCTTGCCATCGCAGTCATCTGACCATCGCCATTTTAACCATCTTGCTTCGACCTCTACGCGCGTGTCCATAACATATCCGCCCCCGACGACCCAAGACTTCTCATGTACCTAAACCTCACCCCCAATCGCATACTTCAAGATCAAGCCGCTCACACCCAACAAGGCACCTGCTGCTGGAAGCCCAATCTGACTGACCAAACTGAAAGGTACAAGCCATTTTGTCTCTGCCGGTAGTTGAGCGGCATGGGCCAGATACCAAGGAGCCGTCAAGGTCATCCAGGTGATAACCCAAACGTAACCCACAAGTCTATGCCACAAGGGAACCTTGACATCCTTCTTCCGCGTATCAACGCCGGTGATCCGACGGCATAGATCTTGAACTGCGTCCTCCAACATGATGGCTAAAGCCATGGAGCCGAAAAAGGCAAGCGTAGGTGCTTTGGATGGGGGCTTGTAGGAAAACAGGTCGATGGTGAGGTGCATAGCCCCAGAGGCCAGGAACACGATGAGAATGTTCAGGTAGCGCTCGATGAATGAAGGTCGTGGAAGACCTAGCAGGTCTCGGCAAATATAGTTGCTGAGTGATTTCATAGGCCATAGGCAGTCCTGATGCCAAAAGGTGCTGTTATCTTGTAAGTCGGTGGAAATCACAGCAGAGGGGAGTCTTACTTCCAGAAGCCACGGATGGTGTATGCATCCCACATACTTCCAAACAGAGGCGGCCATTGATCCGTAGAAGTAATTCCAAGGAGAACAGAGAGGATAGAGAAGCCTCGGTAGGGAATATCGATGGACACTCGAGCCGGTGCAAGCCCTGCCACAGGCCCAACAGCGACACGTCCTCCCCATTGCTCAGCAGTGGCATTGAGATAGTTGAACTCTGTACCAGGACCAAAGAGTCTCTGGGCATCTTCTGGTGGTGTCTCCAAGGAGGACATGTAGATAATATCGAGTAGGAGGTATTGCCACGCCATGATGAGGACCTGTCGTGTAATGTACGCGCTTCGACTCGGCTTTGGCCCTTTGTAGTAGCTTGGAAATTTGTGAAGGCGTTTGACCTCCCACGGATTCCCAACATTTCGCAAATTAAACAACAGCCGCATTGTGAAATAAAACTTGTCGAGAAACCCATCAGAAAGTCGAAAAATGTTGCCTCGAACCAACTCATCAGAGTCAAGCTTCCTAACGATCAACACATTGCAGCATTGAATCAAGACGAGAACAACCCATCCCATGATGACGCCGTTGATGACAAAGCTCGTGCCCGTGTCTGCTATCATCTGGAAGATACGCTTGCCGATCGCGACTACGACGATAGGCCAGACGTAGCGCGGTGTCGAGTTGATGCCTGACTTTGGAGTCGCGAGCATGATGAATGCGGTGGGGATACATGCGATGAGTAGTAAAAAGCCGCCCTTGATGAGGTTGATGGGCACCGAGCCCTGATTGACGTCCTCCATGATGTCGCGATAGTGGAGGTGGTGATGTTGAGTTGGGCAAGAACGGTGAGATGAGCATTTTAATTTTTTGCAGCAGGTCGCACAGCTGCGGGTCTGTAATATGCCAGGTAGCTAATTAGAAGCCTCTAGTGGCAGTACGACCGCTAGATGGCTGATTATTGCGTGTCTCATTCGCGTTTGATAGCGAGTGGCTTAGTGCTCACTAGGTGCGCATGCCCAGCCTCGTCTTACATGCTGCGATATTTGCTTCTTTTCCACGCGGGCGATGATTGGCTTACAGTCCGAAAGGTGATGATTCGAATACGAGATACACAAGTAGGTATAACAAGGATTGTTACAGAGACATCTCAACTACAGCTTCGACTTTTCAGCCTTGACCTCCTGGTTAAGAGCCAAATCAGTCAAAATCTCCTCACTCCCACCCCCAACAACCATGACCCTAACATCGCGACTAATCTGCTCAATCCTCGCCCCCCTCCCATTCTTAGAATATCCAAGTCCACCCATAACCTGCTGACTCTCCCTATTCACCTTTTCCAGCGTCTGACCCGCCAGCACCTTCAGGTTTGCAAATTGACCGCCTAGCGGTGCCTTGGGGTTCGTCTTGGAGATGTAGACGAGCTGCTCCATCCAGGAATGCGTGGATTCAATGTGACGCGCCATGGTGCTGAATTTGGCGCGGATGACTTGGTTTTGGATTAGGGGCTTTCCAAAGGTTTCGCGGTTTAGGGCGTGTTTGTAGGCGTCGTGGAGGCAGACGCGCGCCATGCGGAGGGCGGTGCAGGCAAGCCAGAGACGTTCGTGGTTGAAGTCTACATGGTCAGTATGAGAATAGGAATTGTAGTAGAGGTACTAACTGTTCATGATGATGGGGAAGCCCTTGTTCTCTTCGCCTAAGAGGTTCGACACGGGGACCTCTACATTGTCAAACTCGATGTAGGTAGATCCTGTCACCCGTTAGAGATGCTTTACAAGGAGATGGGTCGTATACTCACCACTAGCTTCGACACCGGAATTCTCAATCTTCTTGCAGGTAACGCCAGAAGCCTTGAGAGGAACGATCAACGCCGAAATGCCAAAAGTACCATCTCCTCCAGTCCGGACCGCTGCAGTACAGTAATCCGCAAAGATGCCGTTGGTGATCCACTTCTTTGCCCCGTTGACAATATACTTGTCTCCTTTCCTTTCAGCCGTAGTTGTAATTCCAGCGACATCAGAGCCAGCTATCGAGTCAGTGTCAGCTATTGCCGTCTATCAAATGCCAAAGGCTTACCATCTGGTTCTGTGACGGCTAGACAGAATCTCGTCTTTCCTGAGAGGACATCAGGAAGGAATCGTCTCTTTTGCTCTGGATTACCGAATTGGATTACGGGTGGAAGACCGATAGAGTTTCCACATCCAAGAGCCCAGACAATTCCAAGGTATCCGCACCTTGCGAGCTCATCAATCACGACAAGGTCATGAAACGCGTTCCATTCGTGAGGTGGAATGTCACCGGGGAGTCTTTGACCTTGTAGCTGATCGAATGCTACTGGGTAGGCGGCCACAGCGGTGTATCCAAGCTTTGCGTGTCGTTGCTGGACCTGAAAGGAATGAGTAAGTTGGAATTGACAGGCGAAAGGTGGCGGATTACCTCTTGGGGCACAGCGCCCTTTCTCTCCCATTCATCACAGAAAGGTGCGATATGCTCATCGACATACGCTCGTACCTCCTTCTGTAAGCGCCTGTGAGATTCGCCGTAGTAAGGGCTTTCGCCTCTGGTCAGCCAGAGAGGGTCTGCAAAAGGAATGCCGGACATTGTCGTGGTTGAAGCAGAAGCGGCCAATGGGGTGACTTAGGAGTATGCGGTCAAGTAGAAATGATGTTTTATGAGTATATATACAGTATCAACCCAAGACTCCTATGATGTTAACCTCGGGAACTGTAAGATTGTCCACATTATCAAACTCTCGGAAAGCGTGCGGTCCGTGGATGCGGTCCGTACATGGCCTCCCGAGGTATGTAAATTGAGCCAACTCGCCACAATTTCGAGTACCACATTTGAGCCCGTGAAGCTATCAACAGCCTTATATTGTCCCTGCTTCAATCTTAATCACTAAGGGTTCAAGATCTTGGATCAATGGTTGCTGTCTTGTCGCATCCTTCCGTGATGCTTCATTGGTCCGAAGCTGGCGGTCCGGCTCAATCAAGGGGCCCGCTTCTCGGTCCGAGGCCGGAGAGCAACAACCGGGATTACATGACGATGACGTTGTAGGAAACGGGGAGTATCTTGAGAAAATGAATAAACGAAAAGTGCTAAGCTAGATTAGGTATCTGATCTTGGTCAAATGGCTCTGAGGACTAACGGAAATAACACAGCCGTAACACAACCCAAACTTATACCCAAGCTTCAAGAACACGATGATTATCCAGCAAGGTTTATGACCGTGAGAAGATGACACCGTGATCGCCTTAAGCTTCTTCTAAGATGGATAAAAGGCACCATCTCTACCTAGGGACTAGGCCAAATGCCAAGAACAAGAGAGGCTATGAGTGACATTGCAATAACACAACATAACAACACATCGACGATTATAACACAACGAGGGTTCGATGTCTGATCCACAATTGAAAGCGAGCAAGTATACATCAGATATCAAACCCCCGCTGTGTTATAATCACCAATGTGTTGTTATGTTGCACGAGAGCAAGTCTGCTATCTACCTCAGCGGCATCATACACCTCCTCATAAACGAGTCAACGGTTCCTGAGTCCCTACGAAAAGTAACTGATTCCTCGCCTCGCTCGTCGGAGACGTAGCCATGTAGTCACCACCTGGAATCCATTTACTCGGCGATGGCAGATTCGACAAGAATGACACATGCGCGGGAGAATTCCCAGACACTTCCCTAGCCAGCATACCATAGTCGACGAGTGACCAGAGGGTGTTTTCTGCTATGCCGTCTAGTTCGTCGGCGAGACAGGCTGCGTTGAATAGGTGGGCGTAGGATTCGGAATGGGCGTCGAATTCTCGGAGTTTGGTCAACTGGGAAAGTCAGTATTTGAGATAACGATGCAAGATGGGGGACAAACCATGTTGGGAACCATAGGCCACAAAACACCCAGTCTTTCCAACACCTCTATACACCGCTGATAATACCTCTGACTATCATACTGATCAACATCAACACCCTGATGCTGCGCTCCAAAAGCCAGAGAATGAATCCCCGCCGCGATGGAAGCACAGTACGTGTAGAACGAAGACTCCATCGGCACAACACCAGTAGTTCCCGCCACAAGCAGATCCGTAAGTTTTCTCGCATTTTCTTGCGCTGCGTGGAACGCGTTGGATGTGAAGCTTTTTGGAACTCTTGCTGCTATGGGACGAAGGCGGAGACGCAGCAGGAATGGGTGGTTTAGGAGACAGTAGCAGAGATGGAAGAGAGCGTGGGAAAAGACGAGGTGGCCGACTTGCTTTTCGTCAATGTTGGTGTCTGCTTGAGGTCCGTTTTGAACGAGATCCAGAATTGGTTGATCTTGGTTTTTGAGGTATGATTCGAGGAGTAGCAACGAAGCATTCGTCAAGGCAAAGTCGGATTGGGGATCTAGTGGTGTGAGCATTTCACCTGCACTTCTTCCATGGGCGTATTTCGTGCATCGTCCAAAGATTGATGTAGCCACGACAGCAAGCCCAAACGGACTCGGAGGATGAGCAAGAGGAACATCCCAACTGAGAACCTGACGCAGCGTAGGCACATTCTCACCATCTTCACCTCTATCTTGAAAAACGTCCTCGTTGCAGGGGAGGTGAAGAGTGCAGTCGTCGTCGGCGACTGCTGCAGGTCTTGAGCGGGCGCACGAGATTAACTTGTCGACGAGGTAGATGGACCAAAAGGTTCTTCTTCTTTCTTCACGTTCTGTTGGGGGGAGGAAGAATGAGGGTTCGGACATGAGGTCGACGTCTTGGGATAGACGGATTGCTAGACCGAGACGTAGCCAGCCTGAACTGATTCTTGCAGCTGGAGATATTGTTAGTCAAGGCCACACTGTTGTGAAGCATGAGACGTACCTGTATAATCAACGATTGCCAACAGAGTGACAGTCTGAATAACAGACAAGTCAAGGTTATTATCCACACTCAAATGATCCTCAATCACACACAGCCACGACTGTCGAGAATACGCATCCGAAGCCTGCTGAACCTTGCCCACGAAATAAGGCTGATCCGAGAACCTCACCGCATACGCAAGAACAGCAAACAACAGACATCTCGGAACAGACATTGTTGAGAGGCTCGCGTAGAAGGATGTGCGGTGGAAGAATGAGTATGGCTGGTTGTGGACGCGGGCAAAGTATGTGTCCACGAGGGATTGGATTACTTCTGGTGGTGGGAGTCCATCGAATGAGCTAGCTCGGTTAGTCACTGATGTTACTGTGTAGGTGGTTCTCTTACAAGTTGTTTAATACGGAGTTATGTACTATCGAGTCGAGATTCAAGTCTGATTGATCTTGGTTGTGATGCAGTGATGGCATGCGTCGAGGCGTCGAGTTGAACGCCGAGGAAGGTGATGCCTGGCTAAGAACAGTCAGTCGATACTCTCAAATGATATGAAAATGGCCTCAAGCTAAAGTCACTGCATAGAAGAGCGCCGGGCATCTTACACATGAGCATCAAAGTTGCCCTGGCTGAGCCTACTCAACGCCGACTCAAGCGACGAAATACGCTCCAACAACTGACTCTACCCCAAAATCAGCATCAAACACTCATATAAAACTTCATACATACACTTATCGCAGCACTAGAAACTCTAGGCACTGTATGCCCCGTCTCACCAGCCGTGACAGAATACGGCTCATAGACGCAACTCCGTCGGCTCTGTCGGCAGTGCATGCACACCGGGCGCTCACCGGAGCACTTGACCTTGCGTCGCCTACACACAAATGTTAGTATGCAACAGTATCGTCGTATGACATTAGCTAACCTGCAATTGGCGCATGCTTGACGGATTCGCTTTATCACGCCCGCATTCGTGGGCCGCGTGTCGTGTGTCTCCATGCCGAGCGGACCGAGGTGAGGGGAAGGGCGCGTTTGAGCAGGACTAAGCAGTAGGATGTGAGGTGAATAGGGACAAGACGAGATCACGGGATCTATCACTCCGGAGACAAAACACCAATGATTAGTTTGGGTTTCCTTTGGCGGGTTTGACAAGTTTGCAAAGAGAGAGGAGAGAGAAGAATCCGGGGAAATCCTGGGGTCGAGCAAATCTCCCCGCAGCCAGGAAACATGGATATTTCACGAGCTAGACTAAACTACTTCCTAAACCGTACTAGTTTCTTTTCTTTGTCGGAACCTAATCCAATAAAATGGTCCGCCTTTCCGTTCACGCATGTTCCCTTCTCTAGAGCTTGCTGCGCGTACGCGGTGCGTCCCAATCTACTGCTCTTCCTGCTTGGAACTCGCTAACACCAAAATGACCAGGTGCGGTTGGCTTCATCATCTCGCTGAAGAGAGTCTTGATGGTGCTGGCTTGCTCTGGGTGTCCTCCGTGGGTCCAGGCTGACGCGATCAATTCCTTGGACATTCGGAGAGCTTCAGGCGAGACAGATCGTAGTTTGACCAGCCAAGAATCCAATGCCTCGATTAACTTGGTCTGATCCTCCACGACACTCATGACTACTCCCTTGGCGTACAACTCTGATGGAGTAACGGGTCTCGCTGTCAAGATTGCTTCGCGAGCAAACGGTACACCCCATTCTCGGATCACGTACTTGGAGATTGTCGCAGGACAAAGACCGAGTTTGGCTTCACTAAGTGTGACCTTGGCGCCTTTGACACAGAGTCGAAGATCGCAAGCAAATGCCAGGCCGACTCCGCCTCCAAATGCCGGCCCGTTGAGAGCGGCGATTGTCGCCTTGGGGCTCTTGTCAATCGTGTCGAAAAGACGTTCGAGTCTGTCGAACTGCGCTTGTGCGACATCGTCATTCCCACCGACGGGAGTGCTCTTGCTAAGATCCATACCCGTGCAAAAGAACTTGCCACTACCTGTGAGCGCGATGCGATTGACGCTCGTGTCGCTAGCGACGTCTCGGAAGATAGAGGTTAGGTCTTCGATCATGGCGGTGGTGAGGGCGTTGCCGTTGCGAGGTCGGTTCATGGTGATTCTTAGATTCGCTCCAGATTGATCAACGATGAGACCGTCTGTTTCTTTGACGCGCTCCCAGGTCAACGGTCCGTGGGTCTTTTCTCGCGGTTTCTTCACGCGTCGCTCCTTGGACGACAAAGCAGCGCCAACGCGACTCGAAGTTGGCTGCGACAACTTGCCCGAGATCCAAGCCCCGACCGCTGCGAGTTTGGAGAGATTGACTCCAGTATGGACACCAGCCCGATCAAACATATAGACCAAGTCCTCAGTAGAGGCATTGCCCTTGGCTCCAGGCGCAAAGGGACATCCACCCAGACCAGCAACACTGCTGTCAAACACCCTAATCCCCAAGGTATAAGCCTCCCAAACGTTGGCGAGAGCTTGTCCATATGTATCGTGGAAGTGACCAGCTATCCGATCGAGGGGGATGTCGTTTGTCTTGAGGAGATGAAGGAGGTTTCGCACGTCTTTGGGGGATCCGACTCCGAGGGTATCGCCAAGGCTAACCTCGTAGCAGCCCATGTCGAGGAGGGTCTGCACGACCTTGAGAACGGCGGCCGGAGGAGTCCGTCCATCGAAGGGGTCTTCAAAGATGCAAGATACATAGCTAGTGACGAGTTAGTGCTGCATCGATAGAGCAAGTGTAGGTACTCACCCGCGAACCTTGCAGCCAAACTTCTTAGCTTCTTCACAAACGAGACGTGCTCTGGCGATACCTTGGTCCACGGTACAATTGATGTTTGCCCTGCTGAAGCCTTCTGAAGCGCTCACAAACACAGCGACTTCTTTGACACCCAATTGACGAGCAATATCGAGGCCCTTTCTGTTCGGAACCAATACCGGGAGTCGTAGCGATGCATCTCCAAGAAGCGCCTGTACCGGTGGACTCGACAAGACAGCGCGACAATCTTGTAGCTGGGGAACAGCCTTGGGAGACACGACGGATGTAACTTCTATCGTTTGGAGTCCAGCATCGTAAAGTCTGCGAAGTAGCTCTATCTTGACGTCTGTTGGGACTTGCTGCGAGATGTTTTGCAGGCCATCTCTGGCGCCAACTTCGACGATGCGGACGTGTGTAGTCATGATTAAAGATGAATGAATAGAGTATCCATCATTCAAGGCCTAGCCAGAGAGACGGAATAAATGAATGGAGTTACTCCCTCGCTCTTCCCGTGGATGCGATTTCCTCGCGGTCCGCATCTAAGATCCGTCGACAACCGAGATTCCCGTCGCGACCGGACCGATCGCCGCGGGGACCTTCCAAGGCATTTACCGTCTGTCGCTGCTTTTGACAGGCATTTGAACCGAGGTATATTCTTCCATGTTTTTATGCTTCTTTTATCACAAAGACATCTTTGTTCACTTTTTATCAATTTGCTTCCGCAGCAGTGGCATTTCTGATTGACATCTTCCCGCTGTTGATGGAGTCGCTCCGCCTCGGTCCGAAGCCCGAACATCATCTTTATTTACACCCATAATCCAGCTACAGATTGTTCTTCATCTTTAAATTACTCGATTTGGACTCTGCAGAGTTACTCCAGGTCAATTATCAACAATATGACTTCCATACATCAATACCCTGTCGAGCGTTCCAAGGTGTCGCTCCGAGATCAAGCTCACAAGGACAATCTCGCCAATTGGGAGCCCATACTAGAAAAGTATGAGAATGCGCTACAACAGGTATCTAGCGAAGGTACACTTGCTTCGCTTGAGAGGCATCAGACCAGAGGACAACTACTTCGTAAGTCCAAGGGCACACGCTGTGGGAGATGCGCTGACTGGCTTGCAGCAAGGGATCGCATCGCATTGCTTCTTGATCAAGACTCTCCGTTTCTAGAGCTGTGTCCGTTTGCTGGTTTTGGGAATACCAACTCCACACCCTCTGCCAACATTATTGCTGGCATCGGGACAGTGAGGTAGGTTGACGCTGGTATTCCTGAAGGAGCCCATGCTGACGATGAATAGCGGAAAGATCTGTCTCCTCATGTCACATATACCTACACAAAGTGGTGGAGCTTGGAACGAGATGACTGGTGAGTGCACTATGGTTTGATTCCGCACATTCACTAACAAATGGCAGTCGTCAAGGTGAACCGTATCTTGGAAATCGCCTCTGAGAACGACCTCCCCCTTATCTCTCTCGTGCAGTCCGTAAGTCTCAACCTCTCACACAGCCTCTTCAACATCAACTAAACCTCCAAGGCTGGTGTCTTCCTCCCCCAGCAATTCCGGGTCTTCCACAAAGGCGGTCAACTCTTCTACGACCTCGCCAACCGCTCATTCCAAGGCAAACCCTCATGTGCCATTGTATTTGGATCTTCAACTGCTGGAGGAGCCTATCACCCTGCTCTGTCCGACTATAGCATCTTTGTGGAGAATCAGGCTCAAGTCTTTCTTGGTGGTCCACCGCTGGTCAAGATGGCTACTGGGGAGGAAGTTGAGGCAGAGGAGTTGGGTGGTGCTAATGTTCATGGGTCAAAGACTGGCCTTGCCGATCAAGTCGCGACAGATGAGTAAGTCCAATATCTCACCTTTTAGCGAGTGATCCAAGCTAACATGCGCAGGTTTGATGCCATTCACAAGGCTAGGGATTGGGTCGCCTCGCTCAAGATCAAGCAGCGATTCCTCAAGACCAACGGTGAAATCTCGAATCCTCTTCCTCCACGATATCCCATCGACGATATCCTCTCCTTGGTAAACCCCGACATTCGAAAGGCGTTTGACATGAAGGAGGTTGTGTTGAGACTTGTCGATGATTCGCGGCTGGCTGTCTTTAAGCCCAAGTATGGAGTCAATATTTTGACGACGTGGGCACACATCATGGGTAAGCCGACAAGTGCTGCTGCAAGAATCATGGCTGATGAAATGTGTAGGTTTTCGGGTGGGAATTGTTGCCAACCAGATTTCTGTCATCAACCCCGATGAAGCTCTCAAAGCTGCTCAGTTCATCCGACTTTGCAACCAAGAGTAAGTCATCCCATTACATCCCCTCCCTGAAACCGCTGACACTTCCCTAGGGGTACACCCATCATCTTCCTTCACAACGTCACAGGCTTCATGGTAGGCACCAAAGCCGAGCACTCAGGCATCATCAAGGCTGGAGCGCAGCTCGTCTCCGCAGTTTCGTGCTCCCAGGTTCCTCACATCTCCATCATCATGGGTGCCTCCTACGGTGCTGGCAACTACGCCATGTGTGGTCGAGCGTACAAGCCCAGGTTCATCTTTACTTGGCCGACGGGCAAATGTAGCGTCATGGGACCTGATCAACTTGCCGGTGTCATGGAGCAGATCCAGTCCAAGAAGGCTCGGCCTGAGGGAGAAAAGGAGTCGACGGAAAAGGTTCAAGAGAAGACGGCGCAGTTTAAGCGACAGGTTCAGAGAGATGCTGAGAGCTACTCCACAAGCAGCATGCTTATTGATGACGGTATCATCGATCCTAGAGATACGAGGGAGGTATTGGGTATGTGTTTGGAGATTGTTTCAGGAAACGACAAGTCTGCTGGTCAAGGGTTCAGAGCTCTTGCGAGAATATAGTCGGCATGGTGCTGATCGTGTAAGCTACTGAGTTAGGATAGAAGTTGGGTATGGCGTGAATATAGATAGCATATTATTATAACCAAAGATCGCAACCTGTGCCTTTCATACAAATCCAAACCATTCTATCCCATAGTATACAAATCGCATCAAGTACAAATCTTACACCCTCCTTTTGCTAGTTATTACTTCAAACTCCTTATCTGAACTCTTCTCCAACTCCTTCTTGACCCACGAAGCAATACTCGAAGCAGCATCGTGAGGACTCTCAAGATGCAACTGGAAGAACCCCTGAAGCAGAGAAGGCGTAAACGTATCTTCTGGTATCGCGCTGGCGAATTGTTTTGCCAGCGCTCGTATCTCTTGCATGTCTAAATGTGTCGTGCAACCCAAGTCGGGAGAAAACATGCGGATAAACATTTCTTCTGCCGACTTTTTGCTTATGTTTCCGAGGAGCACCTTCATATCGACGCGGCCGGGTCTTATTAGTGCGCTGTCGAGCTGGTCTGGTCGATTTGTTGTCATTATAACGATGCGGCCTTCTTGTGATCCTACTCCGTCTAAGACGTTCAAGAGGCCGGATAGAGTGCAGTTTGGTGTGTGGTTGCCGTCCTGGTTGTGCTTTTCGTTGCTTGAGCGGTCTACCCATACGGCGTCAATGTCTTCGAGTAGAACGACACAACGTGGTGGAATCTCTTGAAACATTTGTTCTAGGTCGGCATCTGTGGCGACGCTTGGGATCTTGACTTCGTACAAGTCAAGACCAAACTCGCCAGCAATGGCCACAGACAGTGACGACTTTCCAGTTCCGGGAGGTCCGTAGAAAAGGTACCCTCTTCTGTAGGGCATGCTGCGGCTCTGATACCGCTTCTGAGTCTTGGGATCGAGGTAATTCCTGATATCGACGAGGAGATCCTGCTTCATCTCGTTGTCAAAGTGAACCGTGTCGAGGTGTCGAATCGGTTTTCGGGCTTTCGGCTTCCAAGCAAGACCATAGCGATCTCGAGCGTAAATAATGACAAAGAATTGTGTTTGTCTGTCGGAATATTCGCGACAGGTTTCGATAAATGTCTTGATGGGTTCTGCTGACCAACCGAAGCTGCTCACTGTAATTTCCTCACCTCCAATACCGTCGTAGCTAGGATCGGATAAAGAGGCAGAAAAATCATCAATTCTGCGGGTAATCAGAAAAAGACCCCTTCCGTACCAAATCCATCTCGTGTTCCAATGAGGACAATACTGAACAGAATGTCGTGTCTTTTTCAGCGCAGCAGCCCTGTCACCATTCGAGCGTCCGACATCGGTGCGACCAGTAAAAGATCGATAATGCCTCCCCCTATGATCCATGATCCATTTAACGACGCTCCGATTAAGAGGATCACCACCGGGAATTGTGACAGAGGCGAGGAAGAAGCGGCGGATGTAACCGTAGGCCTCGCGCCAGATGCGCTGCAGGAAGCGCCAGGCCGTGGGTACGGTTCCTGCAATTGCGATAAGCGACCCGATCTGCGTAATGTCGAGCTCCGACCAGCGAGAGCAGACATCGCTCATGACGCCTACGCCGTGGGACCATGGGTCGAGTAGGTGCTGGCCTGGAGAGGGGCCGAGATGAAAAGACATTTTGGTCAATTGGTCTCTGGAGAGACTGATGGCCAAGGGATTGATTGCTCACTAGCAATTGAGGCCAGCTACCATTGACATGCACCCTGATGCAGCAACAGGAGAACAAAAGCCACCGGAACAAGTGGAAATGGAAGAAACCAACCAATTACATGAGCGAAAGAATGACAAGAAGGCCAACCATTAGAACGGAGATTGATAAGGACAATTAACAATCGACGTGTCAAGCTCGAAAAGGGAGAGATCTGGGGAAAAAGAGTTTTTTCACTTTCAGAACTGCGCCACAGAAGAAGCCACATTGTTAAAGTTTTGTATGATGGGTTTGTGAGGAACGCTAACATGGGATCTCGGCTGTGATGTCAGACGGAAATGAGGGTGGAGACGGACTTTCTTTTGCGTTACCCGGGAGCTTGATTTCTCATCTTCCAGGGAATAGGGGCAGGACTTATTTGTGCTGATTACAAATGAGCGTAGGGGGAGGGCGCAAATTTGTCGTAATTTGTTACAACTTTGACGTTCACGCATAGACATTGTTGAGGACGAAATTCAGCAGAGTATGATTGTAATGGACAAATTGTTGCAAAGGTGACCAGACCCCGTTTAACAGCAGCCAGATATTCGGTCAATGCATTTTCTCATGTCGTTGAATAACTTCCGCTTCCATACCTCTCGAATATTGACACAGATTCTCTCTTGATACTGTCAACAAACATACATACATTCGAAACCTACCCGGAACTTCCACTTCCAATCCAATTCCTCACCCCTGTCACGCCGGGATCGGTTAATGCTCCCCAACGACTATCTTTCAGATGAAAAAATTGATTAGAGTCCTGTCTGGGTATATCGATTACAGGTCTCAAACACCCGTAGCTGCATTTTTGGCAGATGCGTTTCTTCCTGAGCTCAAACAGTCTGCTTTGCATGAAGCGCCTTCCACTGCTTCCCAGCACCGACATCCTCATCTTCGTGCCCCTTCATCTCCTTTACCCACTCAAAGTCCCCTCGTTTGACATACGTAAGAACAAGATCCTAATTCCATCATGTTAGCGTCACAACTCTATAGTCTCAGTTGTTGAACATACCCTTCCCAGAGTGAGGTTCAACGCCCCCTCAAAGTAAATCGGCTTGTACTCTTCCATGCGCGTTCTGTTCCTGATGAGATTGGTCATGTTGCTCGTCACAACTTCGGATTGCATCAAAGCTGCACGGCCTTGTTTGGCTCCTCCAGACTGGGCCACGTCGCCAATTGCGAAAATGTTTCCCTTGGATGATGGGAGGTGGTCGACTTGGAGAGTTGGCTTGACGAGTATTTCGCCAGTCGAGGCGACGCTCTTGGGTGAAAATGCAGCCAAGAGATCAGATCGAGGTCGTAGTCCAGTGCAGGGAATCTTTGGTTCGAAATTAGTGTAATCCGGTGTGACAGTTGGGTAATTATATGAACGTACGATCAAATCCCATATTCTCTTTTCGCCATTTGAAAGTGCAATCTGTGTCTCCCCTACAGCTTGACCAGACTGCGCAGGCAAAGCCGGTCGTTCTTTCAGCAACACCTCAATGTTCTTTTTGCGAAGAGTAGAAAGGACAAGCTCGTGCAGCTTTGCCCCGAATCTTGGCAGAAGTTGATCTCTCGAATGTATGAGCGTTAACTGCTTGTCAGGGTACTTCTCTCTGATCTCTGTTACCAGCTCGACACCCACTGCACCCCCGCCAACAACCGCGATGCGCTCCGCCTTGTTGATTCGTTGTTGAAATCCCTGTAGTTCCGTGATGCATCCTTCTCGATCACGCGACTTGAGACGCGCGGGTGGTGGCTGAGCGGCTCCGGTGGCGATAACCAGATAATCGTAGCTCAACCTATTACCACTGGCCATTTCAATGTCTGTATCTGTGACCTCGAGAGCCTCGTCACAAACACGCTGGAAGATGCCTTCCGGTGCATCATCAGCGATGTTATCGTAAGGAATAAACGCCTTTGACTCTCGTCCTGAAAAGACGGAGTTTCTGGGAAACGCAAAGGCATAGTTAAAGTGAGACTGCTTCTCCAGAAGAACAACTCGATACCCAGAAGGAAGGGTGTTGGCGAGTCGTTGTACAAGATAAGATCCCGCAAAGGAACCCCCGACGACTACCACATTGCGTGGGTTAGGTGAAGCTCGATAGGTGTGTCTGTGGATGGCTGATTGTACTCGCTGAATGACGAATCTGAAGGTGAATGTCGTGATAATCTTGACAAAGCTGAGGTAGAGACTCAGCTCCTGGAGTTTCATCTTGACCAAGTGGATAAACGACACATACTCACATCAAGATCAACACTTCCAACGTTCCATGCTGTCTTTATAAACTCTACGCTAATTAGCGCGGTTCATAATGAAACTTCGGGCTTCAAGGATCCAATATGCCGTCGTCGGTGAATTCAACTGATCCATAACGGAGATAATCGGTGGACGGTTGGCCAAAGCACATCCTCGCCCCAGACCGCACCAATAATCACCCTTTCAGTTCCTGTTTCTTTTCGTCGGACTCGGTCCTAAAAACCGAGTTTTGTCAGCCGGGCAGGCGGTATGAAAAAAACACCGCCAGTACTGGCACCAAAATTGTATGGGGAGAGTGGCGGTGTTTTTTTCATACCGCCTGCCGGGTCAGCATGTTCGGCCGGTCCCCTCGGGCCCGTCATCTCCGGGCTGTGGGGCACTCTCGGAGATAGTCACGTAGCATGCCATCCTGGAGTCTCTCACATTTTGGGAGAAATGACATTCTACGACGGGCGGATAGCTCTCTCTATCGGAAGGAAACACCTCACTAGAGGACAAACAATCTGTCTCGGATTTTCAGGGGCGACGACATAACCTTGGACATGCCCGCTATCCAGTATCGTGGTTATTCTTACTGTGTGTACTGATGACAAGAAATGATCCTCTGGCTCAGTTCCCATCAAGGGCCGGGCTGCAACTATAACAAAGAACAGATTATAAAATGAGAAGAAACTATCAGCCACAAAAGCAAAAGACGCGGTTGTTAATACATGACGGCATCAAAACCTAATACCGTAAAAGACCTCAACCTAATTTTTGACTTGCTATTGCGGCAACTATAGAAGAATGACTACAGACCAAACTTCATAATATTCCAAATCAACAAGAATAAATTTGGCAATTTTCGGGACCCTTTATCCCAGTAGAGCCGACAGCACCACATTTCAAACACAAAAGGAGGTTTCTTTAGAATAGGGGCGCAAAAGAAAGGGGACTGCTCAATTTGGGAAAATGGAGACGCCTAAAGAGACCTCTCTCCCACCGTTCCGCTTGAATGATAGTCCTTCCTCCTTTCCTCGTTTGTTATGTCCATCGATTCTTCTCTTCACCACCATATATTATTCCATGTTAATCCACTCCGTCGATCAAAACGACAGACTCATCCCCTTTCCGTCACAGGTGAGGCTCATTGCTCCAGTGTTCATCTTGGATCAGTGATTCGAGAGCCTGCTCCTGGAAGTTAAAAGTCTCAAGGGAGTTGCTATCTGGAAAGCTGAAAATAGAGTCATACTCCGAGCCGCCCATAGCCTGCGAAAACCCTCCCCAGGTGCCAAGTGTATAGCTATCCAACTCTGCCTTTTGAGAGGACGAGAGCGGTTGATTCTGGAGACTTGATGTCTCAGTAGCAAGTTGGGTAAAGTCTGAGCCAGCGGAAGTGAACTCGGGCACCGTCAGGGCAGTGGAATGATTGCCCAAATCCGCACTGGTGGTGCTGATGTGCCCGCCAAACTCGGAAAACAAGCGTCCTTCAGTCGTCATCTCCTGAAGAATATTCCCTGAGTTGTTCTCGGGGAAATGAGAATAAAAGCCATTTTCCTGGGGAGCCACAGCTGTTAATGACACTTCTGGAGATCGACTGAACGTCGAGCTCCTGCTCCTTGGTGTTGGATACAGAGTTTGCGGGTCAAACTTCAACTCAGTTCCGGCCACACCTGGGAGTTGCAGCAGGTTGCTTTCTCGCCGAGTTGGCTTTGCAACCAGCACTTGTTCCTCCTTCATCCATCCATCCAATTCTTCCTCTGGACCTTTAACATTGATTTGCGGCTTCAGGTTGGAGTCCTTTGACCCCGGCACCTGCGAGAGCATCTCTTTCACTGCGGCCTTGACCGCATCTTGGATATGTTGTTCCAGCTGTGTTTCTCCCGAGGTCCGAGTTGATCCCATCAAGGCAAGTCCTCCATTTAGGTTTTTGCCAGCTTGACTTATTGAGCTTTGCCGGCTTGCCATCACATTCGGCGAGATGTGCTCCGCCAGACCTGATTGCGGCGCTGTCAACCTTCTGGTAACAATTTTAGGTAGGTCCTGCATCAACATCTGTTGATAAATATCTGGGATTTCCGGCACCTCTGGTTCGTAGTCTAGAGCAAAATTAGTCTTGAATTTAATTTGGGAAAGACAAGGTTCCTACATGGGCTTGGAATGTTTTTCTCGTCTGGAAAGATGATCCTGTATATCGCACGCCACTTCTCTTCTTCGTCCAAAGATTTCTGATACATCTTTCTGCTCCTTAACTGCTTCTCCTGTTCTTTGTTGATGCCATAGGATCCCGATGGTGGTTTCTTCCGACATGAATTCCGAATATGCTCGTCAAACGCAGGCCCAGTTTCAAACTGTTCAAAGCACTTCTCGCATTGGGTGCTTGTCAACATATGTCGGCGAAAGATGTGTTCCCTGTAAATAAAACATTAGCATTCGGTGGTGCTATAGAACTTAGCTTATACTGACTTGACTCTGTGGACGCTATCCCAGCCAGGGCCGACGCATGTTCGTGAACTCATGAATGCCTGCCGATCGTACTTGTAGAAAGGACAAGCGAATTTCCTCTTTTCCTCTTCTTCATCCTTTCTTTTCTTCCCGTTCTTTGTCTTGCCGTTTGCTTCGCCGAGCTCGTCAGAGTCGCCCTCTTCTTTCTCTCCTGATTCTTGTTTTCTTTTCTTGTAGCCCTTGACTGGCCCGTTCGTGCCTTCGTCGTAGTGAGAACTTTGCTGATCGTGGTGTCTCTGCCTTTTTGGTGGCTTTTGTGAAGCTTCACCGTCCGCTGGAGCTCTTGAACTGCTGTCTTCTGTCCTCTTGATAAAACCTGCGTTGTCTTCCGGGTCGCTGTTACTGCTGCCAAGTTTTCTGTTAGTGGTAATGAAACCCTTCTCTTTCGTTAAAAAAGCCCAAGGCTTCTGTTCCAACCGCACATACCCTTTGAACTTGTGTAAATAGTTTCTGATCGTTTTCTCGTGTCCGTTCAGCCCGACCACTTGCAAGATATAATTTGCATCCTCAAGAATAGGAGACGGTCCGTTGATACATGTATCCTTTCTGTTCTGTCTGACAAAGGAACTACATTGCGAGCAGCTAGGGCCTGGTTGACCAGACGTCTTCAGCGTTTGAGATGAACTGTCAAGGGTCAAGACCACATTTCTTGTCTTTTCTTGTTGAAAGTACGGGGCAAAAACCTCGATGCACATAGAGTCGTCAGAGGTGACCCCCCTGTGGCTGCTTGTTTTTGGGTATTTATCCGATCGAGCACGAACTAGAGCATCCGTCGAGTACTTGCTTTCTGCGACCTGTAGCCCATAGAACCAGCGAGAAGCCCGTTGAGAGAAGCTGTCAAACCAAGACGAAGACGAAGACGAAGAAGGCAAAGGGTTGAAAAAGCTGCGTATGGTCCGCAGAAGAGGGTTCTTGGGGAAAAGACATTGAAGAGAGCCAGACGCCCAGATAGGTGTAAGTGGGAGCCAAGGGTTTGTCTGCCGCTGTATACTCTGCAGAGGCCTCAGAGAGTCCTGGTCTATGCAAAAGTCGTCTAGGCAGTAGTGTGTAGCGCGCATAGCTATCGTCAGGGACTTTTCCACGAGGAAAGGATCTGCGCTGGGTGTCGCCACCAGCTTTCCCCTGCCTTTACAAGGCCAAGAATTGCTGGGAGAGTCGAAGGCATGTTCAAATATTTTGAATACCCGAATAACGCTGCGTAAACATTGCCTGAGGTCGTGCCTGAGGTCATCCCAGTGCGGGGACTCCCGACTAGGCTGCACACTGAGAGTACGAGAAATCATCGATGAAGGGGCTTCGACCGGTTGTCTCGCGCATGGAGTGATGATGGGATTATCTGGAGTGGTTTTAAGCGATAGATTGACGTAGAAAAAGGCTCCGGAAGCCGTTTGAGTCAGGACCTACGCGTCGACGTGATGATGCAAAGTTGAAGTTGGATGGCTGGGGGTGTCCAAGCCTCCTTTGTGCCCTCTGAGAACCACAGTTGTGCGAGGCAGCAAGGCCCAATAAAAGGTGGTCACAGCCTGATTTGGTTTGGTGGGGCGGGCCGCATTTCACTGTGGCCAAGTATTCTCTGTTAACACTCTACCTCTTCTCCCAAGCAGCCTTATCTATGCTGCCTGTGTTATTTTTTGCCTCCTCTAGCAATGTCCTTGGACTGCATGCGTACCTAAGATCTGCTGCATCTCTAGCTTACGTCTTACCCCTGTCATTCAGTCAACTGGTCCATGCTTGACTGACACCATCATGGTGCAAAGGACCAATGCCCAAGGACCCCAAATGACTGATAAAAGAAAGCATCAACTAAATGCATATTAGAACTTCCTGACATCCTTCTCGAAGAGTCTAGAACGAGTCACAAATGGTGACGCACAGAAGGCCTCATGTCAAGCCCCATGACGCCTGCACGAATTCAACAGCAACACAGCAAATAAGCGTCAAGCACATCAACAGCACCATCAACAAGATAATATCCAGGACGGAAATTGAGGTCCTGGAGACTAACCGAGGTAGGCGGCCTTCTTCGGTCAAAGGCATGGCTACGTGGCATTGCCGTATTGCAACCAAGTGCGAGGCGACCTACAGGCGATTGGAGAATAGTAAACACCATCTCTCAAAACATTCGACTTATCATGCACGATTCTACCAGTAGTGTTATGGGAGTCATGGCATAACAAGCCTCAAACCCACCGTCTACCTCTCAGGTATGCTTCTCCTGCACCCTTCAAGATGCGCAGAATAACACCCATTGCAGATACACCTGTGCTGACAAGAATACACAGTTGCGGAGCTTACTGAGCAGTTACCGAGGGGACCTGAAGGTCCCGATAGAGGCATCTTCTCGTTTATCACTGTCATCCCGATATCCCGTACAGGGTATGGATGGTTCCACGGCTTCGGCAAATATAAGAATCCGGGGGGATCTTACGTGGGCCAAGAATGACAAAGGCTGGCTGTGCCTCTGGTTTGGGCATAGAGATGTGACAGATGCTTACGCATGTGGAATCTCGACGAGAAGCCATGGCTGCAGTTGTGAATATTCTGCAATACCCATATCAAGAGCAAGCAGAAACCGCAATGCTTCTTGCTCGGTAAGCCCGGATTTAAATCCTGCTTACCCGCTTATTAAAGTTCTGGACGCTTCTCTTGAGCCTGTCATCCTCACTACCGTTTGGGATCGTCTGCGCGGATGCCCGGGACGACATGGGAATGGGTAAATAGCATATCCAGGCTCCCTTTCTCGATTTGTTTTCCATTTGTCCTACAATCACAGGTGACATTCCATTTCGGTGATGCTCGAGTAATGGGATCGGTTGAGTCCGCATTGATGGCCCTCTATCTGAAACAGGGGACCGGTGGTGCCTGGGCATAAGCAATGTGAATCTATTCATGCCTTACCAGTAGAGGCATAGCGGGCGGGTGCCTTGCCGGCTCATCAAACGGGTGTGAGATGAGTCCAAACGGGTCATCTTCATCACCGTGAAGAACGGAGGCAGAACACCGTCGACTGTTCGCCAATCGCCAAGACTAAGCACGAGCAGATTTTACTTATGAGGTGCTTAGTGGTATTTCTCTATTTATACCTCGATCCCCTAGAGTTTGTAAGCTTGGTGAGATGGCAAGCCAGGAATAGTCTGTCTGATGAGGTGCCGCCGGAATAAACTTCACGTGTGAAATTCGAGTTGATATGAGAAAAACGACCAGGACACCACACAAGATGTACCTCTTAACATTTCATAACATTCATTTTTCTTACCATTTCCACCATTGGTCCTGCGAGACCCAAACACCACTTCCAGGGCAACCCTTAGATGGCCAGAGTCAAGCATCCCGATGACGCAGCCCGCTTTGAGGTCTGTCGACCACCAATCGGTCTGTTCCACTAGGCCGTTTTCCGTCAAGGATCGTTAGGCAGCTATGCAAAAGTCCTGCACCAAAGTCCAAGGCAGACCACGCCATTCTTCAGCGCGCTGTCGCGGAACACACAGAGCCATGGCGGTCCAGTATGGACCAGGGCTTCCCGGATCGGCGGAAGGACGCGCTAGTTGCATCTGACAGCTCATTGAAGACAGCCCTGTTTCATGGATGGATCAAGGATGTTCCCTAGATCAAGCCGTGCCATGAAACATTGACTAAATCTTCACTCACTCGCCCCTTGTGGACCTGTTTCTCGCCCAAGAAATCCCCAACTTCACGGATGGGATTTTAGACCGTTAAAAGGTGTGAATCGCTGAAGCACAAGAAATGCAGCGAAACTGAACTAGCATTGCTCACCATGCAGACGCCTACGGCCACGCTGCGCCTTGTGCACGACTAGCTCACCGCAATTTCATGGCGGTCAGGTAGCGAAATTTTCGCCAAGTTTAGCGTATTCGGCGTTCTTGTCTTACAGACTTACACCGTCATGCCTCATTGCGCCAGAATACGCAGACGAGAGGTTGCTATCGCAACCTGGCCCTCGGGTGATCAGGCCTGCTCCAAAGCCAGCCAGGGGGAGACAGCCCTGTTTGACCGTAGCCAGTTACCTGGACCAAGACGGCTCTTTATAGCTACCGCAATGTCCGGTAGAGAAGCGATATGCCTCCCAATTGGGCCAAAAAGACCTGATCAGCTCGGCTCTCTCCAAGCCACAGCGCCTACAACACCTCGATACGCACCCGCTACCGGTACTGTATGTTTGCTGAAGCTGCTTTTATTTTGACTATTATTAGACTGTACGATCGCATCAGAGTGAGGCTGGACGACGGTTGAGTGAAGAATCCAACATCGCAGCCAAGAGTGTCGATCACCATGTTGGCAGCCGCATGAACGCACTCGAAACTCTAAGCCACAATCTACGCGTGTCCGTTTCAGATCGAAGGATCTCATCCAAGCTCATGTACATACATTCGCCTTCGAAATAAAAGAGTGTTCTAGATTCCTCCATGTGCGCCCTGAAACCTTCAGTCGTACAGCATGACGAATACCCAAGGGCGTCATCAGAAGTGTTCAGAGCCAAGCAAAGAAGCGAGGCTGAGTACTCATACAGCCTTGAGTGACGCGTAAAATATTCATGTTTGCATTGTTCTTTGAGTTTTGCCGTGCCCCTGATCTGCTTCGTCGTTGACTTTGAGATAAGGCAAGCGATGATTCGCCACCCGAGGAAACTTCAGCAAGCCACACAAGAAATTTGCCAAGCCCTCCATGAGTCGTGCCTCAGCGAATCACCTGATGAGGGCTCGAAATGTCTTAAAAAAAAAACATGGTTATCGACCACAGCCAGCCCGGTTCGGTATTATTCGTGTCACCGAGGCTGGGACACCCTTGCAACCACTAGTATCGATAGCTTCACCGCGGCAGTTCAACTCTCGCCCTGTTAAAGATTTGTTGGCTGCTGATCGCCAAATCCTCCCGCTAAGCGCTAAGCGATCAACATGTTTTAAAACATGGATAAAGCCTTATCCACGCCTCACTCTAAACGATGCTGTGCTTCCAACAAGTATCGAAGGATCCGAATGAGTCAGACTACTAACCGTAAACTAGCCCTATTGACTCAAACTGGCTGTTGACTCAATCAAAGTTAGGCTGCAATAGCATCAGATGACAGGGCATTCCGTGGGGGCCTCACTATGCCCGGTTTGCAACAAAGAGGCCAGCGGAGCCCAGGCCATTGGGAGAAGCAGCATGGCCTCGTGACAGGCCTTTTGGTGTCCAAGCTGTAAGGCCGTCCAGAGGGTTTCTTGATTGGCTTGGCGTTCCCATGTAATTTAGGGGACATTGGCGACTTGTGTCCTCGTGTTAAATCGGAGCATGATTGGTCCGCAACCCCGGCAATATCACCCTTCCTTTGTTGTTCAGTCGACTAATAGATCTCTTCAATGATTTGAATGGAACTCTATAGCTTTGTGTTCAATGTCTTGATACTACAAACAGCTTATTCACTAGTGTTACTTCATTCCAGCGTAATCTACAAACACAGCACCAAGACTTACGCGAGCCGCAAGTGCTCTTGACGTCTGAAATCGCCAAATTAACCAATACAGCATAAAACATACGAGCTGTGTGTATAGTCTGTTAACAAGAGCTTTTTCTTTTTATAACGGAGGCCTTTAACTACTGGCGGTGTCTCTGAAGACTAGGAATAGTCTACTGGTACCTGTCGAGTGCAAGACTAACTATATAGGTAAGGACGTCAACATGGGGAATTACAGGCAAGTTTCATAGTTAGAAAACTAAACCCTCGAAATTTCCGGGTGTCTTTCTGTCATTGTGCAACTCATAGTTGTGGAAAGTTACAGTTTAGTTACGGTTGCAACTAGAGAAACGTTTGACAAAGGCTTTCACGACGACATCACCACTTCAGCAATGACAAACCCCGCCGAATCAGGATCTCATGATGTCTATCGAATCAATCTTCTGTGGCTTATGGAAGTGGCGTGTTCACGACTGAAGTGACGACGTACGACTCGTCAGTCACAGGCTTGGCTCGGCGCACCGAGACCTCCGAGGTAATGTGGCCTGTTCGAGGCAGCCACTTAGCACACACCAAGAGAGAGCACAACCAACTCCTTGATGCCCGAAGCCGAGGTATACGTCAACGGGTTACCTGGCAGTGGCAATTGTAGCATCACGGGGTTGCCGATATCGGTTACACTCGGAGCCGAGAACTTCGCCTCAGTGGCAATAGTGGACAACGACGTCTGTCTCAACTGGATGAAAGCACAAATATTGGAACAAGTATCTCCTTAACAATTTCCACATGCACATGCAAGTCGGCCGCCAAGGCAGCGACGCAACACAGCCCAGGAGGAGAAACGGGGCGACCGTGTCCATCTGAGATCTCAAAGGCCTCCAACGAGGGCCCTTACCAAGAGTTGTTCAGCGCTTAGTCAAACCCGGCATCCAACTTCAAATCTCTATGAAAATAAACCCGGTATGTAATCTAGCTGAAGAGTTGATAGTGGTTGGGATATGTGCGAATTGACAGCATGCAACGATGACCAAGACTACGAGCGAAGCTTTTTACAGCCGATGCAAGGAAAGGTGGCATCTTGCACTGAGGTTCACCTTTCCAGCATTGAGTTTCTTTAGCTATAAAAGCTTAACTTTATCTTAGGTAGTTACGTTGTTTTGTAGAATTAGGTTTTGATCCTATCGTGTGTTTATTAGTGTGTGTTCTTTGAGCTTATGTATGGCCTAGACATCATTGAAAAAGAACAACTACTACAAAGTGGAATATGCCCTCGATATTCGGTCTCAGGTTGAGGAATCCAAAATGTCCAAGTTTCCGATAGATTAGCAACATCAAGTCTCTAATCCCACAACCCCCTCGGCAAAGTTATCCAGAAAAGACATATCCAAGTTACCAAACTCCCAGTCTATGATGGACTCTTGCTCAAGCACAGGGAGCTCCTCAGTACTCTGTGCCTTGTCTTCATTTTCGTTTACAGGTAAAGGAGAAGGTTGAACAAGTGATAGATCTCGCCAAACATCCGTCGTCGTAGTAGCTGGTCGGCTGTCTCTCGCAGCCGTTTGGGTGAGAGTTGTCTGTGGCCCCTTTTCGGAACTTTGGGGCTCTATTCTGATGACGCAGAAATGAGGGATATAGATATCCATTATGGTGTCGTCGTCGCTCAGCTTGACTCTGCACCCGAGGTCTTCTTCCTTCTTGGGTTCAGTAACCAGAGTGACATTGTACCTGCCTCCAGATGCTGCATCTTCCTCGATCGCGAGGAGGTGTCGAAGCAGAGTCACCACCCTTTTTGCGATGGGGTCATCATTCTGGTGCACCACCTCTTGCATGTACCCAAGGATCTGTTCCAGCACGCCACGGTCACTCAGTCTCTGGTGTGCCAGGAAGTGAAAACCTGCATTCTCAGAGTCTCGGTTGCGCTGGTCAGTGATGTGTGCCAAACATAGGGCCGCGCTAGAGGTGAAGACCAACAGGTCTACACCTCGACAGTAGTAGCTTGCAGATCTGAACTCCCGGAAAGGAGCGAACCTGCACAGAATCTCACGACTTGCCGTGACGGCCGTCATCCTATTATACTCGTATCCAGGCTCAACACCCGATCGCAGTAAAAACGGTAAATGCACTTGTAGCAAAAGGTGATAGTACATGAAGTGATCGTTAAAACGAAGCGTCTCGCGGATCCTCTCCATGTGGCCGGCAGCAGTAGGTATGGTTGGCGCTACCCAGTATTGGGCGGGCATCGTTGTAGAAGCTTCTTGTAGAATCTTTCCAATTTCTTCAACACTCTTTTTGTCACACATGTCTGAAAAGTTTCGTCGTAGAATACGTCCGCATGCAACGGTGCAGAGACGATGCATCCGCTCCCATGGGATGCAGGAATCGAGGGCCTCGGCCTCAGCGTAAGAGTCGTCAAATGAGCTCTGAGGGAGACCAAGCATCAAACAAAGATATCGGTCGAATTGGATGAGGAGAGACCACATATCATCAGGCTTAACGCTAGCACCGTCGAGGGAAGACGGCTCAACTCCTCGGTTCAAGCCCATCATCTGAGCAATTGCGACTGCTCGACGCGCAGCAAGCCATGAGCGACGAAGATTTCCCGAGTAGTTTTCGAAAAGGGCCTCGAGAAGAATGCATTCGAGGCCTTCCAGCGAAGTGACAAGCTCGTCATTGCAAGTCACCAAGTTATGGGCGGTTTTGACGAGCCGCGACATGAGTCCGTAGTATTTGGTACTGGGATTGTCAAGGTGCTGTGTAGAAGATGAGGGCATGCCCTGAAGAAATGTCGCCAGTATCAATAGTTTCCGGGCGACCAAGGTTGGGTGCGATCCTGATGGGGGCAGCTGTAGCAATGTCTTTGATGATGGCGGCGAGCCGCTTGTTTGAGATAGATGTGTGCACGTAACCGCACAAATAATAGATGAAGTTGCTATTGGAAGCTTGAGAATGGCATCCAGGTCCTGTGGGTTCGGCCAGGCTTCCAGGAGGCCTCGGCGTAAATTATCATGATGTGATACTGTTGATGAATCCTGGTCGCTATCAACAGTGGTGTGGAGAGAGTTTGTCGTCGACGTAGATCCTGGGTGCGAAGTAACCTCTTCTTGGGCATCTCTCTGAATAATCTCAGCATGCTGGAACTTGGTGAGCAAATCATGTTTCAACGTACCGATAAGTCGTGACATGCTTGCTGACGAACAAGATGGACCGACCGAATTTCTGGTGACTGTGACCGACTTGACCTATCTCTGTAATTCCGCCGTCGTGGTTCTGATATCGCCGGCGAGACCAAATCGTCTCGACGGGCAGCCTTGAGAAGCTGCCCAACCAAAGCCTCAACCTGGCCCAGCCTATCGACGAGTCCCTTCTTGCTCCCAGGAGGAGGCGGCTCATCGGTCGACTCTTGGCTAACACATTCAGTCCCACGGCGATTGCAGCCTTCACAGACGTCCTTGGTGGCAGCCGAAAAGGTGCACCGGGCCTTTCGTCGCTTGCACTCCCAGCAGCTCTGCGTGCCCTTGCGGAGCTTCCGGCGCTTCGGGGCGGGTACCGAATCGTCCAATGAGGGCTCTCGGACGATAGATGCCGTGTTTTCCATGGTTTGGAGTCGAGACTGAGCGTTGTCGGAAGCCGGGGACGGAGGTTGGGGATTGAAGGAGGTGGCTCGTTCAACCGCCGCTTTGACGGAGATCTGAGCCGGCATTAGTAATCGCCAACTCCGGGGTAGCGGCGGCGGAAGTAATCGCAGCCATTAAGCCTGATTTGTGCTACTATCATTATGCAAATAGTAGAACATTTGATGGACTGATTTTATGCTGTAGGGTGTCCGTTCAATCGGCGGAAAGTGTATTGTTGGAATGCTGGAAAGATGAGGCTGCGCGACACGTATAAATAGCTTTCCCTTCGCCCTACCACCTATTCAAGACATCATCAATCAATCCAACAACTTCATTTTTATACATTCCCAAGACTTTCATACTCAAATACAAAATGGTCAAGATCGCTATCGCCGGTGGAGCTGGCAGTAAGTTCCTCACTCATTCCTCTTCACTATATTCTTATTGACCCCTCAGATGTCGGCCTGGAGATCATCGACGCTCTGGTTGCCAGAAACAAGCACGAGATCATTATTCTCTCACGAAAGGTTCATATTCAAACCTCATCATCTTTGATGTGATCTTGCTAATCTTTTCAGGATGCTCCCGCTACTCAACTCGCCTCGGGAGTGACATGGGCCAAGACAAGCTACGAAGATGTCGACCAGCTGGCCGGAGTCCTGCAGGGCGTTCACACCGTGCTCTCCTTCATCGCCAACTCGCAGGACCCCAACGCTACGGCGCAAAAGAAGTTGATCGATGCCTCGGTCAAGGCTGGTGTGAAGCGATTTGCCCCCAGCGAGTGGGCTACGTAAGTCGGCCAAACCTTGTGCTATTGCACGTCTCACACTCGCAGGTCCGGACTCAAGCACGCCTTTTGGTATGCCTTTAAGGAGGAGACGCGCAGGTATCTCGCAGAGCTGAACAAGGACAAGAAGGTGAGGAAAAAACGCCTTCTTTTAGAAACTCGACTAATCGTGCCCCAGGTCCTCGAATACTGTCTCTTTCAGCCGGGCATCTTCACAAACTACATGACATTCCCCTACAACTCATCCAAGCATGTAGATCTATTTGAAGTCCCAATCAACTTCAACCAGCGCCGAGCTATCGTCGTTGAAGGCGGTGAAGACGATCTCATCACCGTCACCACTGCTCAGGATTTGGCCAAGGTCGTGGCTTTGGCTGTTGAGTACGAAGGAGAGTGGCCTCTTGTCGGTGGCATTCAAGGCGCAAACATCACCGTGAGCGAGCTCATCAAGCTCGGAGAGAAGATTCGAGGTAAGTAAGCCGATTTTCGCTTAAGCACAAAATGCTAAGATCAATGTCAAGGTGCGCCATTCAAGGTGGAGAAGCTCAAAGAGGAAGATCTCAAGGCCGGTGTCATCAAGTCATCGTGGATGCCCATCGTTACCCATCCTGATGTCCCTGTCGAGTCCCGCGAGGCCTTGGCCGGAAGCCTCCTCGCTGGTATCCTGCTCGGTGGCTTTCATGCTGGAAACTTTTTGGTCTCTGATGAGTGGAACAAACTCCTCCCGGACTACAAGTTCACTCAGCCTGAGGAGTTCTTGACTGAGGCTTGGAAGGCGATTGAGGCTGGCGCCAAGACTGTTTTCACTGATTATTAGAGGTGCAGCAGCCGCTAGGTCGGCTCCATAGACATCTTTGGATTCCGCATATAACTTGACAAGAATTTATACATGATCTACCAGTCTGATCCACCCCCTCCACCACCACTATCACATCCACCGCTATCACCGCCGCTATACCCTCCACCTCCTCCGCCACCTCCTCCACTACTACCAGGTCTGTAGTTATAGCTTGTAGAACTATAAGTATTGGAGTCATTATGTTCAGCAACGCGAGCAGCCCTGACTCTAGCGGCTTCACGATCGTAGTGCTGCCACGGCCTCGTGAACCCAATTTCGTAATTCCGCGGTGGTGGCGTCGATTTTCGTTCTATCCGCACAGGCTTATGCTCCTTTTCCGGAACCTTGTGCTCCAGTGGCCAGTTTGGAGGATCTTCTGCTGGCATTTGCTGCACCAATGTGCCCATGGCGTTGAGTAGGTGTTGATTTTGCGTGTTCAGTGCTCCGGTCTTGGGGCTCGTGGTGGTGGTGGTCTGAGCAGGCTTGCGTTCCTCAGAGAGCTTCTTCCTCTCATCGGAGTTCCAGTCGTCTGCTGGGGGCTGTTCGTCCTTCGGTGCGGGTTGGTTTGCAACCTGGACCCATCGTGCTTGATACGGCTTTGGTGCCTTGGTTGATGCGGCTGCCTTGCTTGGCTGAGGTGCTGCGGCGGACTTTTCTTGGGTATTATTTTCTGCTGGCTGGCTCTGAAGCTGGACGGGTCTCGGGGCCTCAGAGGCGGCACCTTGTTGTTCCTGCTTCTTCGCACCCCGACGGCGAGGGAAACAGAGACACATGTTGGCCGTGTTTGATAGGTTTCGGCCTAGGACGGCTTCTTTTGTGTGTGAATGTTGGCGGCTATTGAGTGATCGTTCTTTGACAAGTTGAACAAATTGACAGGTTTGCGCATCTCATCAGCAAAATTACGGTCTGACATCAAGTACATATCTCTCCACGATCAAGAAATGGCGTGTTTATAATCACCAACGCCCCGCTGCACAGCAAATGCCAAGAAACCCCATGATTGAGCTTCGCCTCTCGCTTGCTTTTCCCCAATCGATAGAAATGACGCAGTCTCGTGCTCAATTTCGGTTCCCAAAATGAGCGAGACTGCCTGGAGTGGAGCAGCGAGGCAGAAATGGTGGCCCCTGTACTGCTGTTTCAAGTTTAAGAGACTCCTTCAGCTCTATGGCGATCCTTCCTTCACATGTGGGTCTTCCGATGTAGCCGAGGTGATGGAGGGAAATACTCCGTTGGTTCTATCCGTATCTCGGCCGAGAAAGTGCATTCATATTTGAAGAGAAGAACGCCAAGCATGGTAACAGATGCTTTACTAATAGGTAAAAATGGCTGAGCATGCTGAGGTGTTAAAGGTGCATCTACATGTGCATCAAGTCAGCTGATGCACAACATGGCTGTAGAGATGTCACTAAACGAAGTACATCTCTTATCAAGGCAAACATCTCCAAAGCAATAGAGACATGGCTGGCAACATCTGTTTCGTTTTCTGGTTGTTGCACAATTAACGAGTCACGATTGTTCCAGGCCATCTGTAGCAAAAAGAAGTGTATTGTCGAAATTCTCAAGTTGGTATCCTCCCCCAAACACCTCTATAGCTCAAATTCAGTCTAAATCCCATTCCAATTCCAACCAAATCATACAATCGTTCTCGTGTCGTGTAATCTTCTGTATTTAACAGCCGCCGCCGCCGCCTCCATCACCACCACCACCGCCTCCTCCTCCACCTCCATCTCCTCCGGAGCAACCACCCCCGTCACCTCCCGAGTATCCTCCGTCGTAGCCCCCGATATAGGGTGCAGTGTAGTGGTGGTGGTAGTAGCCGCTGCTGGAGCCGCTGCTGCGGTACTTCTTCTTGTGGGCCATGGCTGGCTTTGCAGGGTAGTCGTAGCCTGTGGCGACCTTCTTCTTGCGGAAGAATGGGAGACACATTGTTGTTGTTTTGCCTTGTAGGCTGTTGATGTTCTTGTGTGATGTGTCTTGTGTGTTGTTTGCCCTTTGGGCTGTGGTGGCGTTTGTGTTCTGTGTGTCGCTCAAGTGGAAGAGTAAAAGGTGTTTGATGAGGAAAGAACTTGTGCGAAGTGCTCAGATGGGATCAAAGGCTGTTCTTATAGCTTTTGATCTAGGACTTTGGCAGATTCAAATTGAATGCATGAGAGAAAACCCAAGTCCCAACCTGGAGACCTCGTGGTCTATATAAGCTTCCAAGGGCGGAATGACGGCATCTGATCAGCCTCGCATCTGCAACTCTGCCTCGCCCTACGAGACAAGTTCGGCCCCCATTCACGTCATATCAGAGGCGATGCATCAGCCCCAGGCACCCGAATTTCGTGTCTTATCATTCTAGAATCCTTCTAGCGTCGGCGCATGTCTCCTCCTTCCAGTGGTTGGTCTGATACGGGGTGCACAGCCTCAGTAAAGATCATCAGACGCGTAGATCCACTGCGGAAACTCAGCCTTGGTTCGCGTGATTGATACTGGATTGGGGTTCGGGCCGCTCAGAGAAAGCCTTCGGTAGAAGGAAAAAAGAACGCATATGAGCTGGGCGTTTTGTTCGGACTTATGCATGTCGCTTTACGAGCTTTGGACGTGTCGAAGCCATGAATTCATGCTTCAAGTGACAAACGTGAAATGACGAAACACGTGCTGCAAGGGTGAAGATCTTGGCCACACATTTTGCCTAATTAGGCATCACCCGGCGCCATATTTGCACACTATCACATCCCCACCAAGCCACCACTCACATCTGTTACTGCACCATCCGTCGCCTCTCCCGTCATCCGTGTCACCAAAGTAAGCACCCACGTCAATCTCCCCGATCATCCCCCAAAGCAGAAACCGATTCGACCCCCCAGCCTCAACACTGCCGCTCACGATTCACTACAAAGAAAACTATCGCTGCGTATAACCCCAGCGAGGAACGGACACGAAGATCGGGAGCAAATGCGTTCATGATGAGCAAACCGTGCTGGGAATGCCTCAAGCGACGTCTTGTCTGCGATCTCGGTCGTCCAGGATGCCAGAAGTGTCAGAGTCGGGATACAGAATGTCCAGGATATGATAAGAAGCCGCTCAAGTGGCTTCATCCTGGACAGACTAGATCCAAGGGACGTCGCGCTAAGAACGAGTCCAACATTATCCAGCTTGCTCTCAAGGACACGACGGAAGCGACCACGCTCTTTGAAGCGATCGAGTACTGTATGTATGCCCGTTCGATGCACCAGATTCCCCCGCTCATGTGCCTACTCATCAGACAATGTCCACATTTGTCCCGATCTGGTAGCCAACGGCTCCGGTGCCACGACAAAGTCCCCCTTCATCATTCCCCTTGCAAACGCACCTTATGCCCCTGCCACCATCAGGCATTGCCTTGTCTCATCAGCCTTAGCACATCGCATCTTGCAGTCGGAGCAAGGGTTCGAGGAAGACCGTGCCATTCTCGCAAGCAGGCTGCAGACGTATCGTGGTGCGGCAATTCGTCACTTGGCTTGCGGGGTCAAGCTTGGTTCAGAGGTGGGATGGAATAACACCAGCGGTCGCGAGGGTCGAGACGCCACTCTGGCTTCTATGCTGGTGTTTCTCTTTTCCGAGGTATGTTTCATGACTGTTTTGAAATGCTATTCTCATTCCGTAGCTCCAGCAAAGTTTCTCTCCCAATTGGCGGCAACACTCTGATGCCGCACACACCCTCATCGAGCTGTTCGGTGGTACGGCACAGCTTATCCAAGAATGGCCTTGGTTCAATCATCTGTTCCGATATTTTATCCTGTAGGTACTCAATAATTCCTTCAACTATTGCAATGCCAACCCCATTCAGGATAGATATCATGGGCACCGTCACAGCGCCAGCCCCAGAAGTAGAGCGTACAAATCGTCAACTCGAGTACATCGGCCTACTACCTTCCATGTATGGCGTCGGCCTTTGGACCTCTCTACCATGTCCCCCAGAGCTCTTGGCCGACATAATTCTCGTGAATCACATGCGAGCCACAGCGACAGATGACCCTCTTTTCGCACAGCATCAGCACTCCTCCGCCATAGACCTTCTCAAACGTATCATGGCTTTTTCAGTGGACGACTGGGCTGCCAGCATTAATCCTTATCCACAACCGAAAAGCTCTGACAAGACCGTTATCCAACGCCAAACCGAGTTGCTCGGTTGGCAACGCGTTGCCTACATATACCAGTCTGCGGTCGCTCTCTACTGCATATCGGCCCTGCTAACTCCCGACTGCAACACAAACAATCCACAAACTACTTCTGATATTGACGTTCCATCACTGCAATCATCATGCCGCAAGGCACTTCTGCAAGACCTCAGAGACGTTGCTTTGGATCCAAAAAGCGAACTCCGAAAGTATCTCATGTGGCCGACCGTGATTGCTGGTGTTGAGCTGGATGCTGATAACGAGACATCTAAGGCTTTTATCCTAGAGGAGCTAGCATGGGCTAGTAAAATGTTTGGTACGGCATCGCTTCTGGTCGCACAGGATCTATTAAAGAGGATCTGGGGCTCTGGCAAGACTGGAACAAGGAATTGGGACGATCTCTTTGACAGGCCTTATGCGTTTGTGATGTGATCGAGGTCGAGGTTTTCAGAAAGCAATGTTGCAAAGATACCCTAAAGAATGAATAAGACCAAGCCGCAAGCCCTTGGGCCCTGGACGAAACTATCGAATAGAACTAACTTGCTCTTGGCCACCGGATACCAACTCTCCGCCATTACAGATTTCGCCTTGTAACTCTACTCGTGATTGTTAATGCTTAATGATTAGGCCAGGATATGCCCTCTAGCCGAATAATGGGCCGTAGGGGATGAGTAAAACGATCCTCTCGCCAAATTTACTAATCAAGAAGTCCTCGGTGCGGATAACGTAGGCTATCACCCCGGACTCGGGACATGTGGGGTTCCCCGCGCGGACGGTCCGGGCTCCGTGAGGCGTAACTCGGCATGGGGTTCAGGGGGCTGAGAAAGCCAAACTGACCGGCAAGATGATAGGACTTATGCATAGTCAGCTGGATTCAGAGTTGGTCTTTGGCTAGAATAACTGTTTGGCCGGCAGGCTCGCTTTTGGCTCTGCTGGTGGGTAATGACTGGTAACTCTTTACCTGGCCGCAAACTACACTACCCTCGCACTACAGTTTTAACAGTGAACGGTCTAAGCAAAGTAACCGTTTCTTCCCCTCTCCTCGTAGGGAATTAGGCGGAAATTACCCCGGAAGACTCGGTGGTAAGCCTGGCGTCATCTTAATTGACGGCCCGGAGAGTGGTGGATCACTCGGTCCGACGGCCGGGACGAGTCCGAATATCAACACTGACCCTGGGTCTTGCCGAGAATTTGGTCAATTGATAGCGTATTAAACTTGTTGCGACTCCTTTGAAGATGCATTGGCATCGGTTTACTTGTCAATCTTTCCCATCACCGCCATGGCGTCCACCGATATCCAGCCCCAAACAGCCACCGACTCCGTCAGCGAGAGCAACAGAAACCTTTCGCTCGTTTTCGGGCCCGACAAGCCCGAGCTTCTAATCAGATCCCTGGGGTCGTTGATTGATGAACAAGCCGAGACATTTGGCGCCCGGTGCGCTGTGTCAGTACCATGGCAGTCGACTCGACTCTCGTATCAAGATCTCGCGGATCGCAGCAAAGTGATGGCTAAAGCTATGCTTACGATGGGCTTACGACATGGAGATCGTGTTGGAATCATGGCTGGCAACTGTTATCAGTACATTGAGGTTTTCCTCGGTGGTGCGCGCATCGGGTGTCCAGTTGTTGTCATCAACAATACCTTTGCCCCTGATGAGCTGGAAGCGGCTATACATCGCGTCAGTGAGTATTTCCGCCAACCCGAGTAACTATGCAGACGTTGACTTTTGCAGACTGCAAGCTCGTTTTCGTTGCTTCCACGATCGGCCATCGGACTCTCGAGGACCATGTCAATCGACTGCTTCACCTCCACAAGCCAGAGTCGCTATTCGCACGATTGGTCATCATAGGGGACCTGATAGGAGATCCTAAGAACAAGATCAAGCTACAATCTTACGAGGATTTTATCAGTAGCTCTGAGTCGAGAGTGGCTGAAGACGATCTCCGGGAGGCCGAGACGCAGGTTTTGCCGTCTGATGTGCTGAACTTGCAATTCACATCCGGTAAGAGAGCATATGTAGTCTAGGTATAGGAGCTCGAAGCTAACAACATAAATCAGGAACTACGGGCATGCCGAAAGCAGCCTCCTTGACACACATGTAAGGACGGAAAGCTGCTGATCCTCTCTTATTACTTTGGCTGACATTTCTGGACTAGAAACCTAATCAACAACGCAAGATTTAACGGAAACTCGATGCGACTAACAAAAGACGATGTCGTCTGCTGTCCTCCGCCACTATTTCACTGCTTCGGCCTGGTCATGGGATTCCTGGCCGCTTTCTCCTACGGCAGCACCATCGTGTTCCCATCTGACACGTTTAACGCCCAAATGGTCATAGACGCAGTCGTCAGCGAAAAGGCCACTGCACTTCTTGGAGTGCCTACCATGTTCATCGCTGAACTTGATGTTCTTGAGAAGAGCCCTGTCAAGATCAACACAATACGGACTGGCTTGGCCGCGGGGTCTCCAGTTCCCAAGGTTCTCATGGAGAAGCTTCGAAAACGGATGAACATCCAAGGCATGTTGATTGCTTATGGAATGACTGAGACGAGTCCTGTCACTTTCATTACCTCTCTGGACGACTCAGAGGAGAAGATGCACAACTCTATTGGTCGAGTCTTTCCACATACCGGTGCTAAAGTTATTGACATTGATGGAAATATTGTCCCGATTGGAGTGCGTGGTGAAATCTGCACTAGTGGTTTTGCTCTGCAAAGGGGCTACTGGGAGGATGAGGTAAAGACGGCGGAGGTGATGAAGAGCGACGAGAATGGGATTCGCTGGATGCATACTGGAGACGAGGGATACATCGATGAGGAGGGATACGGACACATCACTGGTCGCATCAAGGATATCATCATCCGCGGTATGTATCGCCGAAATCAACATGAATCCGGAACTGACAGTTTGCAGGCGGTGAGAATATTTCACCAAACGACATCGAAAACCGTCTTCTCTCACACCCCCACATTGCCGAATCCTGCGTCGTCGGTCTTGAAGATTACAAGTACGGCGAAGTGGTCTCGTGCTTTCTGAAAGCCTCGTGCCATCCCGAAAAGAGACCATCAGACGACCACGTTCGCGCTTGGGTTAGGGAGCATCTAGGCCGCGTGAAATCCCCGGAGCACATCTTCTGGATGGGAGATAAGGAAGTCGGGCATGATCTCCCCAAGACAGGAAGTGGAAAGTATCAGAAGCATCTGATCCGCGATATCGGGAATGCGATTTTGAAGAAGAAGAGGATTGGCGTGACGGCAAGGCTGTGATGGAGATGAGCTTGTATATGTATTAGATGCTAAGATCAGTGGTATTTATAGACTCTTTGTCACTTGTATCCGTAAACAATTAAGTCGTATAAAAAATGCGTGAAAGTGTCGAGCGTATGAGATCAAGTTTCAGAAGCCGAGCAGCCCGGTCCAGGGATATCTTCGATCTTCTAGCTCAGTTAACCCGTCAAGGGCTGGGCTTCAGCTATGATAAAGAACACATTGCCCACATATCATAGCAGCATTATATCCCAATTAACATAGTAACCGTTTTTAAAACTTCTGCTACCCAGAGTAAAAGTAGGGATATCTTCAATCTGTTGCAATCGCCATTTGAATTAACTCTTGACCCTAAGCATACTCCCTCCTCAGTACCTAGCCGCGTAGTTGAGTCTCAATCCCCTGTTCGAAATGCTTCTGGCGGTTGTGCAACTTTCCCTAACCCCGGTTCGCCCTTGACTTCCTAGCGAAAACGTTGGACAAGTCTCCAATCGGAATCTGGACCGGGAAGTCCAAGATGGCAAACATCATAGCGACGAGGATGTACCAACCAGCGAAGCAGGTCACGAATAGGCATGCACCCGCAGCCTATAGAGACTTGTTAGTAAATAAAGAGATGAATACTGGGGTTGAATTACCTCGCATAGACGCAGCGCAAGCTTTGTGTTACCTGGATAGTCCTCGGCCCAAACCCAAAAGGCTCCAGTCAAGAGGCATAGGGCTGGCACCAGTGTCGCAAAGATGATAACAAAGACAACGTTGGTTCTCAGAGAGCAGACGAGATAGACTAAAGCCAGAATAACCATGCCCAAGAGCCAGAAGCCTGCGCGTCCTGTCAGTATCGCGTCTTGCTCATAGACATGGATAGTGCAGAACTTACCTAGGCTGGCGTTGAACCCACGGGTGGCCAAACCTTCTGCGGACGACGTGGCATCGGCAGGTGCGTAGAAAGAGAATGCGCCAAAAGAAGGGTTTAGAACACCCCCAAATGAAAGCCAGAAACAACCAAGGCTGCAGAAGACGATGGATGGGAAGCTGTTGCCGAGAACCCACTCAAGAATGCCGCTAAGCACCATGAGAAAGCCACCCATGAAGAAGTAGACAGGGCTAGCAATGATTAGAACACCAAGCTGGATATGAGGGGGGTGAGCTTACATAGCAGCTGCACCGAAGCTACCAGAGCCTCTCCAGCCCATGAGACTGCATGACAAGGGCATCAGAGCAACGAGGAATCCAATGAGTCCCCTGGGATAGGCGTTAGCTGGGACCAGGTGTATGAAAGGGCAGACTGACATTGGGGTGGGGTTTCCAAAAGTGTTTCTGAGATTTCCTTTGACGGCGTTGGGGGGAGAGAGGTAGAGCTTCTCGAATAGTTCAGAGCTCATCGTGATGTTTGCAGCGGAGCGAACACTCTCAATGGCGTTCAAATGACCCCCTTCGAGGTCATTGCCATTCTCGAACTTTTCGGTAGTCATTGTAGGTAAAAGATTGATGTAAAATGAAATGATTGATTAAGGTGCTGCTCTGGGATTGTGCGCGTCTTCTTGGGCCGACCATCACATTTTTATAGACCCCTAACATTGGCTTGATCGTCTCAGCTGAATGCAATCTTGAACGAACTGCCGTGTCTCCAATAACCTCGATTCCGATCTCTTGAACGGGAGTTGTAAACATGCCGCTCCCGTTGACAGTTGAGCCAATCATTTCACAAGCCGACCTCAAGACTGGTCGGAACCCGGGTTTTTGTCACCCGGATTATGGTGAAGCTAGAGCAGCTATCTCAAAGATCGACAAGATAGTCTCAAAGTTCATTGCTGACATGGCAGCATGGACAACTGCCGGGTAATTAACAACCGATCAGAACCTCAGAAGAACCGAAAACCTGGGGAAGAAGTGTGAGTGCTCGGGAAACGGCCAATGGTCACGGTCCATGACTTCCCCGGAGCTAAGAACCCAGCTTCTCCTAGCGTCGGAACGTCGTGTCTTTGCTCGGGAAGCCGCCAATCCAGTCGTTTCTCGGCTTTGTCGGACCGCTCATTGCCTGGTCGGGAAATATTTGGAGAGGGGGAATGGATAGTTGGGGAAGTACCTAGGGTAGCTTGGCAATTGGTTTGAGGGGATTTGTTGAAATTGTTACCGCGTACGGTTCGCTTCTGGGTGTGATGTCGATAGTAGATCTCGTGCTGTGCTGTGCGTTGGGATGAATTGTTTGATATGCGTGTACTATCTTATCACCGATAGTTGGGCCTTGGCATTGGGAGGAGAGGTCAAGTTGTCAAACCTGTCAAACCTGTCAAAATACCCTGGATTACCCAGTTAGGAGCGCCTCTTTCACATGGGCCGATAGGTAGCACTAGGCGCTTCTGCCTCGGTCACCGCGTGGAGATGTCCTCAGCCGCGGGCTTCTAAAACATACCTCATCACTGTCGATCTTGTAGAATAAAGTGTAAACTGACATGATACCCCGCGTGCATGGATTATGCCGTGACCTGTGCCAGGACATGCCTCGAGGATCACCAACAACTTTCGCGGTGATATACTAACTGTAAGGTAACCCTGACTTTCAGAGCGGCTCCGAGAACGGTTTCAGCTCCTGACTCAAGCCAAGTTCCCTTTTGGTATCTCGACAAAATCATCATTACACCCCCAGATATCCTAGAATCATAGTTGCGCGATTTGTCCCTGGATATCTCCGCAAGAAATACAACCTGTTGGATCCGGAACCGTAGCCAACAGCGTCGTCAGTCACAGCTGAAAACCAGGCGGCAGTGAAGATCATGCAACGTGGTAATGGCGCCATATCTGTCCTACGAGTGGCTGGAATGTGCCGACGCAAATTGTTTGATATGTAGCCGCAATCTATCGGATGTGGTACAAATGCCCATGTCTCAGTGGTCCGCTACCCGACACACACGCACTGCAATATGTGAATGCACGCAATCTCATTCATGTGTGGTGAACCCCTTCTTTATCTCGGTCCACTGCGGCTCCGTCGTGAATTATGGTCTATGCTTGCCAATACAAGGTATCTGACTCAATTTATAAGGGGTTTGGCTGTGCTTCAGCGGGGTCGTGATCCTTGCGCTTGGCGGTTGAATCCCATGGGGCAATTGGGGTAACCAGATCATCTCATTATTGTGGACTCGCAAGGAGATTCCCTAGACGAGAAAATCAACTCATGCCAGAATGAAGAGTAGAATTCCCGAGGCCAGCCTGACTTGCCTCCCTCGGGATCGCCACCCGGCCTCCCCGCTCCTCGTCGGAGTTTGTTTCAGGGCGCCAAGCCAATGAGGCCTGATCCTAGTTTACTAACCCCTCTCAGTGGAGGAGCAGCCATTTCGTTTGCCTTTTTGGCACGCACTCGGGTTAGAAAGCCTATCTAGCCCGGCCTCGGACCGCTCCCTGCACTCCGCATTGGCCATGATTCGCTCGGCGCAGGTGGCGTTGAGACATCAAGTGCGGGGGGACTAGGCGGGAGACGATGGCTGTGATGGTTGATATAAAGAGGGCTGCGAGGGAGTGAGGAGTTGATCTGCAAACTCAACTTTCCCATCTTCTCTACACATCCTGCATTTCACAATGACTACCAACGGGACCAAGAAGCCTTCCCTGTCCTTTACGGACAACTTTGTCCAGTACATTGACGGACAGGTCACCCCGACTTCCAAGACTCGCCATGGCATCAACCCCGCTACGCTCGAGGCCAAGCCCGAGGTTCCCGTCGCTACTCAAGAGAACCTCGACAAGGCTGTAGAGGCTGCCAAGCGTGCCTTCAAGAAGTGGTCCAAGGTTCCCGCAGAGGAGCGACGAAAGGCTGTTCTTGCCTGGGCGGATGCCATTGACGCTGTCAAGGATGAGTTTAGAGATCTTCTCACTTCAGAGCAAGGAAAGCCTGTAAGACACGTACTCTCTTCGAGGGTTTCACAACGCTAAACATGGCCAGATTCCCCAAGCCCAAGGCGAAGCTGATGCCGCCGTTGCCTGGATCCGAGGAATGGCTGGCATCGAACTCCCCGAGGACGTCATTGAGGATAGTGAAGCTCGCACAATCGTGACCCGATACACCCCTCTCGGTGTCGTTGCCGCCATAATACCCTGGAACTTCCCCCTCATGCTTGCCACAGCCAAGATTGCCCCCGCTCTGCTGACCGGTAATGTCATCATTGTGAAACCCTCGTAAGTTGCACAATATTTCGTGTCACTATGCTACGTGTTGCTAACCAAGGCAAAGTCCCTTCACACCTTACTGTGGTCTCAAGCTTGTTGAGCTTGCACAGCAGTTCTTCCCTCCTGGTGTGGTGCAATCGCTTAGTGGCGATGACAACCTTGGTCCTTGGATCACTAGCCACCCTGGTATTGACAAGATTTCCTTCACTGGATCTACTCATACTGGAAAGTTGGTCCTTCAGAGTGCGAGCAAGACTCTGAAGCGAGTGACTCTTGAGCTGTAAGTCCACCTTCTAATGATCGAGTAAGCTCAGCTAATCGGTTTAGTGGCGGCAACGACCCTGCTGTCGTGTTCCCGGATGTCGATGTGGACAAGGTTGCTGAGAAGGTAACATTGCACTCTTCTGAAAAGTGAACCCAATACTGACAAAATGATAGGTTGCTTTCTTTGCCTTCCTCAACTCGGGCCAGATCTGCCTCAACCTCAAGCGCATCTACGTGCATGAGTCCATCTACAGTGAGTTCCGAGACGCCATGGTCAAGCACGTCAAGGCCTACGCTCTCGGCGATGGTTCCAAGCAAGGCATCAGCCACGGTCCCCTGCAAAACTCGATGCAGTACAACCGCGTCAAGACCTTCTTCGACGATATTGAGAAGCAGGGTTGGAAGGTTGCCACTGGTGGCAAGATGAACCCTGAGCCTAATGGTGGATACTTTGTTACTCCTACTATTATTGATAACCCTCCTGAGAAGTCGAGGATCGTTGTTGAGGAGCCTTTTGGTAAGTTACATATCTGCTGGCCTATCTCCCTGAGGGCTTCACTAACCTATTAACTCAGGCCCCATTCTCCCCCTCATGTCCTGGAAGACGGAAGAAGAAGTCATCGAGCGCGCCAACGACACACTCCTCGGCCTCGGCGCCTCAGTATGGTCCAACGACATCAAGAAGGCCTCACGCGTCGCCCGGGAACTCGACGCCGGCACAGTCTGGGTCAACAACCACTTTGACATTACACCCATGGCTCCCTTTGGTGGACACAAGGAGAGTGGTATTGGCACTGAGTGGGGTGCCAACGGTCTCAAGGGCTTCTGCAATGTGCAGACTCTGTTTGTTAACAAGAGCATTGTGAGCTAGATAGATTCCTAAAAGCGACTCAATATCAAGAACAGTTTACGATTTAATAGTAGTCCCATGTGAACGGTTATATGTGTACGCTTGAGTTCGGATGTAGTGCGTAATGTTGATACCTATGTCACTATACTCCTACGTACCTCCACGTATGGTCGAATATTGTTTGTTAGTAGGTAATAATTGCTTGCCAATTCAACCTCAACATCTTTCAAGATAGATTTTAGCTCTTTGTCGCCAACCCAGGTGACCAGTTCCCGCTACAATCACTCTCTCCTTGCCTTATCACCTCCGCCATCTCTGATGTTTGCCTACTTCTCCCAGGCTTCGTAACGGAGAACGAAAGAATAACAAATGACTGATCTGCGATAAGCTTAGGCATTGATGCATGGAAACCCAACGAATGTGCAAACATTGGCCGAGTCTAATTCGCCGCCCTTTTTTGATCAGAGATGGTTATTGGGCACGCCAAGCCTCCTCGAGGGATTATGGCAGCGGATGTGGACTTGGAGCCCGTACGGTATAATCCTTGGCTTTCCACCGGGGATATTCTCATTTTCTGCTGCTCCATCACTTCTGCCCTACCTCCAAGCCAGGCCCTTCCAGAATTACAACTCACGACGAAATCGAGACACAACTGCTATGTCGGGCTTCAAGAGTTCTAGTTCTTGGGGCTTTAGCCTCTCGGGTTTGGGGACCGCTCTTGTGATGATTGGCCGCCTGGCTCTCGTCGACGTGGCGAACGTCATTGGGGCGTTCGGCAAGTTGGCCACAGCCATATCTCAAGCCCTGTTGGATTGGGCAAGACTCGGCTACTCGGACCCCAAGTTCTCTACTGAGATCATCAGAACCGACAGAGCGCAGGAAGGCCTCGACCCCAACACATACTATGTAGCCTTATGCGGCTCGTCTGGCAGCGGCAAATCATCCCTCCTCAATGCCCTGAGGGGGTTACGCAACAACCATCCAGACGCAGCGAGTGTAGGAACTACGGAGACGACACTTGAGAAACGAGAGTATCCAGGTGCTGCCTGCTTCGACCATCTCTCCCTCGTCGACTTTCCTGGGGCCGGAACTCAACGTGTGCCTGCCAAGGGCTACTTCAAGGGCAACAACCTCCACTGCTACGACTGCATCCTCATCATTTGTGGCGAGAGATTTGGTGAGGTAAGTAGCTTATGAGGTTACTCCCCCGGAGGCACACCTGACAGTTGGTTGCTCCTTAGATCGAGATCGCCCTCGTGCAAGCATGCATCGTCCAACAGAAGCGGTTCGCCATTGTTCGGTCGCGATCCGACGAGGCCATTCCTCGAGTCGAAGACGACAAAGATGTATCATTCAACGAAGCCAAGAAGATTTACATGGAGAACGAGGTCGCGGCTATTGCAGAGGAACTTAGGCGAACATCGCTACCCGGAGAAAACATAGCTGAGCTACTTGGGTTCTTCGTTCTCGTCAACAAGAACACACTCAGAGTTTTGACTATGGCGCCGCCTTACGATTGGCCAAAGCCAGCAAATGAAAAAGAAATCCACGAGCGCAGACTCCTTCAGTTTCTGGGTAAGGTCGGTGTAACGGATGAGCACTTGGCTTGAGTCGCTGAAGAAGATTGAGTGATGGCATGGTTGCGTTGGAACTCTTCAACATGTGATAGTCAACGATTGCAGAATATGGCAAGGACGGTCGTTTTGGAACGCGTTCTCACTAAGGACATTCGTTTCAGTCTGAGCCAGGAGTAGGAAGTGAATGTATAGGACGAAACACTGGCTCGCAGACTATGCGTCTGGCCCATCTTCCTTGGGGTTTGGTAGACCCATCGCTCCGCTATCTCTGCTCCTCTAAGCACGTCAATCTTAACCCTTGTCTCTTCACCAACCCGCAACCCAGCCACAATGATACACCCAGCACAGGCAAATTGGGGCTACATGAGCCCTCTTTCGGCCCCTCTCAAGTATGTCTTACGCCCTGTAGGCCTGGCAATTGATCTCAGCGGCAAATGCGGCATCGATGTTCAGCCTAACAGTCAGCCAGCCTCTTGGCACCGCCACGGCGGGTAGGCGTACTCAGTGATGGTGAAAGCAGGCTTATAACGATATTTCATTCCGCGTTTCGCGCTATTGAGAAATGATCATTGAATAAAAGGGTTAAGATCGCTATACCAATGCTTTACCGCATCCAAATCGACAGCCTGATTTGAATTGTCCCTCTTCAATATACGTGTCCAAGCAAATACGTGGTAGTTTATCCTTCTCGGACAATTCTTTTCGATCCTGCGACTAGCATGAGCAACCAAAATCAAGATCCCGGTCCTACGGTGGCTTCACCTCCAGCAGCTGAACCCTACGACTCCCTGCCAATTCCACCCGACTCCCAGTTTATCCGTGTTCTCGACATTCCAGCAAAGAGCTCGGCCGCCAATGACAGCCTGACTGGCTCCCTTAGGATTGTTGATCTCAAGGACTCACCCAAGTTTACCGCTCTCTCATACGTCTGGGGCAAGGCCTCAGGCAAATCAATCAACTCCAATGGATACGAAGTCAAGATCACAGATTCTTGTTTCGAAGCCTTGTCTTCTCTGCGAAAAACCCTGGGTGGTCTAACTGTCTGGGTCGACGCTATCTGCATCAACCAGACAGACAAGGACGAGAAGTCTGCCCAACTGCCGCTAATGGAACTGATTTACACCTGGGCGGAAGCCGTCTATATCTGGTTGGAGCCTGGTAACGAAAACATGACGGAAGCCCTGGAATACATGAGATTGGTATCCCAACATCACTTATTTTCTGTTGGTGTTCCATGGAGGAGTGAGAAAAGGACAATGGCGACCTTTGAAGAGAAAATTCGGTTTTACGCGAGCGCTCTCACAATGTCATCTTTCAAAGAATACATCAATGAAGACAGCTGGTGTATGTGCACTTGTGCTATGCTCATGTATCAAGATGCTAATAGCTTATACGTAGTCCCAATTAAACGCCCTGTCCCTAAGCAGCCTAGATATGAATGCACTGCCTTCTTGGAACTCATGGATCAAGACTGGTTGAAAAGGTCTTGGACCTTCCAAGAATTCGTCTTGGCTTCTAATCCTACTCTGGTTTTCGGACAAGTTCACGTTCCCTGGACACATTGGTATCAGGCACTTACCTGGACCCGTGACGTGCAACGTCCATACAGAGAGAGCACGTCTTGGAGAGCCCTCGAGAAATGGATGTCGCTCTCGAGTGTCTGGCAAACTCTTCCCCGGCCTTGTTCCTGGAACGGGAACTGGTTTCGCATGGTTCCAGACAGGGCAGGGGGCTTCAAGATCGGTTGTTCTGTCCAAGGGTATTTCCACACACTGGGGACGGGCAACCTGAAGCTCCTTGCATCATTGTCTAGCTTTATACTTCATACGTTAATTGTCCGGTATCTCCCTGACCTCATGAGAGTGTCAGGGTGTGCCGTGGCTAAGTCGGGGCCTAAGGCATTTCATGCAGTATTGAAGGCCTGTACTTCAGGAATATGTTTTCTATGTAGCTTATTTGTTTTTGTCTGGTTTTCTATCACCTACTATGGCAAGACATTTCGATCCTCGGAGGACAGAGGCTGTCGCCGCCAGCTAGGGGACCTTGAGCAGCGGAAATCACGGGATCACCTTGTCGGGCTTCTGCGAGCTATTAGAGAGCGTGAGTGTAGCTTGACAGAAGATCGGGTATTTGCTGTTGGAGCTATCTTGCCGCGGCTGGGTATCAAGCCACCTACGTCCAACTACAGAAAGTCAACAGCAGCAATCTACCAAGACTCTTTTGCGAGCTTGGTAGAACGGGATCCGTCTTTCATTAGCTTGCTGATTGACACTGGCTCGTCTCTTCCCGGGGCGCCCAGCTGGGTTCCAGACTGGAGTACGGTAGTTGATAGAAGTTGGCTATCGTCTTCCTACATGTACGATTCCATCCTGGATCCAACATGGTCTGGCAAGCAGTTGGCGGTGTCGGTTTCCGGTGGCAACCTTTTGGTACAGGCAGCCTTCTTTGGAGCTGCGATACACTGCACAGGCCCATTCCACACGGTTCAGTTTGACTCTGTGGGAGATATCAAACCTGAGATGCAGAGACGCCTTCTACACAACACCCAAGCATTGTGCCAATGGGTTATGAGGATCAGAAAAGACAAACTCGTGGATACTGAGTATGACTCTATCCCAAGGGGTATTCTCAGCACGCTCAAAGGATGCCACCTCGGACATGGCGATATTAATCGAGATTTACGCCAGGTTTTCAATAAGGTGTACGCGATCATGAGACGCCATTGCGCTCAGCTGGAGCAAGAGTTGGAAGAGGCAACCGGGATTATGCCGGCTACGCGAGCAACTCTCGACGACTTGGCTGCCGAGAAGCCATGTCTGTATTTTGTTATCAAGATGTGCAATGAACTAGCAGGCATACGAGGTTTGTTTCTGGACAATACTGGACTTATGGGCTCAGGGTCTGGCAATATGCTCGATGGAGATATGATTGCTCTCGTCAAAGGGGTTGCCGCGCCCATCATTCTTCGGCGGCAAGGGGACGGTGTTCAGGGAAATACATACACCGTTGTTGGGCCAAGCTTTATCGAAGGCTTGATGAACTTGACTGTGAGTCGCCTGAAAGAAATGGGCTTGGATTGGGAACGGGTTGACTTGGTTTGAAGCTGTACTCAAAATGGGGAATGGTTTTGGTGTGTGTGCTCGATATCTGTCTCAAGCGGCAGGGCATCTAAAAACTCGTAAAGAAAATCCTCTTCTCATATCAGTGGACCATCATCGGCCTATGCGCCTTGGTTGTAGCCCCATTTTGGGTAGCTTACCTCTGCCTGCAGTTAATCTGTGATTGCATCTGACAAAGGGGAAAGTGAATACGAACATCACCGAGTTCCCCCATTGGCGTTTGTGTGAACTATCGACGTGTGTCACAAGACTTTTTTCTAGAGAGAACTATTGATAGATGTATGGAGGCGGTTTGATCATATTGTTGCTTCCTTGCGGTAAACAAACAGGCACTTGCTTTGGGCGCTGTTCATCGTTGGCGGTTCAGGAGGCCGGTGGGCCGCCATTGTTGATGCCTGGCACTGCTCGCCAGATGCAGACGGGAACTGTTTTCTTTCTTCGACCTTAGCCTCACTCACCCGCCGAGACCTAGCATCTTCGAAATCCTCCCCACCTTTTCGGTTCACAGATTGCCTTCCATCATCTGTCACCAACCGCAAAGATGGATGCCAAAGACGTATCGGAGAGCGCCGTGTTCATCTCGTTCATGAACCAGATCCAAGATGCTGCGGCAAAGGCGATCGAGAGAAAGGGCGAGCTGCCAACAGATCACCTTTCTCAGAAGCAGGTCATCGCCAACTACACCAGGCAGGTCCTCGATTCTACGGCCCGTTTCAAGAGAGACAATGCAAAGACCTTGATCACCACTACCCAGATTCCCCGTGCCTATCCTCCTTGCGTCGTCTCTGCTCAGGATCTCGATCCAATCAAGATCACAGAGATGAGACTTGAGACTCACCATCGCGGGAAGAAGATCACCATGCGTGTGCTCACCCAGCCTGATCGGCTTCTAGGTATCGTCGCCATCGCAGAGGATGAGCATGGAACGGCGGTGCTGCTCCAGCTCTACCAGCAGCCCGGTGAAGACCTAGTCCCCCAGACCGAGATCCTTTCTCCTGGCAAGATCTGCATCATCAAGGAGCCTTACTTCAAGCAGACTACACGAGGTCCCTACTCTGTCAGAGTTGATCACCTTGGCGACATCATCTGGCTGAACTATGGGGATGAACGCATTCCCTCGCGCTGGCAGAAGTCTGCTGCCGCTTTGAACACTGACAGTACGGAAGTTCGCACACAGGGCAACCATGCTGTGCAGAATGAGAACTGGGCAGTGGCACAGCGACTGTATGAACCCCAGAGCCGCTCTCTGCTCAGAACATTAAACTGACCTTGTATCAGGTACACGACTGCCATCCGAGTGGCAAAGACACCTGAGGAAGAGCAAATTGCCTCCCTGAACCGCTCCCTGGCAAACCTCAAGCTCGGCCGATCCGAGAAGGCGCTGTCGGATGCCATCCAGGGTCACGATCCCGCTGCCCCAACTGACAAGTCTCTATTCCGCCTTGCTCGAGCTCTGTACGAGCTCAGAGACTTTGCTCAGTGCAAGGTCAAACTCGAACTGCTCACAGAGTCGTACCCAGACAACAAAGCCGTCGGCCTAGAGATGAAGCGTGTCAAGGCCAGACTCAACGAACAGCAAAAGGGCGAGTACAACTTCAGCCAGATGTACAAGCAGGCTAAAATGAACCCTCCCCTCATCGACTGTGCCGACTTCACCTCTCTCGTCGAAGTACGCACATCTCCCGGCCGCGGCCAAGGACTCTTCACCACCAAGGCCGTCTCTGCTGGAGACATGCTTCTCTGTGAAAAGGCATTCGCGTACAGCCATGTCCACGAAAAGGATGATTCAACTAATCTTTTGATAAACTTGGACACACAGCGAATGACTATCGGTGGCCAGGCGACCCTCTTGTCGCAGATTATGCAGAAGCTGTACCACAACCCAGAGATGTCTCGTGCGGTCCTTGATCTCCACCATGGGAACTACCAGCCTGTCACGGTCTCGGAGTGCGATGGAGCTCCTGTCGTTGACGCGTAAGTTGCGCCCAATATCAATGAGTAACCATTAACGACATGTCAGCTTCCTGGTCGAGAGAATCATTGCCCTCAACTCCTTCGCCACTCCCCGAACCAGCCGCGATTCGTTCGAAATGTCGATTGCCGGTATCAGCGGAGAAACAACCTTTGGAACATGTGGAATCTGGCTTCTCGCCTCCAAGCTCAACCATTCCTGCGTCGACAACTGCCGCCGCTCTTTCATCGGAGACATGCAGATCATCCGAGCCACCAAGGATCTCCCCGCCAATACCGAGCTTCACTTCGTCTATCGCTCCCCCGAGCCGATGGAATCATACCAAGATGTTCAGAAGGGTCTTTCCAACTGGGGATTCATGTGCAGTTGCGAGCTTTGCCTTGAGAGAAAGGCCACGTGCGATACAGTCCTTCAGAAGCGTCGGGAGATCGACCAGGACTTGAAGCGTCTCCTTAGCAACCGCCGATTTTCCCAAGTCACCAAGGCTCGCCAGTTGCTCAGCAAGCTCGAGCAGACCTACGTCGGAAAGGAACCTGACGCGCCTAAGCTAGAGCTCTCGCAGCACCGCATCGGCCTAGGTTGTCATCTCGTGGAGATGAAGCAGCCAAAGTTGGCCATCGAAATGATTGTCAAGGGTCTCGAAGCGCTGGGGTGTGTCATCATTGCGTGCCCTCCCGGCAAGGAGTTCACTCGGCCTAAGCTTGAGGTGAAGAAATGGGGCATCACGACTTGCCATCTGCCATGGGCTTTCCTTCAGCTCTACCAGGCATATGAGAGCATTGCTCCTGAGCTGTGCCAGGTTGCTCGTGGGTACCTTGAGATGTCCTATTGCATTGCCGTCGGAGAGAAGGAAACATGCCGGGAGACGGTCCCAGGCTTGTTCTGAAGGGAGACGCGCCTTCGTGGCTGACTGACACGGAGCTTGGGAAGGCTTAGGGGTTGCAGTCGCAAGAAGCCAGGAATGACGCCAGGGGTTAGAGGATGTTCGGCGTGAACCTGCTGCACCAAGGCTTCGAATCGATCCGTATCAACACGTCTGACGATGAAGCGAGAAACAAAGGTTTTTGGTGAGTGGATGGTTGCGCGTAAGGCACTCTGCGCAGTGGGTTTCACTTGGGTTGTCAGGGAGTCGCATGGGGACTGTTATCAGTGGACTGGTCATTTTGGAAGGAGGATGGACGTAATAGTTGATGATCAAGGTGACGTGTAAGAACTACCAGTACTCTAGAGTACTCTCAGGCCGGGCGCCTCTTGCTACTATCAACCCTCTGGGTCCCTTTACATCTGCTCCCCTCTACCCCGTGACTGAGTCCAGCTAAGGGGGTTCGTCCCAAGCACATCTAGAGCCTAACCTCAACTACCTGCCCTCCAGAAACAGTGTCCGAACCCCGGCCAGCCGTGCCGACGTAGACACTCCGACCATCCTTGCTCAAGGCCGAGCTAGTTGGGCTCGCGAGCACGCCTTCCAGAATCGTGACACGCTCCCCATCTGGAGTAATCTTGACAAGCGAGTTTGTCCAGAACGCGACGTAAGCATTGCCGTGCTTGTCAATGACAAAGTCGTCCGGGGCGGCGGCTGAGCCTGCGGGAAGTTGGGCAATGATTTCGCCATCTCCAATCTTGTTGCCAAACTGGTCAATCTTGACACGCCCAAAGAGCCGACGGGCTGTGTTGGTGAAGTAGAGATGGTTCTTGAAGATCTTGATACCGTTGACGCCCAGCGGGTACGAAGGGTCAGGTACGGGTGCGAGTAGATCATCTTGGAAAACATCTTCGGCAGTGCGCTTCTTCGTGTCGATGCGCACAATCCTTCCTCTTGTAGAGTCTGCGCCGAGAACGATGTGCTGATGACGAGGAAGGGTGGTGATGCCATTCACGGGGCCAACGTTTGTCCCTTCGATGATGACGTCAACTGAAGCAGCGTCGCCAGCAGATTTCCCACTCTTTTCGAAACTGACGAGCGCAATCTTCATGGACCCATTGTGGAACTGAGCCGTTTCCGTGTCGAGGTTGCTTCCGGCCACGGCATAGATGTCTTTGCCGACGGGGGTAATTCCAGTGAGTGCGTTGACTCCTTCGATACTGGCGACAACGTGGGCTTGGGGATTCTTTTGGTAAGGGTCCAGCGAGTAGATTTGGCCTTGGCTGATGGTGTTGAGAATGAGGTTTCCGTTAGGTCTCACGGCGAGGTTTTCGACAAACACGCCCGGAATCTCAACCAGTTGTCGGACGCGAGGCTGGGAGCTTGCGTTAGGGACGATTGGGGACGCTGAGATGCCAGTGAGAAGGCTAGCGAAAGTGACTGAAAGTGTAGGACGCATGGTGACTGGTTACTCGGGCCTTTGACGAGATCGAGATGTCCGAATGCTGTTGTGATAATGCCTTGAGGACATCATCCAAGAATGCTTAACTTATATTCCAGAATTCTGCCCTCAGCTTCCTCCACGCATTGCGTCCACGGACAATGCTGACAATTCTTCAACCTAGCCCAGGGTCTATCTCCTTGCTTAACTCCGCCTCCATCTGCGTCGCATGGTCAAATCCTTCGATGTTAACAAAGGGTTAAGCTTGGAAGCTCGGACACAAGTTCACCCCACATCAAATGCCTTTGGTTGCGGAGTTTGTCGCTTAAGCGCGAGAACTGGGTATGGCGCAAACTCCACGGAGTTGGCACATTAGTCAGGGGCATTCCGATATGTCAGCTTACTTCTTTGTGCTGATCTGCACGAACCAGATATCTTCTCACTCTTACGGGGGGTTTTTTTTTTGTTTGCTGCATCTCTTATTCAAAGATTGGCGGGATTGGCGGGATTGGCAAACGGGTTTATGCTTCGCATCGGCCCGTTTGCGGTTTGTCCTACTTCAAAAAACAAGTTTGCATTCACACGAGGAAGCCTGCGCTCCCGATCCCTGTCAACGCAGTATTCAACATGAAAGCCTGCTAAGTCAATGTGTTCTTTTTATAATTGGAACCCCAGCTCTTGATGGGTTAACTGAGCCAGAAGATCGTGCCTGCTAAGTCTATTGCAGTAGAGACAGTTGAGGCAATTCGGAAAATGAGGCAATACCGTGGGTACTTGTTGGCTGTATACACTCAGGCTGTAGGTTTGCTCCCTGTAATTAGCAGCCGTCTCTGGCAGTGCGGATACCTTCACATAAAGGCACGATGGCTGGCTACTCCAAGACAGCTGAACCGAAGAATGCCTACTGTAATAAGCAGTCAACTGTGCTGTGTGAAACGGCAAGGCGTCATCTATAGCGGTAAGCCTTATCCATTTGTTACTGTATTACTGAGGCTTGGGTATGAGGTTTAGTTGTGTTACAGCTGCGTTCTTTCCATTGAGTTGCCCCGAAGCCCCTACCCCTTGGTCTTGTGTAGCCTTTTTGGGAAGCTGTGTGAAACAGTCGCTACAGGCCAGCCTCAACCTGCCATGAAGCTACACCCTTAACAGGTTGATTTCTCCCTTCCCCGCCTCCAGTCTCTGTTCTTCACCAATTTGTCATTTGTCGCCTGCTTTCCTCCAAATCACCACTAGCGATATGGACCAGTGTCAAACAGCTGATGAGCACCGGCTTACAAGGCCAACAGGGGGCGAATCACACACGGTACCAGATCACAGCGGGCTGGTGCAAGAGAGCTGTGCCAGTAGTGGGGAAACACTCCCCGGAGCACCGTCCCAACAATCCGCCGAACTCGAGTCATTCATCTTGCCGCCCAAGTCAACAGCTAATCTGTCGTCCATGACTTGTGTCTCTCCAAGCCCTCCGCAGGCTCTCATACCAGGAACACCCAGGTTTCTCTTCAGAGTTTGGGCGCTGGAAGCGGCATCTCTATTGCTGAGCTTCTCATGCTTTATTGGCAAGTTCAAAGCCACAGCATCCTTGGCCCTGTCGCTAACTCGTTTGGTTCCTTGACACAGTTATCATCATCGTACTCGCCCATTTCGACCAGAAAGGCTTGCCCGACTGGCCCCTCAGCATTACTCTGAACTCGTTCCTCGCCTTCTTCACGACTCTGATCAAGGCAGCCTTCATGCTTCCCGTTTCTACCGCTATCAGCCAGATGAAATGGAGTTGGTTCCTTCAAGACCGACCGATATATGACTTCCATATCCTCGACCAGGCCAGCAGAGGGTTACACGGTTCTCTCATGTTGTTGTGGCGGGCTCGCTTCAAAAGCTTCATCTCGCTTGGGGCCGTTATCATCATTACGAGTACATTGACGTCTCCAATCACGCAGCTGGCCATCAATTACCCCATGAGAGATCGAGAAGTTCCCAGGGGTGCCTATACCAGGGCCATCCGGAAGATTGAGACACCGTCTGATTTTTTGCATTCCGCGACGAGTAAGGCCATTCATTTGGCAACAGTCTTGGACAATTCCTTACTCAACAACCCAATGCCCCCCCTCAAAGCCTTCTGTTCGACTGGTAATTGTACATTCGACAAGTATCACACACTGGGCGTCTGTGTAAAGCTGGCCAATATATCCTCGCATTTGAAGATCGAGAGCTTCAAGGGTCTAGAATCACAGGATCTACTTCCACTAGACCGCGAGTTTCTGACGGAAATGATGCTACCTCGTGGGATCAGGGTATGGAAGGCATCCCTTTCCGAGCAATTGTACCTCCTGCACTGGGACCCATTCCCCTTCATTACCGACATATTGAACGGAAGTGACACTTTTGGATTCCGTCATGAGATGATTTGCTACGGACTAGAATTGCTTCTTTTGTTCTGATTTTCACTACCCCAGTCTACAACGATACAGTCTCAACGGTGGCCGATATTCAATTGGCTAACGGATCCGTGAAAGTGAGTGACACATTCTGGCACGAGGCTTGGGAGGTCCTGTTCTATCTTTGCGTCCAGTCCTATCGTACCAAAGTCCAGATGGGTGTGGACGAGACTCGCATGGTAAGCTCGATAGCCATGCCAATGGAGCCAAAAGACAACGCCTTTTTGGATACCAAGTGTCCACCGATATTGTATGCCCCACAAGATGTACGCGAGAAAAACTCAGAGCGACGGAACGAGACATTATTCCTACGTGGCCCAGCGGAGAACTCGTCGCGTCCGGGCTCACACCCGGAAGCCTTTAGTGCGAATTATTTATCCCTGGAACGAACGGCAGAGGCACTAAGAGACGGCCTCACGAGTCGGGCGATGGGCAGGTACTACGGTTTGGGCTTTGCTAGTCCCTCCATCAGGGCCTCGAAGCCGACAGAGTTTCTTCGAAGTCTCTATACTGCTGTACTCTTTCACCCACAAAAATTACTCAACCATACCGCTCGTTACAACAGTCTCGACAACCTTTACCTGAATGTGGCGACTGCTTTATCTTCAGTGTGAGTCAAGTCAACCCTCTTCTTCGTTAACATTGTCGATCTGGACCATACACTCACACTTGGCTGCTGCCTCTGAATGTTAGTATACGACGAGCCGACCTCAATTATACAGAACACGGCTTCAACGTTACGGGAAAGGCCTGGACATCGGAGGCATACGTACAAATCCAATGGGGATGGCTTTCATTTCTCGCGTTTGAGCTTGTTCTTGCGGCTAGCCTCTTGGCCATGACTATCGCCACTCAGAAGGGCAACCAAAAAGCAGACCGAGAAAATTACGACATGGTTTGCGACCTGAAGGATTCTTCCCTAGCGGCTTTGGTTGCACTTGACAGCGACTGTCGAAGCGTGATGGGAGATGGACTTGTTCCAGTAAAGGAGTTGGAAAAGACGGCAAAGGAGGTACACATGAGGCTAAGTGGAAACAAACTCGTTACTGTGGCTGCTACCGATGACATTCAGGGAAATTGACGGCATCGTGGTTGGTATATAGGTCGATGTATTTTTGTGAGCACCGGTTAACCGCTCTTTTCTAAGGCGATGGCCTGAGAGATGAAATCCTTGACGGTCTGGCGAAATGTGCGATATTCGTATCCGAGTTCTCTACCTGCGGTTTCTCCGTCCAGACTCTTGCTCTCGTCGATAACCTGTTCTTCCAGCTTGATGACCTCCTTCAACTGCGGAAACTCTTCCACCATCAGCTGAGCTGCTAGTCCATATGAGAACTTTTCAGGCGCAGTCGGCGTGAACCGCTTTCCTCCAGCATCCTTCACCAGGAGAGCCTGAACATGGGCAGTGGCAAGATCGCGAACGTCAATCCAGAACGGAACCCTCGACACAGGCAGAAGAGAGACTCCTTTCGCCACAGACCAAAGCACCGCATTAGACTCATTGAGTTTGTCGATACCAGAGATTGGGTGTACAACAGGCCCAAAAGTCATTGGAGGACAAAGAGTAACAATATCAAAGTGTGGCTTGCGCTCCTCGACAAACTTCCAGGCTTCAAGCTCCGCAAACTTCTTGGAGGCTCGGTAGGCAACCACTGCGTCACTTGTGGGGGCAACAGATTCTTCATAAGTGAGGGGATTCCAGTCTTTGCTTGTGTACGCATAATTGCCTTTTCGTGCGATGTCGACGACAGATGCGAATGAGGAGGTGATGACCAAGCGGGAGATTGCACGGTTTGTAGTGCAGGCCTCTAGGATTGCTCGAACGCCGTTGATTGCGGGAATTATGAGTTCTTTCTCATTGTCGGTCGTGTCGTAAGTAAAAGGCTACATGTCAATCAGCTGCGTTCACCTGGCAAAGGTTCATTAGACAACGAACGCTGGCAACATGGATCACACCATCAACGCCTTGGACGGCCTCTTCCAGTCCGCCTGGATTCTCAAAATCCTGGATCTGAACAAACTCGAGATTTGCAGCATGCTGAGGGCGGGCCTTCTTCATTACGTTCCCCTTCTCTATCGACCTCGTAGCCCCGCGGACTTTAATGCCGCGTTCCAATAAGGTATCGACGACATGGGCGCCGATGAAGCCAGTGGCCCCCGTGACGAGGACGAACTTACTACCGCATATTGTGAGCTAAGGTGGAATAAGGATTTTGCTTGGGACTTACTGTGGCTCCAGAGACATGATATATGATGTCTATGCAGAATCAATCGAGCGTTGCATCAGTTCGAAGCTCTGTAAGCGGTTTTAAGGTATCCGCAACCCCCACACATTGGGGGTGGACCTCACCTCGGAGACTTCTCCAAGCCGATCTTTCAATCACCAACCACTCAAAGACGTGAATATCGCAGTATAATACATCTTATTATTGTAAATAGAACATTTTTTTCAATCTCATCACCGTGTGGGCTGGCTCCTAGCCTCTGTTGAGGAAGCCACGTAGCCAAGCAGCAAGGCAGCCATAGCTTTCCTTAAGTTCATAGCACAACGTACTTCGAACGAGGTGAACAAGATGATCTCTTCAGCCCTAGGTTCTTCATCCAACTTCTCTGTAAGCATGAGGATGACATTCTTACTCAGATGGCCCGGAAACGGCTATTAAAGCTTGAACTAAGACCGGAATGACATAATGATGATCAGCGACCAACATGACGCTCCCAGTCAAAATCCCACAATCCCAATCTCATACCATGCCCACTGATCTCATCTTACACTTCTTTGTGAATTACTATGGGCTATCTACTGTTAAGCGGAGGCACAGTTCTCATCCACGGCGAGAACGACAAAGTCACCGCCAGAAAGACAGATATTCTCATCGAAGGTGATCACATCTCCAAAATCGAGCCGGAAATCGAGCTTCCGAGTGACGCCGATATCATCGACTGCACTGACAAACTCATATCGCCTGGCTTCATCGACACGCATCACCATGTCTGGCAGGCACCTCTTAAAGGGCTCTTTGCCGATTGCACTTTTTCGCAATACTTAGGAATCAGTGGGTGCAATGTTGAAAGCGACTCAACCCATACTAAATCGTTCAGGAACTATTGCCAGCAAGTACTTTACCGCCGAGGATGGCTTCTGGGGGAACTTGGCTGGGTGCATGGAGGCTATTGATGCAGGGACGACGACAGTGCTCGATCATGCACATCTCAACTGGAGCCGAGATCACAGTAAGTCGTTGAACCTAATCATCGAGGCCCCCCTAAGCGTTTTCTAGGCAAGCATGCCATTGCTGGGACCATCTCTTCGGGAATCCGATCCATCTTCGCATACACTCCAACGGTTCGTCTTGACCAGCATGAACCACAACTCAAGTTCGATGACAAACCCGTAGCCGACTGGGTCATGGACACGTTTGAAGAGTTGGCAAAGTCTAGTCCTTTAAGCGAGAAAACCTCTCGAGTCAAACTGGGGTTCGGCTTCGACTACTACTTCCTCCCGAAGGACACAGTTATAGGACTGTTCAAAAAGGCACGGTCACTCGGGGCAAGCGTCATCACATCGCACTGCAACATCTTCAAGGGCGACATGTCTATCGGTGTGCCAGCTCTGCTCAAAAAGTATGGTCTTCTCGACGACAAGGTCGTGTTTGCACATGGCGGAAGTATCCGGCCGCAAGATGCAGAGTTTCTTCATGAAGCAAACGCCTACGTATCGGTTACACCAAGCACAGAACAATCCATGGCCGTTGGTCCTTCAGTTTGCTTCCGCGATGATCTACCTGGCATGGACAAGCTTTGTTCTCTCGGCATTGACTGTCATTGCGCAACCAGCTCTAGCATAGTCAACGAGATGCGCATGGGTTTGCAGTTTGCTCGTGGCCTTGACAGCAAGAAGCACCTCATGAAAGGCCAGCTTCCTGATGACGTGTTCCACAAGGTCGAAGAAGTGTACAACATGGGCACAATCCAAGGCGCACGAGCCCTAGGCATGGAAAAAGACATTGGCAGCATCGCCCCCGGCAAAAAAGCCGACCTAACCGTCATCAACGCCATGAGTCCCGCCATGTTTGGAGCGGCCCAACAAGATCCTATTGGCGCAATCGTATTTCACTCCGGCATCGGAGATATTGACACTGTCATTATAGACGGACGAGTACGTAAGCTTGATGGAAAGTTGCGTTGTGTGAAACAGTTTGAGTGGAAGGATGGAGGTTTCGTCAAGGGCAGTAAAGAGTTGGCCTGGCCTGAGGTCGCTCAAAGGACTCTGAAGATTCAGAAGCGGTTGGTGAAGAAGATTTTGGAGTATGATACTCGAAAGGTGGGCGATCAGGTGGCCAAGATGATCAATGTTAAATAGAACCGGACAGGGAATCTCCCACTTCCGCTTTCGATTCACGAGTGCCCAGTTAGCCATCATTTGTCCGCCCAGAGAACATGAATACTACGACCATACGCCCTGGGCATATCAATCAGAGTCCCAGGGTCATTCACACTCAGCCTCTCGCTGTGGGATATCCTCGCATACGTCATTATCATCCAACTCGGCCGCCAATTCGTCTATAAGCCTTCAGATAACCATCGCAATACAAAACAATATAAAAAACACGCAAATTATGCCTCCGGATACTTCTCCCCCCATCGTCTACAATATTCTGCGCCGTCTTCACCTGATATCGGATCTACGATAAAAACGTCAGTTGCTGCAACTCATGGCACCCATAAATTGAAGCTCAACTTACACACGCGGTATGTGGCAGGCTGTCCTTTGCTTTTTATCCGCAAAACTCGAACGCGTCTGTTGTTTTCATCGCAGCGTGTCGAAACCTCGTATCGAACCCCATCACCATCATAGGCGACGTCCGGGGAATCTCCCCATAAAACAATCCGCATCCTCTCCGTAAAGTCGTCAAACATCCGCGAAAGAAATAGTAGAAGTCGGTTTGTGAAGCTGGGAACTGGTCGCTGCCCGATTTGATCGTGTGTATCCGATTGAGGCGTCTCTCGTAGCTCGCCGAAAACAACTTGGTCGTGCGAATCTTCCACTCTCTCCACTCTGAGGACCTTGGTGGCTTTAGGGGTCCAGTCGTTGGAATACGGCAGGGCGTAGACCACTGGCAGCAAAACAGCCAGCACAGTAAAGAACTTCATCTTGAAATTTGTTAGAGGCACGTAGAACGAAGCAAATATGACGAGCACCCAAGAATCCGGCATTCCCGGAGCATTTATACACGCAAAGTCACTCGCAGCAATGCCTCATCCCTCAGACTCCGCCCGGCACAGTCATGCGACAAAGGATTCAAGCTTTTAGCAAGCATTGGATAACCCGTATAGATTGGTCGATCTCCATCTTACAGGGGGTAAAGACCAGATGGGGGGGCTGAGTCGCACCAGGGTGACATCTTTTGACAAGCGCACCGACGGCACGCGCATCAAACAGAGAGGAACACTGATTCGGCGATAACTGGATTAGGAAAAGGCCGGATCTGTTGGTTGCTGTATTTAAAGTCACGTACGACCCTTCGTTTTTTATCGCCAAGTAATGAATTGCAGCAGAGTTGGGCTCGGATGCAGTGGGCGTCGACATGGATGTTGACTCCAAGCCCTGTTTCATGGCTGACAAAAGGGCCTCTGATGCTGAAAATAGCCAATCAAGGCTAGCAGAGGAACCTGGTACGCGCGAACAAATGAGATTGACAGATGGATTGCAGGGGTATGAGCCGTCACCAACGCTGTCTGCGGTCTCAGCCTTTAGATCAAAGATCAAAGATCGAACTGATACAGAGTTAATAAATGCGAGAGCTGTTCTTGATATTGTTCGGCTTCCAAGCCATGGAGGACCAACAGCTTTCTTCATCTCGCTCTCGGTCAACTCCACGAAGCCATCCAACAACACCAAAACAACCCTGCTCAAGATCCGGTCTAGACCGTCTTGGCATACTCGTCACCGTAAGAGCCAAGCCCCTTCCTTCCTTGGCACCGTTTTCCCTTTTCTCTTTTGCACATTTGTACCGTAATTCCCACAGCCACGGTCATCGCGCCCTGTCCAGCTGGTATTGTCCAACAGCTTTCTCGAGTCGGGCACAAGCCAGTTGTTCCAGACGCAGGCGCATGCATGTTTTATTCCCGGGGTAAGTCACTGTCCGCGTTTGACTGGTTGTTCAAGATGCGGGGGACTTGAACCATTGGCAGTGGCGCACCGTTTGGTTCCGGAGTCAACCGATTAGAACAACCTCACATCATTGCATGTTCAAGACCGCCAAACCATTCTGCACGACAACATCCGTGTTATCACCAAGCCCACCTTCCGACATCTCGCTCGTCAGGGTAGTGTCGTAGGTCTCTCGGTATGATCAGCTATGCACCCTGTCGACGTACTCACGTAGCCTATTTCGTAACTGGACTGTTGCATGTGCACAGGTCAAACTTCGATCATAGCTATTTATTTGCCAATCATTGAACACGCTCGGGAATGCCACATCTGTATATCTGTGGGGAAGAACTCAGCCATGTAAATTGATCAACGCTGCTCTGGTATACATGCTCGGGAGGGCAACTAGCTAGATTGCCCATATTGTTCAACAGTTGGGACATCTACACGCTGAATTAGACGCTCAAGCTGTCTCTGACCTCTGGTGATGGTTGTAGTGAGCCTCATTCGGCCCTGACTCCGACTCCAACAGGTGCCCAACTATCTAACTTGTCGTTGGAGATGAAGGGGGAGTCTCTTGTTCGGCCTGGGTATCGGACTTTTCATCGGCGGTTCCATCATCTTGTTGAGTAGAACCATCGGTTTTCTCGTAGGCTAGGGGCTCTACAACTTCCACGGGCTGCGCAGTGGATGGTTCATCCACTTCATCACCAGACTCATCGCTGCCCAAGGGTTTTTCCCGGCCCCAAACCTCAGGCTGGCTAAGTACGTCGTAAAAGATCGGTAAACGTTTCAGGAAGACTTTCAACTCCCCATTTGCCTCTTCTACACCCAACCGTTCCCTTTGGACCAAGCGACGTATCATGGCGTTCTTGAACTCGGCCCCAGGATGCTGGACGAAACTCAGGGCGCGGCTAAAACGGGGCACACATGGGCCCGGAACTTTTCTGTGTGTGGGAAAGGCTTCCATGTACATCTTGGCCCATCGATCCACTCTTGAAATGTGGTTGTCGAAGGAGATCGAGAGCATGCGTTCGATAAGTTCTATGGGCACGTGTCGCGGTCTGGTACATGCAGGGGGGTGGGCGCAATTGCACAAGTGAAAATGTCTGAGGTGAGCTCTGCCAGTGAAAGTCAGCGAGAGCACAGCCCCGGACCGATGTGGCGGTAATTCAAACCTCAGTCTATCCATGTTGATGAAGCCATCTTGACAGACGTGGCCTTTGGTGGTGAGTCTACCGACACTGAAAGGGCAGGCAAGTCGATAGCTGGGCATCTTGGCGGCTATTTGGAGACGACAATAGGCAACCAGAGTAGATAAATTGATGGGAGGTAGTAGCTGATGATGACGAAAGTTGGATGTGTGATGCCGGCGAAGGATGTTGATGCAGAGTCCGAGTTATTCCCATCCTCGGCAGTTCGAGGGAGGGCCCAGAATCGGCTCCATCCGGGGGAGGAGCTTCGAGGAAAACCACAGCGCGGGGAAGGAGCCATATCCGAGCAGAGCCTCAAGTCGAGTGGATAAGGTGAGTTGGCAACCGCCAGTTGGCGTATGCAGCTCCATCCATGCGTGCAGCTCCCACCAGCCAAATGACACTGCCTTGGACAGTCCTAGTGGCGTCGGATCGTCAATCATGATCCCAGTCAGGACATGAGATTTGATAGCTGCGATGTTTTGACAGCTTCCCGTGTCGACCGATGCGACGCTGCTGTGCACCTGCCGGCACCTGCTCATAAGCCGGGCGGAATGTTGATGATGCACGCATGCACCGCGGCGTAAGATCCAATGATGGCCCGCCCTCGGATCCCGGGGAATCGTCCGAGCATGATATACCCTTGTCTGATTCCCCTCTCGAAGACTCGAATTATCCAATAGTGACCAGCATGCTGGCTTGGTCTGAGGTGGCTTTGAGTGAACTGTATTTAGATGTCTTAGTGTCTTTAGTCGACCGGCGAGAATATTGAGAGTGCATGAGATACATCCCCCGACCGTGTAGTCACCGTTAGGGTGCTCATAAAACTCGCTGGCCTCCATACCTTTGCTGGTGGCGATTAGCTTGCCTGCATTCTCATCGTTCATCCCGAATCCAAAGGAAATGGTTGCCTTGACACTTGTGCACACCGAGCTAGCGTTGCACTCGGCACACACAAAGAATAGGCAGAAGAACAAAGCCATGTAAGCAGCTTGCTTGGCTATCGGTTGAGGCGTCCCTCCAGAGCACTGACTAGAAATGCAGTGCAAAAAAGACTCGACCGAACATGGCCTCGGCTCCGACACAACTCTTGCTGCGTCGATTCCTGAAGGCTGGCGGTCCATCAACGGTTCATGGCCGCCTAGCCATGCGTGTCGAGCCCCCCTCTGTCCCCGACCGAATCGAAGAAATGAACGCCCAGATCAGGGCCCTCGAAGTCCAACTAGGACACAGGGGTCATGACCCAAAGGCTGCGGTCCAAGACATCGAGAGCCATGGCATGTACCGGGACTTGAGAAGAATTGCAGGGGGTGGTGACTAGGCATCGTTTGCGCTTGCAAACAATCTCATTCTCGTCTTTAGGGACATGGCGTCAGGGGCGGAGTCAAGGTGTTATGCGCGAGTACCGGCTATGCCAATTGGCAAAACGACATCGGGCGAAAGGCTCATTCGGATCAAGGGAATTAGAAGGGTGTACAGGGATTGTTTTTGGTATCGAATTGTTCAAGATTGGGAGGCGTTCTGGGCAACAGAATAAACATTGTTCAAACATTCTCGTTGCTGTCTGCTAAAACATGACTGAAGTTGACCGCTCGCCATATGGAGGCCATCATCTCTCTATCAACCTTTCTGTAATTCGCAAATGCGTTGAATTGAAAATTCCGTTACTCGCGAATGCGGTGAATGCACCTGCGATTGTAATTTCTATCACAACCTGATTTCCCCCTCAGTGAGTACTAAAGGTGCAGTGAAGGACGCCTTGTCGACCACAGCCTGGTTTCGGCAGATGGGTATATCCGTCGGCTTGCGACGCATGCCGAGACTGACAGGTGGCAGACGAATGCTGTGCTGCCTACGGAGTACGGTGTGCCTACCTGCAGCTTCAAGCCACTTGTGACACGAAACCTGACGTGTCGCCAGCGAGCCACGTAAGGTGATATCTTGGCTGCTTCGCCGCATCAAATTGACACAACTCTCAAGAGATTGGATGCCAGCTACGATACATCGCCCAGTTCACGCGCGTGGCTGGAGTGAGCCTGCATTGCGTTTTCACGGCCACGTCGAGCGTGTGTCAATAGTTCTTGGCGACGTGCATGAATCCCAGACATCGTGGGGGTTAATACACTTCGCAACCGCTGTCACGGTACACCTATCAACGCTTTTCTAATTTTAATCATGTGCTCGATCATTGGAAGAAATCGAAGTTTGTCCAGTGGCCCGAACTGCACACGAGGTGAGACCGCATAACTCCCTACCGACGGAAGGACAGCAACGAGCAACAGGTCAGGGGTGTTTACAGAGGCTAACATCGTTCTCAACATTTCTCCATCAAATATGTGCAGGCCAAGTAGACAAAAAGATAGCCGTGCTTACAGACGTGCAAGTAACAAACAGCCTGCAACAAAAAGAGACACAGCCAGCAAAAAATATGCGTGTTTTAATAGGAAAAGCCCGATGCGGGGGTCGAACCCGCAACCTTGAGATCGCGTACTCTCTTGCATTTAGATGCGCAAGATAAGAGTCTCACGCTCTACCGATTGAGCTAACCGGGCCCAATCTGTTTTTGCTCGACGGCCTCGAGATTGGTCTCAAGACCGCGTTGCTAGACGAGCCTCGACCGAGCAGTTTGGTGCACTCTAGACAGCTCCACGAACACCCAACAAAGATGTCAAGGCTATGATAAGTAAGCCATTATTTTCGCTTCAAAATCATTGATAAAAGAAACCTAACCCTCCGTATAGGCAATCTCTCAATACACCATTTCGCGGAACCACCCCCATGACCCTTCAAGGCGGCTTGCCAAGATTCCAGACACTTTTCAGATACCTCGAACGGCCAGCTACACTTAATGCTCAACACTAGCATGTCGTCCATCATTTCATAGTTGAAATAACCGACGTGAGAGCTGTTAGTGCTGTACAGGGCCAAGAATCTCAGCTTGGGCATGCAGTGCACAGCTTCGACTGCGATGCTGATCAAGTGGTTGTTTAGTCCAGGCAGCTCATCGATGATCATCTGCTCCGACCGTAGAACTAGATGTTGTAGGCCGTAGCATTCTTGGTCCATGGCTCTAAAGAATGCAAAAGCGTCAATACTATAATTGATAGAGAGGCGCGTGAGGTGTCGGCATTGGCAGGCCAGACTCGACCCAAGCTCCGCGAGATGCGGGCTAGGCCGTGGGTAACTTTTGAGGTGTTGCAGTTGGGTAATCCGAATTTCGTTCAAGGATGACGGCCAGGTCGATATAGCTTTTGAAAGATCCTCGTCAAATCCATGCTTCATCTTCCAGTGCGCATACCGTCTGACCTCCCAAATAAACACCGTGAGAGCTGGGAGACAGCCTATGATCTCGCCTATTGCTCTTGGCTGGAAGTGACGGACACTCCTCTGTGAGATGAGAAGGCTGGTGATGGCTTGCACTCTTGGTAGGTCACTCACGACCGCAAAGTCCAGGTCAAGTGAAAAGTGAAAGTCGGACTTGGCAGCGTCAAGGGTCTTTTCCCACAACCAAGGGGGAATAGTCGTGGGTAGGAAATCCCATCCATTGCCGACATATATAACCACAGGGTTGGTGCGTCTCTGGACCTTTGTCACAGTCCTCTGCCAGTAACTCATAGAGTCTGCAATAATCTCCAAAGCTATGCCCTCGCGGTGGACTTCATCTCTTCTCCACGTGACTAGTTGGCTGAATAGGGCACATAGAGTCTCCGTGAAGGCGACGTTGTTCTGTTTCTGTTGGCGTTCCAAACCCGGCAGGTGTCGATTCGCGCCGGCTCCATGTCTAGCCACCATAACCATCTGGCCTATATTGCGATCTCGTCTTGTGCGGCCGAAAATCTTTCTTTGAAGATGGCCATGCCGAGGGAGCTCTAGTGCGAGACCGATTTCTCGTAGGTATGCTCTTCTTTGTTGTACCCGAAACATGGCTTGGAAGGATTCTAGTTCGGATCTTGATACGGAGGGTTTTGAATGAGGCTTTTTCAAAGATTGGCTGCCATTCTGGAGCAACCGTCACATACCCAGTAAGAGTTTTCCCATTGTGAGATTCGACCTCGGCAAGACGAGTCAGAATGTCATGTCGGAGCTCGAAGGGGAGCTTATACCAGGACATGTTGCTGCTGTCAGGGCGTTTGTTCTTTGTTGGGGACGGGCAGATTGCGGGGAGGGTTGGAAAAATTTTCTCTCTACTTGATCACAGAGAAGTGTGTCATATTTATATGCGTTTGATCTATTATCTCAAATGGGCCGAAAACGCTTTAGGTTTATGTATTGCAGAAGAGGAGTCACCATGAACAAGGTTGACGCAACTAACCGCCATCATATGGCAGTGAATGTACCTTGCATATCAACTCTCCCTAGCCCAAGGCGCACTACCGTCTATTCATCCAAGCCAACTCATTCCTATCCGCCGTTGAAAAATCCGTACTATGAACCTTGTTCCCCTGCCCTTGGGACAACAGTCGGCCGGGGTGAAAAATAAGAAACGCGACCATGACACCAAGCATCAGCGACGCATCCATCACATACAGCATGGCCTCGTTCTCGCTGATGAAACCGTGGAAGCCCTGGACAAACTCTATGGCCCTGACAAGATTGCGTATCCAAATGGCGATGACGGAAATACCCAGCATCCAGACGTAAGGTTTCCAAATCCCAGCGAACAGGGTCTCCTGGCATGCCTTCCTGTAGAACCTGAAAACCAGGTAAAAGTATATCGCCAACACCAAGAGCTGGAATAAGAGACCTCCAAGGACGACTTTGTCTCCAATCTTCATGATCTTGGTGCTGCCTGTAACCTGTACCAACGAACCTCCAATTTGTGTGCAGAATGCGATGATATCGGTCAAGATGAACAGGGAAGTCGGACTACATTTTCGCTTCGGTTGGCCAAGGAGAACTTGTTTATATCTGCCGAGGGTGACGTAGAGCGTGGCGCAAATAAAGACGGGGGCGACGAGGATGAGCATGAGCTGAAGCATAAAGGGCTTGGGCGAGTTTGGTTTGCTGCCGGCCCAGGCTCTGCCATAGTAACCGAATGTTTCGCCTGACAAAACGTCAGAAATGGTCGAATCCTGTAGGTTTGAGCAAGACTTACAGATACCACCCAGCACCATTGGGATGAAGTAGTTTGTCTTGTAACGCCTAACGCCGGCGATATGAATTATCGTAACAAGGGCAAAGAGGGCCATGAAGATGAAACCAGCCGCCTTTGACGGGGTATAAGGGTAGTAAAGGACCTTGCCATCCTCAAATTGGACGAGACCCATCTTGCCGTTGTTTTTGAATGAGTAAGTCTTGGCTAGTGAAAGAGAGCAAGGAAAGTCTTACCAACAGGGCGTCGAGGAGACGCGGCGGGGTTTTATTCTGAAAGGGACAAATGTCATAGGTGCTATTTTGAATCGAACTGACCTCAAGACAGCCAATTGCCTGTTTTACGGATTCGATGCGTTTAATATTGTCGCAAGTGAAGCGCAGGGACCCTGACTTGCGTGTCAAGCGAACCGTGATTGGCAACAGTCCAAAGTACAAATACGAAAATTAAAATACGAAAGCGCAAATTATGCCACTGCTTCCTAGCGTTTAAGTACGAGCTGGTGGAACATGTGGCGTTAGCAATCGTTGCTTAGGTTGATAGTCTCACTTTGAACTTTGAGTTGTGCTTCCATCCTCATTGTCGGATTGGCCAGGTTTGTCAAGCAGAGGACAGGCGACATGTGAGCACATAGAGCAAAGCCTTTGTAAACTTGTTTTCAGCTATGCCATCTGTTATCTTTACCTAAATCTAACTCAAAATCTTCTTATACAGCTACTACGAGTGGACAGCAGTGTGTCAACATTTAGAAAGACATTTACTAATCATCTTCTTAACGGTTCAGTTACTCCCCTAAGTATTCATCTAATATGCGGTATTGGATCTCGGCACATGTGTCTAGCTGTTTCTACTTCCGAGGAGTTCTTTTCCCCGCCTTGCGCGATTACCCATCACATCCCGTTTCAACGCCGATCTCGGCAACTATCAAGACTCACCGAATTCAACAACATGACGCTTCGACTTCGAATTGCCACAGAGAGCGACCTCGACGCTGTCGCTGACGTTGCGACAGCATCATTCAACCCAAAGACAGATGCCATCTCGGCCCATCTCTTCCCTCCGCATCTGAAGCCCAAGGGCGAGGCATATGCCCATGCGGCAAGGCCGTGGAGACTTGCGCGAAAAACGGATAGATTTCAATCCGAACGAACTATCTTGATAGTCGCGGTTGATGAAGCACTATCTGGAAAAGTTGTAGGCTTTGCACTTTGGGAGAAGCCGGTGCGAGGCGAGGAGCATGAGAAGCCAGAGGCTGCACCCATCAAACCTCCTTGCGCAACACTAGATCATGCTGCCTTTGATGAAATGAAGAGAGTTCTCGGTCAAGATCACTCAAAGCGATTTGGAGAAAAAGGAGCTGACAATATGTGGCGTGGGTTTCCATGTTTCCCAACCTTTAGTTCTGGGTAACTAATTGACCAAATGTAGATCTCGAAATGCTTGGAGTTGACCCCAGCCAACAACGAAGAGGCATTGGTAGAATGCTTTTACAAGGGGCCTTTGAAGAAGCGGACAAATTTGGAGAAGATTGTTACCTGGTTGCTACACCCGCGGGACTTCCACTGTATCGAGGGGCTGGATTTGAGGAGGTTGGTGTGCTGAAGTTGTTCGGTGTTCCGCATGCATCAATGATCAGGAGGAGCCAGAAGATCAACCCTTTACAAAGTTAAGAGGGACTGACGTTATATCGGAGCTTAAAGGCAAACAAATATAAAGAACAGGGCATTTATGCGAGAGAGCAAGAGACAGAAGTACATTCCGAAACCCTGTGGTAACTAAACCCAAATCCCATGTTGTTTTCTAAACCCTTTCGTCGACAGTTGTCCTTAGTATCCCTCTTTGCGGTTGACCTTGTTGATCAGGTCTTCCCGCCCTTGACTCAACCTCTCAAGATTCAACCTGAAAATATCCAAAAGTCTGTAGTAATACGCCGCAGACGCAGCACTGATGTGAGGAGTAATCGTGATGTTCTTGGCGCTCCAGAGAGGGTGGCCATCAGGCAAAGGCTCGGGGTCCGTGACATCCAACGCAGCACCCCGAATAACACCCGTGTTGAGTGCCTCGATCAAGTCGTCTGTGTTGACGATGGGTCCACGTGCAATGTTGGTGACAAAGGTTCTCTTCTTGCTAAGGACTTGGAACTCGGGCTTAGCGATGAGGTTCTTTGTCTTTTCTGTGAGGGGGGTGGCGATGACGAGGATGTCAAGGTCAGAGCCTAGGAAGGCGTGGATATCTTCCTTTGAACCGCCAGAGAACCATTTGCTGGGGAACGCGCCCTCGGGGTCACCAAGTCCTTCAGGTGAGTACGAGTCGTCCCTGCGCGACTCGGGGGTTGGACGGGGGTGAAGGGTGTAAGCGTGGACGTCCAAGCCCAGGGCCTTGGCCACGCGGGCAGTTTGACGGCCAATACTGCCGTAGCCCAGGATTCCTCTGCAATACGATTAGTTATGTTCTTTGCAAAAGCAAGGAGTTGATCGTACATCCGCTTGCCGACAGTGTCTTCGGCATCTTCGGGGTTCTGGTGGAGTCTCTCCCACCTGGCCTCCTCCTGGAGTTTCCAGTAGTCCTTAACTGCAGATGAACATTAGTTCTCGATCACCTATGTTGAGACTGTAGCATGCTTACGGTGATGCTGGAATGTCAGGAAAGTACTGACAATCCACTCGGCGATCTGAGGTCTGCTAGGGATCAGTTTCCGTCAAGGCGCTACAATTGAGATTTTCATACCCATGGACTCCATTGGCAGTGGAAAATGGGATATTCGTCCCCGAGAACAGGGGCCTATCAACAATGTGGTTCGCGCCCGCACTGGTCAACTGAACATATTGAAGATGAGGCGCCTGCTCTCTGGTGGGAAGAATGGTGGCAGTCAGCAGCACAGTCGTATCCTTCCACTCCTCCTCCTTGAAATCCGGGTCAAGAGGAGCACCCCATGGCTGAAGACGCGTTATAATCTTGAGATCAGGAAACTGCTCCTGGATGCGATCGAGCTGCGATTGGGGCGCCGGCACAGTCGTAAAGATGACAGCCTTGTGACCCTTGAGGGTCTTGTTGGTGAGGGTCCTGATAAGCGTCATGGTCGCGGATCTGGATAGATGAAAGATCGAATCTAGATCAACCGGGTTCAATGCGGCCTTTGAGTGAGATCAAGTCGGCGGTGGGAGCCGAGTATAGGCGTTTTGGGGATGACAAATCCGTAGTCGTGATGGAGGCTTCAAGTGTCGTCAAGGTGGGGCAATCTGACGTCTTGGGGGATGTTGAACAGTGAGTGGATGAGTCAGATGGGGAAGATGTGTCTTGAGAATTGGTAGTGCAGATGTTGTCATTATAGCCCAGAGCGACTTATCAGAGAGACATGTTTGTCGATGGATTAGGTCGGAGGAGGGTTGGTTGGTCGGGACGGGCTTCAGAAATGGGCCCGCAGCCGGTGAGTTGTGGGAGAAGAGGGTGGCATACCGTGCTCGTAGACGATCGGGGCCAATTCTAAGGATTATCGTTGGCATTGGTATCTCAATTGCTTATCGTTCGTGACCATCTTATTGCCTATCATGAGCTATCAGTAACTGGGACGACAGTGAGTGGGGGAAAGTCAAAGCATGGCTGTGTTGCCAGACAGAAAGTTGAGCGCGATTGGATCGCTGATTTCACTGCATACTATTCCAGTTCAAAACAGACAACCTCTGAAACGAACCCTTGCCATCCTCCACAAGTCCATCATGACCTTATATCAAGAAGGCGACCCAAATGAAGGGGTCGGTACGGCATCTTGTCCAAACCAAATGAGGCTAGAGGTGTAGGGTAGCCAGGAACAAACAACAGCAATTCACCACGAATTAACATTGACATAAAGGACAAGAGGACGACTTCTTTAACCTTGGTCTGTGCAGATCTGTGTTATTGTCAATACTGTACGTTGGGCGCCCCAAGGTGTGACCTGGACAAACGTCGACCGACTGTACCTGATGAAACTCACGCCTTTTGAGCTCACTGATGAAACGGTAATACTTCTCCATCAATCTCGCCTCTGCGGAAGATAGTGAGAGATTAGTGAAGAAGAGGATGAACAAATAACGAGGAATAAAACAAATCTGATGTTCCTCAGGCATCCTAAGGCTTATGATGGCCTGAATTCGAGATCTCAGTACTAACATTTTATGTATCTTGTGCCGTTTTATGCAGCCAAACTCTAACAGTGAAGCATCACGACCGTTATCTTATCGCTCTGATGCATCTCAGCCTTATCGCTCTCCCGTGGCTGTGCAGCACCAGGCACCCACAAACAGCCTACGCTAGCAACTCTCCCAGGCCTTTTCCAGCGAGTGCCCGCCTAATGCAACCACCTGAACCGCTAAACGTCCCTGCTGGTGGTGGCTGAGCCCTCAGCTCCCATTTCCAACGGAGATGACCTCACGCTTTTGGGCGCTGCCAGACCACTCACACAGCCCGACGCCATAATATCTGAACGCCAAAGGACGCCTTGAGGTCAGCCACTGACAGTCACGATGGCTTCAAAACTGGCCTCTTTCCTCCCCTCAAGGAACGATTCACCCTTTTCCATTCATCAACCGTGACTTTGGATTATTCCGCCAGCACCGTATTTCTCGATCCCCGCATTCTATGACCTCCTTGTCATCCATGTCAACAACTCCTCCACACGAGTCGGATCTTCCAGTTCCGACGTATTCTGCCACCGACGATGGCGACCTCTTGAATAGAATCGAGCGCGCGACAGCCGTCGAATTTCCTATCCTTCACTCGCCCATCGCGAAAACTACGAATCTCCAGCGCCTGACTTCCGATTCGGACTGGACGAGTTACCACGAAGCGTATCGTCTCGAGAGGGATATCGTCGACTCCTTCTTCACCTCGATCGAAAACGGTCACGATGATCTTGTTGCCGAGTTTATATCGCGAGGATGGGTTTCTCCGGATACGACGAGTCGCGTTAAGGAGACTCCCCTCCTCGCTGCCGTACGCGCAGGCAAAACGCCCATGGTGAGCCGGCTTGTCGCACTTGGCGCAACAGTCAACGCCTTTGGCCGTCCTGATACCTCGAAAACCCTGAGCGACGACGAACGACCCGAGCGAACACCATTGATGCTTGCTGCTGAACGAGGTCACTTGGCATTAGTCAAGGTTCTCGTGAAGGACTATGGAGCCGACGATGGCTTGGTTGCGCCCGATGGAGCGATCGCTCTTCGTCTAGCTGCCATCAACGGCCATCGCGAAATTGTCGACTTTCTCCCCTCTCGTCGCGGTGGTGCATGGCTCCGTTGGAAGGCGGCGCATCACAAGCAGATGGAGCGGATTCGCCGCGCATGGAATCATATTGGTGGTTTCCTCAAGGTTCTCTTCTGGGATTGCCCGGTTCTTCTGTTTTGCGAAATACCCAAGGAACTCGCCAAGGGGATCTGGAAACGACGACATCGGATGGCTGCCGCTTGCAAGCGGATGGCAAAAGAGTTGCCCGCCCAGATCGTGAAGGGGGTTGTTGAACTGCCCGGCAACATCAAGCGCTGTGGCAAGGCTGTTTGGGAGGGTATCAAGGAGATCCCGCCCATTCTGAAAGCCATCGCCGTCGCTATTTGGAAGACGATCAAGGAGATCCCTGGCGCCGTCATGGTTTTCCTCAAATGGATTGGCCGAGGCTTCAAGCGAGTGGGGGAAGCCATCATCGATGTCTTTTCACGCCTCCTCTCCCTCCTACACACAGCCATCATGGCCGTCGTATCCTTTTTCAAGAACATCACACTCCAGGATATCTGGGATGGCTTCTGCTCCCTTGTCCGAGCTATCTTTGTCGACGCGCCCAAGGCCATTGGCGCGTTCATCAAGTCATTTGGCCAGATGACTTACGACATACTCAAGGCGCTGTTTGGTACCCTCGGTCAGTGTGTCTGGTATCTCGTCACTGGCATTCTGTGGTTGATCCAGTATGTTCCACATCGGATCTGGACCATCTTTGAGGCTTTGGGTACGTCCATCGTGCGGGGTTACCAGGAGATGATGTCGTATCTGAACCCGAAGCGGATGTGAGGGTCAGGTAGGTGGTGACAGGTCAGGGAGCAACGGCTGATGAGGGACACGACCGAGGAGTTGGAGTGGCTTGGTTGGGCATGATTGTTTGTTGGCGTTGGTGGACATGTTTTTCACAGTCGAGATACCCGAACATTCTCTTTGTTAGTGGAAGCAAAGCGTGTAACAATACAATAGCATTAATTCCTATCACTAACGCTATTTCGCGTCTCCATTGCATCTTTCTAAGGTCCACGCCAAGTATTTGACGGATAAACGGCGCCCCTTAGGGGCTTCAACGTTCAAGCCACCAACCCATCAACGCCTTAAATCCGTGATCGAAGCGCCAGAAGCCTCAATTAAGCATAAGGCCCGAAGCCCCGGCGACGCCACGGGGAATATTGAACACGAATGTGGCAGAGGGGATAACCTCGTTGGTTTTCCTCTTTCCCTTCAAGGTAGGAGGCTAGTTCAATATCGGCCAAGTCATCTTGCAGCATCTTGCCACAGGGCTCAGCTTCGCCCATTACACATCCTCCCAATGGTCGATCCTTCTCTGGCCATCGTGTGACACCTTTCACGAACCCTGCCATATTGACTCTAGATCTAAAAACTACACGATCCCGAAATCGATAGTCCCTCGCATTCGCCGCCAACTAAGCCCTTCCAGGCCCCAAGCGCCCCTGGCGATCCCAGGGGCACCCTTGTCAGGACCCCGTTTTCTCGCTATCAACCGAGTGCTCTGCTTTTTTCAGCTCCGGTGGGTTTTCAATAGTTTAGACGGTAGAGCCAACATGTCAGAAAAAAGTCCCAGTCTAGAACGAGATGCTCGGGAAAGTCGGGGAAGAGAGTAAAATGGCTGCATGGGAAAATAAAGGCGCTGGGTTCCCCCATCCGCTAGGAGGACGTTTGGGCTTGTGGCTTTTTCTCTCGATCGCTCGTTGAAGCTTGGGTATTGAACGTGTAAAGATGGCTAGCCGTCTTGTCCGCTCGCTTTTCCTGGCGGAGGCACTCAACGCTTTGAGTGCCTTTGCTGGTGTTTGTATTCCGCAGGGCCCCACTGCTTACTGTGAGTCCTTTGAAGCGCTTGAGCTGGATGTTGACTGACTTGTGGTAGGCCAGGTCTCTCAGTGGAAGAATGACCCTCTCATCGTCATCTTCAACGCCCACAAGGAGCATGCTGAGGATGTCTGTACCTCTGCTCTCCAACCCGTCACCACTGTTTCTGGCACAAACTCTGCCTCTGTAGAAACCGTTGTCGTGACCATCACTCATACAGACAATGAAGTCGTCACAGAGACGGAATATTACGGTGGAGGCACTGAGACTGTCAGCGCCGAGCTGTCTACCGTCTACGTGACGGCCTCTGACGAGGTTGTCACTGAAACTGTTCGCAACAGCGATAGCGTTGTTGTTAATGCCGAGACTGTTCAGCGCACTGTCGGTACGACTACTCTTGTTGCTCCTGCCTCGATCCGCACGATCGAGAAGACAGAGGTCGACCATGTCGGCTCCACGCGCATCAGGACCGTCACTATCGAGATAGCGACCGAAACCTCGGTTGATTACACAGCCACCGAGTATGTCACGACATCTACATCTGTCGACGTCGTCACAGAGACTTCCACCAGCGTCGAGACGATCCTCACGACAACCACCGACTATGTTACCACGGGCACCTACGTCAAGTTTGCCCCCGGCGCTACCGTCGTGGTTACAGAGGAGCGCACTTTTGTTATCCACTCCGTCCCATCAACGCGCACGCATACTCAGTACACCTCCACGGATGTCGTTACTGTGCCGACTTCCACTCTCACGATCGAGTCTACGGATACGACATCGACTACTGTGACTACAACGACATTTGAGGTTTCGACAAACACTGGAACCTCCTTCAAGACGGTGTTTACGTCGACTGAGACGGACGTGTCGACGAGCACAGCCTCCACCAACGACTGGACCACTGAGTATTGTAAGTCATCATCTCCTATTCTTCAATACACGCTAACATTTCCAAGTCTCTACCTACACCAACACTCGCACCGTCACCACCGTCGACTACACCGAGCAAGTCTTCCCCTGGTGGCAGCAGAAGCGTTCGCTTCCCACACCAGGCCTCGATGCCCGTGACGAGAGCAGCCCCGAGCAAGACTGGCTCAATGAGTTCGGCGAGACTCACTTCCGAAGCGCCTGCTCGTGCATCGTCACTTTCCCTCTTTCTACGCGCACTGTTTATGAGGATGCTTCTGGCAGCGCTGCTGTCGAGACAAGAACCGATTACACCACCGTCGTGGGCCAGTCTACTGCTGTTGGAACTGTCCACAGGGAGACTGTTACGGTGACCGTGGCTAACGTAGTCACCGTCACCCAGGGCAAGACCTCCACTCACACGGTGGTTGTAGATGGCACCACCAGCTTCAGTCAGCAGACGGTGACCGAGGACGTTCTCGCCACCGTTTACTCGACGCCCGTGGATGAGACTACCGTCACGTACTTCACCACCAACTCGTATGTGACCGATGTCACCGATGAGGTCTCTGTCACCGATCACATCACCCTCAAGGGTATCAAGACTGGATACACATGGGTAGAGATCACTCGAACTGAGCAGCTCTTGGACATTCAGACCAAGATTCACCCCGTCGGTCATACCATTGAGGTTGAAGCGACATCGACTTCTCTGTTCACTTCCACCGTTGAGACTACGGTTGATGTTACTTCCACAGCTCTCTCCACCGCTGATGAGACTGTCAATGCTGTTCTCACGCAGACAAAGCCTGTTCTTGTTACGGATATCAACAAGTTCACCTACACTGCCACCATCTTCACCGACGCCACGACCACCGTGTCTCTGGAGGCGACATCCACGATTGGCATCATCTCCACCACCAAGCTAACAACCGTCACCACCGTCAAGAATGGCCAGACATCCACCTACACTTCCACCATCGGCATCGAGTCCACCGTGACCGCCCGCGCCGCCGCCACTCAAACTTGCGCGATCCCCATCGCCGACGGCAACATGGACATTCCCTACAGGAACACCCCCTGGTATGAATCGGTCACCTCAGCTTATCGCTTCTACAAGCGTATGCTTGGCGGCGGCGACCCTCACGGCACCGTCCTCGAGACTGACAAGCTCTACAACAACCTTGAGATCAGGCTCTGGCAGGACGCCAAGACGTGCAAGGGCGTGCGCTTTAGCTGCACCTACGAGTACTACTTTGACAAGTACTACCAGGTCGAGCTTCGGGATTCTCAGGGCAACATCAACACGTATGTGCCCTACTTCCGCATGTGGTGGAACGACGACAAGATCGACGAGGACTGGCCCGGTCGGCCCTCAGACACAGGTCGCTGGTGGACGGGTAACATCCAGTTCACGGCCACGGGCAACACGGACACCATCTGGATCTACGCGGCGAGTCCCCAGTCCAAGAACACTGGGCAAAACTTTATGCGGTTTGACAACTTTGTCTGCAGGCCTATACAGTATAATGGTCATCGGGATTAGGGGTTTGTTATGATGAATGACTTTGTATATGGACATGAGACGATTGCAGACTCGGATTCATAAGTTTATAGCTGTTAGCCTGTATTTAGTTCTATCATATTCTTATGCCTTTATTCAAGATTCTATTCCCAACATGTTTCTGTTCAATTATCCTCAGGCGCGATTCAGTGCTCAGTTCGTGGTTGTGATCAGAGTCTGACGATATCTTCAATCACTTGTCAAATGATTAGACTAATATTATAACAGAACATCAAAACGATGGTCACTGCCTTTGTTGAATTACGATAAGTCTCCTCAACTCAAAAGAGACGTCATGTCGATGAGTGAGGTCTACCGCTATGCACCAAACATTCACACAAAGATGAAGAGAGACAGAGTTGAGACTCAAAATGGTCGTATTGGTTTTATTATACAAGACATCGAGGTCACATATATACAACAGAATATTCAACAACCACTTTTGACTTGCCCTTCCCCGTCAATTGGGGTAAAAGACAGAGTGGATTTGATCCTTGCGAGAAAATGTTGGAATCTTTTTACACAAACACGCTCTGCGTGAGAGTTGATTTCTCCGAATAGTACACTTAGTACTTGATCATGGGAGCGACGTTGCGGGGCTTGACGTCGCGGACGTGGCGGCGGACCTTCTTGCTGCGCTTGCTCTTGCAGCCCTTGCCATCAGAGCCGGAAGAGGGAGCAGCCTGGGTAGGCTGAGCGGCGGCGGCATCAGTGGTGGCAGAGACGAAGATGGGGGTGGGAGCAGCGTCAGAGGCAGAGGGAGCAGCGGTGGCAGCAGGGGCCTCGGTGTTGCCAGCGGCGGGAGCCTCAGTGTTACCGGCAGCGGGGGCAGCGGTAGTGGCAGCGGGAGCGGAAGAGGGCTGGGCAGAGCCGGCGCCGGAGTCAGCGGTGGGCTCAGCAGCGGAAGCACCACCGGTGAGGGGAGTGGCAGTGCTGGCAACGGCGGAGGTGCCCTGGGCGACAGCGGAGGCACCAGCAATCAGCTTGGGGCCGGGGATGGGGTAGGTGCTGAGCTGAGTGTAGATGTTGAAGAGGATACCGGCATCGTCGGCCTTGTACAGCTCAGTTCCGAGGGTACCCTCGGGCTGCTCAGTACCGGAACCAGTAACCTCGAGGTTGAAGCACTGGGGGTAGTTCTGAGCACCGTTCTCCTGACCACCGGAGTGGAGAGCGATGATCTCGTGACGGAGAACGTAGAAGCCGGGCTTGATGTTCTCGGGGACCTGGACCATCCAGCCGTTGTTGTTCTTGATCAGCTCGTCGGAGGCGTACTCGCCAGGGGAGGAAGAGCCGTCAATGAGACCCTTCTCGCTGATCTTGAAGAACTTCAGAGTCTCCTTCTCGACGGTCTCGCAACCGGCGGTACCGCAAGAAGCGAGGTAGTCAATGACAGGACCCTTATGAGATTCAGGCCAAGTGTCCCACGCCAAAAAGATGCTGTCACCAGCGGCGACCTTGGCATGGCCCTTGGCGTTCTTTGCATCCTTGTGGCAGATGATATCGGCGGTTCCGAAGGCATCGGGGGCGACAAAGCCGTTATCGGTGGCGGTGGTGGACCAGCCAACGACAACAGGGGGGCTGCTGCTGTAGGGAAGAGTGAACACGTCGTAACCGGCGTACTCAGCGCCGTTAATGACAATGCTGTTGACGTGGCCGTGGGCAGCGACGCCGAGGGCACCGGCGAGGGCCGTAAGAAGAGTCTTTTGCGTGAAGGAAGGCATTTTGAAAAAGTGGGTCTTTCGGAGGTAAGTGGGGCCGGAGAGCGGAGGTGCAAAAGATTGTTTTGGAAGGAGTGAGTGACGGTCCGACTGGCGGTTTACGTGTTTGAGTGAATGAATGAAACAACTTCAATCAATGAAGTGTATAATGAAGAGAAAGTGAGTGCAAGGAAAGCAAAAGCCTCGAAGGAAGGGCAAGAGAATGTTTGTTGACTGGGATGAGCCTGAAGAGAAAGAAGAGGGTGTGACAGTGGGAGGGTTGCAGACATCTTATATCTCGAGTTTATCGCCATGGACGAGAGCCTCATGGATGCTCATGGCGAATCTTGGCGGAAAAGATGGACTGCAAGGGTGTTCCGCTCGGAACGATATGCCGTCAAGGGGGTATGCGAGGGAGGGTTGCATCGTCGTGGCCAAGAGGTTTCAGCGTGCGTGGGTGCTGGCGTCCATCATTACCAATGGACTGAGATCCTGGTAGATCTTGGGGCCGATTGGATTTGGTCACGGTGCATTAGACTTGCTGGGATATTAATGGGGATGGTGTTGAGTCGGTGTTTGATCAGGGTAAATGAAGTGGACTGAGGAGAGAATGCTTCTAGAGCTTCACTGACGGACTCACTCTTGAGATCATCACGAATCATGAAATTGATCCCTCAAGTTCATGCTTACCCACTTGTCAGACTTGACCAAGAATCCCAAGAGCCTCGGCATCCCCATAAGCGACATATCCAGACCAGGTAGCCGGCGGCAAACTATCCAAGCGAGGTGAGTCCTCGCAGTGGTGAATCTGGTCAAGAGAGCCGCTGTACCTGAAACTGGGGCACAAAGGGGTCCAGAGGATGACGGCCTCGAGGTTCAACTTGGAATAGGACGGAGATGGAGGGGGGGGCCAGCCACTCACCAACTGTCAGTTCCTGCCTTAGCGCGCTCTCTTCCATGTGGTCCATGGTTACAGGGGTTGTCTTCCAGGGGCTAGAGCGGCGTCTGTGCCTAGACGGCGCCTATTTCTCCGCTGGACACTTTTGTTCCTTGGGTGCCACTGTGATTTCGTCGCCTGACGACGACCCTGTTTGAGGCCCCTGCTTTTGGGATGGCATCAATTTCCATGAGACGGTGAGAGTTGCCCCTGGAAAGGCCATGGAGAAAAGATGACTTGAGATGAACGCCTCTCGCATCATGAACATTTTCAAGATCCATTCAAGATCCATTCGAGACCCAAGAGTTCGGAATCAATAAATCGGTGGCAGTGGTACATATTCCCGTTTCAATCCTTCAACACAAATGTTTTCCCTTCGCGACATTGACAGATGATGTGAAACCCCAAGTGTCGAGAGCGGTGAGAAACAATGCACACATAAACAGACGACGGCTGAGGCCGACAAGGAGATCAAACCTGTAAACCCTTAAAAGTTTCGATATAGCGAAACCCCTCATGATAAACGAAATCTGTAAAACAGCGGCAGTTTAGATTCTTATAAAAAGTCTCGTGTTGCTGACGTCTTGCACTCGGGAGTTGACGGAAGGAAATGGTGTGATCTTCTGAGGCAATTCCCAACAATGAAAAATCACCTTAAAATCGCTTAGATTCTTTTCTGCGGGAAGAGTAGATTGGCTGCCCGTGCTAAGCGACTTTTTCGGCTTCTCAACGTCCATGCATTTTTGCCCCAGCATGAACTTCTTTTGCTAACGAATCGTACCTAATTTCCCAACCCCCCTTTTCCACACCTTGGCAACATCTTTCAGCCACCGCAAACAACTCTTTATTATCTACTCCGTACGCAAAACGCCAATTGACATACCGTCATCCTTCTTATTTCCGCCCATCTCACACAAAACAAAAGTGGCGACAATGCCCAAGACCGCGGCGCAATGTGAGACGCGGGCGGGGTCGTCGTCTCAAACTCGACAGGGGTCTTCCTCGCGCAAGGGGGAGGTCAACCCTGTCCGAGAAAAGAGAGATGCAGGAGGGGTCGCAGAGGAACAGGAAGAGGAGAAGGGGAGACTTGAGCCAAGCCCGGTGTTTACTGGGCATCAGATGTTCTATCTGTTCTTCTTGGATGGGATTGGGGCCATGATCCTTTCGGGCGGTGTCAATTTTGCCCTAGCGTATGGTGAGTTGTACTTTCAATGCGTTTGATGACATGCTAACTCCAATAGTCATGTACACGACGCAGGATACAACAAAGAATCCTATCCGACTCTTTCAACTACCAAACACCCTTGCAGGTGACGCAGCGGTAACAATCATCATCCAATGCATCCTCACCTGGTTCGTCGAGATGGGCCTCGTAAGCTACGACCTATCAAACCGATCAGTCCAACCCATCGGTTTCATCCCTGAACCATCAAGTCCCTGGCTAAGATGGCTCTTCTACCTCTCCCCTCTATCAAAGTCTAAAGACATACCTAAGGATAAACCCAAGTCTAAAATTGGCTCGGTGTTGAGTTCCATAGTTCAGCAAGCGCTTAGGGGCTTCATGCTTGCCGTCTTGGGCTTTCTCCTTCTCTGGGGTCCTAGTATCGGTTTGCTGACCGTTTTTGGTGTCCGCTCCGGCGGTGACTATCTTTATCAAGATCGGTGGGTGCCGCAAGCCTTCAAGGGAATTCTTGGGGGCGTGCTAGGCTTGCTTACGACACCTCCGATGGCAGCTTTTTGGCTGATGAAGGCTGGGTGGGAGGGTAATAAGGAACGCACCGAAGCGAGAGCTTCTAGACGGAGCCGATACACAAACACGGTATGATATCTTCCGTCTTGGAGATCACGGCGGTGAACAAGTGGCTTGCATCCTTGGCGTTGGTTGGTGGTCCTTTGATGGATGACAGCTATCACATCGGGGCGGCTTCATGATTCAAAGGGGGGTTCTTTTCGTTGCATAGAAGCGAGGCACACATGATTACGATCCACGCATTTTAATGGTCGTTGAAGAGGAGGTGTTTCCCATGACATTCAAGATCATGACCACAAAAGCATTTACATAGAAGGGCTTTAGGCCAGTAGATTTACGAGCTTATGATTATTTAATAATAGAAATACATTCTTCAGTACTATTCAGTATTCAGAATCCGTTCAAGGTTGATCAGTGAAACCAGTCAGCTTGTGTGTAGGCCATTGCGTCTGTAGGGTAAATCCAAGGAACTACGACAGATTTTCCAAGCACTTCTCGCCTCAAGATAAAGACTTCTAAATACATTAACTTCAAGCCCCCGAAGAGATCGTTCATGACTTCATTTATCCATCTCATCTCGAAAGCCAGAAGATTTGAGCGGTTGTGAAGACCGTTCTGCCGTGTCAAATAAAATTCTTTGAGGATCTTGGATACACCCTACTCAACTTTAGCGGGACTCCAAATGTTCATAATGGCTTTAATAAACGCCTCTACTATCTTGTAAAAATCTTAGACCTATTTCATCCTAAACTTGGTAGGTAGCTATCAGCCGCATCATCAGAGACTGGTCGCTGCCTTGAAGATGCCTCCAGGGCTGAGTACAGTTCACTACTGCCTACAATCCGTCGTCAGTGGCACGGACGGATACTAACCACAAGATTTGAAAGATAACGATAAGCCAGGAATTGTGGAACCGTTTTACTTCCCAAAACCCTGCAATCTGACTCGAAACCCCGTGTTTGTTTCACGCCAAGACATTCCGGATTGACTCATCTCGCCGCCTTGGCCCCCAATGCCAAACATCTTTTCAAAGAATGATCGCAAAATTTTCCAAGGGTTGCATACTTTTTCTCAATGAGCCAACTGCATACGACCGATGACTCATGATCAAAAGAAATCATTGGTAGATGCAATGCATGTTGTCACGAGTGGCTTGTTTTGTGTGACGCAGATGCGATCTTGGAATGCGAAGTAGCAAATCAGGCGCGGCTTCAGCCTAGCCGTGTGCAGCCGCAAAATAGCGTCGTTGGGGGCCTAAACAACATAACCTTACTCGTCTTTGTAGCCACTTATTCTTCTATATAAAAGACATCTCACTCATTGTTATCATTTATCCCTTCCAGTTGATACGTTCAACTTGAATTCATCCATCATGACAGATTGGTATCAGCATTATCTCGACAACGGCTACGCCGTCGTCCCCAACGTCATCCCCAAAGAAAAAGCCCTCGCCTACCAACGAGCCGCCTTTGACTGGCTCAAGTCCTTTGGCAACGATGCCCTCGACCTCTCCGACAGGTCAACCTGGACTGCTGACAATCTCCCAAACATTTCCAACTTCAACGCTTTCACTCACTATGGCGTTGTCCATGAGAAATTCATGTGGGATATCAGACTTGAACCAGGTATTATTGACGTCTTTGAGAAGATTTGGGGTACGCGTGAGTTGCTGGTTTCCTTTGATGCGTTGAATATCACGCTGCCGAGGAGACCTGGACATGTCCCACGACAGCCACAGGCTCACGTTGATCAATCTCCCTTCCGGCAGGGCCTTCAATGTGTTCAGGGCATTGCCTGCTTCTCCAAGTCTGGCCCTGAAGATGGCGGTCTTTCCGTTTACCCCGGGACTCACAAGGTAGTTGAGGATTTCTTTGCCAACTACACCTCCAAGGCGGATTGGAGGCGTAAGGACTTCTACACCTTTACCGAGGACCACATTGCTTGGTTTGAAGATCAAGGTTACAGACCTCACAAAGTCACTGCCGAACCAGGTGATCTCATAATCTGGGACTCGAGACTGATTCACTGGGGTGCTGAGCCTACCTCAGAGGGAAACACCATCAGGACTATTTCCTATGTCTCGTACACGCCTGCGTATCTCGCCAGCGCGGAGACGTTGGAGAAGAAGAAGGAGGCGTTTGACAAGTGGTTGGCAACTACGCATTGGCCCCATGATAATATCAACATCCGGGCGAGCAAGCCCAAGCTTCCGGATGGGACGCCGGACACGAGGAGGAGCGAGCCGCGGGAGAAGCCCGAGTTGACGGATCAACTGCTGAAGCTGGCGGGCGTGAAGCCATATGATAGCTCCGAGTGAAACACAAGGCGAGAGAACCTTTGAAATGGCAGAAAACGTGCCTTTGTGGCAGTAGTGGCATGATTCGTTAGTCTAGCAGACTCATCTATCAATCAAAAACCGAGTTCCGATCCTCCTAGAGATCATTCCCAGCCTTCTTCTCAGCAGCCCACTCCTCCAACCAAGCCTTTGTAAAATCAACAATCTCCTTCTGAGCCTTTGCAACAGCCGGAGGAGGCAAGTCAAAAGCCTCGCTCTTGGGGTCAAGTCCATTCTCATCCCAATGATGAACACCATGCTCAATGAGAATAAAAGGCTCGCTGATTGTCGATTCCCGCTCGGGAACTCCAATGCGGTGGGGAGTGGCGGCTCGCCAGGGGTCTGCTTCTCCATCGATGAAGGCGACGCGGGGGAAGCTAAAGTTGACACCACCGAGCTTATTGATGGAGTCGATGTTTGGTGGGGTTGTGATGTTGAAGGCTTCACGGCAGGGAATGGTGGTATATTCGAGGTCAATGAGGCGAGAGACGAGGGGCAGCTGGTCCTTGGGTGTGCCTGATCCTGTCTGGAAGTACCCCCATCTATCAAGGTTAATAACAATCTCAAACACGGGGCACCAAACTCACTGAGTGCATGTCTGGTAGGTCCAGCTCCGCATCATTCCCTGGTCTAGGCCCGTCTCGTTGATAGAGCCTCGGATCGAGTAGCACTCGTTGACAGTCTTGCCCTGGCATCCACCTTGAAGATCCGCGTTGACGGTTGATCTGATGTACCCGATGTAGTTGAGGAAGCGGATGGTGAGAGTTTTGGCCTCGGCTTGATACCCGCATCCCGAAACCCACTTCTGAACAGTAGGAATGAGATGCCTGGTGCTGGCATAGAGAAGACTGTCTGAAGAAACACTTCCACAGTAGATTCCAAAGTCAGGCGCATCCTCCTCGGGATCCCAGTTGTTGGACTGCAAACCACCAATACCACGACTGATGGCCATGGCAAAGTCATCATCTTTGAGCTCCTGGAGACCAAATGCAATCTTGAGCTTCTTCTTATCCTCCTTGTTCTTTCCGAGAAGGATCTTGTCGACAATTTGAGTCAGCTTCTGTGTCGTGCTGGCACAGTCGCCAGGCGCAAAGAGTCGGGCTGCCTCAAAGTACTCCCAGTAGTTGGTGATGGCTTCGGTGACGCCGGATGAGGAAATGCCGCCCCAGAAAATGTCGGGGTAAATCTTTCTCGCGAAAGCGGCGAAAGCGCCTGCGTAGGATCCTCCGTAGATGATATACGGTGTCGAAGCTGCCGTCAGGTTTCGCTCCTCGAGTCCAGGGAACTTGACATTCTCGGCAAAATACGCCGTGTCGGCGAGAGCCTGCTCCGTCGAAAGAAAGCGCAGATTCTTTGTCTTGAGATCAGGAACAGGGAAGCTGGTGCCGTAGTATCGATGCTCGAGAATAACTCCAATACCATTCGTCGCTTCGGCCAACATCTTGAGAATGCCATGGTCCAGAAAAGGCAGCCTATCCTCACCGCTTGTCTCACCGGACGCGAGGATGATGACGGGGCCGCCTTCCTTGTAGTACTGAGCGTCGAACCAGTATCTCAGAGGAAACTTTTCATCAGAGTGAGGCTCGTAGAGGGTGTCATTGTGGAAATGATCGACAGGCACTGAGATGTTGACGGCACGTGGTCCATCATCAGCACGCCTTGAAAGACGGTGAAGACCACGAGCTTCAGTGCTTGAACCGTGAATTTTCGCCTCAGCCGAAAAGACAAACAAACCAGCAGCAAGACTGCCCAAAAGCCACCGAAGAGCCATCTTTTCCAATGAATTGATTGCTAAAGATGCTTCAAGGTCTGTATTGTTCAAGCTGCATTTTTAGCGGGGGAAAGCTCTGGCTATGAATCACCTCCACCTGGTCCGCACCTTCCTGTTTCAGGCTGATAAGACATGGACATCACGCAATCAAAATCGTGCTACGACGCGACCTTGATGAGCGTTTTGAGCAACGATCGACTATTTCGAGGAACTTTTGACTATAATACCACTAAAAAGTTCTCCTGCAAATAGAAGGTGTTGGTTGGATCTGACTATTTTTTATGCTGTCGCTCGGAACTGCGGCATTGAGATGGGGCTACACTATGCAAAGGATCCAATTTGATGGGCAAATGAGGGTGCACGACTCTCATTCCAGCCTTGGGATTGTTATCCTGGATTGCAAGTCGTCAATTGGCTCAAATAGAAGGGCTAGGTGATTGTGGAGATGATGCATAGACATCTTGTTTCGATGGCAACGCTCATATCTTTAACTAGAAGTCTGTCCTCTTCAAAAGGCTCTCCTACTTCGAGAAGAGAGATGAATAGCTCGGTACGATTGGGCACGCATGCTCAAAGGCTTTGGACTTGAAATCTTGAGGTGTTCAAGTGCGCTATATTAATGGCGGAATCGACCATGATCTCGGGTGTAAGCTCGGCCAAGATAGGATCATGATCACCGACTCCGATGAGCCTCAAAATCTATAGGCTGCGGACTTACAACACAACTGTCGGAGGCCAGAATTGACAGCACCAAGGAGCGATTCCGCCCTTGAATGGAACTGACTGACTTTTGCTCGGTTGTTGAAATGTTGACTGCTACCCTCATTCATGTTAGCAACAAAGGCCACCAGCCACGATAGCAAAAAACAGTTTTCTACTCTAATAGCGCAATGAAATACTGTAGAAGTGAGCTACGCAGATCAGTACGAGGGTTTCAATGCAACGGCCACGTTAACAACAGCACAGCATAGTACCAAGGCTGCTACTCCTGATAGACACCTGATATCAAGCCACTTGGGAGACTAATCTATCCTCACTTCGTTTCCAAGTATGGCTTTCAAGGCAGGCTGCCCTTCCGGATACCTTGCGAAATCTGTAACAGCAACGCATCCAATAAGAGACCGTAATAAGACATCTGCCGGTGTTGGCCGAGCCTGATTTCTGCATCGCCCGCTCAGCCCCCAAGCCACCTTTCGTTCTGCCACTCACAGATGCCCACGCGTGATACTGCAGGTGAAGCTGAGGCTTGGGTTGCATGGCCATCAGGCTTTCCCGGTCTGCCTGACGCCCTCGCAACCTTTGCTTTTTAACCCATAACCCCCTTAGAACTGATTGTCTTCATCTCCCTCATCCATACACTCTCATATTCGACACTGACAAAGCTTTGGCGACTACTAGCGCGACACCGCCACGATGGCAGAGGTCCTTGGTGTAGTCTCCAGCATCATCGCAATCGTCGGGGTGGCGGGCAAGCTGGGCACGAGCACCTTCAAACTCAAGCGTCTCTGGGGTGAGGTGCAAGATGTGCCCACAAGCATCCAACAATGCATCGAGCAGCTAGAGATACTAGCTCCGGTTATCCAGGAAATGGAATCTGAATTCGAAAGAACGCGCGAAATGGTCCGAAACGACACCGCCGCCAAAAGAAGTCTGGAGTATTCACAGAAAGCCATGGAAACCCTTGAGGCGTTGATCAAAGACATGGAAGGACGAATCGAGTCAGCGCGCCGGGGCAAGAAGTTGCTCACTCAGCTCAAAGTCAGGTTGAAGAGGGATGTGTTGGACGAGCATCAACAGCGGCTGCAGTTTGCCCTACAACTAGTTTGTCTATCATAGCAAACCTATTTGATGTAAGTTTGCCCAACCTGGGTGACGGATACAACACTTGAGAGTGTGTCGACTGACACCCGATCAGCGCAGTGACGAGAGCTCAGCCGTCTATCATAATGGCGGAGTGGAAAAACCTGCAGGAACAAGAACGTGTGGCACAACCTTCACCAGTCGAATATCCAGACCAGGACAAAGACCCAGCATCAGATGCCACAGCTATTGCAGAAGGATCATCTAATAACGCAGTACTAGGCTACAGCAACTGGTGGCCTACAGTTAAGAGCATGCCCCGGCCAAAGCCAGGTCTCCTGGGGAGTTTCACGTATAGAGTGGAAAAAGAAGCGAGTGGAAAAAGCACTTATTTGACTCCCAGAAACGTCCGAGGTTTGTGACCCCCGGTCATTTCTGCCCGCAGCCGTTTTGACATGGATTTAGTCCACCAAGCTAGGCTGCAGTTACCTCGCTGGATACTACAAAAGACCTGGGACTTCCAATTCTATCGCTCGTACGATGGGTGGAAGTTCCAACTGAAGAACTGGAACATTCGTCCAGACGATAGCCCCGTTTTTGAGTTTGTGGTGGAAGGACGCACCGACTTGATACTTGAGCTTTTCAATACAAACGAAGCTTCATTATATGATGTCACTGAAGACGGCGAAACGTTGATTGAGGTATTTTCTCCTTTGAATTGTAACACATAAAACTGACAAATTCTAGCTGTCAATGATCTGCCGTCAATACGATGTCACGAAAAGTTTATACGCTCTGGGCCTCAAGGCCAATCATATTAGAGCAGGTGATCTATTTACGTTCGCGATGCTGTGGAATTACGATTTAAACGATGATGAGGTTAAAAGAAAACTTCTGGAGCTCTGCAGAGAAGGGGAAGAGTTCAGCAGCCTGGTCGATTGTCCCGACCCAGGCGTTGAACTATCTGGCACTGACATTACTGCATTACTGAACTTCAGATTTTCCTGCCCGGAGTTCGACATGTTTCCGCTTCAGCAAAGCACTCAAATAATCACTGATGAACTTCGTTGGGATTGGATTGACCCAAACACTGCTCTTGACATTCTAGCTGGAGGTTTCGCCAGACCAGACTTTCTTCGGAAAACAAACCTTGAATACTTCGCCTGGGCATATTTCCATGCGCTCTTGAATGAAGCTCAGCCGGATCTGTGGCGCCTACTGACCAGAGAACTATTCGCTGGCGCTGATCCAGAGGAGGTCGCTCTGCCTTCATGTTGGTCTTACGGTTGCTGGCCCTTGCTGTGTGGGACACTCGCCAAGATCAAATGGAGAAGCTTCCCCGCGGGGGCGTTCAATAAATGGCTATCAAAAGCCCTTTCAATGTGGATGGAGGACCTAGCAGAAGCAGGTTTGGACTTGCAAGAATATTTTCGAATCGAACTCTCGGCCTGTCGAGGTATGGCCATGCAATTACGACCAGGGATCCGGCTACTGGAGTGTGGTCCATCACTGGTGGTGCTAAAGTATGGAGATAATCCTCAGGACTGGATATTTGAATGGGATCCCTGCGTAGAGGGAGAATTTGGCGAGTTTTGGAATATGATCGAATTTCCACCAATGCCAGGGGCATGGGTGGATGAGGATTCTGACGGCGAAGATGATGACTTGAATGAAGATTGTCACATGGGAGGCTCGGAACGGTGTGTATTTGCATCAATACGATATTGGGCCGAGATGGAGGCATCTGGCGCCAAACCGGACTCATTTGATGTGAAAGGTATCCCGAAGTGTGGGACTTTTGACACTACATGGCTGTGGTCGTCAATAATTTCACAATCGAACTAATAGAAAAGTGGCTATATCTACAGAGTTACGAAAGAGGTCGGAATTTGGCGTCCGGCCAGAACTATGACAGTCTCAAGTGTCAAAGGTTCATTAGATGATTAGAGTACACAAGACATCGGGCGCTATCAGTCGACATGCCCTGGTTTCAACCCTTCTAGCGTCTGCAAACGACGTCATCATCGCGTGTGACCACACACAACCCTCATAAAACCGAAAAAAACGTCACAGCCACCTTCAACCCCTGCTCCCACTCAAACGCCATCACTCCCAAATGTCTCGCTCACTATCCGCAGTGTCTTCCCTCGAGGTCAGGAACCTCAACTATGACCAGATACGCTTCTATCATCCTGGCTATCTGAAGCCCCTCAACCTGCTGTTTTGCTTGCCCCGCGTTGATTATAGTGCCGAGGATAACGCCTACGGTGTTCACTATCGGACGGCTCTTACGGCTTGTCAGATTGTTGCGAATAATGCTTTTGAGAAGGGGAAGCTTGCGAGGGATGATAAGGGGCAGGATATAGTGGCGGATGATGAAAAGGTTTTGCTTGACAGGGACTATTGGTTCTTTATCGAGGATGATGGTAATATGGACGTTCTTTCTGACGGATATGAGACTGACACAGCTCAGAACGATATGCTGTTGTGCCGTCTTTCAACGACTGGCAGTTCCCACACGATAAACTTCCGGACTGGTGGATCGCCCCAACTTCGTCACTTGGCCTCCACACCAAGCGATGCGCTGTGACAAACACCAGTTACGCATTCACATGGGCACATTTAATCCCCAAAGAAGAACAACAGTGGTTTAATAAGAATGGTATGGGGCTTTATGGTGGAGGGTCTCACAGTCTGGACGACCAACACAACATCCTACCTCTCAAGGCAGATCTCTATGTCTGCTTTGATCAGAGCGTCTTTGCCCTCGTTCCAAAGCAACACCGCGAACCAAATGGAGAATTCCGCACAGAATATGTCTTGCACGTTCTCGACGCCCGAGAATCAGAATTCGCAGCCCTCTACCAAGACCGCCCCATCAAATGCCTCGTCTCCGGAAGTCGAGAATACCTCTTTGCCCGCTTCGCCTGGACCGTAATCTCTCGCATCAAACCCTTCCTAACATCCGGCGTCGGACGGCGAGTAATCCGATTCAGGGTTAGAGCCTGCGACGGTGACACGGACGAGGAGAACCTGCGCGCCGAGATGCAGAATGTCTTTATGGATGCCAAGAAGCTCGAGGCTCTGTACGGTGGTGGAGGTAGGAAGAGGGCTGTTTCTCTGGAAGGTGCGTATGCTAATGATGAGTGGGAAGAGGAGCTTCCGGGGGAGATGGAGGGGTAGTATGTTGAGTTGACAAGCTGTGTATGAATAGACAACGTGCATCATTTGTTTTCTTGCATGCCTAGGGGTTTGCTACAGCATCGATTACGTCCTGTTCATCCTTCTCTTGTTTAACAAAGGTATGACTTATTTGCTTCTCATACTCCATCCCTAAAACCCCCTTCAAGTTGAAAGCTGATCCCTTTGCTGTTTGTTCAGATTCTTCTGCGATGCCATGTTAGTGCTTCTTTCATTTCATTAGACCCGCAAGACATCGCGCACTTTCTGTTTCGACAGTGTTGTTGTGGCTTTGGATTCTATGATACCAATTTTTTTCGTTGAAAAGGGTCTCTCCGTTATCGTGACCTGGGCACGCTGAGTGATGTTGTTACAACAACCTGATATCGTGAACCTTTCATCACCAACAAATGACCAACCAACTCCCCATCAGCCACATCAAAGACCCTTGTCTTCCAACTCGTCTTCTTGCCAATCAGACTCAATGCAGAAAAAACAACCTCTCGAATACCCGCCTCTAGTGCCAAAAGTGGCTTAAACGCGTAAGAGTGTCCCTGAGCTAGAAGCAAACTATCGACTCGGCCCCTGTCAAGCCGTTTCTTCGATACAAACGGCTGCCGCCGCCACTTTCAAGCCACGGCGTTTTTTCTTGTCTGCATCTCAACTCTAGTCACTCATTTTTAATGTTTGTTCATGATTATGCGTGTTAGCGATTTGGTGGTGACCTTGGGCCTTTGTTCTGTTGAAAGGGTTGCTGCTGCTGTTTGTAGGCCTGATCTACTACACGTGAGTTGCATCCTTCAAGAAATGACCCCAAGGCCGTTCTGTGCAGTCATTTCGTCTCATCCGAGTCGGCCTCTGCAACTGAGGCTTCTTCATCGACAGTCTCGACTGGGGCCTCCTCATCCACAGCCTTCATCTCAACTGACGTTTCGACGACCCTCTCCATCTCGGCAACCTCGGCTGTCGAAACAACTTCTACCACGGAAGCCGCCAATTCCACCACCTCTGCAGGCCTCTCTCCCATCCCAACCTTCATCGTCATCGCCCGCAGCCGGCACCCGTCTCTCCGCATCCCGCCGCGCACCCTTCATCACCTTTGATTACGAAGCCGGTGACGCCAGCGCCGAACTCTTCTCCATCGAGCCAGAGACTGGTCGCCTCAAGACGTCAAACCCTGACACATACGTATGCGCAACCTTTGGCGAAAACGGCCAACCTGCCGGAAAAGCATACCTCGTCAACTGCATCCAGCAAAACATTGATGTCGGCGGCGACTACATCGCTTATCTCAACTGTGACCTGAACCAAGGCAAGCTCACCTGCACTGCACCCTGGAAGAGCTGCAATAGGGATAATTTCGAGTGGATGTGCTACCTCGATGAGGCAGGTTCCATCATGACCAAGTTCTTCGTCACTCCGCACAGCACTTGGGGTTACGCTGTTGCTATGGCTCGTGATGTCCCCAATGGCTACAGCGAGGTTGGATGGAACGCCGTGGTCGTTTAGATGCTATATCTGTAGTACCCACAGGGTATGTAAATGTAGATGTATTTACTTCAGGCCCACGGCTTTAATTATACAATACTTTTCGAATACAACGACCCTCGCCCTGTACTCCTGAGAGAGCTCTTGCTTCTTGGATAGGACTTGGAACTGGAGCGATACCGCGCCTTTGATGGCTTGATCGTGACACCTTGGCTCAAGCACGGCAGATCTGATGAGCAGCAGGTCATGGCAATACGAGGCTCGAACAGCCACTTGCAGCTCGACGTGCCGCCATAGACACCAGCACCTGACTTTTTGTCCAACATGCCAACTACCTATGCATATGCTGTTCGTGTGTCGCGACGGGAGTTTTACCTGTTTTATATGAAACATTGTCTGCATGACCAGGTTAGTTCGGGCTTTTAATATGGCCCGTCAACCCGATCCGATAAACGATCTACCCAATCTCTCCCCTAGACGTCAAATGCTCCACATACCGTGGTTGCATCTGCCGCTACCACATTGTGTAGCATCTGCAACTCAAAAAAGCACAGGCCAGGATATTGTGGTTCAAGATCGTCGCCTTTATCGGTCTCGGTCTCGCTTTCGGACTGTCACGGCACACGGCAACTGTCTACGTGTGTCTTTTAGTAGGACACGTATGCCCATCGCAGGGCTTAGCTTGCCGATTATCATTATTAGTTTCGAAACAGAGTAGCACGCTCCTAGTCCATGACTCGTATCGTTACAATCAACGGCAAGACCCCTTACATGCTATCAGCGATAGTGAGGCGCTAGACTTTCGGTAGCTCACGAACACGCGTATCAAACCCCTGCTGGCTTCCCGTCCTGTGCACATTTATGCATGGGAATCTCTCGTTCCGTTCCAAATATGTCGTGACGGATAAAATTGACCAATTAGACTCGTCTTATTATGCGGCAGTTGGTGACGCAGCAAGGCGACGAGTAGGGATCTCCCCGAGAGAGATTCTAGATGCCGATCAAGTATGAAAGGGGATCAGACGTCCGTGTCACTGTGTTTCAAGAAGTGATAAATAGGACGCCTCTGTCCGGATTGACTGAAGTCGACATAAGCAACCATCCTTCCTCCTCAATCCAGCACAGCACAGCACATTGCTCATCATGGGAAACATTCAGTCTTTCGTGGACCTTGCCGTCAACCGGTGGCCGACCCTTCTTGCCATCGTAGTTGTCTGCCTTACAGCTGCTTTCGGCCCAACCATCAACCGTACCATCCTACTACGGAGTCTGCCCGTCGTGGGAGATGGAAATGCAGAAAAGCGAAGAATGGCATACCTAGCAGGGGCCAGGAAGCTCTACTCTGACGGATACCAAAAGGTAATGATCTCGATGCCTCAGGGCCTAATCCTAAACTGACCCGAGAGTAGTTCAAAGATGGAGTTTTCACGATCACGACCAGCAGAAGTAGGTTGATGGACGCCCGGTAACCTTTTGCAGATCTCTGACATGCCCAGCGTCCCCGATTGTTGTCATCTCTCCCAAATTCCTTCCTGAACTACACAAGCTTCCTGACTCAGTCGTGAGCATGGATGCTGCCGTTGACGAGGTGAGTATGGCTTTGAATCTACATGCACGAACCTAGGCTGAACAGGTACGTATCTAGACAATGGAAACGAAGTATACCAAGATCGAAACATCAGTTCCCATCATTCCTCACACCATCAAGGGAGATTTGACCCCTTCACTCAGTGAGTATATCGATCACCTGTCTTCCACGCCACTCATTATCTGTAGACCGTTTGAATCCCACCATCGCTCAGGAGGTCCGAGAAGCCCTCCAACTCTCCATCCCATCCTGCGATGACTGGACAGAAGTGAACATCCACCACAGCCTCCTCCGCATCGTGGGCATGGTCTCAGGCCGCGTCTTTATCGGACCCGAGCTATGCAAGTCTGAAAAGTATCTCGACGCTGCCATCAACTACACCATGGAAGTCATGGGTGCACAGCGCGCCGTACAGCAGATGCGTCCTTGGCTACGACCGTTCCTTGCGTCGAGGCTGCCTGCTGTCAAGCGTCTAGACCAGAGAATCGCGGAGGCTGAGGAGTTTCTTAACCCTATCGTCAAGCAGAGGGCCGAGGCCATAGCCGATCCTTCCGCCGAAAAGCCGGATGACATGCTTGAGTGGCTCATGAATAGGAAGGACAAGTTTCCAGACAAGAACAGCCAGAACCTCGCCAAGGTACAGCTGGGCCTGACCTTTGCGGCTATTCATACGACGACACTGACTGCCACTAACGCGTTTGTCCCCCTGCCCTTATTTCCAGTCGCATACTAACTGTGGTAGATTCTATGACTTGGCGGCTATGCCTGATGTGCAAAAAGAACTTCGGGTTGAGATCCGTGAGGCACTCTCGCAGACCTCTGGTGTCTTTACAAGTCAAGCCCTGCAGAACATGAAGAAGATGGATAGCTTCCTCAAGGAGGTACTCCGTCTCCATCCTGCCACAATGGGTAAGTACCAGAATGCCTTTGTTCCATACCCCTTGTCTAACACTATCCAGCCTCTTTCCAACGCAAGGTTCTTAAGCCATTCACTCTATCCAACGGCCAAAAGATTCCAGAAGGCGTAACAATAGAGATCCCCGCTGTCGCCATCAGCGCAGACTCGAGCGTCTTCCCTAAAGCCGACAAGTTTGACCCTTGGAGGTTCTACAGGCTCCGACAGCAGGCTAAGGATGACGGGTCGGCCGAGAAGGCGGCGCTTCATCAGTTTGTCAGCGTGAACCAGAGCAGTCTCACTTTTGGCTTTGGCAGACACGCTTGCCCTGGCCGGTTCTTTGCCGCGAATGAGATCAAGATGATCCTGGCAAATACGATTTTGCAGTACGATATCAAGCTGGTTGATGCTACGGAGAGATATCCCAACATTGAGTTTGCACACATGGTGAGTTGACGGATCTATAAAAAAAGAAAGAGAGGTTGCTAACTCGTAGTCAAGTCGATTCCTGACCCGTCTCGCAAGTTATTGTTCAAGGCCATTGATGTTTGAGGTTGTGGAAGCCGAGGCGCACATGCCAGGGCAAGCAGAGAGAGAACAGACCTTCAGAGTAATTTATTTTCACAATTGCGATAACACATAGACCAATGATGAAACCAAAGCAAACTAAAACTTAGTCATTCTTCCAGAGAGCTCAGCTACTGCCGGGCGAAGAGAAGTTGATATGATTGCCGTGCCGAACGCCTGACCCCTTCTCCCCCGACCCGTCATTCCCAGTTATCTACTGCACCCCAATTCCTATTAACGAAACACAATTCAACTGTGTTAATTTCCAGCTATGTAGGGAACTAGGCCCCATAAGAAGATAACCCAGTCGTTATGAGTTAGTGCCGGCGTATAAGGGAGTCTGGCAAGTCGGCAGGCATCGAATCCGCTACAATGGTTGCTAAACAACCATCATCTTCCGTAGTATAGTGGTCAGTATGCAAGCTTGTCATTCACAATGCGCTTGAGACCCGGGTTCAATTCCCGGCGGGAGAGATTGCCACGTGTAGAATACGCGAACTTCCTTTTTGCATTCCAAAGGGTTGAGTTCTCCTTTGTCGAGGGGGGTGTTGCGAGAGGTTCTGTCAAACATGACAGTTGTCACGTGATACTGACTCTGACTACACCAACCCATCACACCCCTTGACCTCTCGCTTTGTTCTACAAATCTCTGCTACAATGACAACCACAATAACATGCTCGTGTTCAAACTAAAAGATGATATAACTGACGAATGTCGTTGTGAATTCCTCACTAAGCAAATCAGAAGCAGCACGTGACTCCAAACAAGGGGTTCAATCCTTCTTGGTCGCTGGGTTAACCTCGGTTGGTTGTTGCTCAGTGTCAAGGTTGATAGGTACCTCTACTTGTGACCAAGGTAGAGAGCGTTCTCTTTTGCCTAGGGCGGAGTGGGATCCTTCACACTCAGTATCAGCCCTCAGCGCAGCAGCATCCCCCCGTTTCAACACCTACTGGAATATCAGTTCCTCTAGATTTCCATTGATCCAATCAGTCAGTCGTGTTGTGTTAGTGGTTGCATGCTCGGCAGCAGCTACGCCGTACCCATGCAGAATAAGCGCTCCACGTTCAACTCGCAGCGATTCTCCTTTAGGGAATCGCCGGAAGGATTGCTGCCTAAAAAAAGGAGCTTTGACCCGTGTTTCGAGTCGCGTTATTTAACTTGACTTTCTCACATCACGATCATCAATTAATCATCGCCAAGTACAGATCTCAATCATGGGTGGCCCTCGTCCCAAAAGCAGCGGTTTCCGCGATGATCCCGATGCATTGTCCATGCACACGACCGACGGTGAAGCCGCCTACACTGACGCCGTCGCTGCAGATGGCGATGACGATGCCGCTCCCCCTTATACCCCCATTGACAACAGCACCATAATGCCACCTACCACTGCTCCCCAAATCAGAAACCCAGATGCCGATGAAGAGGAAGAGCCGTATTGGACTGGCGTTACCGAGCCCGAGTCCCATTTCGCTTTCACCTCGTATCGCATTGGCAACAAGCGCACCCACATCGGGAACGAGGTGATCCACCTGCAGGACGAGCGCTCCGATGCCGATCCTCTGTTTCTCCAGAAATGGATCAACCTCATGGCTCAACTTCCTCCGTCGCCGTACATTCATATCGTCGGCACACACAAGGAGACGAAGCGTGACAAGGATGGGAAGAAGAGGCGTGAGGATGTGACCGATTTCCGCATCATGGTTAGCATGCGGAATTATCTGTGGCCCAACTTTAACCCCAATGGCCCGAACGAGATGAAACTCGTGACTGCGGAGGGTGGAGAGAAGACCTACCGGGGCACCGTCCTCAAGAAACGCGCGCCTGGGGCCAAGGGTGGTATTGAAGTTGGCCACGCAAAGCCTACTCTAAAGGAGTGGTGTCACCTCTACTGCGCCAAGGCGACGGCAACCAGAACGTAAGCGCAGCTTGTACCGCAACCTGTTCCTCTTGGCTAACATGTCGCAGATTCCGTCTTACTCGTACCGTCACCGGTATGGACAAGGAGCAGCTTCGCTCTCGTCTTACAGGCTTGATCAGGAGCACAAACTACAAGGGAAAACTCACTATCGAGTTCCCTGTTGCCGATCGAGCAGTCGACATCTACTCGACCAGCCGACTTAACACCTGGCGACTGACAGGTTGGATCTGCTGGATCTTTTACCTCACCTTTCTCTGGATCTTTGCTTGGCCTGTACTCTTCTTCACGACTAAGCGGTATCAAGTCGTTCGCGCCCAGTGGCCTTTCGCTCATGTTAACGAGCAGGGTCAGAAGAGGTACACCACTGTCAGCGAAGAACAGTGGACCAGTAGGTACGGCCCTGCTATCAAGCAGCTGTGCCTGGACCGGTACGATGGTTTGGCGGGTGACACCTACCTGAATGAGGTGCTGGACAGGGCAGAAGTGCAGCAGAACAACCAACCTCAGGTTGATACTCGGGCTGCCCTAGGTGTTGCCGCAGCTGCTTTCCAGGGCGGTCGCTTCAATGCTGCCCGGGGTGCGAGCAGCTTGATGCGCTTTGTCGGTGGACAAAACGACCAGGTCGGATGGGGTTTCGACACTTGAGGGCCATGAAAGGCCCATCATGTGAATCCATATTGTTGTCGGCATTGAGACTCTGGCTTCTTGATGAAGGACAGCCCGTATTTGAACAGAGGAGTTTGGCTCTGGAAAGCGAAGGGGATGTTAGTTTGCTCAACTGTTGTCTCTGATTTATATAGCAGTACTAATCATGAAGCTCTTGAACCACATATCAATCACGAGGTGAAAAGGGTTACCTAAAGTACTTGAAGACTTATACCTGAATATGGCTAAAAGATATGTGGAGAATAATATGAGGTGTAGGTGCAAGTGGTAATGTGTTTCTCATACGTGCTGGAGTCTCCCTAGTCAAGTGCACTAGAGCTTCGGAAGATGACCATAAAGAATCCCGAAAGTCCCCTTGCGCAACCTTCGGTTATCCAAGCCTATTCCTTGGGTGTGGAGACACCACTCATCTTTTCGTTATATACCTCTCGGAGGACATGCTCCTTCTTGGCATTATCATCCCCACCGCTGCGATCTCCGAACACAGTGTCCATCTCCTCAAGGGTCTTGCCTCGTGTCTCGGGCACGCAGAACCACACAAAGACAAAGGATAGAAGACCGAAAACGGCGAAGAACACGTAGGCTCCGAAGCCGGTGGCTTGGACGAGTGGAGGGGTGATGAGGCCGATGATGAAGTTGTTGATCCAGTCTTTAAAGAGTTAGTTTCTCTGTATGTGTATGGGTGTTAGGGAAAGGGGACTTACTTGAGCAGGTAGAGATGGCGACACCCTTGGCACGAAGGCTAGAGGGGAAAACCTCGGCAGGGACAGCCCAAGGAGTAGGAGCCCAAGAACCGCCAAAGACGAGCATGTAAAATAGCAAAAAGGCAACGCTGGTCCATCCTTCGGCGCGGTGAGTAGGCCAACTATCAGAAAAGAGTCCAACGGTAACTGCGATGATGACCAGAGGAATGACAGTCAAGACACTACCGATAAGCAGAATTGTCTTTCGGCCGAAGCGGTCCAAAGTCCACAAGCTAGTGAAAACACCGACGAGTTGGATAATATTCAACACACCAGACATGATGAGCTGCATGTTGAGATCCAAGCCCATGGTTCCAAAGAGCGTGGGTGAGTAGTAGATCAAGGCGTTGATTCCGATGAATTGCTGGAAGAACATGAGCCCGGCACCTACGAGGGTGCGTCGCCAGCAGCCGGCCTTGAAGCAGTCGGCCCAGCTGACAATCTCCAGCTTGATGGTACTCGACACAGTCTTGTTCTCGGGAGATGTAAGGAGAGGATGCCTCCCGGCAAGAACGCCGGTTTGGAAACGAGCCTCGGCGATAATCTCGATCCACTCCCTCTTAACACGGCGATCACTCTCTGGAAGTCTTCGAAGCTTGACGAGGTTCTCCAATGCTTCCTCTTCACGACCCTTAGAGGCGAGCCAGCGTGGAGAAAAGGGGAGGAAGATAGCACCGAAGCCGAGGATTATGCCTGGGAAGATTTGGATAAGGAAGGGAAGTTGCCAGGACCAGTGGCTGCTCATGTCTTTTGTCGAGTATGTGATCCAGAAGGCGATGACGATGCCGAGGACGACAAAGAGAGATTCGAAGACGAGGAGGGAGCCGCGGATTTCGGGGGGAGAGATTTCGCCGATGTAAAGGGGAACGACCATGGAGAGCCTGTAGAGCTTGCAGTTAGTAAGGGCTTTGACATGGGTTGGCGAAGTAGAAGGAGACTTGATGAGGCACTTTTTTCCGCTTGGGTTGAGAGATTTTGGTGGCAATGGCTTCAGCTTGTTATATTGAGTCTATTAGTGGTTTAACTAAGTAACTAACTGCTGTAAATGAAGAACGTCATGAGAAGATGCAAGAGCACTGCAGACTGATCTCGAACTGGGTAAACGAGCGTATGGAGAGAGCCAACGTGTAGAGAAAGTGAATGCATGTGCCACTTTAGAGATGTTAACCACAGGGACGGACACTGCGAGATACAATCAAGGCTCTGTAGATGGTGAAGGCGGGTTATACATGGCTCCTCCTGCTCGCCGCTGACAGGAATTCGCACCTAGGTTAAATCTCGTCTTCTTGGTCTGGCCAGAAAAGACGACGCCAAGTGCGAAGACGTCGGGAGTTTTTTCCATGCAAGTCAGGATGTGAACAGGGAAATTTGTTCCGCTCATGACTAACCCTAACCTCGTCCGCTCGTTTCTCGTCCTGGAACGCAAGGCTCGCCGGCATTGGGCGCCCCTTATGGCCGTACGCTTTCATCGGCCTACTATTGCTTCTCTGTGAGGGCCTCGCGTGAAAGAAGAGCGCGACTACTATTCTGGGCAGCCTTTGCCCCCGCCCCATCGCGAGATCTAATCCAAGGGGTCATCCCACCGGAGAGGCTTAGCTCTTACACAGAGTCGGGACGAAGGCGCTTTTATTGACTTGGCCCTAGAAGCTGCCCTTTAGCCTTTGGGCCTGCTTGTGGGTGGGCAGCCCAGGCCGCAAACAAGCCCAGCAGCGCCGCTACCATTGTACGCAGGTTGGTTGATGGGTCATGGATGACAATTGTGTAAAGTCTGGTATGGAACTCCTGTTTGAGAGTGTGTTGAAACACCTGTTGCCTTGATCTTTGGCTACGCGGGCTGAGGATGAAAGGGCGCAAAGACGCACAACACCAAGGGGGATATCGGTTTTTTTTTTCAGTAGTCTTACACCGTTACTCTTAATTATACATTATGCATTATAAAAACTATCATAAGAATATGCGACTCTCTGATAACCCTATACATACTACTTACTGTTCTTCGCACATCTTCATACCTAACCTTAGACAAAGATTCATTAGTTAAAGCCTTTGTAGTCTCATCCTTTTCTTGATCCGCGTACCGGTGAGCAATGACGCAACTTGAATCGTTAGTCGCCGTGGTCGCTTCGAGACGCGGGGAAGAAGCCCGCCTAGACCATCTCCAACTTTTGATGAGGAAAAAGATGCCGAAGGTGGTGTGGATCTAGTGCGGAGCATGGACGGAGCAAGGATCTCGGGTCGAATTTCCATCTTGGTCAACGTCAAGGACCGGGATGGCTTTAGACTGGATGGTCCGTGTTTGAAGTGTCTGGGGGTTCATCGTCATGGATCTAGACTTGCTTTTGCATCTGCATCTTGCATTTACTTCTCCACAATCTGAGAGAATGCCGATGTCAGAACGGGAGTTGAGATGGTGTTGGTTGCTTGGAACAGGCTCGACGGGGTAAATGGCTCCGAGATGGTGATCAAAGGCGACATCTCCACCCCGTGGGGGAGCCCGAGATGTGTTGTCTTTGCAAAACTTTCTAGAATGGAATGAAATCCCGATATTCGAGGATCAGTCTTGTGTATATATGGCGCTGGCCATTGCTCAGTCTAGTCTTGAATCAACAACCATCCAAGTCGAAGACAGCTCAGCCAAGATGTATGCCGTTGTCGTTTCCGTTTCTTTCCTCTCCTTTCTTGTCTACTACTTTGTTCTTAGCCCAGTATGGCTGTACCTCCGAGACCCTAAGGGCTTTCGTAAGTACCCTGCCATGAATTCTCTGGCTGGTATCACCGACCTGGGCTTTATGTATGAAGCATCAAAAGGCTTTCGGACGAAGCGACTTACAGAGCTGCACAAGAAGTATCCTGTGGTCCGCATTGGGCCTAACTCTCTGTCTTTCTCCGGAGTCCAAGCCATCAAGGCGAGTCCAGTACCTATAAAACCACTCCAGTTACTAACAAGTATCAGGAAATCTACGGCCATGGAACACCCTGCACAAAAGATCACTTCTACGTCGTAACCGGAGGGTCCCACACCCACCTGGCCGATGTCGTCAACAAAGCCGACCACGCTCGCAAGCGAAGAGTTCTCTCATCGGCCTACGCCATCAAGAACCTCGAAGACTGGGAATACAAGGTGGCCGACAAGACTGAGCGCTTCATCAAGGCTTGCGACGCCGCCTGCACGCTTCCTTCCAAGGGCTCTGCAGACCCCCACCCGGACGAGCTTACCTTTGACTATCGAAAGTGGACCAACTTCTTTACGGTCGAGGCCATTGCGGATATTGGTCTTTCGGAGAAGCTTGGCTTTTTGGATAATGGGTCTGCTGATTGCACGGCGGAGAAGAGAGATGGCACGTTGTATACTGCCAACTTTGTCGAGAGCCTTCACAACACCGCCATTGCACAGTCCCGTCTTGTTTGGGGCTATTCCTGGTATAAGACTAACGAGTACCTCGCACGTCTTCTATCCAAGGACTTTCGACGCATGCTCCGTCTCGGCGATCAGTTTGACGACATCGTATACCATCGTGCGACGAAGCGGCTGGCTCGGTACCGTGCTGGAGAGAAGCTTGATGACTTTTTTCAAGCTTTGATGGAGGATAAGAACGGGCGTCAAAACAACCAGGAATGGGGCGAGATTGTGGCCGAGGTATCTATCATGATGAACGCTGGCTCTGACACCACGGCTATCGCCATGAACAACGCCATGTACCACCTCCTCAAGCACCCAGACGTTCTCAAGAAGCTGCAAGAAGAGGTCGACTCTGCCCTTGACGAGGAAGAAGAGGTCGCGCCTTTTGCTAAAGTAAAGCACCTCCCATACCTCCGCGCTGTCATCGACGAAACACTTCGAATCACACCGTCCGTCACATTCAACCTCCCCCGACGTACACCCCAAGGCGGCTGTGCCATCGGCGACGAATTCATCCCCGGGGAAACATCAGTCAGCATCTCGGCCTGGACAGCCCACCGTGACGAAGAAGTATTCCCCGAGCCTGAAGAGTTTAGACCTGAACGATGGCTCGGCGAGGGTGCTCAGGAACTTCAACGTGGGTTCATTGCGTTTAGCACGGGCGCGCGAGGATGTATTGGAAGGAATATTTCGTATCTTGAGCAGACCGTTTTGCTTGCTTCTGTTGTTCATAGATATGGTATGGCGTTGCCTAGTAAGGACTGGACGCCGGAACTTGATGAGGGGACGAATTTGTTGACTAAGGAGATGCCGGTCAAGGTCTGGAGGCGAAGGGTTTAGAGAATTCTTACCAAAAGCATTACATGGAAGAGGAGAGCTATTTGCTTAAAGCGTTGAGTCTAGAAATTGATGGTACTACTTAAATCTACTTTTTCGCAAGAACAGACAACTTGGTCTGCAACAATGATAATGGCTGTACACGTATACCTCGCCTAATCGGATCGAGATGCTATTCCGAACCGGGGGACCTGCTACGGGATTGAACGATGCGATAAGGTAAATGAAGACATTAATTGGATAACCCCGTTACTATGTTGTGTATAGATCATCCAAAAGTCCTCCTTAGTTTCTCCATAATGTACAAATCCTCAGGCATCTCTCATCCTAAGCCTCAGCCAAATGCCTTTGCGCAGCCAACGTGCTCCAGCCATGCAAAGACTCAGCCCTCTTCAAAAACTTCATCAACTCGTCCTTCTCCCACCTCTCCTCAAACCTATCCCCCGCAAGTGCAATCCCTAAACTCGCAAGCACAAAATGCGGCGCACACTCTGGATTCCCCTCAGCAAGTCCAATACATGTCTTCACCTCCTCCTTAATATCCCTATCCTGCTGCTTGAGGAAGCGTGCCCGGGATGGACCGACGCGGGGCGTGTGTGGGTCGAAGGAGAGGAGGAGGATACGGAGGAGATGGTAGTTGAGGAGACCTGTTGCTGCGGCGTCGGAGAGGATCCAGATGTCGGGGGCTATTCGTCTGTCGGTGTTTTCGTCGAGGAAGAGGGCGTTGAAGCTGGGTGGCTTCTTGGCGTACCATTCTTCTGCGTATTTTAGTAGGTCGCTGTGTTTTTCCATCGCTTGATCCGGGCTCATGGGTTCGTCCCCAAAGCAGAACTTTAAGGTATCGACAAGATGTAATAGTATTCGGTTTGTCCAGGTGCCGTCGTCCGTCGGGCTATCGAGACAGCGGTCAATCTCAGGGAGGTAGAATGCCGGAAGAACAGGCCTCTGGCAGGCAAAGGCCATGTAAACTTCTTGACGGAACGCGACAATAAGAGCTGCACGTCGTAGACTGGTGAGCCTATCGGGTTCCCTGAGCACTCCTGGAGACCACAAGATGGAGCTGTGCTCTGATGCTGAAGCGCTGGCAAAGAGATGACCACCAAGCAAGTGCGATTGCGAGTCAGCTCCGGATAATGGCCCTGCAAGAAAAACATTAGTGTCTCCCCCAAGGTGTCCGGGACAGACTCACCATCAATCTCCTCCAACGTCCTCAACAACACAACAGCTGCAAACAGATCCTGATTCTTCAAAGCATCCGCAATCCCAAGCGTCGAAATGAGAGCATTCAAACACCTCTGATAGTACCTATTTGATATATAAGAGTCAAAATCCGTCGTCCTGCTCAGACACCTCGCGCTCAACGCCAAAGCGGCGTCTAGAAGAGGCGGACAGAACGCTGCTCTCCACGGGACGACCAGCGCAAAGTGCCGTTCAGGATCACAGAGGTCGAAGCGACGGGCGATTTTCTCAATAAAGTAGCGCATTAGTTTGGCTTCAATGGGGTCTTTGAGGGGCCACACTGAGATGTCCCGATAAACGGGTATTTCTGTGAAGGTGGGATGATTTGCTTCTGTGCAGTGTGCCCCGACTTCTGTGGGCAGTGGGCTGAAGCTATCGATGAGAGAAAGCGGTAATGCATCACCTAATGGGTGAACGACTGAGCCTGATGCTGGGCTGTCGTGTTGCCGTGAAGAAGGTCGTTCCAACAGCCTGGTGTTCGATAGATCTGTCGGCCAACTTGTTTCTGAGGTAGAGTCGTGGTAGCTTGAGAGATATGGCCCAGCATCAAGCGTTAGAGAATCGAGCTGCTGGTCCGGCGTGCTGTGATGGCCAAACTCACGAGACGGAGTGATTTGCTCAGAGTCATCCTGCGAACTCTTGCCTCCTTCATCGGCAGCGTCTTCTGTCTGGTATATGGACTGCAGGTTCTTTCCTTCATCCACAAACTCGAGGTCGCCGTCCAGTGAGCACCAGGTTTGATCCTTAGAGAACTTGTACTCATTGGATGCGGCATTAGCTGCGGTCGAGAGACTGGAAGGTGTTAGTGGAATAGCCCGTAAGGGTCATGAGTAGATGTGCTACCGAATCTTGGGCGGCTGGTGTTTGAAGCGAATCCATTCACTGAGGCACTCGACTCCATTCCTGGCGCAGCGATTGCATGGTCTGGTGTTATCGCCTAGAGTATGTGAGCGCGCTTCGATCAATGAATGGTGAAGAACTTACATTTAACATGTCTATAAATGCAGGATCGCGAGATTGACAATCAGCAGATGGCTAACAGCAAGCGTAGTCTGTGTAGCCTCCATACCTTAAGCGGCAATTCTAGGACTTGTCAGCAGAACCCTAAGACACGGAGAAGATGGCGTTACCATGCAGCTCTTCTGTGACCGTCTCGCCTTGGAAACCTTTCGCGAACCCGAGGACGACATTATACAGGAGAAGGAGGGGAAGAAAAAGAGCGAAGCATGGATAAAACCCCTTGTCGACGAGAGAGTCGAGACATTGGACCCATTTTAACTTTGTCTGGGGCAAGAGAAATGATGATGCGGGGTATGTTAGCGTACGGAGAAGCATCCGAGTCAGTTGATGCTTGTTGGAGAAGATGGGGGGTTTGGGAGCTTGGCGATATGGGTCTGGACTGGGGGTGTTGGAGCCTTTGGGGGGAAGTCTTTGCATTGTCTAGATGATTATAGGGTGCCTTGGAACACGTTCATAGTTCTGCCCGAGATAGCTTCACAGGTGGCACCGTGATGACCTCGGTCTTATCCATGCTTCCCCCTCTGTAGCTGTAGGTAAAGGTCCACCCACTGCCAGCAGCGCCGTGCTCGCCATGCTTGTCTACCACCACAATTCCACTCGAAATATCTGGATACTTGCGCAGCATTCGTAGAACCACATCCTCAGCAGCTTCTGTCGGTGACATGCCTCGTCGCAGGTTCTCGACAGCCTGGTAGCAAGGTAGGAATCGCATCATGACGTCTCCATCGCCTGTGGCGCCGCATCCTCCGACATCGCCATCGACGTAGGAACCACTACCGACGATAGGTCCGTCGCCGACGCGGCCGGGGATCTTATGAGACGCGCCATTGGTCGTTGTTCCAGCTGCCATTGAGCCTTCCGTGTGGATAGCAATTAGAGAGAGCGTGTCGTGTGAGACTTGCTTTGAGCGTGGACTTGGGTCTCCCAATTGAGGTTCATACGGACCACAAGAGGCTGATGGGTTTGGGCTCACGTTGACTCGATAATTCGGCTGGCAATTGTCCTCCTTCCAAGTCCGACACTTCTCCGCTGATCCAGCAGTCGTGAGATTCTCAGCCTTGAAGCCATTCTGAAGGGCAAACTCGGTCGCTTGATCACCCGCAAGCATAGAATGCGTCGTGTGCTGAAGAACATGTCTCGCAACGGAAATAGCATCGCGAACCCTACGAAGAGCAGCGACAGCTCCCGAGTTTATCGTGGTGCCGTCCATGATCATTGCGTCGAGGGTTGTTTCGCAGGCTTCGTCGGGTGAACCTCCATACCCTACACTTCCGTCACACTGATTGCGCTCGCATGTCAAGCAGCCGATCTCGACGGCGTCGAGGGATGATGCGCTGTCGCGCTGGAGAGCGAGGAAGGCGGCATTTGTTGCGGCTGTAAAGTCACCCCCCCAGGTATTGATGACGAAAGGAAGGCCTGGTGATGCCGCGAGGGTAGATGCGATGAGGCAGAAGAAGGCTATTGATGCTGAACGAGGGACCATGATGAATGGTCTCGGTTGCTCGGCCTCTCAGTCTGACATGTGCGCCCAAAGATAGACACTCTAGCTTATCAATGTCCCTACGCAAGGATCGAGATGTACGGATATGATGCCGTAACAAATGTCAGATTGATGCAAAGACAGGGATGCTCCAACGCGTGACTGCGGCGCGCGAAATGCGTCGTTCGTATTTAAACCCCTCAAGGCCACGTCTTACCTTTTCAAAACAACAACAATCTTTATCACACCATCGAGAAGACAAAGGTTCCTGAGGTGGAAAGCACTTGTCGTATATATATTCAGAGTAAATCTCGTACAAATTCGTAGAAAGAGACATCGCACGTGCCCATTACATGCTATAAAATGGCCGCTGCTGCAATTGACGCGTCTGCCTTTGACGCCATCGCGAAGTGTCTGACTGTCGCTCTTGATGTTTATCGCGTCGTTCGAGATATTCATCATGGAGAGAAGGCCTCAACTGCTGTCGCTGACTTTGCTGGGCTGTCGGATGCGCTGTCAAAGTCGGCCCAGCACATCAAGGGCGTTGTCCAAGAGACCGGCCGCGACGGGCACGGCCAGCCTCTTTTTTTGATCAGGTTCGCTTGTGTCAAGATATCCGAGGACCTCGTCGTCCATATTGATCGCGTGTTGAAGTCATCCGCCGTCAAAGACGGGCTTATTGACAGCGCCAACTTTTGTGACTTGTGGTCGCTCGACGATCTTCATGCCCTTGGCCTGCGACTTGACGAAGTCGTTCACCGCTTCAAGGAGATGAGAGAGGATTCCGAGTGAGTGCAGTCATCACTCAGAAGTGTCGGACTAACATTCAATTCAGCCTCGATGATGGCGAAGGCGCGTTGCAACACCCTTCGCTGGGTGACTTGACTGCCAGCGACGTCGATCCTGACGAGACCGACAGTCTCGCCCAACAGCTCTTGTCGGCGCCTGCTTCTCCCACCTCAGCTCCACGTCTTGCCCCCACCGGAATCATCAACGACTTCATCCTCGAGAGCCTTGCGTACTCGAGCATGCGCGACCGTGAGGATGAAGTGACTGAAGCCCATTCACGTACTCTTGAATGGATCTTTGACGATTCTCCCCTCACCCAACCTCTCCGGAATGCGTTTCGCGATTCTTTTACGACATGGCTCAAGACGAACGAGCTGGGTCCCATTTATTGGATCACCGGGAAGCCTGGCTCTGGCAAGTCGACACTCATGAGGTTCCTCTCCCAGGATCGTACGGCTATGGAGTACCTGCGCCTCTGGGGAGCTGACAAGCCCGTCAACACGGCAGGCTTCTTTTTCTGGACGAGTGGTTCTCGACAGCAACGATCGCAAACAGGCTTGCTTCGGTCTCTCCTCCATCAGCTGCTTTCTTCGACCCCAGAGCTTATTGCCAAGACATTCCCTGATCTTTGGGCAAGGGTGAGGCAGATGACGACAAAGGAGCGGATCAGCCTCGAGTTAGAATGGACCATTGTCGACCTGAGAGCTGCCCTCGACACATTCCTCAACGCCGCGCTGAAGGACGCCAACATTTGTCTGTTTATCGACGGTCTAGACGAATTCGACGGCGATCATCACGAAATTATCGACTTTTTCAAAAGTCTGACGACGAGAGACAAGACGACGGGAGCTAATGGCAATTCCCTCAAGATGTGCCTGTCCTCCCGTCCTTGGGCCGTGTTCAATGAAGCCTTTGGCAGCTCCGTGCCGAACACCAAGCTGCAGGATCTTAGCCACGAGGACATGTGTCGTTACGTCAAGGACGCGTTCAGATCCAACACACCACTTCGAAGACTGATGAGGACGAATGAGGAGGCGAGCGGACAATTGATCTTGTCGACTGTCCAGAGAGCGGATGGCGTGTTCCTCTGGGTGAGGCTTGCGGCCGAGAGGATGTTATCGGCATTCGGACGACGCGAGAAGTTTGAGACGTTGCAAGAGGCACTGCAAAGCCTTCCGTCGGATCTGGATGCGCTCTTTGAGAAGCTGCTGTTCCAGGATCAATCCGAGACCGAGGTCCTTGACACAGCAGCGCTCTTCCAGCTCATCCACGCCAGAGAAATCGTCGCCGACTTTATCAAGGATGAGTCATCGACCTCCCTCACCATTTGGGAGCTGGCATTTGCCTTACACAAAGATGATGACGTTGCTGCGTTGGAGCGAGAGGTTTGTGAGGCGACAGACGAAGAGCTTCAGACACGGTGTGCGATGACGGCCCGACACATCAAGAATCGCTTCTCTGGGCTGCTGAACATCCATCAAAGGCGAATCGGAAACCAAAGGGTGCATCGCGCCGACGTCGCAAAGCTCGTCACGAGCTGTCGAGTCATCTATATCCACCGAACTGTCCGAGACTGGCTGATGGAGGCGAATGGAGCGGGCGAACGCCTCAAGGCACTTCAGTCGCAGGACTTTGATGCTCATCTTCGACTCTTGCGATCATATGTCCTTCGACTTAAGTTTCCTCTTGATGAGATTGAACATCATCGTCGCTTGGACGAGTGGTACCCTGACATCGCGCTCGCCATGAGCCACGCTCGGTACATTCTCAATGACCCGGACAATCTTCAGCGGCCGCTTCTCAATGAAATGAACAAGACCATCTCATGGCTGTGGTTAGAGAAACCTTCGGACCCCTACGACCATTGGGCGAAGAGTACATTTGGCGCGTACGAGATCCGAATGAAGGCTCCTTCGATTCGGCGTCCATTTCTCTGTCTCGCCACCAAGTTTGGACTTACGGAATATGTCTCGCAAGAGGTTCAACATGCTCAAACCTCGAACGGCGACGATGAGGAAAATGACGATGGCTCGACACCGTTGCTGTCGTACGCGACCGAGTTCCTCTGCTCCCGCAACAAGACCATCTTTCCGCTGTCGTCCCCCAAGCTAGTCCACTTTCTCATCACGAACCAGTCAGCCATCAACCCTGGCCCTGATCACAAATACAAGCATTTCGTCACTGGTCAGTCTGTAACCCCCTGGTTGGCGGTTCTCCGCCACCTCCGCGATGCCAAACGGAGAGGCTGGATCGAACACTACGACATTGATCCAGAGGGCACTCAAAGATGGGCTGAGATTGTGACCATGTTCATCGAGCATGCAGATGTCCATGCAGTGGTCAAGAGAGATGCATGGGATCCAGAGATTACGGCTCTTGGGGTGATGAAGTTGTTGGAGGATACGTACGGGGCGGCGGACATGCACAAATTGAGGGTGCTCATGGAGTCACGGATTGAGCAGGTAAAATAAGTTAAAGGGACTGTACTAGAATAAAAGGCGATGTATTGTGTGTCTTTAGAAGCCTTGCCCGTGGTAGAGCCAGAGACAATGGGGCGTTTGGGACAGAGATGCACATGCGTTCTCCGCCAGTGACAACCCCGAGCCTTATGTCTTATTACAATATTGTCTTGAAGAAATGCTGGATATACTTACTAGAGAGTTTAATCCATAAGATTACTGACATATTTGGATCCATCACAGATGGTAGTGGCATGCTGGCCTGGTTTAGGTTGCTCCGATGGCGGCCGGCCAACAGGGTCGCTCCTTCATTGCCAACGACCATACCAAGCACGTGGAAAATCCGCATAAAATGAGTCTGTGATGGCATCGCTCTTGTCCTCGTTCATATTAAGTCCCCCGGATTGCGCCTGTCTGTTTTCTTTCTTTCTTTTTTTTAAACATTGTCCGGACCCGTCTCCGACCCGGCAAGCTTGCCACTGCTCCCATCGCATTACAGGGACGAATAAGTCAGAACGCGTTCAGACCGCGACCAACAACCATTCTTTGTGAATCTTTAGCTTGATATTATCAAATCCATATATAAAAGCGGCCATAAAAGAGCAAATTAAGATCAAGGTTTAGAAAGGTTTCTATATTACTTTATGAAGTCTTGGACTAAGACACCCAGAGATTCATGAGGAGAATATTAATGCTATGTTCTAAATTGCACCCCAAGACCTGTCGTTCTGTACGTCGTCTAACACGTCTGATGGTGCGGTATCTTCTTGTCTTGCTACCTACCTATGTATTCTCGTCTGGTAAAGTATATCTTCCGGAGTGAAAGGCTCGCAATTCATCTCTATCCCCGAGGAGGATGAGAGACCTTCGCAGGAGGAGCAGAAAACGTCATGCCGTTTCATGCAGCCAAACTTGAACAGTGAACCATCACTGCTGTTATCTTATCGGCCTGATGCATCTCAGCCTTATTGCCTGGAACTTCTTCAAACAGACGCTGGGGTCGGCGGGAGTCGCTCCTTCCCAACCAAACTCGTTGTTGCCAAACCCCCTCTAACCAGCACGTGAGAACACGTGAGAAGGGGGCACAAGTCGATCTCGTGAGGGAACCAGACTTCTCTTCTCCCCAAAACAGATCATACAAACTCGCATCTGAAAGAATGTCCTGATTCTTCGCCGACCCGGCAAGCGCCGCCGATCCCATTCCGGCGGAGGGACGGGAATGCCCTCACTATTCCCCCCACCGCCGCCGCAACGTCACGTCCTCCGCCGGCTCCTCTTCGCCAGCGCCATCCTCGTCGCCGCCGGCTCCTCCAACTCCTCCACCACTTCCGGTGATGACCCAGATCCGGGTCGCACCAGAGCTCTCCAGTAAGATCAGAAGCCTTTTTTTCTTGTCTCGGAGATTCTAAATGAAGCAAAGAGTCCTAATTTTCGCTTAGTGACGGAGATGGACTGGTCCATCTCTAATGACGAGATGAAGAACGGCCGATGTCTTGTTAAAGACATGGGGTGTCGAGGTTGCGCGAACCTCCACTTCATCCAGCGGGTCAAGGCCCACTGCAAGACCGCGGCCCATCTTGTAAGTATGAGACCCCTATCATATCCTGACTACCGGGTTTGGAAAGTCATCCAAGTACTAACCATGTTGTTCATTTAGCGATGGGAGGACGAAAAAGCCCAAGAGGCCGAAGAGAACTCTTTCCCCCGCCCCTCTCCCCCCGTCACCAGACCTTCGGCCCACCGTGGTCACGGTATTTTCGGCTTCCCCCCGGAAGAGCTCCCATCCTCCTCGGAGATGGGGATGGATCTTGATCCTCCCACTCCCGAGAATGTCCCTCCCGCTGAGTCGGACAAGGATAGGGTCATCCCTGACTCTGAGGAGGATGAGAATGATGAGTTGGCAAGAGAAGGAGAAGGGTCTACCGTTCACATTGTGCGGCGTGATGTATCTACCAACACAAGAGACAATCCTACAGTCATTTAGGGAATGCCATTAAGGAACTCCTCATTGCTTCTGTACTCTCCTCAGCAAAGGCTTCGTGAAATACATCAAAGGCTCTTCTAAGAACTTGACCTAACCTTAGATGATGTTACTCTAATCTGTTGTTCAACTACCAGTTATGTGGTAACAATAGTTGACCAACCACTTAAATCAGGTTGTGATGCAAAGTTACTCTAATCTTTCTTGCCGTGGGTGTGACGGAATGAGGAGACCGAACATGGCCATAATTTGTCGCGTGTAGTATCACCGATAATTGCCCAGTGAAAACGAAACACCACTCTGCCAATCCCGCGACAACATCATCTCGCTGACACGATCCACAGCAGCTCATTCCAGCTTTAGCCAATCACCCGGCCAAGCTGCTCGAATCATTAACTTCTTTCGTCCTAGCTCGTAATCACTGAGCCGTGAGAGCCGCTCGAATCGCTAACTCCTTTCGTCAATCACTGGCTCCCTCCCTAACTGCGACTTGGTATATAAAAAATGTTGATTTCGCCATCCATCTTGAGATGTCAAAATTCTTTAGTTTCAACGAGGATGTCATTCAATAATATGCCTCCGGATTCTAGGGATGGATACACCTGCCCTGGTGCACCTCCCCCATACTCAAATGACCTTGCACCGATGTTAGAACCAGCAGGCTCACGAGAAAGTCAACCTCCTGCATTCCCAGTTCCGACACTCTACCAAAATCCATCGACCCTTTCTCTACAAAAACCCATCGCCATACCAGCAACTAGCTCAAAGCTTGGTTCGCCTTTCTTACGAGCCTTCCCGCCGGTACTTGAGAGATACGGTTTACCTCGAGAAACGTTTCTCAGATTCCTCGATGACCTCAACCGCGCGACAGTGGCCAGTCCACCTGTCAAGGTCCTGGGATTGGCTGGCAGTATCGTTTCCATGGTACCCTTGCAAACCACGCAAATCATCGGCAACTCGGTTAGTGTGGCTGCGGATCTGGCAACGTTTGCCGTGAGCAAGTCTCGGAGCGAGCTGTGCATCTCCAAAGCCAACCAGGAGCTGTTCGCACCCAGAGGTCTCCGAGTCGAAATCGCGAAATTGGACGCAGTAGCTCGCTGTGCTCAGATGCCAATTCTTGACAGTGACGGCAAGATCGACAAGAATGCCTCGATCTTGAGTCCTTTGGAAGATGCTCTGGAGCAAACCTCCATGACTGCACAGCAGCGCAGGCTTCAAGCACTTGAACCTTGGATCGAGCCGTTGGATCTCACCCCGTTGCCTGTGCATGTACCCGACAACTTTATGGGCAAAATGCATGCTTCCACAAGTGAACGCCAACGAAAGAGAGAGGAAGAGAAAATGGCAAAGCACCGAGTCAAAGCGCATGAAGACCGGTCTAAGGATTTGCAAAAAGCGGAAGAAGACTATGAAAAGGACATGAGAAAACTTGAGAGAAAGACTATCAAGGCACAGAAGAAGCATACAAAGGACGAACAGAAGCTTGAAAAGAAGCTGGGGAAGCTGGAGCAACGAAAGGAGAAATACGAGGAGGACTATCAGAAGGACATAGCTAAAGCTGATAAGGATTGGCGAAAGGATGACAAGGAAGAAAAGAGCGTGAGAAAGGTGTTGTGGATTCTTATTAGATCTCTAGATAATATCCCTACTTAGATAATACCCTTATCGCTCGTCTGCGAAGCTTGGAGCTCCAACTTGAGTAGCATCTAGAATAACACCCTGAGCAACCAGTCGCTCTTCCAACTCAGGATATGGCAAATCTTGGAAGGCCAAGCCCTTGGACAATGCAATATCACAGGCGTTGGCGCAGGCCTGGCCAATGGCGTAAAACTGATGCTCCAACCTGACGGCCCCTAAAACACAAGTCAACAAATCGTGTCAAAGTTGTGGCACGGAGAAACTTGCCATATCCTACGTGAGATGAACTCGGGCATGTCACGGTGATAAAGTTAGAAGCGTTAGTCCGCTTGGGCACCAGAGCGCGATACGCAACTCCAAATGGCCGCCACTTGTGTCCATCCTTGAAGATGAAGCCCTCGTTGTGTACTTTTCCGTCGCGCAGGATTCTTCGTACGCTGTGTGTATCTGTCGGCCAGTATGCAACGGCCACAGGGTCATCTACCTGTGGCTCACCCACGTCACGCGAGGCAGTCGCTTCGGTGATGACATAGTCGGATACCATGCGCCGGCCGTCGCGGACGTAGAGCTCGTAGGGGAAGTGATCGTTGTCGGAGAACTCGTCGCGGCAGTAGCCAAAGCGTGACCATTCTTTGCGATAGATTTCCTTTCGAGGTTTACGGTTAGTCAAGTCTAGCGGCGCAAACGAAGCGGCAAACTCACGGGAACACCGGGGTCAGTTGATATGAACCATAGCAGTCCCTTGGTAAACCTAGCTGTGTCCTTGAGAATGACTTCCCTACCATCTCGAGACGCAACAGGCCATTCGTCATTCATCCCAAGCAAATCAGTAGACAAGGCACCCTCAGAACCTATCAGATCAGTCTTTCCGCCGGGTAACCGCTTGTTTGGCACGTAAAACTCTCCTCCTGCTGCGAAATAGCGTCTATGAAGTTCATAGTGAGCGGGATCATAGCCTTCTGGCTCTGAAAAAGGCACGCGGTTTTCGGGGTCATCAGTCAACGGTAGTCGATACGAGTATGACTGCAGGTGCAAGTCACCATCGCCTGGCCTTCCGAAGGGCTCGTCTGAGATGCCGTACAGTAGGCCGCTTGAGGGGTCTCCGGATTTGACGTAGGGGTCTAGGTCAACGTCGATCTGGCGGTATAGAGTCTCACCGCGAACGCCCGCAAGAGACTCGTTGTAGGTTTTTGATGATTCGCGGCCTCGGGTCCAGGTGATGCCAGCTGCCGCGAGAAGATCGCCCTCGTATGAAGCCTCGGCAAAGACTTTGCCCGGGATCGTATCGCCGTTTTCTAGATGGATGGCAAGGATCCCCTTCTCGTCACGATCAACCGCGTTTTTTTCTTTCAACGGGGACTTTTAAATGAAAGAAATCAGTAGCTGAAAGATTTTCTCAAATGCGTGAATGCCAACCTTGATGATGGAGATGTTGGAATACTCAGCCAGCCAGTCAGAGATGATCTTCTCGGCGACTCGGGCCTCAAATCGCCAAACATCAGGGTCTTTTATCTTCTTCTCGACGACCTCCTTAAGTCTTTCAAGGCGACCATAATGTCGGCTGATTCTCTCATGCAGTTCCAGACTCAGACCGCCAAGGGTGGTGCTGTTCTGGAACTCGGCCTGGTTATCGATATCCGTAGCACCAAGCCCATTGATCTGAATGCCACCTATCATTGACCCCTGTTATTAGGGCTTCGTTAGGTCCTTTAGGGATATTCTTACCGATATGCTCATTAGGCGAGACAAGCGCTACAGACCGTCCCAGCCTGGCGGCTTGAATGGCTGTGGCAACTCCGCCAGACGTGCCGCCATAAACAACAACCTCAAAAGCTTGAGTCATCTTTGGGTAGCTAGCCTTAGCAGTTCACGACTGGTATCTATTCACCCTTTTGTGCGTTATTTCTCACGTCACCAACGCGACAGCTCGCGAGTCATTATTCCTCTGGGAAAATGGCTAACCTTGAGGTCCGACGTCGGGCTTCAAATCAAGATGCCGAGTCTTGGCCGGGAAGGAACCACGGCAATAAGACCGGCTGCAGACCGCACTTATTGACCAATTGAAAGTATTTTCTGCTGGACACCACGCCGTGATCGACATCGTCTATACTTCATAAGTTCTAAGCGACTCAACCATCGGGTTCGCTCCCGACGAGGATCATCATCCTTAGACTGAGTCTCCACGACCCCAGACTTCTGGGGTCCGGGGAAGTGAGGGGGTCGGTTGGAAAATGGTTCATCCTCAGCTTGATGGTCCGATGACGGCCACATACTTAACAAGGTCGGGATGAGACTTTTGGGTTGGCGGTACCCGAGGAACAGTTCTCAAACTTCACAAGCCCTCATCGCAGTTGACAAAATGGGTCGAGGCGTGTTTGCGGGCAAGGCCGCTTTCGCTCAGGCGACTCCCAGTCTGATGATCTTTTGCACCATCTATGCCCTTGGAAGCATCTTTTTCGGATAGTGAGTGGTTTTCGGTCCCGATCTCTTTCACCGAGTAGCTCACGGCCACGGACAGTGATGGAGCGTCGTTCGGTGGCGTCCAGGCCATGGACCCTTTCTTGAAGACGTTTGGCAAGTGGAACAAAGAGAAAGAGGCCTACTATCTGCCGAGCGATTTGCAATCTCTGATGAACAGTTTACCTCTGATTGGAAAGTTCCTTGGAACCGTCATCGTTGGCCCCATAATCGAAAGGTTTGGTCACCGCTACACCATGGCCTTTACCTGCTGTATACAGGTTATCGGCCCCATTAGTGAGTCTCAAGCCCCGTGGCTCTCCATGTGAGGATTGGCTGACAGCCATACAAGTCCAAGTCACGAGCAAGAATCCAGCACAGTTCATTGTGGGCAGATTCATGGTCTACACCGCCGTCGGCCTTGTTGAAAATGTGCGTTTGACCCCCACATCGCCCTCAACAGCAATGTGTGCTGACCGTCCTCAGGTTGTTCCGACATACCAGTCTGAAATCGCCCCCGGAGCCCTCCGCGGCCTTCGTGGGTTCGATACAGCTCTGTCTCACGACAGGTTCGTTGATCGCAGGCATCGTGAACGAGTCCATGTCCAGAAAGACAGATAACTCTGGCTGGCAGATTGCTACAGCTCTGCAGGCCCTCCCTGCTGTTATTATTCTCTGCCTGCTCTTCTTCACCCCCAACTCACCTCGTTGGCTCATCTTTAATGACCGCTATGAAGAGGCACTCAAGGTGCTGAGGTCTGTCCGTCGGAAGTAGGATGTCGACAATGGTCTTCCCGAGTTGGAGCTTGCGTCAATGAGGGAGGAGGGCCAGGCTGGCAGAAGAAAAAAGGGGCCGTGGAAGGATCTTATAAACCGTGAGAACCGTAGGAGGACCGGGTTCGTTGATCACATGGGTACAAGCGACATTGTGAAAGAAGCTAACTTGCTGCTAGAATTGCCTGCGCCATTATGACCTTCCAACAGCTCACCGGCGTGACGTTTAGCTCTTCCTACGGGCCAACCTTCTACCGCTCTGTCGGTCTTTCAGATATGGCTTTTGTCTATGCGGTAAGTCTCAAATCGATGCTTTTACACATTTAGTACCTGACGAAATGGCAAGGTGGTCAACAACGCCACATCCGTCGTGACAGCAATGATGGCAATGGTCTTCCTCGACATGTTTGGACGTCGAACTCTCGTTATCCACGGGGGCTGGTCCCAGGGAGCCTTCCTCATTGCGATTGCTGCTTTGGGCCGCATCAAGAACCCAAATGTTCACGAGAGCAATGGAATCGTGGCTGGTATGCAATTGTATACATGTATCCTGCATATGACTCTCGGCCCTGGTGCCTACATTACGGCTGCAGAAGTCGGTACCCAGGCTCTTCGTGAAAAGACGATGGCTGTTTCTGTGAGTCTTCACCTGTAACCTTTGCATCCAGTGCCCAGGAAATGTGTTACTGACCATTTGTAGACGGCGTTGAATGTTGTGGTTGGCTTCGTTGTCGTCTTCTGTACGCCCTACCTCCTGCGCGAGATTGGATCCGGTCTAGCCTACATCTGGGGTGGCTTCGCCATCATGTCTACTATTTGGGCTTGGTTTTGCATGCCAGAACTCAAGGCATGTTGCTTTTTGCTCTTTTTGCAACCTTCGCTAACCATGACCAGGGCCGAAATTTGGAAGAGATCGATCAACTATTTGAGGCCAACATCCCCGCTTGGAAGTTTAATAAGTATCAGACCGGAGGTCTCACTCATGAGCTAGCCGTGCTAGAGAATGGGGAGACCCCTGGAAAGATGCTGGATGAGGAGGCTGATATCGATCGCGTGGAGAATGCCTGATTATGGCATCTGTGAGATCAAAACCCCTTAGTCAACGGTCATCAAACTCTTATGATAAGATCGTTGCTAAATCATTAACACAGTTAGCTAAGCATTTATAAACAATGTGATTATTCTCCCCAATGCTGCATCTCAACATCGTCCGGGTACATCTCCTCGACGATCTGCCAAATGCGTCGACGATTCGTCAAGCCTGGCGGCACAATTAAACCACAATCATCGTAACTCCACGGCCGGGCCTCCCCCTCTCCCCAGCGGCGTTCCCAGGTAGTTTCGGCTGGACACATGATCTGGCGCGTCAATTTCTCCCAGTCCAGGTCGAAGCTTGACGCTTTGTCGATGAGGTCTCTGTCGAGGTCCCAGAGGAACGGGATCCCGAAGAACGCTTCTTTCCAATAGTGCTGCGGCATGACATATGTGCATCTAGAAGGTAGCTCCTGCTGAAAGACAAGAAACATGATGTGTTGTTTGATGTTTTGTGGTAGCTTCTCAAAATATCTCAACTGGCGGCTGGGACTCGTTGGTTTATAGGGTTGTAGGTTTGAGAGTAGAGAAGCTGTCAGGTTTGGAATATGTAATGAATCCGAGTTCCACTGTGTTTGCCTCAGTGAGTAATTGAACTAGTAGAATCTCCTATTAGGACTTACCCATTGCTCGGCTGAAAGACGTGGCGTTCTCTCGTAGATGCATTGTCGCGGGATATAGTAGTTGTCCAGCTCTAAAAACACTGAATCCCCAGGTATTTGACACGGAACAGCTGGTAAGAACGGCACCTTGGCATTGTACTCCCAGCTTGACTTTTGGATTCTCCGCTCAAGAGTCATCCAGAGGTCGCCGAGAGAACGGATACCGGCTTTACCGGGCCTTGGGGTTCGCATGACTTTGTTGGCAATGTCCTCACAGGCTGAATGTATCCCGAGATATGTGCGCTTCTTGTAACGTTCATGGACGGAACAAATCTGGTCCCATGTTAGATGGACCGGTTCTTGCAGAGTGACGCGTTCATCGCTGGGCTCTAGATGCATTTCCTTGGAGCCAAAAGATGTTCTTGCAAAGCAGCGTGTGACGTCCTTATCCGAAAGGATCAGTGTTCTTGGACCCTTATCGAAACGCCACCAAGTAGGCCCTGAAAGTGCGACGGCTTGCTGTTTTTATCTATCTGGCTCCCAATGATGAGGGCCTACACCATGTCGAAAGGTTTGTGGGTACAGCCGAATACCACATATTACACAAGGCGGATCACCAATGCTGGCCATGGCTTCTTGGATTATGACCTTGGTGAAGATGAAAATGAACGAATAATATTATTTAGGCTAGCCAATAGCGATAATTGACTTTGGTTGTTGAGTTGGGATGAATGGATGAGTTGAATATCGAATTGCGTTGCGAAAAGGGGTCAGAAGGGGCACCATTTTAAGAGACTCCGTTGTTGCTTCGGAGACGAAATTACCAATCCGAACCAATCAGATCATTTGAATGCCCTGATTTAAGATTTTGGCTCGCATATCAATCCCCCGGCGATTGCCAAAACGTAGCCGTGTATGTTTGTGATACGGCCGTGGATGTTTGGCAATCTCAGTGCGGGCCCACACCATGGTCTACCCACACTGATGTGTCTACCCAATGGATCAGGATGCTCTCGCTTGCTGCATTCCCTTGATTTTTTGCTTTTTATTTGTGTTGAGACGGTAGTATCCTGCCAGATTCGACAACTGAAAAGTTTCGGTTGAAGAGGACTTGCGCACCCGGTTCGTCATTGCATCGCCTTTAAGCTTAGCTCGGGTTCTTCAAGAAAAAGGTCATCAAGCCCCACGAGCAATTTGATCTGCTCGGGCTGGTCGAGATGAACCATCAATGTGGAAGAAAAAGCGTATTTCGAAACCTGAAGATCTAATTATAGGCGAAGGGTTTACAAAGGGCCTGGTAGACTGGAGGTTGCTATCCTCTCTTGATCTCTGGAGGAGATTTGGGCTGGGCTGCTAGCCAGTACCTCTCGGTTTCATTCTTATCCGAGATTTCTCGCATCCGCTCTTCGAGCTCACTGGATGTACAACGCTCCCACGTTTGGTGTGACTGACTCGCAACAGAGGAATGAGGCCTGGCGAACACTTTGGCTAACCTGTGGTCGGGTGGCGGCTTTACTACCAGAAGACGAGTTCTGATAAGCTCCAGCAGGTTTCCGAGGGCGGTTGTCTCGACTTCACACGCCGGGTCCGCAGCCATATGGTCCATCCATTTAAGCACAATGGGGTCAACTGTGACTACCCGCGTGCCGTCCTGGCTCTCTTGTGTTTCTTGATAGAAGTCTCTTGCCGAGAACACGAACGCCGACTGTTTCACCCCGCTGAACCTATGCAAACCATCCATGCCATAAATGAGCCAGATTAGGAACTCAAGCATTATGCATCCCATTGACCAGATGTCAGAGGCACGCGGCTGGGGTTCTTTGAAGTATAATCCAGAGTTGTTCAATTCTGGTGCTTCGTAGGACCAACCCCATTTGGTCTCGTACGCGAAATGACCTCTCTCGCTTTCGATCTCTGACCACAACTCTCCGGCGCCAATCTTCAGGGTTCCAAGCTCATTGCCATTGTGGTTGCTGAACACATATATGTGTTCTGGTTTCAAGTCACTGTGGGGCAAACAAGGCAACTTTGGATCAGAATGAACCCTGTTAATGGCGCTAGCGAGTCCAGCCATTTGTCGAAACGCTGACTTGACTAATCCTGAGGTCAACTTTGGTCGATGGAAAGTGAGCCATAAGTTTCTCAAATTTCCGCCGCTGGCCCATTCAAACATGAAGTACCCGTCTTGCCGCCCCCTTCGAAAGGCGGCGAGAAAACGAACAAGGTGTTCGTGGTTGAGCGAGTTTATGTGAGATAGAGTTTCGACGTCGTCATCCCAGGATGACTCCATGCCCGAGGCGTCGTATGCTTTTTTCACGTCAACGTAGTACGGACGACGAGTATCCTATGTCAAGGGTGGTCAGCAATTGATCAAGCGGTAGTTTTGATGCTTGAAACTCACTATTGTCTCTTGATTGATGTGTTTTTCATGAATCCTGTACCGGATATTCCATGCCGGTTGACTGAGGTCGGTGTCTCTCTCTGTGAATGGGAGGATGGTGTCTGGCTCGAAATCGTAACTGAGCCCAGTGCTTGAAAAGACTGGAGCCAGAAACCTGTGCTGGATGATACAAAAGTACTCAACCGTAGAAATTGGCCATAACTCGTCATAACCAAAGATGCTACGATCCGACACATCTTCAATCTTCGTGTCGCCAATGGCTCCAGTCGAGAAATTCTCCACCCACCACGATCCTTGTAGGGGCAGGTTACTGTCAGTCATGCCTTTGTTGCGGAAAACCTCCATTCTCTTCCGTATCAACTGGTAGAGGGTGGGGTCTGTGAGCAATATAACAATGCCAAACAATTTCTTCGCAGAAATCAAGATGAATTCAGCCAAACTTTCCACTTCCGCCTTGTGCTGAGCTTTCGAGGACAACAGCTCCCTGACCACGGATTCTTTGGTGATGAGGCTGTCAAGGCTCCCATTTGGCAAGAAATACACTTCCGCCTCATCAAAGACACTCTTAACAAGTTTCGTACGAATCTGCTTGTACAGGCTGGCTCTCCCGAGTTGCTCAGTGGAGTTAGTTGCCAGTTTTTCTTCTTCGCGCATTCTTCTCAAAATTTCCAAAACAGGATCAAGTTCAGGGGGTTCTTGCTCTGAACTGGCGAATTTCCACTCCAAAGCAGCGTCAAGATCAGAAGGAACATCAGATATATGCCGTTCGTTGATCGTTGCCTCAGAGGCTACAGCGTCCACAAGGCGGCTGGGGTCATCATCGAATGTGAGGCTGCCCTCGAGATCCTCGACGAGTTGAGCAACTGCCTGATTTTTTCTGGCAGAATCACCTCCAGAATCCTCATTGCTTGGAAGCTGAGCTCCAGAGCTGGACTTTTGTTCATCGTTGGCAGGATCAGTGCTCAAGGACGGCAGAGAGAATAAGGCAATGGCTTTGAGGTGATCACCGATGTGTCGGCAAAGAAGAAGCGCCTTGTCCTTGTTGTTCATCAGAGGCACAATGTTGCTTGGTGTTGATTCGCACAAAGGGCAGACATGGGGCTCTCTGCAGCCAACACCCCAATTGCGTCGAACCAAGGCGTTGACATGAGCATCGCTCAAAGATGTATGATCACGATTGAGGTGCTTCTGCAACTCGCATTCGCTCTTGAACTCTAGCCTGTCGTGCTCCTTGTCGCAGAACCATGTTGCCATGTGTACCCTCTGTGGCCAGTCTCTGCCGTGGAACTTGTCCATATGTTGTAGCCACTGTGTTGAATTCGAGAAGAACTGTGCCGGATGCCGACATTTCTCTGATATGCATACGTAAGGCTGGATATCTTCATGCAAGTGTTGCCTAGAGAGAGATCATTGTCAGAAGATAAGGGTTGAAATAGGGGCTGGAGCTCACCTCCATGCTCCCTTGGTCAACTTCGAAGCTGAAAGTAACACCGAGCAATATGGGCAAACGCCATATCGTTCCTTCTCACCCAGAGCCGGAGGCTCGGGATACATGTATGAAAAACTCGTCTCCTCAACGGAGACAGAGCCTTCAGTGATACCAGAGAGAGCCCCAATCTTTCGATTGCGCTGTTTGAATTTGTTTCGGTCGAACTGAGAGAGGTTTGTGCTTGACGGAGTTGGGTTGGCAAAGATGCGGGCTGCTGGATGCGGCGATCCGATCCGTAGGGTAGTCTCTTTAAGAGGTTCCATCCCCCGTCTAGTCTCTGTTGTTAGTAGAGGAGCAGGTGTCGGCTCAGACGGCACAGGGGTGAGATCAGCGCCAGAGTAGCTGATCTTCTCCTCATGCTTCATTTTGTATAGCATATGATTGCGCCGAACAAAGACGGAGTCACCTAGTTGGTCGGTAAAGGACCGCCTGGCATCCTTGAACCAATTCCTGGCGAGAAGCTTGGAATATTCTGCAAAATAGTCGTCAGGTCGGTGGAAGTGTGATGGCAAGCTCGCGTTCCGCACTGTCGACTTTCGAATCATTGCCGTGAGCTCGATGAGCATGTCAATAGACCCGCCGACGGTTTCCCATGCGTTTCCCTTGTAGCTCCTCCACTTCTGCTTGATCAGAAACTCCTCGGGGTCGATATCATCATTGTCTCTTGACACGAAGGCCGGGGCTGTTTCAGCATCACCATGCTCATCCGGAGAGGACAGTGCTAGTAGTCAGACAGTCAGTGCCACACTTCCAACAGGGCCCAGCCGGTCGGTACCTTGTCCCATTTTTTGTTCAATCAACTCAAGCAAGCCTATGAGGGTTGCTTTGAGATCGAGGTGGTCCTTGAGGCGGTCATCGAGGGACATGCCCTTGCGAGCATCGACTCCGGAGTGCTTCGCCCACAGCTGTAGCATCTGCTCTACGGTTTGGGCTTTTGCGACGAATTCGGGATTCTGTTGGGCCAGGCAGTCGTCAATACGCCTGAAGCATGATTCTTTGGCATGGTGAATGCTCAAGTGTTGGGGTTCTAGTTGAGGATCGGCAGCTCGGATTTGTGAATTCATGATAGCCCACAACTACAGTAATGTTTGTGTTTAAGCTTTGATAAACAAAGATTGTCTTTCTGTATTCCTTCCGAAGTAGACGCGTTGAAAAATGCCTCAATGCAAGCCAGGTCAGCTGGGCGAAAACAGCCAATCGAAGAAAAGTGCAACATTGGCAAGATGTTGGCGCCAGAAACACTGTGTATCACACAGAGTACCAATGTATCTTTACAGTGTGAAAATCTCAACTGCCACGGCTCCGGCTGCGGTTGATGAGGAAAACATGGGCTGACCAACGATCTCCTCAATTTTCAGCTTTCCCAGCCACCTTCGACATACTGAGCTTCTAGAACCGATCAGAGGAGCACAGCGTGTTGACCACGTAGCTCATCATAACTAAGCAACTTTCCGCGTCATCTTGCGTCTTCCATGACTTCAGACTTTCGACATGCCTCGCGAGCCCGGTTCACCCAACCAGGACGATTTTCACGCTGCGTTGACGATAAGCCTGCAAGAGTCTCTAAAGACTGCTAAGGAAGTCATTCCAGTATTCATCTCTGGTTTAAACAGAACCCCGCTTCTCCGCAGCTGGTTGAGTCTGTTGCAACTCAAACTCAACGAACTACCCAGCCCGTACGACTTGTTGGCACTCAACACTCAAGCTCTAGCCAAACTATCCACTCGCCTAAAGGAGCTGTTGTGTCAGCTAGATGGTTTAACATATCAAGACTCGTCGGAAAATCTCAAACCATTGTTGGCAGTGACAAGCAGGCCTGACATCAATCTCGATCGGGCGGCGCAGGACGAATCTCAAATTCTGGAAACTTGCGAGTTACTTCAGCTAGCTATTGACAGGGCGTGGCCTAGATCAGCAGCCGGAGTTGGAGATCTAATCATGGATCAAAATGCTGCCATGGATCAAGTCGAGGATGTTTTGCGCGAAGCAAAAAATGCCAACCAAGTCTGCAGTCGCCTGGAAAAACTTTATGAGCTTCTTTCAAAGAAACTACGCGGCTGCAAGTCCTCGGAACACGTTGCCAAGTTTCATCTGTCCGGACTTGATGACGGTATCATCGGGTTCTTATTCTCTAGATGCGGTGGAACGCAGGGCTGGCATCCGATGCCATGCAAAATCCATCAGTCCGTACTCCCCTTTAATTTGGAATCCAACGTCAACTGACTTTTTATCTGCTTAGTGGCAAAACGAATCACCACGTCCACAACAATGGGCCTAGTGGTAGACCTACCATGATCCCCTTCCGCGGATGCAAAGACTTTCGTCATGCGGAGACGTTGAACAAGACCTTGAATAAGTCTCTTACGTTGAGCCTCAGCAAAGGCCAGGAAATCTTGACAGGATCTGTCCCGAAGAGTCAACTTGCCCGAGAATACGGAACTGTCCCCGAGAAATTTCTGACCCTCAAAGAGGTCCTCGGTGACAACAAGCCAGACCAGACTGCGAGGGCGACCACAAAGGCAGGATGGTGGTACACCAGTCTCATGGCCAGATTATCTCAAACGCCCGAGCAGGAGTTAAACGATGGAGAGCTCGACTACAAATCTTCCTTCACGAAAAATGTGGCCACCGTGCAATATCTTCTCTCCGAGTCTGTGCTCCATCTCTACAACAGTCCCTGGCTTCTAGATATTTGGCAACCCGACCACATTGAGTTCCCCAAGGATGGTACCCTACTAAATTTCAGAAGGCCATACTACCCCTCTTCTTTACAAGTTGATTCGTCACAGGAGTCGATACCGGAAAAAGTCGACGTTCCAGACCCTTATGACCACGCAGAAATGTTCATGGCCAAATTTGGACTGTTGATACTTCAACTCCAACTCCAACAAGCCTTTCCCTTGGAGATGGAGGACCAAAGCGACGATATATGGCCGTTGATTGCCCTGGGACGCTATTACGACGATTTCAAAGAGTCCATAGAGCCCATCAAGGAAGTTGTGGATGCTTGTCTGGATTTCCGACGACACCTTTTTGAAGAGCTAGATGCCCAGGACGAAAGCGACGCATTCAGGTTTCGCATGGTTTTCTACAAACTTATCTTGATGCCTTTGAGAGTAATCCTTCAGCTGAACTTCCCCGACGTTGCCAAAGACATCGTTTGCAACACGATACCTCAGGAAGAGGATCAGGAAACTCTAAACACACAACCACGAGAAGGGGCGACAGCGATCGAACTCAATGGCGTCTCTTCGAGAGCGGCATTCGATCCACAGGTTCTAGGAGAGACTATGCTGAAAAGGTGAGGACGCTGCTGCTTGTGAATAACAGAGCTAATAATGTTACCTGATAGACCTAGTCCAGCCTCGTCAACGGAATGGTTCAGCAACCTTGACGTCTTGAACGAGTATCTGACTGCCCAGACTTGCGAAGGTAGTGAAAATTACGACATGAGCCGTGTGAGGGTTGCGGTTATTGACTCTGGGTTACGGGAAGAACGTCAGGGAGACGCATACATCACCTACCAAAACTTCATCGAGACGTGGAACGACGCCCACAAAGATAACCCACAACACGGCACAAACTCTGTAGACCTCGTACGTAAGGTCTATGGCCGCGCGGATATTTATGTTGCAAAAGTCTTCCAGGGAGACGAAGCAGATGGAAACACATCAAAGTATATGGCTGAGGTGAGGAATTACCGACATCATCGCCCTCTTGCGGCCGCCTTCTCTTTCCCATTCACATTTCGGACTACGCTGACCGTAACAGGCAATCCAGTGGGCCATCAACAAAAAGGTCGACATCATCAGTATCTCAGCAGGGTTCAAGGAGGAATGCCACGAGGAACTAGAGGCCCAGATCAAGATGGCCACCGCCGGAGGTGAAGCACCTGAGATCCTCGTCTTTGCTGCCGCTTCCAACTGGCAAAACATTAACGGCGTTGCCTACCCGGCCAGCATGACGGATCGGGTGATTGGCATTTTCTGCTGCAATGGTGGGCTGAAAAGCTCCAGGCAGTGGAACCCCAACCCTCGAAATCACGCGGCAAATTTTGCTATGCTCGGAGAAGACGTGGCCTTGGACTCAAGTGCGAGACTGCTCGGGGGGACGTCTGTGTCTACGGCCCTAGCAGCTGGGCTAGCGGCAAAGTTGCTCGACTTTTCTCGTCAGCCAGATATTCAGACATGGATGTCCAAGGCCAATCGAGAGAAGATGAAGACAAAGGCAGGGATGAGTGCCATTTTGAAAGAAATGTCACGAAACAACGTGAACGAGGGATACGAATGTATAGCTCCATGGGAGATTCTCCCTGCTGATGCGGCTTCTGGCATTGCAAGTCGGGAGAAGGTCAGGGAAGCCGTGTGTACGATTATCAAGAAGGCCATGAAGAAAGTGTAAGACATGGTGGGGGGAGTATCTATATCTTTAGGAATGTGACAAAGAAGGAATTAGAAGGCCCTTTAGAATCCCATGCAGGATTAGTTGAGCACAAATGCCAGTTCCAGTTCCTCATCTTCGACCACGAATCCAATCTCCTCCATACCCTCTCTAGCCACCACGTCAGCAACGTCTACTTCGTCATCGCCTGGCCCAAATGTTGCACCCTCCGACTCTGTTATCATCGACCAGTCCCTCTGGAGTATCACCTGACCAAAGGATTTAGATAACTTCGCTAGCCTAATTGCCCAGACAAAGTCCGTAACAGAAGAGCCCGATGAAGCCTGCTTGCTGTCATTCGTGAGATTGCCCTCCGCGCTGACGCCAGCAACATCTGGAATCGACCTTCAACGTGGATTAGTGGGGCGAATCCTGAAGACGAGGGAGTACCTACAACCCTGATTTGGTATTGCCTTCTTTGTGAGTCTCCTCCTTGTTGCTCGTATTTGCTCCACGGGCGATCATGATCCCCGTGATCATGAACAACTTCCATGTTCCCAATGTCTTTTCAGACTTGACGTGGTCCGCCACTGAACCCCCCGCAAGATACTCGTTGACATACGACTTGACTGGGTTTACGATGTAGCAGTCCAAGCTCTCAAACTCAGAATAGTTCTCAACTGATTTCCGAAAGGCCCCACTGGCAGTTGCTTGAATGTCTACACCAGCAGCAGTGACAGCAGGGGCCCTTGCGGATACTGATGCATCAGCTTGCGTGGACTGGGAGTCATCCCACTTGAACTTGATAGTCTGAGAGTGCCAGACCTTCATCTCGCCGGGGAACGGTTTGATGTCACCTCTATTGATGACCTGGTCGAGATGATTCAGATCGGGTATGAATTGGCCAAGGAGGATGGGCCCCGTCTCCGTACTGGTCCCGAGTGTCTTTTCATCCGGTGCAGGGTTGTGTGTATGCCTCAGCTTGAACCAGACCTTGTCCATGACTCGTTCTCTTGAGCGATAAATCTGCAGCTGGACAGGTTGAAGGCGATGCCGAGAAGGCGATGTAAGATCTGGATAAGAACCGAATCTGCGGGGCAGTCAGGTATCAGGCTGTGCCAGCCACATTCTGGGCCAACCAGCTCACTTGCGCGGCAGTTGATGCAGGCCGCAGCATTGCGGCCTGAGGTTCAGTCAGCCTTATTCTAGATGCCAGGCTTGTCAGACACGGAACTTGGGCTCCCCTGCGATGTTATTATGTTACAAGTTGGGAAGGACGTCCCTTATAGTTATTTTTAAATTAATGCGAATAAAACAACTTGAAAACGATAAAAACTAAAGCTTCATAAAGGAAAGGCTTCTTCGGGGGTTGAGTGCTACCTTCGCGTCGGTCAAGTTGTGGAGATCGGAGATGATGACCACGGCAGAACAGGAATTTCCTTGCAATCTGAGTAATGGTAATCCGATATTTCCCTCCTCCGCTCCTGGCACTCTACTCATTTGTAAACTTGTTCGAATATGCCGTTTCATGTTTGAATTGAATTCTGAATGCGACCATTAGTATGTCTCTGTTACCCCAGGCACGATACAAGGGTGAACTTACTTGTGTTGGCCTAATTTACTTAAACGTCTTTGCCGAATGTCGACGGAGTACGAACACTTGTGACCGATTCTTTCGCATAATTCACAACATGGACGATGCCCGTTGCACTTCCAAGCTGGTCAGTGGGGATAACTAACCGGGAAACTAACCTTACGGGGATATTTAAGAGTCTACACCCATTGCAGATTCGCGGCGACTTGCTCGTCTTGGTCTTCTTGGTATAAGGCTTCAGACGCTCATCAAGAGGGTCAATTGGCGGAAGATGCACATAGATAGTCGAAGGCATTACTAGGAGATTCCCAGGGGCGAAGCGTGAGAAGAAGATGATGATGTCAGGACGTTGGTGTTGACGGACAAGGTGTGCGGAGAAACATATCGTCAGAGGCTTGTCACGTTATGAGCGATAGCCCAACTTCATGTGCGGCATACTGTAAAATCTACCTCGATGATATCAAAGAGATTATAGCATTGGTAGATACAATTAATAATAACGCACGTCGATTCTTCCTACTGTCTTGGGTATTTTAACAATGATCCTAGAATAAGAGAAAAAATATCTAAAGCTATGAACAATTCTTCACAACCTCCTCCTAAGCTCACTTGTAAGTTTGCTAAGACTTAGCCAATCATTTGTCGCGTACCTAAAATCTATGACAAGTGAGACATAGGTACGTCAAGAAATTCATGATAGATGGGCTCGTAAGGATGGACACGAAAGTAATTAAAGGACTGGCAAGGCTGAAAATGGCAACTCATAAATAAAGTTTTTAATGGAAAACCCGTCAATATCGTCCCCTGGTAGGCTCGGAACAGCCCCACAAGTGATCGGCATTAGATCGGAGGATGCATAAGCCGCCCACTTGCCGGAGCCACGCGTCTCCCCTTTTCTCTCTCATCCACCCAAGTCCAACTCAGCTTTGATGTTGTCATCTCAAATTTGATATCTATCGCATCATATCCATTCGCTCGGGTTAGCCCCACGCTAGAGCTAGATGCCTACCCGTCCGCATGTGAGGACCGGTTGCCGGACCTGCAAGTGCGTTTACTTGTCCCACCAAGAGTGCTTTGTGTTAACATCGGTAGAGCTCGAAAAGTCAAGTGCGATGAGGGAAAACCGTCGTGTCGACGATGCACCTCTACTGGACGTGTATGCGACGGCTATGAGTCCATATCAACTCTGACATGGTACCGGCCTAATCAGCTCTCTGCGCGGGACCAAAGAGAAGGCCGAGCCTTTCAGTTCTTCACAAAGATGGCTGGTCCCGTCATGTCCGGTTCCACAGACTCATATTTCTGGACGCATCTAGTTATGCAGTTCAGTCACTTCGAACCCACAGTACGCCATGCTGTCTTGGCCATTAGTTCGCTCTACGAAGAGTTTGCTCGGGGCTCGAGGATTACTCGTCAAATATGCGGTAGCACGTTTGCCATTGGGCACTATAACGCTGCTATTCAACAGATCAAGTCATCGGGTGATGAGTTGTTGATGTTGTTGCTCTGCATACTCTTTGTCTGCATCGAGTATCTCCAGGGAGATATCTACGCTGCTCTCGAGCATTGTCGGCACGGCATCGTGATTCTCAACAACTCGAATTGCCCTGGATGGGCACATCAATATCTTGTGCCCATATTTCGCCGGCTGAGTATAATACCATTCTTTCTGGGTGGCGTCAAGTCTATGCGTCTCCCAAGCCTTATCGGATTTGATCCAGCCATTCCAGCAGAGTTCAGCGGTATTGCTGAAGCACAGTCGTTTATCGATAACCTCATGCTCCGATCCATGGAGTGTGTCCTCGACGGACTGGACGACAACAAATCTTCCCTTGTCACACTACTGGAACAGTGGGAGGCGAAAGCCAAGAGCCTGGTGCTGATAATACCAGCCTCCTCTATTACGGACAGATATGCTTTGTACGGCATGCGTCTCAAGCATAAAGTCACAAGCATATACGTCGAGAAACCACGCGATGCCACAGAAATGTGGTATGATCAACATTTAGACACCTTCCGAGATGTCGTGGACATGGCGAAGACGGCGTCAGAGACTTGGGAAACTGCAATGCAACAACAAATTCCTGACTCGAGCTTCTCTTTTGAGATAGGTTTCTTGCCTCTCATGTTCTTTGTCGTCATCAAGTGTCGGAGTCTTGCAACTCGCGTCGAGGCCTTGGCGTGTTTAGCCCAGCTTGGCCCAGCAAAAGAAGGGCTATTCGACGTTGGGACTCTGTATAGAGTTGCTAGGCGTCTCATCGAACTCGAACATGGCATCTCATTAGATGATGGCACCATCGGCAGCAAGTCAGTAAACGCCTCGCTGCCACCAGAAAAAGCACGATTCTTTGCCATCCCAGTCAAGCACGAGTTGGAAGTCATCTCCGGTCAGGATGGCAGCATTCACTACAAGCGGCAGATTCATTTCCTGCAAAGAGATCACCAGGGCCAGGTGGTTTCAAGAGAAGAGTACATATCAGATGAGAAACCCAGGGGATGCAAAATATACATCCCTCCAATGCGAAGCGCACAACGTATGTAGGATAATAAGATATAGGATGATCTAGAGTTCGACTCAGGGGATGCAATTCACCCAATGACGTCTTCCAAATAAAACTAATAACTTATTCGGCCCTGCTTTGTCTCAAGTTGACTCGCACCTTGTGGCCAGTTCGTTTTGGGCTCCACCTCCGGTAGTTGCCCCCAAACTTTATAACGAGGCCGATCCGAACGTCGTCCAAGCGTGTGGGTCTGTCCCGAGGGCAGACGTAATCCTCGGGCTATGTCAATACATCCTATATAGGCCGTGACATATTTAAAGGGCATGAATTACGACGATGAATACAGATTTTTGATCCAAGGGCATTTGTTCTCTCTCAAGTCACGTTTCTTCAACTGCCATTTCAACTTGATCAACTCGATCACTCTTCTCATGCGGTCTACCTATCTCGCCGGCGCTGCACTCTTTGCAGCAGCCGTTCACGGTGCTTCTTTGAGCGACATATGCTCCAAGACCTATGCCAAGTCGGCTCTTCCCGCCGATGGCTTCATCTCCGGCATCACGATCGACCCAGACTCTGTTCAAACGACTCTGGTCTCAAACGCCAGCTTTCAGTCGGAATGGTATCCTACTGCTACCGCCGACTATTGCAACCTCACTTTCGCCTATTCGCACGATGGCATTGACAGTGATGTCGTTCACGTGTCGTATCTACTGCCCGCTCCTAGCAAGCTCCAGAACCGCTATGTCTCTACTGGCGGAGGCGGCCTTGCTATCAACTCTGGGAGCCAGTATGCTGCTTCCGGACTTATAGTCGGAGCTGTTTCCGGAATCACCGACGGCGGCTTTGGATCATTCAACACCCAGTGGGATGAGGTCTTCCTCTTGGCCAATGGCACCATCAACTGGCAGTCTGTCTACATGTTTGGTTACCAGGCTCATCACGAGCTTGCCCTACTCGGCAAGGAGCTGGCAAGGAACCTTTACAATGTGTCCAAAAGCTCCAAGGTCTACTCTTACTATCAGGGTTGTTCTGAAGGAGGCCGTGAGGGATGGAGTCAGGTGCAGCGTTTTGCCGACCAGTTCGACGGTGCTGCCATTGGTGCTCCGGCCTTCCGCTATGGTCAACAGCAGGTCAATCATTTGTTCGGCAATGTGGTTGAACAGACCTTGGATTACTTCCCTCCTTCGTGCGAGTTGGACAAGATTCTCAACTTGACCATCACTGCTTGTGACGGTCTGGACGGAAGAGAGGATGGCGTTGTCTCGCGCTCTGATCTGTGCAAGCTCAACTTCAATCTGAACTCCACGATCGGTACGGCCTACTCCTGCGAGGCATCCGGTTCAACGGGCGGACCAATGCTGCGGGCCCGACAGTTCTCCCAGCCATCAACCCCAGCTCAGAACGGGACCATCACAGCAGAGGGTGTTGCCGTGATTCAACAGTTCCTCGACGGCCTTCACGATTCTGAAGGTCGCCGTGTCTACCTTAACTACCAGCCTGGATCAGGGTTCACGGACGCCGCCACTTCCTACGACGAAGAGGCGGAGACCTGGGGCTTGAGTATCAGCGGACTCGGTGGCGAATGGGTCGCTCGCTACCTCCAGCTGCAAGACACCAGCACTCTCGAGAGCCTCGACAACGTCACCTACGACACGCTTAAGGAGTGGATGATCTACGGTATGAACAAGTATGCAGACTCTCTGCAAACCACTCATCCCGATCTGAGTGACTTCCACTCCGCAGGCGGAAAGGTGATCCATGTTCACGGAGAATCCGACGACTCCATCCCCGCGGGGTCATCTGTGCACTACTACGACTCTGTCCGCAGCGTTATGTTCCCTGAGAAGAACTACAACGAGAGCGTTGCCGCCGTCGACGAATTTTACAGACTCTTCCTTGTCCCTGGTGGAGCTCACTGTGGCAGCAACTCGAACCAGCCCAATGGTGGTTGGCCACAGACGACTCTTCAGACGGTTATCGAATGGGTTGAGAAGGATGTGGCTCCTGAAACTCTGGATGGAAGCGGTGGTGATATCGATACCATCTGCCGTTGGCCTCTTCGTCCGCTGTGGTCTGGTGACTCTCTTGATTGTGTTTATGATCAGGAGTCTCTTGATAGCTGGACCTATGATTTTGATGCTTATAAGATGCCTCTTTACTAAGGGTCATTGAACTTGACTTCTAAGACACTACATAGATTTTGTCAATACATTCTTTACCTTATTCATTATTAAGAACTCGTCCACCGTAGTGTCAAAGTGATCAGATGTATTTCGCATCATCCGGCCTCTTGTATACAAGCAGGCTGAGAGCATGGGAATATTTGCAAATATTCGTGTCAGGGGATACATCATACATAGAATGGGATCAGGTTGCTGATATGACGTAAAACATCATCTTGGAGCAAGATGATTCCGGATACTCCGTAACACCGCAAGCAGCCACTGAGGCCATAGACTATTGCATATGCTCTCTTTCAGATAAGGCAACTTTATCGGTAGGAATTGCCATCTTTATAAAAGACTAGCAATTACCCACGGGTCAACTGACAATCCTGTCTTACCCAACTCAACTCCCTTCCCCGCAAACAAGCCACCCCGCAGTCAGTTCTCATTAGCTTGGAAGCGGCTGTAGTAATTTTCCGGCGGAACTTTACTCAATCTGTATTGAGGCCCTCTATCAAGCCGGGATTTATTTCCCCTTTGCGGGAGTGGCGTATCGGAAGGGTCTTCCGAGCCCACCTCGACGTGGAGATGGGAGATGGTGATCCTGTGGCACGCTGCGTATTATAAATGAAGGAGAGAGCAGAAGATAACAGGGTCCTCATCTCTGTCCTTGAAAGATCCTAGTTCACCAATTAGTCCAAAAATGGCCGACGTTGCTACTATTCAGCCCACCCAGCACGCCTTCAAGGATAGCTACCTTGTCAACGATGGCCTTCTCAAGCCGGACATGATTGGGTCATTGAGGCCCTCTTACCCCTCCGACCCCATCGATGTTCTTCAGGCCCGCTATGAAAAAGACGGGTACCTCTTTATGAAGGGTATTCTCCCCCGGTCTGATGTTCTCAACTGCCGTGAAGCCTATTTCAAGTTCCTTAGTCCGTCCGGCGTCTTACAGCCTGATTCCAAGCCTGTGGACGGTATCTACAACGCTGGAAACAAGGGCATCGACTTTCCCAGCATTGGTGCTGGACCTTGCTTAGAAGGGCAGACAGGTCCAGGCTCGTTCGCCAATCTCGCCGAAAAGGCACACACCGAGCCTTGGTACCTCGAGTTTTCCAACCATCCCGCTCTGCGAGAGTTCGTCGCCAAGCTCAGGGGCTGGGGAGAAGATACCTTTCTACTAAAGAGGTCTCTTCTGAGAAACAACACACCTCACAACGACGCCATTGGTGTGCATTACGATCAGAGCTTTCTCCGATATGGTGAGCCTACTTCGGTGACTGCCTGGATTCCAATTGGAGATATTGGCCTGCAGGGTGGTGGTCTAATCTACCTCGAAGACAGTGAGTTGATCTGTTAAATTTGTGTGAGGGGTGCTAAAAGTACTGTAGGTGATCCTCTTGGTCAGCAGCTCGAAGATGAGTTCAACAGGAAAGCCAAAGAATGTGGCATGTCAGAAAAGGAACGAAACGACGCCTTCAACGCAAACATGATGACTACTGGGTGGCTTGGTTACGGACCCATCCAGTTCAGCAAAGACAATGGTAATGGGAGATGGCTCCTAACAGAGTACGAAGCCGGCGATGTTGTGTTTCACAAGCCTCACATGGTATGTCATCTACCTCTACGCTTTTCAACATATTAACACCCTTAGATCCATGCATCAACGATCAACAAAGACCCAGAGAACAGAATCCGTCTTGGCACAGACCTCCGGTTTGTCGACTCATCCAAGCCTCACGACACGGTACGTTGTGCAACCAGAACGGTGGCCTTATTTACTAACACTTATAGCGATGGTCGGCTCCGTATCGATTCGATGACGGCCTGTAGGGGGGTCGCAAGGTGACGGGCGTAAGGTATGGAGTTAGCCAACAGACTGAATGACGCGATATAGGTAAGATTAGGTGTTTCCTGCATAGCCTAATCAAACAGATCGGGCAATTAATGGCTTGTGTTTTCAAGATTGCTAAAAGTATTTGCTCAGCCACGTTTCACCTTGCCTCCCATTTCCATCTCTTGTCTATTGCTGTTAGGGATCAGCTTCGTACTCGTGCGAGCTTCGGGTACCACCTCGTATTCTGAACTTGAGAGCATCACCTATGATTCGACTTTAAAAATTGCCAGCATTCCTGATTATTTCCCGGTGATCTAGAGCCAACGGCAACTATACGGTCTTGATCAGTGCGGCTGGAAGCTGCCTAGAATTTACAGCATCATGCCTGTCAGCGTCTGTGCTGGTACTCCACAAAAGTGATCCTTGACGCGGTTCTCGTCTAGTCTATTAGTGGGAGGTTCTTGTTAAAGGATGCCTCAGGAGCATCTCTAGGAGCGTGAATTTCTTCACATGAACTCATGACATACCTGTGAGCCCCATTTTCACATCTTCGATCCAAATTTGCCTCGCTTTGCTAGTGAAAAGTCTTGACCGCTCGTGAGAAACAAATTAATTACATTTTTCCCTGTTCGGGCATTTCAGATTTAGGAAACAAGCGTGTTTCAAAGAAGCACGGTGATCCTTCGTGTGGGCTGAGTGGGCTCGACAATCAAAGATCCCTGGAGAGATCCCATGCCGACATCCGAGCGTGGGCACTATAAAGGGAGCTTGATGTCTTTGAAGATTGTATTCAGTGCACACATCTTGAATCATATCGACAAACTACCCATCATGAAGTTTACATCTGTCCTCTATCTCGCCCTCCCAGCTCTGTCGCTAGCTCGCGTCCGTCCGCCCTCCCTATCTCGCAGTTCATAACTAACCCTCATCAGCCCTCAGGTGCCTGCGCAAGATCTACTCCAACCCCCGAAGTCGACCTCTCCATCTGCAAGGACGTAGCCGGTTCCTACGCTCGGTACTGCGACCGATGCGAGCATCTCTGTGCCGACAAAAGAACCAGCCTGCAGGTCTACGAGATGTGTATCAACTCCATCTTCTTTCAGGCCAACAGCTGGGATAGCCAGTGCTGGCAGCACGGCGGCTTCGACTGCGGGCCTAGGTCTATTGACAAGGTCTGCGGTCCTGCGAAGTAGAGTTGGCGAGGAGGCGTGTATTGCATTCTTCATGTACAATTGTTTCCTTCTGGATCACTATTATCAACTTTAAATGGATCGCCTTGTTGGTCCCATTCGCGGTTTGGTTGTCCAAAACCGATCTGCCGTCAATTTACTTGAAACCCATTGAGCGGTGTTTTTCTCAACCTCATGCAACATTCTCTACGATCGTCAATGAAGAATTAGCTACTCTATTACTGTCTATCGAATTGAAATGATCTCTTCTTTCGCGACAACTCCAGCTGGCCATTCATCCCGACCCCCCATCAACCTATGCACATAACAACTCTCCAGAAACTCATACCCATCTCCCTTAGGTCGAAGTACAACAGGGTAAGGAAACCCATGCAGCATCACAACGACATCACAAACCTCCATCGTACACGGTCCAAGACCAATCAGTCCGCAGCTGGTTGCGAAAAAGGCCCGGTGATGCAAGGCGAGGCGCATTATCATTGCAAATCTAACAAATGCCTGCTCGCCGGGGGATCGGTCTTTAAATGTCGACGTTGGTATAACTCCGTCCTCTGGTAGAGTTGGGAGGACAAGGCCGGGCTCGTCGAGGTAGCTTTCAAGAAGGATGAAATCGTCAGTCTCATTCCCTCTGTACTGTCGCATGGGATATTGGCGACCCATCATCAGCATCGACGATATCACTGTCGGCTCTTCATCCATGGAGTACATCTGGTTAGGCCTGAGGGTATCTCGACGAAAAAGAGATCGGAGGTTCTTGAAAAAGGCCGCCAGCGCCGATGCGTCCTTGACCACATCTTTGCTAGGTGCATCAAACCGGTAACATATATCGTCGATGATATCCCCTCGACACTTGAGCACAGAAACATCATGAGGGTCGATTAATTCGAGCTCTGTACTAGCATCGAACTCGCCGCTAGGGTCCACCCTGTTGGCACCCATGTCTATATCCTCATGCCGAAGATGCCACCTCGGAACCCAAGACGGGATCTGCGAAGTGTCTGCATTCTCGTTCAACCTTGGCAAGACGAATCTGAGCACATCGAGTGTCTGTGTTTCGATGATGGCGTATTTCGTCGCCGAGGCGAGGATGTCACGGAGGGGCCGCCTATAATCTACCTTGAGCAGAGCTTGGAAGGAGTCATTCGTTTGCACGTTCCTCTTGACCAAGCCAAGGACCGAGAACACAGCATCCTTCGGGTCGGTGGAAGACTTTGTCCGCAGAAAAGCGAGCAAGGCGACTAGAGTTCTCGAATCCACGGGAAGCTCTTCATTTGTTTCTGAGGAGAAATAGCTCCAGAGTAAGTGGAGGTCTCGGATCATCAAGATTTCCTCTGGAGTGTGAGACCATGCGCGGTGACGGTACAAACTGTGGCCTGCTTCAAATATGGTAGATAGAAGCCTTATTTCTGTCCCGCAGTAGACTATTGACTCTGGAGCCAGTACTGCTTCTTGAAAGACCTATGATCGTCAGTCTGGATCGTTTACACTTCTGGGTTAACACTCACCCATTTCCTCTGAAACCATGGCCGCCGCAAAAGGGTAAACAAGTCATCCTGTGTATCCTTGAGTTTGAAGCTGGGCTCCCCCCTCTCTCCTCTAAGTCTCTGTTCGAACGACGCGTTGAAAACTGAACGGGTGAAGCTCCTGGATGACAGCATGGACAACATTTCAACCATGGGGTCCTTGGACTCTCGGTCAGCCTCCCTCGCGGCATGGCACACTTTGTCCACAGTATCAAAAGCCGTCTTAGCCGTGTTATCAGTGTCGGCACCCAGCCAGACTAGACATCGCGTGCATTGAGAGTAGACGGCGCCCATGAGGGATACCTGCTCTCCACGCTCGACGATATCCTGCTGGTTGATGCAGAGGGCATCTATCCATATTCGTCTGGGCGCATCGGAAAGCCGAAAACGATGGATTACTTCTGATGCGCTGGCGGGGATCTTGACCGCGATTCCGTCGAGGTCGCATGGCTTGCAAGGAGTTGGATCGCCCCAGCAGTAGGAGATTGCTTCATAGCTTGGAGGATCTTTGGGCTTGGATCCCTGGTCGAGTGAGAGGCGGGCAACCTCAAGATGACATTTCAATGGGTCTTGAGGCTGACCGGGCTGGACTATCAGGATCCTGATATCTCCGGCTGCGCTTTGGATGCGCTGATAAGGGCTTGCCATGCTAAATGATTGCTGGCTAGGGTCAGCCAGTTAGGGGAGTTGCTATCAAGAGAAGACTTTGTTTAAACGGAAGAGGAGAAAGTGGAGGAATGCATTTGACTCTATCGCAAGAGAAACGGGAGTTGATATAGACATCTCGCCATACAAATGGACTTTCAGCCGTTGCCGGAGATCCCGGGTAGCCAATACCAACCATGGAAAATATCTAACAGCGTCTTGTGGCTGTCAAGGACCAATAATTGATGATGGGTTGAAAATGGACCAGGGTGGGAAGTCAGGCTGGACAAAGAATCAAGGGTGAATCTTATCCGACTCCACGAAGTGGAAGAGCAGTCATCAAATTCTTAAGAGTATTTGAGATCTTTATGACAATTTTGTCCTTCACTTTATAAAGACCTTATATAACTACCTATCATAACTCTAGAGAGGAGTTTGAAGTACTTTGCTCCCAAGTGCGCCAGCCTGACAGGCTTCAATCTCAGCAAGTTGTCTACCTACCCTAGGGGCACTCAGCCACCACACTGCGCGAGGCTTTACCAGTTGTGAGATTGCAAGTCCAAGAAATGGCCATCTTTCGGGATACCGACAAAGTCATACCGAGCTGCATACAACCGTTCCAATCATTCGCCGGCCAATTTAGCCGCCGCATGCAACCCCTCCCCAAACTGCAGGCCTCAATTGAGGATCATCATGACCACCTGGGTTTAAAAGAGCCTCACGGTCAATCGGACCGAGAGGAATATCTTGCTTCCTTAGAGGACACATTCATTACTCTACCAAATCATCGCCAAAATGACCGACACCCAAGTTCATCCAAAATCCCCACCCGATTGGAACAACATCGAAGTCATCCATCGCAACACCCTCCCACCTCGAAGCAACTTTTATCTCTACAACACTGAGTCCGATGCTTTGACACGCGATATCACCAAAGCAAAGGCTCTCTGCCTGTCTGGAACTTGGAAGTTTAACCTCTCCAAGTCTCCCTTTGAAGGGCCAGACAAGTTCCACGACCGCGACTTTGATGCCTCTGGGTTCAGCGACATCCAAGTCCCCGGGATGTGGCAGCTTCAAGGCTTTGGGAAGGGGCCGCACTACACCAATGTCGATTACCCGTTTCCAGTAGATCCACCCAACGTGCCCTTCGCGGACAATGAGTGTGGACGGTACATCACTACCCTCAAGGTCGACGATAGCTTCAAAGATCATCAGCTGCGTCTACGTTTCGAGGGCGTGGACTCCTCATTCTCCCTATGGATCAACGGCACATACGTCGGCTATTCTCAAGGGTCTAGGAACCCCAGCGAGTTTGATGTCACAGAGCTGCTCGACTTCGAAGGGGAAAACATGATCGCGGTGGAAGTCTACCAGTGGTGCGATGGGAGCTACATCGAAGACCAGGATCAGTGGTGGCTCAGTGGCATCTTCAGAGACGTCTACCTGCATGCCTTACCTAAGACTCATCTCATTGACTTCCAAGTCGCCACTGAACTTGATGACAAGTTTGAAGATGCTACCCTAAGAGTTGACATCGAGCTGAGTGGCTCCTCGTCTGTCGAGCTCAAGCTGCTTGATCAGGAAGGCGGAGAAATTCTGGAAGACACCAAGAACATTTCGGGCAAGGACAACTTTGAGCTGTCTGTCAAAACACCAAAGAAGTGGACCGCAGAAACGCCGTACCTTTACACACTCGTCCTCAACATAGGCGAAAAGAGCAGCGTCGCCCATCGTATTGGCTTCCGTACCGCTGGGCTAATTGACGGGGTCTTCTGCGTCAACGGCAAACCCATTAAGATCCGAGGCGCAAATCGACATGAACATCATCCGGACCATGGACGAGCTGTACCGTACGAGTTCATGAAGCAAGACTTGTTGATCATGAAGCAGCACAACCTCAACGCCATCAGAACCTGTCATCAGCCCAGCGACCCACGACTCTACGACCTGGCTGACGAGCTGGGCTTCTGGATTCTCGACGAAGCAGATCTAGAATGCCACGGCTTCTCGTCAACAGGTGGCGATCCAGCGTCCTTCATTTCGGACAACCCAGCTTGGGAAGACCAGTACGTGGATCGGGCTAGACAGATGGTTGCCCGTGATAAGAACCATGCCTGCGTCTTCATGTGGTCTCTCGGGAACGAAGCCTTTTACGGGCGGAACCACAAGGCTATGTATAAGTGTATCAAGGAGATGGATTCTACGCGATTGGTGCACTACGAGCAGGATTACGAGGCTGAGACGGTTGATCTCTATAGCCGCATGTATTCCAGCGTTGATGAGATTGTTGACAAGTTTGCAAAAGCGGAGAAGTGGACGAAGCCTCTCGTTCTGTGCGAGTACATCCACGCAATGGGAAATGGACCCGGAAACATCAAGGAGTATATCGAGGCGTTTTATCAGTATCCGAGACTGATGGGAGGATGGGTGTGGGAGTGGGCGAACCACGTAAGAACGCACCCTCAACGGTACACTACGACATTGCTAACCAGCGCAGGGGTTGCGCACCAAGACCAAGGACGGGGAAGAGTATATGGCATACGGGGGCGACTTTGGCGACGAACCGAACGATTACAACTTCATCATGGATGGCGTCCTTTTCTCAAATCACACGCCCACGCCTGGCTTGACTGAGTATGCCAAGGCTGTTGAGCCTGTTCAAACACTTTCGCTCGAAGGCAACAAGGTGACAATCGTCAATCGCTACGACTTTATCGGGCTGGAGCATCTCAAAGCTACCTGGAAGATTGTCGTCGACGGCAAAACTGTACCTGGAAAAGAGATCCAGATACCTGGCGGTATGCCGTCAACTTGCCCTCCCATCAAACACGGTCTAACAGTTGACAGGCATCAAACCTCACACACAGGCAACCTTAACTCTAGACAGTTATGATGAGTCTCTTCTAAGTGACATCACAGGTGAAGCCTATCTTCATCTAAGCTTCGTCATAAAGGAGGGTACAAACTGGGCATCAGCTGGCCACCAGGTCGCCTTTGGCCAACTTCAGATCTCCAAACCCGAGTCAATCGCTGCACTACGATCCTTGGGCTCCGGACCACCAACTGTGGAACAAGTATCCCCATCTCTACTCGTCGTTCGATCATCGACCGGAGATTCAACTTGGGACATCAATCTCGCCGCTGGGGCCCTCACGAGCTGGAAGCGTTCTGGCGTTGAACTCCTCACGACTCCCATCACGATGGACTTTTACCGTGCCCTTACCGACAACGATCGCGGTGGCCACGGCAAAGAATGGCAAGAACGTCGCCTACACCAAACGTCCCACCACGTGCGACAAGTGAAATGGCACACTGACTCAAACACCGTCCAAGTTCAAGTCACTGGCCGCATCGCGCCGCCCGTTCTCGCCTGGGCCGTCGATGTCGTTACCACGTACGACTTTCATGGAGACGCTCTTCGCATTCAAGTGCACGGTAAACCGCACGGATTGCGACTGCCCGAGACGTTTGCGCGGATCGGCGTCACGGTTGGGGTGGACGGTGTTTCTGATGTAAAGTGGTGGGGACGGGGACCGGGTGAGTCGTATGCGGATAAGAAATTCTCGCAGGGCTTTGGGAATTGGAGTGCGAGTGTAGATGATCTGTGGGTGGACTACGAGTTTCCTCAAGATGGAGGTAATCGGACGGATGTACGCTGGGTTGAGTTCAGCGGGAGTCAAGGGCGTGTCTTGAGGGCGAGGTTTGGGGACATTGAAGGCGCAAGTTTCTCGGCGATGCCTCATACGACGAGAGACGTGGATGAGAGCACTCACCCATATGAGTTGCGGAAGAAGAAGAGGGAGGACACGATTGTGAGGCTGGATTGGAAGCATCATGGGCTGGGAACTGCGTCCTGTGGGCCTGCCACTCTGCCAGAGTATCAGCTGCGGACTGACAAGGAGTTTGACTTTGAGATACTCCTGGACTAAAAGTCTTGGCAGGTCCTAAGTGCGATATGAATGGGATGATGTGAAGGAGAGATGGGATTAGAGATGTAGCCTCATGACCACAGAACATCTATCTACCAGAACCCTCGCACATTTACACCCTCTTCACCTGGAGAGGCTCACGTATACGCCCAAGCCGCATAATTGTCCCCTGCCATCTGAATCTGCACCCCGTCGACCTTCAAACACCCCTTCCCTTTGAACTCTCCCGTTGTCGCTTTGAGTACCGCCTCGTCTGCCATCGGCATGTTGAGAGAAGTTGGACATGCCCACATGCCCCGGTTTCCATCCTCGGGTAGCCAGACCAGAACTTTGATGGGCATCTTACACTCCGAAATGATCTGCGAGGCTTGGAAGCCGCCGACTTTGGAGCCTGGAGGTCGGAGGGCCGAGTGGGCGGAAGGGTACGAGATTGTGCCGTCGGGAGCAACGAAGATGAACTGGCCACCAGGCACTGCAGCCTATCAATTTGTCAGTTTGTGGATGGTGCAGTAAAGGCTTGAACTCACAGCGAGGGCTGTCATTCTCTCGTCAACCTGTGTCGAAGTGCCATCGGGACATTCGGTGGTGTTGTCGAGGCCACAAAAGGTTCCTGGCGCCGAGGCGCCGATTATAAAAGCCTTGTCGCGTGCGTTGATGACTCGAGCGTGGATCTCTTCGATTGACGGGGCGTAGACTGACATGGTGTAGTAGGCGTTTACTACTACCAGCGCAGTGAGTAGGACGCCTGGGATGACGGGCTTCATTGTGGTGGAGGTTTGTAGCTGTCGGCGTTTGGGATTTCGGGTTGGCGATTGAAAATGTCGGAGATAAGAAGATGTTGAAGTGATGAAGCCAAGTTAATTCGCGTCGCTGATAAAAGACAGTGGTGACGCTGGGTTGGACAGACGGGGAAGACCGGTTAGGAAGTCGCGTCCCTTTTCTACTTGCCTCCATCTGCACGTAGCATCTTCGTTACCCCCGCCTTAACGGCATTCAAGATACTTGGCTCGGAGGAAGACAACCTCTGATAGAGGAGGTGACCGCGTGTTGAAAGGGACATGTCCAGCCCTCGTCCATACGACAACGTCTCCATCCCTTAGGTAGGGACTCATCCAGACTTGCGGGTGTACCTCTGGTGCATATATCAGCAAAGGAGGGATCTCTTAACGAGGACAGCCGCACTGGCGGACTTCCCAATCCTCCTTCAACCGTCAAATTTGAAGAATGATAGCTTCGTGGAGGCCAAAACTTTGTAACTGCGATGACGAGGACCCTGAACACACCTTGAGCGCTTGTCCACCCCACGATTCGTCATTGGGAACCTCGTTCCCCCAGACTCAGATGCGAGAGGGCCGTACATCGAGAGCTGAGCTCAAACTACGCGGCTAGGTGACGCTGTTCTCGTTTCCAGCACCACGGGTGACGTCTAGGAACGTACGAGTAGAGACACAAAAACGTCGCCTCTGCCCTCTCCACATCATGGTCAACAAGTACGCCGTATCGCAGAGATTTGGTCCCCCATCTTCGCCTGAATGGGGACTTGGGAATAGCGCCTCGCTTAGCCATTGTGCGGGTATCGCCTAGACAAAGAATTGAAGCCTTTAACCAAGAAAATGTACTCGTATTATCATATCTATTGCTTCGATGCCTTCTTACCCTTTATCTTCCCGATGAAACCCGCCAACTTTGACTTGAGCGCCGGCCCAGTCGTCTCATTTGCCCCAACAAATCTCCTAATAAGAATATTATACAACCCTCCAAACGCCAGCGCAATAGCCGTCGACGTGAAGATAATCACGTTGTAGGGCATGCTGAAATCAGGGGTAGGTAGGTACAGTAGCAGACTCGTCGTGCGGATGTTCATCACCTTGGGTTCGAGAGTTGTGATGACGGCTGCTGCGACATCGAAGCCACGGTTGGCGTCGGGGGGGTATTCGGTGTAGCGGAGGATGGACTTTTCAAAGTCGTAGGTCAAGAAGACGGTGCAGTGTGGGGGAATGCGCATTAGGAGCTCGAGTTGAGTACCGCGAGCGCGATCCAGGGCTGGGCGATAGTAGATCTCCTTGATGATATCCGTAGAGTTCTCTGCGGGAGAGTCTGCGATGCGGGCGGAGAGGGTATGGAGATAAATACGCATGAACCAAGGGAGTGACTCCATGTAAACAAACTCTACATCAGTGTCGCTTGGGTTGCTAAGAATGGCCTGGACACCGCCGTGTTCCTGACCATGGCCGTTGAAACTACGCTCAGCATAGAGAAGAGGCGTTTCAGGCTTGTTCAGGAGCTTGTCCTTATCCTGGGACTCGGGCCCCACTAGCATAAGCTCAAATTCATCGTTGGGGTCAAGATGGTAGCATCGCGATGAGCCATCTGGGGCCTTTATCTCTCGCGCGCCTTGTGTGGCGTAGAGATCTCGTGTTTCGGGGATCTGAACGCAGATGGGAGGGATATCGGGATCGGTAAGGGGGCATGTTCCCTTCATCGGTCGGCCAAACACCTGGGAGATGCTCCAGTCCTGACCGTCGAGGCTGTCGGCGGGGAAGCATGTAAACTCGGCATGGTATGGCTTGGAGGTATCGCAGATGAGCTGGTCGCCGGGAGGAGGTCTCGGGATGGGGTTATCTAGGCTTGGTTAGACACGTAGGTCAAATTGGCGAAGAGAACGTACTCTGAGGCCTCTTGGATCGGTTAACATCAAGAACCATGTCGATGGTCTCCTCCATCTCCAACACACAATCGCCATCCGCCTTGCACTTGGGTCGCACATCGATAGCCATGCTCTGGAAAGACGCATCAAACAGCTTGTGACCATCCAGCAGACTAGCAACGCCAGCCTTGCCCTTGCAAGGGAGCAGCTTCAAGAAAGGTGTCAGGTTCTCCGTGCAGACAACTTCATGCGGCAGAACACCGTGAAGAAGTCTCGTATTGGCGAGCGACGAGTTGGAGTGGTCTCCATCGGGCTGGAACGACATGACCGGTCGGATCGTCCTCGTCGAATCGATAAAGTTGAGACTGGCGCAGAACAAACCCGACAGGGCATTCGTCAGCGTCAACCATTTCTCATCCGCCTCCTCATCCGTCTCAGCATCCAACCATGCCCACAGCTCGACACCAGTACCGCCCTCGCGCGTGCCATCCCAGGGTCTCGCACCCCAGCGCTGTGCATCCCACCGTCCTAGTGTGAATCGGAGGTGAAGCTCCCTGGTGCCCGCATACTGTAGGATCTGCCCCAGCGAGCGCGGGAAGAGTCGAAAGTTGTGCGCCTCAAAGTCTGCGATCGAGGTGTTGGCGCGGAAGTTGAAGCTTGCTAGAAGCTGGGATAGGGGCAGCGGGCGGAGTGTCAATTGCTCGTGGTAATCGGATGCGGCGGCGAGGCCGAGGCCATTGGTGACGGCGAGGAGGAGATACGCCAGAAAGTGGCGCATTTTGAAGGTTTAGATATCGTAATAGGGCTGAAGATTGTGAGATCCGACTGGATTTCACATCTCACCCTGCCCGTTTTTTAAAAGATCGACTTGGAGTTGGTCTTCGTATCTTGAAGCTCCAGCTGTCCCACATCTCCAAGTCGCGACGTGGACAATGACGGCTGATAAGGTAAGCGGTGAGGTTTGGCAGAAACATTCGGCGCGCGCTTCCTCCACATGCCGTCGCATCTTTGGATCTTCAAGGCCCCGCCATCATCACAGCTACCAATCTTTACCACCAGAGTCTTCACGATCCCTGCGCAATAGTACACCATGGCCGCCGAGCAGAGGAAGCTGCTGGAGCAGCTTATGGGCGCATCCTCGACGTCGCGCGCCGCCCAGCTGTCCATGAACGATCCCAAAGTCTGCCGCTCCTACATCGCAGGAACATGTCCACACGATCTCTTTACAAACACGAAGCAGGACATTGGGCCGTGCCCCAAGGTTCACAGCGAGGCGCTCAAGGCTGAATATGAAGGTCTATCGGATAGGGAGCGACAGAAGTACGGTTTCGAGTATGATTATATGCGCGACCTGCAGAAGTACATTGATGAGTGTAACCGACGCATCGATGCTGCGCAGAGGAGGTTGGAAAAGACACCAGATGAGATTCGCCAAACCAACGTTTTGGTACGCCCACTACCCCATTTTGTGTCAAAGGCATGCTAACAGTTCCCAGCTCAAGAGCATTTCAGACCTTACAGCCAGCATAAATAACGGCCTCCTCGAAGTCGAAATCCTCGGCTCCATGTCCGAAGTATCACGCGCCCAAGACGAACTCTTCCGCGTGCGCCAAGCATCCCAGTCCAAGCTCGATCGCGAAAAGGAGCTCAAGGCGCTCTCAGACACGTCTGGACCCTCGGGCCACCAGAAGCTCCAGGTCTGCGATGTGTGCGGCGCGTACCTGAGCAGGCTTGACAATGACCGCCGCCTCGCCGACCACTTTTACGGCAAGATGCATCTTGGTTATGCGCAGATGCGCAAGACTTATGATGCTTTTCCTAAGGAGATGAAGGGGAGGTCGAGGCCACAGATGGATGATGATGGGTCTGGCATGGGAGGACCTAGAGGACCCAGAGGGTCAGGAGGTTACAGAAGCGGTCGCGGAGGTAGGGGCTACCGCGGTGGATGGTAATCTGGCTCGAGGCTATCTTGTACATGTATATATCGGGTTGGCGTTTGGGCGCTCGCTGTGTGGACAAAATTGGACGGACCACATACTTTGAAATACCCTTCTAGACGAGGTAGAGCTTAACTTGGAGACAACATAATGATTCTTCAATCTGGCGTTGACTCGATACTTGAACTATCTATGCCGCTGCTACCCAGTGATATTTCCAACTCATGCTTTTCTGCTGTGAAGCTGCTTCGCATTCTTGCGGCCCATGATTACTCCAGCGATCCAAACTATACTTCCAATACTATCATGACTTGTTGTTGAGCTCGTCAAACTCTTCCATCTCATCACCCCACTTTCCTCCAGGGCTCAATGGTTCCAATGGTGGCGGTGGTGCTGCCGCTGCTGCTGCGAATGCAGGCTTATTACTTGCTGGTGCAGGGCCAGAAGTCTTCTTAGCTTCGCCTGGAAGAGCTGGGAAGTCCTCGGCAGCTGGAACGGATTGCTTCACAGGCGCGGGAGCCTTAGGCGCATGCCCATCTTCATGACCACCTCGTCCACCTCTTCCTCCCCTACCACCGCGACCACGACCTCGACCTCGTCCTCCTCGATGTCGATCGTCCAAGAATCGGTCCACATCGTGCTCTTCACCATCCTTCGACGCGTAGCGGCTGCCTCCTAGGCCAACGTTCCTAGATCCTCGAATTCCACCGTTTGCGCCTCTGAATCCCCGTCGAGCTTCCTCCTCCTCCAAGGCCTCCTTGCCTTCGTCCCAGCCTCCCTCCTTCATACCCATAGCCTTGAGCTTCCTTTCTCGGTTCTTAGCACGCTCATCCTCCATCTTGCGCCTGTCCTCCTCGCCTTGTCGTCGTCGCTCAGCCTCCACAGCGCGTCGCTTCCTAGCCTCCTCCATTCCACGAGCATAAGACGCTGCGTGGTCCTTCTCGTCCTGTTCGGCCTTTTCAAACTTGCGCGCCTTCTCCGCAGACACCAACTTCATCCTCTCCATCTTGGCAGCCAACTCCGCCTCCGTCAGCTTTTGCCGCGGGTTAGCACCCGACTGGAGTCGTGCGGTAGCATTGGCTGCTGTATTCTGCGGTCCCTTCTCCCTCGGAGCAGTAGGAGCATTTGGCGGCGCATTCGAAGTCGGTGGAGGAGCCTGTCGTGCGGGCTTGGGAGCTGGGGCTGGTGCGGGCTTGTCGGCGTATCGCGATGAGGCGAGACCGGCGGGCTTTGCGGGGGGCGCTGAGCTTGCGGGTGGCGGCGCTGGAGGCTGCTCTTGGACTGCGACGGGTTCTTGGATCGGCGCCACAGGCGTGGGCTCTGGCTTGGGTGCGGGAGCTTGTTCTGGGACAACGGGTTCGCTCTCGACGGGCTCGAAGTCATCGTAGAAGAGATCGTCGTCTGTGCGACCACCAAACTGATCATCCATGGCGAGAGTGTGGGATGTCGTGAAGAGGAGCAGGTAGAGTAAAGATATATAAGAGAAAGCTCAATTGTGAGAGCAACAGTATTCAAAGTCTCATTAACCAAAAAGGAACTAAGAGACCAAAGGTAGACAAGAAAAGGTTGAAGGTGATGAATGAGCTTGGATACACCGATACCCCGCCACCGTTATTGACGGGTTCGGTGGGGGAAAGGCTGCTGGAAGCTAGGGATTGGGAGCGGGTAATTATCGGAAAGAATTATCGGTGATTTGATGCCCGATCGGGCCGATCCTCGGTGAGCTCGGTGAGTTTGTAAACATCGTGTTGAGCTCAAGTCCAGCTTCATTTATCCATCGTCAGTCTCCAAGGCCTTTCTAGCATCTCTCCCACTTCTAGCAGCATCAAAACATCATCGCGCGTGACCAGTCAACCTCGCAAGAACGGCCACCTTCAACTGCTCCTCTGTCCTCGTCAACCTCGCCCGATACCGTCGACAAACAGCCTCCACGTTCCCTCTCTTGCTGTAATCATCCATGACACAGACAATCGCCCTTCCAGACTTGACTGCCAGCCCAAGTTCCAGCAGACTGATAGGTGCCACAGTTGCCCCATGCAAGAAAACGACGACAATGTCAGCCGCCTCCTGCATGTCCAGCTCCCACCAGATCTGCTCCTCCCAACGATTATCCGAGAAATCCTCCTTCCATGTAGAATCCCAGTCGCCGCGCTTGGGGTTGAAGATTGTGACCGCATGTTCACTCAAGGCCTGCGTGAGCGTCTCGCGCCAGTCAGGTTCGCCTGTAGCGCTTGTCGTGCCAGCGAGAAAGATAGATGTGTTTTTCTGGTCGTCTGCTGTGGGCCTCGTCGGGGCCATGAGTACTCGAGCCTGTGATGTCATTTTTGGGTATTTCTCCGTTTACGGTCGAGTGAATGTCTTTGTGATGAATGAGTGTAAAGTGTCAGAAGTGAGCATGAGCTGAGATCCCCGCGTTTGAGGCAGCCTGAAAGCCACAACGTGATTGGTCACTGAGTTAATAATGAATAGAGTCGAGTGCACTGCATTTTTCGTTGCCATTTTCTTGATACGGATATTCTATTCAAACGGATTTTTGCAACTTTTGTTGTATCCAAGTTGCGATATGCCCGTTCTTGGCGTCAAACAGGTTTCTACAATTGGAACAATGGGTGCATGTTCGATTGTGATTCACCTCCTCACCTCGACTTCATATCATTGTTATCTCACATTCACCTTAGCATGTATACCACAATGAATCATGCTGTCATATTCTCCTTAAACGGCAGCCTATGCAACAGACAATCACATCCAATACATTTCTCTAGCAACTCTATTGATCGCACATTGTCAAATCCATCTGTTCGAGAAAGGAGAATTCCTCAACACCAGCATCTCCTACGCCTATAAATGCCCCCTTCTGTTCCTACCTCATCATCCTTCTCAACTTTACACATCTTCTCTTGATCAACAAACTTCCAAGTGAACTTCCTCTTGAAGCTTACTCGAAGCCATCCTTCAACCATCCACACATCCCAACACGACCACCACTACAACATCACAACGCCCACGATGGAACGACGCGACAACATTATCGCACCATGGCAAGATAAGGCCATGCAGAATGGACGGACCCCTCTTCCAGAGGAGCCCGGCGCGCGGCCTTGGGTGACGCACCCAGATACACTTGTTGCGGCACCTGCCGCTTACTTCGGGCTGGCTCCCGACACTGTAAGCGCATACAACTCTCCTTCTTGTAACTCGTTCGCCCGGTGCTAACATCTCTCTCTCAGGGTTCTTCCAGTGGTGTTCGCTGGGATGTTTCCGACATCGCCAAGCTCCTAGCCCTTCAGCAGAAGGGTGAGAAGTGGGAGGAGATCGCCGTAAGTACTCTCGCCTCGTGAATATCATCGCAAAGACTTTGACCTGACGTCTCCTCTTTAGTCCAAGATGAACCGATCGATCACCGCAGTGGTTTCCGCCTGCGCTCTGTGGCTGGATCGGCTCAACCAGCACATCCCCAACAACGCGGACAAGAAGAGCGAGGAGACTTGGGTGGAAGCCCACCGCCGCTGGTCGGCGGTGCAGCAGTAAAGGGGGGATTGTTTTTGCCAGCAGTTTTTAGAAGGCAAAGCGGGACTGTTCAATTCCATGGCTATTGGATCATTCAAAAAAAGCAGATTTGCACAGGTTGTGCACTTGACATGACCCTCTTTTGAGAGTGATACAGCGTGACGTTATGTTTAATGGTGAGCTTACGAAGTTCGTCTTTGGCTGTCTAGTGGTCACTGGTAGCTTTCGACCAGAACAAGGGGCTCACACTGCGTCGCTTGGTAGGCTGAGTCGCTCTAGTCTTGCAGCCCCATGCCTACCTAAAGCGAGTCAAAGGATAGAACTGGGCGAAAGCCGGGCCGGTGGCCGACTGTCAGCGAATCTTAGCTCTCCTTTGGGTAGCCCGTCAACTTCACTCCCTGCGGTAGCCCTAGTCCCTTCAGTCTCCAACTGTTGTAGCTGTTCGCGAATCTTTCTGGTGCTTCGGTCATCTCGTTCAAGAAATTCGGAACGTTGCTCTCGACCAAGGCCACGCTTCGAGCTCTTTTACGGTCGTCGGGTTTTCAAGCATCCCAATTCAACCCGTTGACATGATCCGAGGATGCAGGGATGTCGCGTCGCGTCGAAGAGCGTCAAGGCGACTTCCGAGTATGGCAAGCAAAGCGCGCTGTTGTTGTCAAATGTGGCAATACGTAAACCGTCTCTGTTGCAGCATTTGCGAGATGGGACGTATCGGTGAAATGCTTCCTAGGCCACAATCATGGAGTCTTCAGTAACGATAATTCCAATCCAGACACGTTACAGCGAGGATGGTGGCCTGTCTTGCCTTGTTGCGTCTTTCATGTATGAGTGCCATAGTAGGCGCCTTGCTACCCGGTGGCTATAGGACCGGTGATCATGCTGAATCAAGTCGTTAACCCTCCCCCATAGAGTCTTTTGATCCTATCTGTTTACATTATTATTTTAACCTTACCCAGTCTACCTTCTAACTTAGTCTGCCATGAATCATATATTAGATCCAGTGTTGCCATCCAGGGCTATTACTCTCGCAAGTATGACTGACTTTCATTATCGTTAACCATGGCCTAGCTTATTTCTCTTTTGTACCGCCCCTCATTGACTTAGGACACTCGATCATGGGTATTGGGATGAACCACCCGTGATCGGGTTGTGTGGCTGGGCGTAGTAAACAGCCCCCCGTCGTTGCGGGTTAAGGTCAATAAGAAGGACATGGCTCACATCTATGCATGCTCGTTGAGATCTGTCACTCCTGGGTGAGAGGACAGCTGTAGGAAAGCGTTGAAAGATGGTGATGACATTTATAATCGAAAACCCGATGAAAAACTTGGTCTGTTAGTATTTGGCTGGAATGCTGCGTTGCTAAACGCCATCTGACTGAGCGCGGCCCACACCGCAACTATCACATCCCCTCAGCTGAACTCTGCGTCTCCAACTCCACGCTCCAACCTCACATTCATCAGCAATTCTATATCCCGAAAGACACAATGCTCATCCCACGTAGCGAAGCCCTGTCCGAGCATAAAACTCACAAACGAATCATCTTCTATCATCAAACTCAGTACAGAGACGACAGATACATCTCCATCCTCCCCGCTCTCAATCCCTCATCCGGCGTCACACACGTCATCGTCGCCGCGATTCATCTCAACGCGCCGGACAACATCACCCTCAACGATGACCTTTACAACTCATCCAAGTTCATCCCACTTTGGGATGAGGTCCGTCAGCTTCAGGCGGCCAGTATCAAGGTCCTCGGCATGCTCGGCGGCGCAGCCCAGGGATCCTACACCAAGCTTGATGGGTCACTTGAGGGTTTCCACAGATGGTATCAGCCACTTCGAGAGATGATCAAATGGGCAGGCTTCGATGGCTTGGATCTTGATATTGAAGAGGCCATGTCGCTTGGCGGAGTTGTTCGTCTGATTGACCATTTGAAGACGGACTTTGGTCAGTCTTTTCTCGTGACGCTTGCGCCTGTCGCGCCAGCGCTGCTTAATAGGCAGAATCTAGGTGGATTCAATATTGAGGAACTTGAGAAGGGATTGGGCTCGCGCATAGCATGGTATAACACTCAGTTTTACTGCGGCTGGGGCGACATGAGTAAGCCTCACGACTACGATGCTATTATCGCGCGAGGTTGGCCACAAGAAAAGGTCGTCATCGGTCTCGTGACGAACCCGGCTAACTGCTCGGGATACGTGAGCGATGCCAAATTGAAGTCATGTCTGAAAGAGTTGGTGAGTAGGTATCCAAGGATCGGGGGTGTGATGGGATGGGAATATTGGAACGCGGTAACGGAAGAGAGTCCGGACGTAGGGACGCCGGAGAAGTGGGCCAAGATGATCAATGACATCTTGAATCCCAAGTCCAAGGGAGAGTGAGATAGCCTACAGTATGGCGGTCATGTATCGGGAACGGCCATCGATGTATCGATGACGACAAGAAGGTTTCACCTGATTGGACCACATTGAAACTTAGAAGACCTCCGACCATGCTATATCTTTTCCTAGTCCCTTGAATAAAGCATCACTTCTCTTCTCTCAATGGTTTTTTTGGAATTGTCCACCGAGTGGTGAAATCCTGAAAAGATGGCCTCCGACGAATACCACATGAAGAATCACCAGCATTCCTTCAATTCAGACAATGACAAAGGATGGGAAACTCAACCTCCATATCAAAAGCCGGACGTAGCTACGAGAGAGCGCGCTTCCTTTGAACGCAAGGTTCATGGCTCCTGTCACTGCGGCAAAGTGCAATACTGGTTGAACAAAGACAAGCCGCTCGCGTCCAAGTATTGTCACTGCATCGACTGCAAAAAGATCCATGGTAGCTCATAATCCCCTTATCCTGCCATCTTGGCTGACTGATGCCAGGTGCTCCCTTCCAGTGGGCTGCCATCTTAAAGAAGACGGATTTGTCTTTTGAGAATGGTGTCCAAGGCTTACGATTCTACAAGACTGCAACAAAGAAATCCGAGCATGTTCTTCCATGCAAAGTTGGCTGCGATGAATGCGGGAGCTGGATCATGGACGAGGGGAGAAACATGGTACTCTTATTTCCGACTCTGCTGAACTTGGACACTCCCGAGTTGCGAGAGAACTTTGAGAATCAGTGAGGATAGATTCAACTCTTTGATAATCAAGCTGACTCTACTTAGATGCCACATCTTTTATCCGCAAAGAGTTGTGGATATTCCGGACGGAAAGCCCAAGTGGACCGGGTTGGACGAGAAGAGTGAACTGATTGATGAACCCTGATAGGTACAACAGATGCAACCACATGCAAATTTGAACACAAGAGGATGAGAACAAAGTTGGATTAGGTGAGAATTTAATATTACGCGATGGTGTTCAAATGGTTCCTATGTAAAGTGGGCTGTTGGTGGCTCTAGGGTGTCACCATCAACATCACGGGCCCTGGTTCGTGATGCTTATAAGGGGACATTAAAACGTCGTGACGAGGGCGGGTGGTTTAGTGGAATAATACTTCAATTGTCTTGTTATAACAATTACGGAAGTGGTCCAGGGTTCGAGTCCCTGTCTGCCCATGATTCGACAGTGAAATTCCACCTGTGTTGCTGTCTCTTTTTGTACTCACAACCTCGGGCATAGGCCACGAACTCTATGCAGAACCCTATTTTATCCTTACACTATATGCCCCTACCACATTCACGTAGAGCGATCGACTTCTCAGGTTTACAATGACTTCTGAATCGACTCGATCTCATGCCTGGCTTACTGGGATCTGTGGACATGCAAGGTGTAGGCAGTAGAGTAAGCTTACACACTCATGATTGGCCACGCCCAACTTGGGGTATACCAGTAAGAGCCTAGCCCATGTGACGCTTGCGGGATTATCGCATCTCTCGTGGGAATGTTATCTTTACAATAGACGGTCCTGGACAAATAAGACTCTTCTTCTCCGATGACGCAGTCAAACAACGACTTGTGCAGCACTTGCGCCGCTGTTGATTATCAAAAGCTAGTCTACGCACCTACGACGACACCTCGGCCATATCATCCATGGTTTAACACACCCCTCGGAAGCCTCAAAGACATCATCTCTCGATCAGAAAAGTGCCCAGTATGCGGTCTCATGGTCGATTCACTGAGAGAGCAGTACAGGAGAACGCCCAAAGAACACCTTGCATATACCTTTTATACAGGCAGGCCCTTCCCTGAGAATGAAAGGGAAGAGATAGACTCGGAGGTTGAAAAATATGGCATGCAGGTCACTGTGGATGGCGAGGACATCATGTGCTCTATTGAGCTTCAGTATTTCTGCGAAGTTCGAGAAGACTTTGAGCACATGAGAGTCCCCGAAAGGAAGGATCGCGTGTTTGTTCATCGGTTGCTGCTCGCGTTGGAGCCGAATCCTTATGGTACTCTCTCCTTCATGGCGACAGACTGGGTTCGACTGCAAGTCATCTGGTCAAAGGAAGACTCCAAGAATGGTCCTGACGAGTTTAATTTGAAGGGCCGACTCATCTCACGCCAAGGATCTGGCCGACAGGTTGGCGAGTACTTGGATATTTCCCTCGTTAAAGGCTGGCTTGATCAGTGCGAGAAGAAGCATGGAGATAAGTGTTGCAACCCGGCCTGGCTTGCTGGAAGCGATGACGGTTGGCTTGAGCCGTTCAGAGCCATCGACGTTGAAGAGCGGCGGGTTGTGAACCTGCCTGCTGAAAGCCGCTACATTGCTCTCAGTTACGTTTGGGGAGCTACCAGTCAGACGCCGGAAGAAAGGGCCCAAAGACGCCTCACATCTGATAACTTTTCTCGACTTACTCAAGCCAATGGTCTTGACGAGCTGTATCTCCCCAAAACGGTGGAAGACGCCATAGGGCTCACTTCCATGATGGGAGAGCGATATCTCTGGGTTGATGCGCTCTGCATCATTCAGGATGATATCAAGGACCTGAGCCATCAAACGGCACGGATGGATCTAGTATACTCGCGAGCTCTCTTCACAATCATTGCTGCTTGCGGAGACGATTCAGAATCCGGACTTTCCGGTCTTCCAGGTCGAGGACGCGACATTTTTAAACGTTCAGCCCGTCTAACTCCGGAAGGATTCCATCTTGCGACCACTGCTGGCTTGTACGTCAATGCTCCTCTCGAGAGATCCACTTGGATCACTCGTGGGTGGACGTTTCAGGAACGTATCTTGTCGAGGCGGATCATGGTGTTTACCCCTTACCAGGTCTTTTGGATCTGCGAAGATGCCATGTGGGATGAAGAGGTGATACTCGAAGGTCCAAAGCCTCAAGCACGAGTTCTATCTCTCGCTTTTGGGTGCAACGACGAGTGGGATGATGGAGATCCCAAGTTCTCCAGAGAGGCGCTGGCCACGTACACGTTACAGTTTAGTCTCCGCGATTTCACCTTCTCTGCTGATGTGCTGCCTGCCTTTTTGGGCGTTATACGTCGCTACGAGCACTTGAATAAGGAAAGGATACACTGGGGTATCCCAACAGGGCTTTTTGATCAAGCCATTACATGGAAGTCTGGGACGTCGAGTCGTCGAGAGGAGATGCATCGAGTCGTGTGTGGCGATGGAGAGGTTCGGGAGGTGAAGTACCCCAGCTGGTCATGGCTTGGCTGGAAGGGGCTCATCGGCCCAATTCTGCATAATCATGCGCTCTGGGGAAAGACGGCTAAGAGAGAAACGGGTGCGGAGTTGGTATTTTATAGGCTGCTGAGTGATGGCGAAGTTCGGCTTGTTGAGGGGCAGGGGCAGGTTGGTGATTCTGGTTTGAAGTGGAAGGGAGAGAGTGTGGTCAAGGGGCCCATTGCTACTGACGACTTGATCATCTCCAAGATGGAGAGTATTGGGATCTCCGAGGCAGAGAGACAGACCACGCCGGCTTATGACATCGGACGTCTTGTTTTCTGGACAAGCCATGCAGTTGCAAAAGCCAAACTTGGGGAAAATAAGCTCTTGCTACACGTACAGGATCATGTACTTGAGCTAAAGGCAGATTTCAGTCAGAGCTTTCAAGATGATTCCCGCTGTGAGGATGATGGGTCAAGTTTGAAATCAGCTGAGACGCAGACTGTGGATTTGATCTTTATATCTAGGTGGTATGAGATTGCCAAGGCTGAGGAGACAGGGAAGTTGAATGTGTTACTTATCGAGGAAAGCGTCCCTGGTTCTGGCATTTGGAGTCGGGTTGGGGTGGCTGTTATTGAGGAAACGGATTGGATCAGCTTACAGCCAGAGTGGGAAAGGGTGATCTTGGCATGAGGATTTGCGATAGAGTCACTTGGAGACTCGGTACTCGTGTTGTTGGGCATCACACCTCTCTGAAAGAGGACAGTAGCCACAATAACAAAGAATACAGTAGCGAATACATGGCAGCATTGAATCCCCATACATGAGACAATGTACCATAGACAAGGTACAGTAAGGTAGCTAACTGGATTGGTACCTAGATGGAATCTTAATCGCCAAATCTGAGCACTGCGTCACTGACACTGTGTCAGGGAGGCCGACCACTTTCACATACTGTCAACGCCAAATTCATTGTTGTGCGGGGTTCAGCGGCTAATCGTGCCATTTGATTTGCCCATCTGTCATCGCGTCTCTCGGCCTTCAGGGATGAAACAAGAGGACGAGGCTCAGAATTTACGCGATAACCGCAAACCTCAAGACTCAAACACTATGGATCCCAGAAGGGATCAATACGACGCCGAGATGGAGACTCCAACAAGTGCTGCCTCCGTCTTAACACCTCCATCAACCACCGTCGCGGCCGATGACCCCCGCTACATCCGCAGCTACCAGGTTCCCTGGCCTGGCAACACGTACATGATCATAGAAAAGGGCACCGACCGTGCAATCACCCTCACGAGCACCGGCCTCTACCTTCAAGACATTGAAAAAGACCCCAATGCCAACAATCACTGGCTATGCGTCGATAGCCACAACTACATTGGATTTTTCAACACAAAGACCACGGTGTACATGGGGCACGACGGCGCCAACGGCATGATTGCATCTGCTAGGGTTCAAAATGACTGGGAGTTGATGGTGCCGCGGCATCACCCTGATGGTGGCTATCAACTGTTGATGCCGTACTGGTCTAGTGAGATGATGATGGTTACGGCCGAGGAAGATGGGGGAAGTGTGCTGAGGACCAAGCATGGAACGACTTTGTGGCAATTTGTCCAAGTCTAGCTATTCTCTAACTCTCGCGCTTGAGACGGAGGCATTTAGGCAATAATCAAAGCTATGGAAACCCCGAGTTGGATCAATAGCATGTATACCACATGGCCGCAGGACTGCCTGCCCAGAAAATCAGGCTGTGAGGCGTGAGGCCTCCCTTAGGTTTCCAGGATCGACAATTTTTGGAATAAAGATAAGGAGCTTGAACTAGTGCACATGAAGTTCTGAACACTGTAGGTCCATCAAATGTGCCCGACTCTATTGTTTACGTGACTTGACCCTTAGCTCCTTTCTCTCTGCTGCCATATCGCCCGGGGTTTGATCACATAAAACTTGGAAATAAATGCTATCTAAGCGAAGGATTATACGAGCAAACGATAAAATCTCGCGCAATGGTTCCGCACGACACCTGGAATATGGATCTGAGCCTTTCCTTACTGAGTGGTTACCGTTTACTGCGCCTAATGCTGATATTCCTTGAGGCCATCGGTTGGCAATAAATGATACGCGTGCCAGCCTGATAACTCGCAGGTAAACGACCAAAATTATGGCCTTATTCGCCTCGTCGCACTTCTCGCGCCGAGTCTGGCGCCTATCTCTTGTCATTTGCCCATGTTTCGATGCGCTGCACGCCGTGTTGCACAACGGCGAGGCTGCTTCCTATCATCGATGACGTCTAAGAAAGAGGCCATCAACAACAATAACAAAACAAACACGTACCAATACTTGCCGTAGCGGGAACCCAATGTCACAAAACACAGTAGGTTAAGGCAGCGAGGCTTCGCGGCTGCCCAACAACCTTGCAGCCTAATGGTCCTTGGGCTCCGGCCTGGGCATCGATCAACAGAAAGTGAAAGGGGGACTCTGATGAGTGCTGAATATCGACCCCCCCCCCAGATGCCTAGCTTAGTGACTCTTTTGACGGTCTCTCTTGCAAGGTGCGAGACCATCGTAATCTGTCTGAGTTTATCCAAGAGACCCAGATATGGCTATCACATCGATGAGTACCAGCTCGCACTGGATTTTTCGAGGCTTGCACTGCGTGGATATTGCTTTGAGAACAGACTCTGTTCAAGAAGCATATTCTTATGTAGTTTGTAGTCTAGTCTATGTACATTAAGCTACCCGGATCTTGATCAAGACCCGTCTCGGCTCGAAAGGAACGCGACTAAGCTCGCTGGCTGAGATATCATACAACGGCGCCAGTCCTTCCCACCTTGAGCGCATGAACGTACCACTTGACTGCGATTCATTAACGTATGTTGTGCCCATGCTAAGTAAGCCCCTCTCCCTCCTCTCCTCGGCCGTGAGGGCTCTGCCAGTCGTAGTGAAGGGGAAGGTTTGGAACTCTTTCAGATGTGTCAGTTCAAGTAAGCTTATTATGGAGTGGCCCGGTCACCTCCAATGCTTGTCACGAGTTCGCGGACGCAAGCTGCACGAATCTTTCGAGCATGGGCGTTTGAATCAAGAACGTATGGAATACCGGCCTTTTGTCAGTCAGCTTAAGGGAATCGCAATAGAATCTTCAAAGCTCAACATACTTGACCATCGTCATCCGAAATGTTTCTATAGAATTCAATTGAGCCGCCAAACAAATGGCTCTCCAGCCAGCGTCCTGACTCACCCCAGCTGGGTCCGGCATAGTTCAAATACGACAGGGTTGGCGGTGTGTATGACTGTGTAGTATCCTGTCCTTGGGCTAGGTATCCGACAAAAAGGTGGGTAATCTCGTGGGCAGTGGCTATAGCAAACATAAATAGAAATGTCTTAAAGCGAGCGGCCATTTTCCTGCCGTGAGGGCTTGTATCGTTGGCCTCTCGGGCAGCTGACGCCATCTGGGAGACTCGCTAAGGGATGAATCAGTATTGGGGGCCATCAGCGTGAATACATTCGTAACTGGACCCTGAACTACATACTGAACGACTGTAATAGATCCCGCCAGCTCTCTTGGGGTTATACTGGGAAAAGCTGTGATCCTGACATTGGATGCGCCTCGCTTCAGCAATCACGTCAGGACCAAGGCTGTCCAAGATGACACGAGGGAAGTTGCCCCGAATGGCGTGGAGGAACTCGTTCACATATTCAGCCATTTGATCCTGGTCTCCATGGAATCGGAAGCCATTCCCGCCAAGGAGCCATGCTTGAACCAGCGCCGTTCCAAGGCTCGTCATGGTTTGACGGCCGGCAGCCTTTTCAAGAATGGAGATACCGACATGGATAGCAAACGCCAGCTGCTGAGAATAAGCAAGTGTTGGGAGGTGTCGGGGGTATTGGGCTTGCCAAGCTTACCGCGGTATACTCCTCCGTATTCTCCTGCAGGGGCTCACTTGGTGGGCCTGCAAGAGTGATACCGAAACGTTTAATCCCATTTACTGTGAAGTCCCGAGGCATAGGGTTACTCATGGTAGGAAAAGGAAAAGGAGAAAAGGGACATGCAACGAGACTTCACAGAAGGCAGACGTTTGGTTTGGAATCAAAGGAATTCTGGAAAGTTAAGTAGGCGTAGAAATTCCTCGAGCCCAACGCTGGCCTCAATAATCCGAATTACCGTTGAATTATGAGGTAGGTATGGAGTAGAGATATTGAGGGCCAACCACGAGCACCGCTTCACTTCGCTAAAAATACCATGCACTCAGGTTCAAGCCTGGTGACTTGGGTATGCCAGAGACACAATTCCGCAAGCTTGTGCAACGGATTAATGCCGTCGTCTAGTAATCATAGGGCTTCAGGACCCTTCCCATCACCATGCTTGTTTCAAAATACAAGGTACTGCACCGCAGCCGATGATGTGACTAGGACAAGCATATGTAAATAGCCTGTACAGTATCTTGGCACCCCGTAATAGGTCGGCACCTCGTTTTATTGCGTATATTCCCATACTCTTATTTGACTATCGATACTGCTAAAATACGTAGATCATGTACACGTGGGTGTTTCATCCATGGTTCAGTTGGGCCGCTATGTAATCAACAGACCTTGGGGGCCTCAATTGGTTGTCCAGTGATTTCCATTAGAGAAATCGATTTTGGAACACGTGGACCTGTAAGTATAGTACTTGCTGCCATGGAAACCTCTAGCAAGAACTATGACTCTGAAACTAGCCAGTTGTTCCCAATGTCATCCGGTCGTACACATCATCGAGGTCAGCAAAGTAAATGAAGGTATCGCCAGAAATAGAGTACCTGAAGTTTCAACCAATCAAAACGTGAAGCAGGTATCACCACAGTTTCGGGCTGGCCACCCGTGGAACCTGATTTCAGCCAGAAGGTTGGACATTTTAGGCCTAATTAGCGAATTCCTTGACCCACAGTGACCAGTCAATGTTTATAAAACAGTTGCCACATCCAGTGTAAAGAACCGAGCAGGACATTGAAAGTGACTAGATAAGTCTCCCTGAACTGTTACTTAGCTATTTGCAACTACGAAAGGCGCATTGCACAACAGCGCCTGACTCTTGACCCTCTGCTGTGTCTGTAAGTCCTTAAAAGGGCGAGCAGATGCGGAGGTTTTGACCGAGCCTCCTTTTCTCCTCATATTCCCGCAGATCCGAACTCCAGTGGGCTGATCCGCGTCATCTCTCAGCTCCTCTCATTTTTCTTTCATTATTATTGGTTCGCTGTCTGGAAGCCGCATTACGCTGTTTCGACCACCATTTTCTCGGCTCAATTGGCTAATATGGGTGTTTTGCACGACAGTTTTCTCTCTCTCTCTCCCTTTCCCTCTTTCTCCCTGTACCCCTTTGGCAGCTCTTGAAATGGCTTTTGGCGAATCAGTCGAGTACTTCAATGTTGAGTTTCTGGAAGGAGGTCATCGTCAAGGTTTCGAGCAAGCTCTGATGCGGGTGTTGAAGACAGGCCTAGCGGAACACACGTTTGCTGAAATTATTGATGGACTTCCCGTTAGACGCTCATATGTAGAATTTCACTGGCCACAGGATGGGCATCCGGCATATCAACATGATGAACTTTGCCCGGGCATGATCGAGAGAGCTCGGGAGCTTCAATCAAATTTTCCGGTTACGAGATTGCGCTTTAAATTACCTGCGAGTCTACCTCACACTTCCCACGTTGAATGAAGGCTAAACTCGCTCTTAGTTGCTTAATGCCTTTGCAGAGACGGCATTTGGCTCAATGCCCTTTCATCTTCGCCTCGTTGAGCTCCTCGCAGTGTCATGTCATCAAATTGCGGTTCACGTATATCAGCTTGACGGAGTAAGCCACAAACACTGTGAATACGAAAAATGGATAAATCAGCCACGGGATATGACGCGGTGGGACTCTTTTCGATATCCCACCGCCTTCTGCCACGCATTTTACACGGCCGTTGAACAGTACCCGAACGGGGTCGCTGATGTCGTAGCCTACTGGGCTGAGGCCAAGATATTTGGAGGGGTGGTACTATTCGATAGAGGAGAGTCGGAAACTGAGGTACTATGTGCTCGGCGGTTCCTTGAACATATATGCTGACACCACGATAGTGTAGGGAAGTGTACCTCCATGCAGGACGTCGAGGGGGTCCTTATACTCTATTCCCCCCCACAACAGAGCAGTTTGGGAGACTCATGGTATTTCTACTCGGCGGAAAGGATGAATCCGCTGCGATAGAGAACCCACTCCCCATCAGAGCCACCTCGGAGAACCGCTGGCGCTGGGATGCTTGGGATGCAACGACGCACTACCACATCTTTCGCGACAAGTACGAACGGCTCATCAGCCCGACCAAGCCGCCAACATCATATCGGTCGTCAGTAGATTGGCCTGAGATAGCCGATGATTTCTATCTGATTGATGCAATGCACGAGTACTACGAAGGAAAAGATGTGGATAAGGACGGGATTCGTGCCGCGTTGGAGCGTTTGAAACAGATAACTCCGTCTTCGCCAATTTGGGAGAATCGAGAAACAAGGCATGCTTGGACTAAAAATGTTTTGAAGTAGGCTGGGTATCGGCTTCTTACCTTCTTGTGACTCACAGGTCGGCATGAAGTGCCATTAGCCTTGTTTCTACAAGTGTCATCACAGTTTACTAAGCCCAAGTTATCCAACTTAGCTATATTCAATGTGTCGTTTCCAAACGCTATTCATGTTGACTATCTATCTTAGTTCAAGTCTTTTCTCTTAACCACCGGATATAACCTTAATCTTATGAATCTCCAACTCATCTGTGTGTCTGCCAGGATGGCCTACGCGCTTAGACTCAATGCTGACGGAAAACGATTTTCAATGGCATAATTGGCAATTGCAAGCGATCAAGTATAATTTCTGAAAGACCTCGGGAGCCACACTATTCCATCTCTCACATAGTATGTCAGTTCCTGTGGGAATTTGTTTTATCCGAGTTGCGATTTCATACCTTCCCAGCCAAGCTACTTACACAGCATCTACACCTTTCTACGTCCGTCACCTCCGCATTACCACCTTATTAGTCTCTAAATATCTACTAAAAAGAAATTTTCCTTCCTCAGTAAGTCACAGGCGAGAGTCCAATCCCATTATCTAAGTTACATAAGTGAAAGTAAGTGTTGAGGATTCATCCCCGTTCCCCCACCCCTTCGACCCAACAGTAGTCTAGAGCTTCTTGTTCCTCTTGGGCATTCGAACCAAATAGTATAGAACCAAGGCAGCAATGACGTTGAAAACAATGTAAGCCCAGCCAATGCCGAAATTGCGCCATCTCTCATCGTAGTGAGAGCTGATGCCTGCCAAGTAGCTGTTGGTCTCCTTCATCTTACAGTACTTGCAATCGCTTGTAGCTTCTGGATCCAACAAGTAACCTCCCATGGTTGACATGTACTTGGCCATATAGTCGCCACAAGTCTGGTTCGCAGGTGGGATGATGGTGGTATACTCGTTGGCTGCGCATGTAATGTCCACGTTGGCGATTCCGGTGGACAAGACGGCCGAGATCCAATAATTCAGAGGCGAGACTCTATAGAGGAAAATCCAGAAACCAGGCATCGAGGTAGGTGAGGCCAAGACGCCACAGAAGAAGAAGACAAGCATGAAGAGCAGGTTCGCAGCACTGCCTCCGCCTTCAGCCGAATCAGTAAAGGAAATGCACATGTTGGCAAATGTACAGGTGAACAAAAGAAATTGGAGGAAGAGAAGCCAAGACAAGGCACCTCTCTCTGGGCTTTGGCCGGCTACGTCGGCGTTCTTATACATTCCAACCGGAAAGTAAATGAACGCCCACATAAAGACGGAAGCCAGAATATTCCAGGGGATTTCGACAATGATCTGACTGAACATGAAGATCTTCCAAGAATACGTCTTTGAAGGACGTTCACGGACCTCATAGAGGTTTCGTTGCGTAACGAAATGCGGTAGCTGTTGCTGCACTAGTTGTCCCAGGATGCTGCAGAACTCAAAAAGAGCAAACATCTGGTTTTGAAGACCTTGGATTGTGAGAGGGGCGTTGAGGAACACGAGGCCAATGAACAAGCTGACGGAGATGCAGAGGATGAACTTTGAGTAGATGTAGGTCGGCGTGCGCCAGTATTGTTGGAAAACGCGGCGGATGACGATGAAGAATTGGTCCGAGAGAGGTGCAGCGAATTCGATATAAGAGGCAGGGTCGTGAGCGTCGTTGGATGATTGTTCAGCGCCGAGAGACCGCAGGCGAGCTAATTCGTCCTGAACGGCTTGATACTCTGGGCTGGAGCGCCAGATTTGGTGCCAGTCAGTGTCGGATTGACTTCCTGGGGCATCTCCAGTGACTTCGAGCATCCATTCAGCTGGGTTCTCTCCGGGGTGACAAGCCGGGGCGCCGTTTCGCTCAAAGTAGTCGGTGAGGATCTTGGAGTGGTCACCAATGTCGCCTAGAAATGTTAGTGTTTCTTCACAAATCGGCGGCTGGACAGAGGAGTGCCCAAGAAACAAGGCATCACTTACCAAAGTAAACAGTGCGGCCGTTCTTGGAAAGAAAGAGAAGACGATCAAATCGCTGAAACAGGATAGCAGAAGGTTGATGAATCGTGCAGAGGATGCTCTGACCGGCTTTTGATAGCTTCTCGAGCAGATCCAAGACAGCCCAGCTGGTCTGTGAGTCGAGACCTGATGTTGGCTCGTCGACGAAGAGAAGGAGAGGCGGCTTCGCGGCAAGTTCAACGCCAATGGTTAAACGCTTGCGTTGCTCGACGTTGAGACCTTCGCCCAAAACGCCGACAACCGCATCGGCATACTCTTCCATGTCGAGGAGGCGGATCACTTCGTCCACGTACGCTAGCTTCTCCTTCTTAGGCGTGCTGGCCGGTTGACGGAGGAGAGCAGAGAATTCCAAGGCCTGTACAGTTAGGTTAGAAATGACTTCGGAATCTCAGCGGTTGTGTCGACTTACCTCTCGAACGGTACTGGTCTCAAGATGCAAATCTTGCTGCTGAACATAGCCCGTCTTGCGCTGAAAGCTATGGTCACGCATCTTTCCGTCCACCAGCATCTCCCCGGTGATAACACCCGTACCAACTCGATCAGCCAAGCAATCCAACAACGAAGTTTTTCCCGCGCCTGAAACTCCCATCAAGGCCGTGAGCGTGCCGGGTTTGACCCAACCATCCACGTGATCCAAAATGCGACGAGGCTGCTTCTTGACCTTTATGTCGTAGCAGACGTTGTTCCAGTGGAAGACGCTGACCGAACCTTGGAAGGCTCCCTTGGTGTTGAGGGTGTTGTTGTCGGGCTTTCTCACGACAGTTAGAAAATTAGAAGTCGACTTTTCGATGTCGTTGCTGGCATTGACGGAGCTTGGCGGGATAAAGCCTTTGCGGAAAACGAGGACTTCGCCCTTGGACTTCTTGGCCGTGATATACTCGGTGGCGATAAAGTAGACGGCGTGATTGAAGATGATCATGGCAATCACAACACCGACGTTTCTCCACTTGTGGGCGTGATAGTAGCTGTATGCCGAGTTGATGTAGGCGTCTCCGTTGACATAGGCCTGGCCTGGGATGGCACCAATAGCGTTACATGCCACAGAGCTTGAGTGGGCATCGGCGTAGTCTGGGATGTAACTCGAACACTTGAAGTCTCGGTTATGGAACTCGTTGACCATAAGCGACTCGAAGCCGTAGGCCACAGGATTCAGGTAGTTGATCCATCGACACCAGTCGAGCATGTAATCGACGGGGATGACAAAGCCGGTAAAGACAATCAGGGCAATGAGTAGAACTGCAGAAGGAATCTCGGCTTCGTACACGGTGCGTGACATGGAGGCGCTGTTACTGTGTTAGTACTTGCTCGAATCCTGGACCTTGAAGTAAACTCACATTGATCTGAAGACGCCAGACATGGCCATGACGATGAGAAATACCACAAACAGGTAGAAAAAGAAAGGACCAGGCTCTCGACGGAGGTTGGTCATGAAGTAAAAGACCAGGTTGAAGACAATCGCGTTGAGGACCTTATATGGGAGATCGACGAGAACAGAAGCATATGCCTCAGCGGACGGATGATAAAATGCATACCGAGAATGCTTTTCCACAATGGGTCGCTGGTCATAGAGCGTCATGATCTCGAGGGCCGAAGCGAAAGCGTTGAAGAGAATAGACACAAAAAGGACGCAACCGCGAGTAAAGAATGAACCGGTGTCCATTTGCATGTTGTAAAACAAAGAAGAGACGATAAGGCCGAGGACCAGGTTTGCAATGAGCATTCCGACAGTCATCCAAGGATCCGCGATGAGTCTCTTGAATCCGCGCCAGAGACAGAGCTGGACTTGTTGAGAGTAGGTTAAGATGTATGGCGAGTTGAGACGTTGACCCTTGGATTGAGCTGACTTTTTGAGTTGTCTGTAAGTCTCGGCGTCGGGTCCGTTGAGAGGGTGCTGGGTCTTGTATTCTTCGATCTCTACTTGCAAAGCTTTGTACTCTTGGCTTGCCTTCCAAGCTGCTGCAAACTCATCGGGTGTTCGTGGTGGATTACATTCGGCGCGAGGAATGCGTTCCGTCGGCGATGTCATGGAAGTGAGAAAGTCGGGAGTGGTCTGACGAGCTGGGCATTCGAATCCGAGGTTGACGAAATATTCCTTGGCCTTGGATGCTGGGCCAAAGTAGATCTGCCTCCCTTCATATAGGACAGTCGCTTTGTCGAAAAGGTCGTAGGCGCTTTGCGGGGCTTGGTAAATCGAGACGGCGCAGGTTTGGCCAAAGAGCTCTGACTGGAGGCGCAGGGTCTTGCAGAACTCGATAGCATTGCCAGAGTCGAGACCGCGGGTTGAACTGTTGAGAAATAGTTAGCATAATTAGGTTTTGTTAAAAGACAAGCCCCGACGTACTTGTCCCAGCATTGGAAAGGCGCGTTCGAAAGAGTCGCCTCGGCGATGGTGACTCGCTTGCGTTCGCCTCCAGACACGCCTCTCTCAAAGTCGTTTCCAACCTTGGTGTTGATAGTGTGGCTGATGCCGTACATAGCCATAACTACATCTCTATAGTGTTCGCAGTATCTGCCAGGTTCCATGTTAGATCGCAGTTGCAGGTAGTGAAGACAAGGGAGTTCTCTTACTGGTTGCGAGTCACGCCCTCGGGTAGATCCCTTGGACAGCGAGCACGAGAAGCAAAAGTCAAAGTCTCGCCAACCGTCATCTGCGGAAAGTGCACATCGACCTCGGCAGTGTATATTGCATCACCTCGGTGCGCGGTGTGCATCTCGTCAGCTGGAATACCCTGGTAGTTGAAGTAGGCATTCTCTTTGTTGATGTAAATGCCATTGGTCTCGCCTGAAATGGTCTTGAGAAACGTCGAGCAACCTGAACCAGGCGGTCCTAAGACAACACACATCTCCCCAGGACGAATAAGACCGTCGAATTGTCGAAGAATGTCAATGCGGGTTTGGCCAGCTGTCTTGGAGAACAGGCGGCGCGTCATGGCCGGCAACGCCAACCAGACATTGCCCACATCCTTTTGAAAGTCAGTCGGTGTGCCATATCCAAAGGCATTGACGTTTTGGAAACACAGTCCAACACGACGAAAGCCTTGGCCTCGGTCGCCAGCTGCTTTGGCGACTGTCTTGGCCCAAGTTCGTGCGTTGAACTTGTCACCACGAGGGTTCAGGGGGGAGTCGGGGTCGGTGCTGGCAAAGATAGAGGATGAATCGCCGACAGAGATCGCGGACTGTTTCGTATACTGCCGAGCTAGTTCCTGAACGATGGAGTGTCTTTGATTCATGTTGATGCTTCCAGTGTCTGGGTCGCGATCCATTGATGTGCGTGCGAGCTTCTCGAGGTCATTGGGAGTGGTAGAGCCGGAAAGAGTTGAAGCAGTTCCCGGTAGAGGAAAGTTGCCAACATCTTTCAACGGCGGTTTGCCCAAAGGTTCCGGCATTGTACCTTTCCAGATCAACGGGCCAGTCCAAAGCTAAAGCAATGTCGGGAGTCGGCTGGTCTCACTGAGCAGTGGTGATCGCAATGGTTAACTGCCGACTGTTGTGGTACGGACTGAGGCACATAATGAGGAACAGAAGCATTTAATAGTCGTATTAAACAATTATTATACGCTATAGATTTACCCATTCGTGATGTAAAGGGAAGCGGAGATAGACGGTCCGGCTTTTCTTTAGACGCGTCTCGGCCGTAAAACCACGGGCTAAAGAATGTGGGCTGACGCGGGCAGATTAAGGCCGAGCCGCGCCATATGGGGTAATTTCAGCCTTACCGGGCATAAGCAGAGCCCCAATGGGCCAGGGGATTGCGGTAATTGCAATCATCTCACTCCTTCTTAATGCCGGAGCCGATTTGGTGACGAGTCGGTCACGCGTCGATTGAAGAGGGAGCTGTGAAAATGAAAAAGGGGTGAAGCTCAAAGTGACACTTAGCTTGCCTATCTCCTCGTCGTCTCTATCCTCGGTCGGGGGCTGGCTCCTTTGTCGAGGGAAGAGTCGCGACGCTCATGCAGATACATCTACAATGATCACTCGAAAACCCGGCGAAGGCGCTCAATGTGTACGAACCAAGAGAAAGTTTATCTTCTTGGTCCATCCTTATACCATGAGTGGTCACCCGCCCCAAGTGTGATCAGCGGAAGCCTCGTTGCACGCATTGTGTCCGTCAAGGCGTGCCTTGCGAGAGGCAGAACTTTAAGCCATGGAAGATGATGACTGGGAAAGAATTTGTCAAGTCCGGATACGAACGTAAGTCTCCAAAGGCGAACCTGCAAAGAATGTTGGCTCAAAGCTCCCAGTCATGACACAGCCCCTTCAACCAGGAGGGCAAAGACACGCTCGCCAGCAGAAACGGAATCTCTATCGTCATCAATTGATCAACTCATTCGATCAGCAACATAAGACACTTCCCATCATGTTTAGATACTTGCTAATACTATCGCAGTTCCCTTTTCTGGGTGGTACATCCTGACGGGTGGACGCTACCTGGGAAACAAAGGATGGTTCAAGCTGCCACGATCACTGAGCCTTGGACTCGCTTGGTTCAACTCGGTGTCCATCATCATGCAGTTCATTCTTCTTTGTCTACCACCCAGCAACCCGATCACGGCCGAGAACATGAACTGGGCGTCTGCTGTCGCTGGAGCTTTGATCATCTTTCTTCTTGGCAGTTACTGGGCCTATGGCAGGAGTGCCTACGAACCGAGTGATGACTTGATTATTTGCGATCAAGAAATCACGGGCGAGGATGTTCTGTAGTCCATATTGGCCGCCGAAGTTTTAGATAAAGAGTTGAAGGAGAAAGCCGCCTCTTAGAGGAAACTTTGCAAAAAGCTTGCCTTCTGTGAACGACAAGAAATTTCTCCTCGGATAATGGCAATGTAGTGGCCGAGATGATTTCTTTTCTCACAGTTCGGATTGTTTCCCTACGCACCTACGCAGTCAGGCCGAGAAGATCGACATTCTAGGCTGCCATGGCATGAACCCAACGAGGATTTAGTAGATGAAATAGCAGAGACTTTTATTGTAGCCAATTAATTATCTTTATTGAGTTATCACCGTGTGAGGCAGGGGGCGGAGATAAACGGCCTCGCTTATGTCTCTCGGCCGTGGAGGACCCGTAACCCGGCTGGCATGGGAGCCTAGCTATCCTTGTTGAGCAGTTCCTCAAATTTGCAATGCCCTCGCGGATTTCCATTTCCACGACACTTTGGGCATGAGCTCCCATGCGATATCATGAGATAATGCAGCGGAAACTTGAGCTCATTCGGTATCCTAGCGTCCAGATGAGCCTGCGCCGTCAATTTGGTCGCTTTGGCTGGTCTCCATCCCCAGAGTCCAGACAGCCGATATATATGAGTATCGACAGCAAACACGTCCCTTTTGAGACAGATGCTGAGGAGACAGTGTGCACATTTTGGTCCAATCCCCCAGAACTTGGTGACTTCATCAATGACTTCGTCGTCGTCAGTCTTGGTAAATAAATGCTGCAAGTCCCATTTTCCGTACTTGGCTTCGACGTCTTTAAGTAGGGTCATCAAGATCTTGGCCTTGCGGTTTTGCATGCCACCCGGTCGGAGGGCGTCCACGAGCTTATCGTTGCCGCCCTTGACGATGGATGAGTACGCGAACGGCGACCCATAGATCTCTTTCATGCTTTGCATTGCCCTCGTCGCGTTTGACCAGCTTGTAGCTTGGCTCAGGGCTGCGACCACCAGTGCGTCCATGGCGTAAGGATAGTCCTCACATGGTGCGTCTGGAGCCGTGAATACCTCACGGACGGCATCTCCGTGAAGGCCTTCAAGAATGTCGTGAGCCGTCTTGCACTCCCTTGGAGTGGGGCGAAGGAAATCAGGAAATGGCGAGGATTTTGTTGCGTCGGATGATTGCTCTTTAACTTCGACAGGAGTTTGCTCATTGCTTGGCAATGCACTATCTTCGGAACTCTCAGCTCTTGCCTTCGGCTTTGGTGGTTGTGGTGTGACTTTGCCTTGACGCCGTGCACTTTTGTTTTCGAGGTTTGGCGTTTTGCCGACACGACTTCTTGCCACCCTTTTCAAGGGGGCGCCGCCTGTGCGGGCCAGAGTGTTTGGAACAATTTTCATGGCAACTATGAGAGTAAGGGGGAGTAATGGGGAGTAATTGTGCGAGGCGGAGGGAGAAGATAGCAGGCAAGGGAGCAGTCGGGGCGACAAGCCTATATCGAGGTGCCGCCAAACATCAAGCGCGATTCACGGTCTTGGTGCAAATGTCCGAAGATCGAGTACGGATCGCCCCACCCGAACCTCTATCGGCCTCTCTAAAATCATCGTCACCACTTCGCATATTCTGTCAGCCTTAGAAATTGCTGGTAAAGTCGCTCAATTTGACTACAAGTCTGGTTATTTGCCAATCTGGCATCTACCCCGATCTTGACGCGGGAACAGTCCCGGGTAGGTCAAGCCCTACAGGGCCGGAGACCGGTGCGAGGGGACCCACACTGAGGCCGGGACGCGGAATTACACGGCCGGTTAAGCATTCTTGACCCAAAGCAACCCGTCGGCATATTGCCTAGGCCAGAACAATCTCCTTCCAGACAGGGCCCGGCGAGAACGATTCTTTAATCATTGATTGCCGTATGTACCCCCTCCCCCGCCGTTCTGAAAGACCTTCCTGCCGAGAAACCAGCATTGCGTTGTACCGTGGTTCAGATGGATCCGACCATCCTATGTATTTCGGCGAGAGAATTATGATTTCAAAAAGTTCCTGGGAAGAGAAGAAGTCCGTTTCTTCAAACCCATCGAGGGACATTTCCCCACAATCGACTCCGGACTCCCCCTCGAGCCGGCAAATCCCTGTAAAGACGTTGACATTCCGGAGCTTAAGGTACACAGCCAACGTCCAAAACTGCAAAACGGGATATGAAGGCATTGAGCTTGGGAGCTGTGGCATCTCTGTCGGTGCAGTGCATGTTGTTGGAAAGTCCAAGTCGACTGGAGACTGGAACCCAGCTCTGGGGCGATATCCAATGCGTGATTCGTCATCAGCTGGGATTGACTCGGGATCCCACATGAGGCTCGTAAAACCTGACTTGCTTCGCTTATACCAAACAATCCATGTCTCGATGAGCCATTCATTCACCTTGAAAGGCATGTTGATACCGATCCTCCCTCGCCATCCGCACCAAGAATAGCTGGGGAAGCCCTTGCGTCGACGCAGAATACAGCCGTGGCACCTAAAGATGACGAAGCAATCCAATGCACCTGTCGGCAGTCCTTGGAAGAAGTCCAAATTTGTCTTGTCCGAGATGCGGCGGATAATTCCTGCCATGGCGCGTAGGACGTCGTTTTGATCCGCCAGGACGCGAGCGGTATAATACATGAGCATGCTGGAGTAGTCATCCAGAGGATCGTCTAGGTGCACAGCCATGGTAAGCAGTGATGAGTTGTCGTACCATGGTTTTATCACGCGGGTCCGGTCGATGCAAGACTCTGAGAACTCGGCGCTCCTACAACGAAAGAAGACCTTGTTGTCGACAAAGTAGAGAGCCCGGCGGGACAGCACGTGTTCCTGAAACCTGGTAGTGTGTTAGCGACATTGATGCTGAATGCTTGGACCAGTTACATACGTCCAACCTCTTGAGTTGTATACTGAGTTCTTTAGCAGCTGGTCCAAACCAGTGTAAAGACCCAGTCGTACGCCGGGCTTTACCTCGACGGCAAGCTTCACAGAGGGCCGACTACCGATCTGAACGCCAGGAAGCCCAGCGTTGGCATCTGATCCGCAAGCAGCGACGACCGTCAGCCAGGAGCGCTCATAGATCTGATCCATGACGTTGATGCCCCGCTCAAGGTCGTCCTCATCATTCTGGAGTAGACAAAGGGTATCAACCCATAGATACTGCACTCCGAGTCTGATACAAAGCGTAATGGCGTCACATATTGTCTTTGGTAGTGTCGAAAAAACTTCCCCGATAGTCCCAGGGACCAACAATGGGGCCAAGTTTGACTTTGTCAGCCTAAAATTGGACACGGCTCCCCAAACGTAGCTGAGTGCAATATAGGGACGGTACTCTTGAACCTCGACCAGGCAGCCTCTTCTGACGTCGATGAGGCGGAGGACACGAAGCCCCGGGAAAGCCGTGGGGAATGTCTCCTCGCTCAGAGCGCAGTCGTTGCCGTGTGTGGTTGTGCATGCCGATATCCATCTCGAGACTCGAAAAAAGTCTAGCTCAGAGTTCACAGAGGGGAGGAGGTAGTCGAAGCCTTCATCTGAGCCGCTGCTATTGCCGTCGGCGGGAGCAGCGAAGCAAATATGCTGCTCCGGCCATTCTTCGATGGCAAAGGCGGCTCGATGTTCGAGGGCCTCATGGTAGCTCCAGACCAGGATGGCTTCCTCGCTTGGGAGGCCTTTCCGCGATGGATTTGTTCGATAGTCTTCGGTGCAGGCGTCCTTGACGAGACGACAGAGGGGGCAGGGGCTGGCGAAGACGCGGGACCAAGGTCCGAGGTTGAACTTTTCAACGTGTGTTTCTGTGAGAGCATCCTTATCAAGAGGGACTTTCGCGCAGTAGTCGCAGAGCTCGTTTGATTCAACCATGGTTGCTTGGAGTGAGTTGTGGGCAGAAATGATGACGTCTAAAATGCGCATAGAAACATCTGTGAGAGGCCAAGATGAATCAGGTGAGACAAGATGTGCGCGGTTACATCAGCCAATGAACGACGGGGATGAGGAGGAGCCAGATAGACATGGAGAACCTGACTACAGTTCCTGCTCTGCTTCGTTTGGAACCGAAATAGACGGATTTCATCAATCAAGCTGCACCTCTTGCTTCTAATCCGCATGGCCATCACTTCCAAGATCATCAGGATAAACAACCAGAAGCACTCAGCCATGTCCCCCGAGCCGCATCCATCACTTCTCCCATACATGGCCATTCGACTTCCGCAACCCTGTAGAGGATTCTCACTCTCTGTTCTAGGCTGAAGGCAACTGGGACAAGAGCTAAGTAATATTTTACTAGTAAAACGCTCTACAAGGCCGGCTAGACAACGGCTGCACTATGCGTTCACGACATAGAATTACTGAATTCTGGAGACAAGAGACAGGACGCTTTAACCCCTTTCAAGAAGGAAATTATTCCCAACTGTGTAAGTTGAAACTAGAACAATGAACTGCCTGTTTAACAACTCGCCTGCCAACACGTCACAATTGGGCGTTTAAGGCACAGCTAATAATCACCCTATTGGCCCATGTTCCTCGGACTCGCCCCGCATCCTACTACTATTACTGACAGGCTATAGCAAGGAATTGCATGTATAGTAGGCTGACTCAAGGCAGTCTCGGGCTGTTGCATTAATGCCGGCCTATGGGAGACTCGAATCCCTGTAAGCAGTGAGGCGCATTTCAGCTCGGTTCCCCAATGAGCAAAGACCAGCGCGCCCGACGTCGTATATCACAGGGCGCAGAATCCTTCTGTCAAAGCATCACCTGATAGTTGCCGGCATCTGAGTTATCCTTAAAAGCCCGATTCTCTCACAGTTGAGAAACTACAACTCAGACATGTCACATCCAAGTTGACGCCATCATGTTCCAAACCTTTCGGTACAACCACATCCCCGCCCTACTCGTCGCTGCCGCTCTCTGCTACCCCACCATCGCAGCCATCTTCATCAGCCCTAACGCCGTCCTCAAGGGCAATGGGTTTCCCCCACATATCGCTAGCTCCGAGGAGGCGTGGCTAGTCGATGCCGCCGGAAATGCGCGTATGCTATGCCTGGGCGGTCTCATGTTTTACTTTTATCGACGGGGCGATTATCGCGTCCTCGACACTTTTCTCGCTTCTGCGTCGACGATTGGGATTGTTGAGTGCTTTGCACTTTGGGATATTGGGAATAGGACTATTCTTGTGTTGCGGTTTATTGTCTTGTTTGTCGTTTCTGTCCTGGGGGCTGCTCAAGTTACCGAGCTTCCCTGAACATTGTCAGCTTGAAGCCATGCTCAGACATGCGACAAGCATTTCAGCTGCAGGCTGTCGCAGTCCGACGAGTTGGGCCTGTTTCATCGACTCTGGAACTGTGTCTGAGCATTGGTCTTACGGGAGGAAAAGTTTTCAGATCTCGATTTCCTCACAATGGCTTTCGTTTGTCCTTGCCACATTCTTTCAAAGTAACCCTTGCTTCCCGGTAGTCACCCCTTGGCTGAAGGGTCGATCATGTCTCAGCGCCACTCCCTTGCGTTAGAATACGAACGACTAAGACATTGGATGACAATTACAGATCCAATGAACCAGTCCCTACAAAGTAAGAATTCATCTCTTTGGTGCATAATTATTTATTTTTTGCCCTGTGAATACTAAGTTACTATTTAACCTTCATCATCACAGCTTGCATGATGATTGCAGCGCTGTCTTTCGATGATGGATGTGCGTTTGGATCAGAAGATACGAGCAAAATCCTGACCAAGGCCGAGACATTTTCCCTCTTGCGATGAGACATCGAAGCTGGTCCAACTCCCTCCATTCCAAACCATCGCCGCCGCCTCCCTCAAACACTTCCAGATCTAAATCGATACTCTAAAATTCCAGTCGCCCTGCCATTAGCGTGTTTCAATCAGCACTCTGATGTCAGGGGAATCCAGCCACACGGAGAAACGGCTCGTGTGACAATCAGGGTCAGCTGAAAGGCAATGATCTCCCTGCATCTCCAGCCACACGCAGGATGCTGACTCCTGAGAAACTGGTATGTAAAGGCTCCAGGCGGTTCTTTTAATGGTTATAGCATTGTCTGGAACCACAAAAGCTGTCCCTTGGCGAATTATCGTCAATACCCAGCCACACGGGTTGACATGTCTCGCCACTAGAGAACAATGCGAGTGTTCGCCATGGCCCACGTCGGGGACTATTGAGGTCCAGTACTGCGTGCCAGAGATAGTTCAAGGGCGTTGACGCCAAGTATATCAACCAAGCTGCACCTCTTGCTTTGATCGACACAATCATCACTCCAAACACATCAACACTAGCAAGCTACAACACAACAAGTACCGCCAACACTCGATTTTACTCCTCGACATAGAAACATCGCCACTATGAGGAGCTCATTGGCTTTCTTGGCTTTCGTGGCCTCTACTTTTGCTCTGCCTCAAGCCGTCACAGAAGATATCCGGCCCAAGAGTGGCCCGCCTAAGGGATGCAGCGAATCCTACGATGGCAGTTTCGAAGTTACGATCTACAAGAGTGGAAAGTCAAAGCGCGACGTTGAGGTTAGAAGCACACACCCCATTATTACCACCATTTACTAACCAGCTATAGCCACGAGAATGCAATGGAGAGGGTGTCCTGGTCATGAGCCTCAAGGATGGTGTCCTGAAGGATGCACAAGGCCGAACTGGATACATTTCCGACAGTTATCAGTTCCAGTTTGACAAGCCTCCTCAATCTGGCTCCATCTTCACCGCTGGCTTCTCTGTCTGCTCCAATGGAACTCTTGCACTTGGACCTTCAGCTGTCTTCTGGCAATGTCTGTCGGGCGATTTCTACAACCTCTATGACCGTCACTGGGCTGAGCAGTGCTCGCCTGTCGAGTTTGGCATCATGCCTTGTGGTAAGGGTTCCAAGGATGCACCCAAGAAGAGGGTTGTTGGAAGCAGCATCGTTGCTACGACTGTCGTGACGGTTGTGTCAGACGGAACGACAAAGGAGGTTCCTACGACTATTGCTGTTCCCATGTGCCAGATTGGAGATGGTCAGGTTCAAGTGCGCACGACACCTTGCGATGATATGAACTTGCCCATCATCACTGCTCCTCCAGTCAGCCAGGTCTCAGATGGCAAGCTTCAAATTCCTACAGACGCCCCAGCTGCTCCTCCAGCTGCCCCTGCCGCTCCCGCCGCCCCCGCTGGAGGTGAGCCGGCCGAGCCAGACAACAACGCTAAGGGTGGTGAGCCGTCTGGTGATGAGCCCGCAGCCGATTCGCCTTCTGATGAGCCTACTGGTGATGCCGATTCAGGCGAGCCCGCTGCGCCTGCTGCCCGACCCGCTGGTGTGTCCCCTGGCTATGAGGCGGGTGCTGGCCCAACAGCTACAGGTGGTGAGGCACCTGCCAACACTGGAGGTGCTGCCGGGGACAAGCCCGCTGGTGGCGCGGCCGCTGGAAGCACCAAAAAGGTATCACCTACTGGTGCCGACGATTCTGAGGTGCTGGTCACCGACTCTGCCCCCGCTCCCTCAGGAACCGACGACGCTGAGGACTCTGAAGACACTGAGGAAGCCAGCGCGACCGGTCAGGCTACACGAGCTGTCAAGCCTTTCCGTCCTCAAAGCACCGGCAGCGATAATGCCGAGGAGACCGCTAGCGGCTCGGATGCCGCTTCAGGCGACGACGCTTCTGATCAAGCGGCGTCGCCGGGGTCTGGTGCTGTGAAGGCGGTCCCTGCCGGTGTTGCACTAGTGATGTGTGCGATTGGAAGCCTGCTGATGTTGTAATGGGATGGAATTATATGATTACTTTGATGAAAACTGGATCGGGATAGCATGGATGTGGTGTTTGGTTTTGTATTTATATCGTCATCTTTTGATTAGTAGCAGTAATGCAGTGCATTCATCTTGGTTAAAATATCTGGTCAGTTCAATTGCTCTCGTAGCAATCCTCTATCAAGCCAGTCCCCATTCATAGCCTCACAGAGACTACGAGACGTCCAGTAAAGAGATATTGAGCAACGTTCCGAACCTGGAACCAAGCGTTTAAGCTTTTGATCCTGCAGCACCAATGATGTCACCTGACCACTCAGCTCTGGGGACGTGAATGATTCCTCATGTTCCCCGCCAACTGGAGCCGATCGCGCCCTATTGACAGGGGGTGGGTCACCTCTGACGTGCCGATAAAAGGAGTCATTCGCCGGGCATCTCGGAGCTAACAACGGAGCATCTCCAACTACGTCTCATAAATACTGTTGTTCTTCGAGCATCAAACTTGGGCGAGCAACTCTTCAGGATGCTGTCTCAACTCGCAGGTTGTCTACAGGACAGCCTCCAGAGTCATCCCCTAAATTATACCGCCATCGCGATCACTGTCTTACTCGGCCTTCCGACCCTTCTCCTCATTCTAACATGGACCGGAAATTCATCCTCAACTCGCAGAAAATTGCGAAATCTGCGCAGGCTAGGAATATCATCTAGCAACATGGTCGATCAAACCGACCCCAAGTTCGACGTCCCGGAAGGCACCTCAACCGACACACCCATTCGCATCAAAGCCATTTTTATCCATCCTGTCAAGTCTTGTGGACCGATCGAGTTGGATAGAGCCATCTTGACCAAAACTGGATTCATGTACGACAGATGTTTCGCGATTGCGACAGAAGTGGCTAGGGCAGACGCAGAAGGGGGTTCTGTTTGGCGGTTCATCAGTCAGCGAACCAAACCCCTCATGTCCCAGATTAAGCCAGAGCTGTGGGTTCCTCACGAAAAGAGCGACCCCCAAGATGCCCTGGTTCGCGCAGGAGGATGCTTAGTTTTACGGTTCCAAGACCCAGACCCCCCAAGTTGGATCAATCGGCTCGAAGGCTGGGTTGACTCAGGTCAAACCGCTCAACGAGAGGTGTCCTTCATTGTGCCACTCCAACCGACATCCGAATTGGTAGATGAGTACAAGATCAGAATGAAGCCCTTTACTATCCACGCACGCGATGCAAACGGCTTGGACATGGGCAGGATTCCGTCGGTGGCAGCAACACTTCCCAAGCTGAAGAGGTTCCTTAAAGTCTCGGATCAAAACCTCACCATCCTAAGGTGCACCCCGGATACACTTGTGCGCACCGACAAGAATCTCGCTCCGTTGGATTACATCGGAACACCGGCTGTCCATGGGTACACGGATCAACAACCCATCAACATCAACAGCTTGTCCTCGGTTCACGCCGTCTCGTCACTATTGCCAATAGAGAACCAACCTCTAAATGCCCTTCGATTCCGGGCCAACATTTGGATCACGGGAGCTCCAGCCTTTGAGGAAGAGAACTGGAAGCGTTACCGCATTCTCCCCAAAAGTGCTGGTTCTGATACACGAGCCAAGGTTGCACCGGCGCTGTCTGTTGTCTGTCGAACATCTCGCTGCACCATGCCAAACGTGGATCCTAATACGGGCAAATTCGACACCGATAAGCCTTCTCCGGATAGGGCCAGGGGTAGAGCGCAGCCGAGTACAACCTTGGTGAAGTACAGGACGGTCGAGGATGGGAATCCTAGGGCACTTGGTTACTTGGGCATGCATTGCGTACCAGAAGATCACAGCCTAAAAGAGGCACAATGTCAAGGTGCTGGATTGTACGTTCAGGTTGGCGATGAGATCGAAGTGCTGGAGAGAGGGACACATCTTTATGGGTCCACGGGCAATGATTACTAGACTCTTGTTGCCAAATTGTAAAACTATGGCTGTTGTGTCTGTGAACAATTTCCCTGTTGCCATGCACTATACCTTTCATTCATTCGGATCCCTATAGCTCAGCAAATGCTCGTTCCTAATCTGCCAGAGGGATACTGGATCAATGACACCAGCAGGCAAGTACAAGTGATGAATGGCATCTCCGTGTGAAAGGATCTCGTCAGAAACCACCTCGCTCTTGACTCGGAAAGGTTGTCTGCAGCTCTCGTAGTCGATCTTTCTCCAAGCGTCGACCACCTTTTTTCCCCATTTTCATCTCCCACGTCCCTCGCCAGGTGATGGAAGAATCCCCCCTGTTATAGGTGAATGCACAAGCTTCCCCCTTTGCGCCGTTCCATAAGATCATTTTCTGCAGCTTAGGCATGAGCACTGCGGCATTTGAAGCCTTAAGCAGTAGATCTGTCACTTCCTCCTCCTTTCGGGGTGTCATCGACCGCGATGTCAGAGCAAGGGAGCGAAGTTGTTTCCACTCCCACTCTGGCTGGCACGCGTCGAAAAACTGCTCGGCATCCACCATAAACGAGACGGATAGCTCTTCCAGCTGGATGCTTCTAGATGAAAACACAGACCTAAGAAAGGGGCTTGCAATACGCATATGATTTGCCATGGGATGGCCCCAGGCGGTAGCAGTCGACGAGCATAGTCATCATTAAAGTCTTCAAAGACCAACAACTTCTTGAGACTTTTGGGAAGATTTTGAGTAACATATTGTTCGCATCCTAGAGCCGACATTAGTTTCGTCTTTCGCCGTGTGTGATCCCGCTCACCTATGTCCCAAAACTCATGTTGAACATTGCCAACGTCCCATGTACACCATGGCTCCCAGACTAGAGTTTCTAGCCGAGGGAATGAACTAAACAGCCTGCTGGCCGCCTTTGGGGGGAACTGACACCGGAATTGTCGACGTATTGTGAACTTTGTGACGGCAGTTACTTTCGGGAGTCCTATGAGCGTTTCGGGACCTAATGAGTGCCTATGAATGACGTAGTTATCTATGAGGAATCTGTATATGGCCGCTGGCTCTGGGGGCTTGACTTGTCGACCATGTTCAAAGCCATGCTTAGGATCATGAATCTCCTCAGCTGGACCGTCTTCTCCCGGGCCACCCACAAAACAGTGCTGTTGCCAATGCTCACGATCACTCGGGGAATACGCATTGAGCTCGAGAGCCAAGTCTCAGCCTCTACCGCGCCTCCAGCTTTTCAAGAGGCTAAACAGGTTCATGACTGCATCTTCGATGATGAATTTGTTCTTTCTTTGCCAGCTGCTGCTTTCGGCCCAGCCACATAAATAACAGTTGTACGACTGGAGCTCGATATTGAGCCAGATGCTTTTGATCAGCTGTTTTCGCCATCTAGGTTTGGCCACCTTTGCGAACTGTTGTAGGTCATGCTGGCTTATCTTGAGATGACTAAAGTTTTTCGCCTCGAAGATGGTTTGCCATTCTTTGGATACGGCAGCGTAGCACCCTCGGGACTTGTGTTGATTGAGCAGGTCGAGGATCATGTGCTGTATTTCAGCAGGGAGAAAACCCCAGCGGGAGAAAAGCAGCCTCTTGGTTTGTTGTTGTTGGTCATACATGGCCAGCAAGGCCCGTATTAGTACGGGAATGCGCGCAGAAAGATGGGTTTCGATGGTGAAAAAGGCGGCTACGTGGGAAGTTTTTCTAGGACGAGGCGTGAAGACACGACAGTCTTTTATAGTACGAAATAAAGTAACGGGCAAGAAGAGGGCGACCGTGGCCTTTTTCTCCTTCAATTTCGGCTCAATCACCCATCTTGCTTTTTACACAAAACCCAGATTTGACCCTTTCTTGTGAACTTGGTGATACTTCGAAAAGAAGCCATGAGCTCGGATAGCAAAGAACACGGTTATTGATGATGCCGGCATTAAAGCCAATGCCGCAAAGAACTGTCAGCTGAAACAATATTATGTAGCCGCTGCTAAAAGGTCCCTGAGATTTCGCCCTTCATGCACGCTCATAACAGGAGACTTTAGGTATGACGGCAATGGGACTTATGCATCTCAAGCAGCACAAGAGGAAAGGGATTCGCGAGCAGTAATGCCAAGACGGTTCCGGGCAGAGACCATGTCCAATCACCAGGCCTATCTCGCCAACGTCATCAAGTCAACCAATCACAACCCTGGGCTATTGGCACTGTTGCCTGGCCTGAGACAATAGATAGCCGCTATAAAGTCCCCTTACGGCCCTGTCTCGCTGTCTCTGTTCTCTTGCAAGTGTCACCATCAGTATCCCCTCATCATAATGGACAGCCAGGCTGCATCACGGCGCCCACCGCGCACACATTGTCCCCTCCCAAACGAGGTTTTGCATCTCATATTTTCCGAATTTCTCATCACGTTAAATCCCGATCCCCGCCAAGGTCTCTTTGGCATCATCAGATGGACTCTCGGGCGATACAGAGATCTGAGCAATATCTGCAAAGCCTCGAAGCAGCTCAACGCAGTCGCCCAGCCTTTGCTGTACCGCTTCTTGCTCACCTTCCCTTATCATAAGGGAGTAGACAAGGCGCTCGGTTCGATGAGTAACCACCCTCATCTTGGCGAACTGGTCGAGATCTTTGATCTGCGCTACACCCTTGACACGCTCAGGTGGGACAGCAGGCATGGTGAGTGGTTCGAGCAGGCTCGTCCACATCTCAAGTTGCCACCTGAGCTGGCAGATCAGATTGAGTCAGTGCTGTCTGAGACGTTGAATCACTACACCATGGAAGCCCGTGACGCCTTGACAGCCTTTTGGCTTTCGCTGATGCCGAACTTGAGGAAGCTGAGCTTGGCCATGATGGATGAGACTGAGCTCACTTCTGCCTTGTTCAAGCATGCAGTTGAACCTACGGAAACGGCTTTGACGAGTACCCCACCATTTTCCTCGCTGCAGGAAGTCACCTTCTCCCAGGCCCCCTACAGGAACGAGCGGTCCATTCACATCACTGCTATCGAGGCGATGTTCAAGTTGCCCTCGTTGACAACCCTACGCACCACTGGCATCCCTTGGAACCGACCGGAAAATGACGAGCCCTTTCTATTGCCTGACATTGACTGTTCGCTTCTGCATCTTGAGTCGAAATCATCCACAATGAGACCCGAGCCTTTGAAGAGCATCCTGATGGCATGCAGGGGGCTGCGAACCTTAAGGCTTGACATCGGCATGGATACCTATCCTAATTTCTTCCCTGTCGACTATGATTTGGGTACGATCCTACGAGATCACGGGGAGAATCTTGAGAGGATCAGCCTCGCCTTCCACTTCAATGGTAGACGAAACCGACTGGGGGAATGGTTGACTGGCGAAGAATACCTAACTACAAAGATAGGCGACCTACGGCGTCTATCCAAGTTGAAGCACTTTCGCCTAAATCTGCCTGCTTCTGACGACGGCATGAACCGATGGGGCAGACCGCACGGTCCCCGTCCGCCACTGACGGATCTCACTGAGATGTTGCCACGTTCATTGGAAACTGTCGTGCTCCGCTGCGGTTTCTGCGACAAGGAAGCTCTAGTGGAGAATCTCTCCGGGTTGCTTGTTGCCAAGGACACGCAGCCTGAACTTCGGTGTGTCATAGTGTCCAACGAGGTCAAGTTGGAGACAGACTTGACGGAGCTTGGATGGAGCTGGAAGACGGCGGAAACCACCCATGAGGGGTGGAAGTGGAGAATAAAGGATGTGAGCCGGTACGGGCTTTTGGTCATGAAGAAGAGGGGAGAAAAGGTGAAATTTAACATGAAACAGATAGATGTGTTTTGAGAGGGACTTGGGGCTATTGCTGTGAATGGCGTCCCCGGTTGAAGGCATCGGGGATAATGAAAAAGAACGTAGGATATATTGATGTCACTTAATAAGACAACCGGGCTGTAGAATGAAGTGGTCAGTCGCAGTCATGGTTCAGCCGCCTTTAGAGGCCGTTTCGAGATGTATTTAGAGGTTGTTAATCAAAACTTGACTATGACATTCAGTCTGCAGGGTTTGCAATGTGATAGACTTCATATCCTGCACCCTCCTACCTTAGCAGTGTGATTCATTCCCCTTTTTGTAGTATAAATAACACCAATGCCAGGAATTTTCAATAATTCTGCATACTTATCTTCATTATCGACTATACCACACAGAACCCCAAAGCCGCTAGGCACGCCGAGCATACACCACCATGGATTCCAAGAAGACCCCGAACGTGTCCACACCAAAGCCGTCCACACCAAAGCCGTCCACACCAAAGCTGATCTTTACTCACAAGATCCCCACTAAACTGATACATAACCGGGATAATCTGAACCATGCTCTGGAGGAAATCTACGGCAAAGCGTATATCTGTGAGCCTTTGTGGAATGAAGTTGTGGTTACGGTGAATGTTGGCGCGCCGGTGTTTTTGAAAGAAAGGCTGCAGAAGAAAGGGGTAATTCTTCCTGATACTTGGGTAATTAGGAATCCTGAACACACGGGATAGTTTTATTTCCAGGTGGACAGGTCCCTGCGTTCTATCTAGCCAGATTTAGCAAATATCTCGACTAGGTATGATGGATGGGTTTGCATGCCATGCCATGCCTCCTAGATATTAATTAATTGCTATTTTGAGAGGTAGTTTTGCTAGCCGTTTGGTGGCCGCCGTTTGGTGGCCGCCGTTTCATGTTCATTCTGATCTTGGGTACCGTCAGCCTTCCAAGGTGTGAGAGCAACGACCTAAGGGCGGACAGGCTGAGGCATTCAACAAGATGCACTTTACGGTTGAGTGACACGCTTCAGGGGTGATTCTCCATCGAGGCGACATCGAGAAGCTCACTCACCAGATTTCGCGCCCAACAGAGATTTGTCGACTGCCCTTCCGCTCATCGGCGCCTAGGTTGCTCTGACTTGGCAACAACCAGGTCAGCTCCGAGGTCTTGGCACTCTTCAGCCCAAGATGCACGACAGGTTCCGCTCAACGACTGCGGGGAAAGAAAGGACAGCTGGCAAGTTCGATGAATCTGCGCCACAGAAAGGCCTCATTCAGGAAATACGGTTATGAGAATGTGGCTAGGGGTGGTGTGCCTCAATCAGGCTCTGCCTTGTTCGCCAATCGAAAGTGGGCAACCGGCAGCCTTATTCTGCAGCACACAAGACACTGCATGCCTCCAAGTCCAATGAGGGTCAGAGGCAGAAATAGGTGCTCGCTGATCGGGCGTTTGGGTCATGCACATAAGGCTCCCTATCCCCCACAACGCGCGAACGAGAAACCCGAGATTCAGATTCAACAACTTCTTTCCCAAAAGTAACGATCTTGGTTATGTTCCCCGTTTGTTCCAGGCTTGTCAATGAATCAGGTGGGATTCTCGCAGCCCACAAGCTTTGTTCTGTGTTCACTTCTGCTGATCACTATTTCAGAGACTGACCTGACTAGGTTGCGACAAAGGAACGAGTATGAAACGGCTCTGTATTGGTGCCATCAGCTCTTCTTTCCCGGTTGGAGAGCCACGGAGTCTTTGCAGATCAAGGATAAAGTACCATGTGATAGGGATTTGACGCCAGGCCCAGTGAATCCCACAACTTGAGGAACCGCAATCGTCAACCCGGGCAGCGAGCGGCGATCATCAGCCGGTCTAGTGTCTCAATGTAACCACCTCAGCATTGCTAGGTTATGAACATAGTACCTTTTTCGACTATGACAACCACTGTCACTACCAATGACTGGTAAGTAAAGCGCGTGGCAGAAGGCGAGCGTGATATATGATGAATCAGATAAGTTAATTCTCTGAACCAACAAAGCGTAGCCAGGGGTACGATTGAATAGCTTCCGTGATTGCAACATCCCTTTTCATGGGGGTGCCCCTTGCCCACAGGGGCAGCCAACAGATATCTCACATGACGCCAGGCGTAATTCACAACTATATAAGTACGGTTTCTCGGCACACAGAGAATCAACGCAGCATCATTCTATATCTACCCAACTCCCTCTCGATTAAACATCATCATTCTCCTGCCCCTAAGCATTGCACTATTCCTCCACCTTATCCATAAACCCAATCTTCTCGCCATCGCCGTCATGTCCCAGTCTCGCATGCGAACCGCAGAGGCCAAAGACGTGGATCAGGTTACCCAGGTCTTCATCAAGGCTATGCAGGACAACCAGTCCTGGCCATACCGTTTCCCCCATCGTGTCAAGTACGCTGAAGACCACTGGAACTACAACAGAGACCTCATTCGCCGCTTCATCTCTCTAGACTACAATGACTGGGTAATTGTTGTAGTCGAGCTCCAAGATGCTGCCAGGGCGTGGCAGATTGTCGCCTTTTCTGTGTGGGACATTTCCTACGTCAACAAGCGGGCTCATGGGCCTGGATATATACCCAACTCTCGTAAGTGAGCATTCACCAGAAACCTGTGAGCTTGGGAAGCTCACTCCGACTTAGCGCAGCAAGACACTCGCGAGGTTGGCTACAGCCGAAGGGACACCGACCCCAAGCACCTGGCGGCATTCCAGGCTGCCCTGAAGGAGAGCAACCAAAAGTACTTCAGCCAGTTTGGCCCGAACCAGATCAAGGTGCAGGTCTTGGGCACTCTACCCGAGTACCGCCGCCAGGGATTCGCGTCTCAGCTGTGCAGATGGGGGATGGAGAGGGCAGCTCGGGACAGTGTCGCCATGACTCTGAGCGCGAGTCCTCAGGGGTATCCGCTCTACGCTGGACTGGGATTCAGAAAGTTGGGTCAACAGGTTATCAATGCGCCTGGAGAGGAGGAGTCGCTGGTTGTGGACTGCATGGCTTTTGAACCTGAGCAGTAGGCGGGGAGTGCTCAGCTCTGATGAATGACTTTGATTTGATGTGCAACTAATTCTTACTCTATTAATTCACCACTCTTGCTTTGTTGTCATTCCCGTTTCGTACGCAGCTCATCGTCATGTGTCTTCTCATGCTTCTAACTCCTCATTCTGAATTCGCATCCATAGTGTCTCGTCGATGCCTTCTTGCCCATGTCCAGCTATGAGCTACCGGTTGGTCTGTTGCCATGGGTGTATGCAAGTCCACGTTGTCTTGATCACTTGACTCATCACTTGTACCGTATTTCCATTTTCAAGTCATAATATGTGCCCACCAATCATTACTTACTTAGTTCCAGCCCCTGTAGCGGCGTTGGGGGCCTCATTTATCACCGTGTTTCCCTTTTCGTCTCTGTTGAGCATCACCGTATTTCCTATCCGGAGTAGACACTGCCCCATGAGTTAACGTGTATTCGTTGTACTCAAAATACATGGTCAGATTTCTCAGGCAGTGCCACGCGAATCCTCATCGTGTTTCGCCTGAGAGTTAAAGTTAAGCTTACTTCAAGGTCACAGACCGAACCCTGCATGGAATGTCGTCGAGTCCTTGGCCAGGATGCCTTCACAGCGCCAGCCCTTCCTCCATGCCCTCGCTATATAATTCCTAACCCCGGCGCCCCGGGAAGTCTTTTCACCAGCTCTAAACCCTCAATATTTTTTTACCCTCTTCTTGAACATTTACATATTTTCCGTGCAAGATACTTATCCCGTATTGCTCTGCGATGGACGTTCAGGACATGGCGAAAGTCGAGCACAAACTCGCCTTGATCAAGAACCTCACAGAGAAGCTCGGAGGGGAGATGCCCTACAGATATGTTGACGTTATTACTCTGAATGGTACTTCACAATTTTCATGCTCTTGTTAGCGAGACCCTGACTTTCTGCCATAGGTTCATTCGCACTGCCGATGTATGCCTATCAAACTACAAAGGATAGCAGCTCTCTTGCTGTCGGTGGCAATCAACAAGATAACGGCTGCAAGACAGGATCTGCATCTATTCAGAGATAAATCTGGAACCGCCCTTGAGCAGGCCAATGGCTTCGCCATAATTCTGTGCGATTAGATGACAGGAAACAGGCCGTTGAGTGAAGGCGTTTGAACGGACTAGGAATCATTTGATCAGACTTTCGATAGCAGGAGACGTAAGAAGGAGGCAGACAAGGTATGGTTTTGGCAGTGGTATTATTTTTAAGGTGTCTTTCAGTCTATCTGTAATAGATGAGTGTTTTTCCTTAATCATAGCATTACACAATCAGGCCAGCTTGTGTTGAAAGGCATTGGGCATGATGGCTTGCCTGTGTAAACTGCATCTCTCTGACTGGATTGCCTTGATCTGTGCTCCGGAATGCTATGAGGTTAAGTTATTTCTCAATCAGGCCATCAACGATGCTCTATTTCATTGAAAACAAGGTCCTTTGCGACTTTGGCTAACATTCTCTCTCACCCTCCCATCAACAATGCGATATGACACAGCATTTCCAAAATCATTATGAGTATAAATTTAAGTACAATTACTACCATGAGTTCCCGAGCACTGGTAATCGTCTTTTACTAGCCAAGCGTTTCCCATGTCGCTTCATGCCGATGACCATATCTGCAAGGAGAAGTCGCCTAGGACAGTGAGTTCTCAGTGTCCCTCTGTAGAAATAATCTTTCGAACACCTGGCTCAAGCCATGAAACATGTTCCGAAATTCCTTCCTTCTCGAAAACCTCAGAAAGCTTGTGCCCATTCTCCGTGAAATGTCCCCAAGACTCATAGTGCATAGGAACGAGCACATCGGCCCCAATCTCTCGGAAAAGGCGACTGGCTTGCTTTCCACACATTGTAATCTGTTTCTTCGTGCCGTCAGGCATCGCGACAATCGCGGCGCCAATGTTGAAGATGGCAATGCTGATGTGGAACTTGTTTCGCATCTCAGTAAGTTCCTCAAAGTAGATGGTGTCTCCGGAAAAGTAGATTGCATTTGGGAGGCCATCCATTTCTCCGAAGGTGGGGGACGTGATGATAAAGCCGGTGCACTCCTGGCCTGGGACGTGTTGGCAGGGAACTCCAGTGATGCTGAACTGTTGGCCACCAACATGGAGGGGCAGAGTTTCCCAGGGAGAGATTCCCCTGACGTCGGGGCGTGGTGATAGTTTCTTTGCTCCATCCATAGTGGTGATGACTCTTCTGCCATCTAGCAGTTGTCGGCCCAGCTCATCCAAGTTATCGGGGTGATCTTCATGACTGAGCAGAACGGCATCAACAGCCGGCAAGTCATGGAGTGCCATGGCCGGAGTGTCACTGTTCTCAAGAATTACCACGCCACGGTCCCACTGCGTGCCGGCAGGAGAGAAGAAAGGGTCGGTGAGGAGGTTGACGCCATTGATTTGGAGGATGGCGGTGGCGGTCCCGATGTGTGTGATGTTGACATCCGCGTTGATCTTGGGTAAAGGCATTGTGGAGGAAGAGACGTGCAAATAATCTGGACTAGAAGTTTGGACTAAAGATTTATTTCATTGAAGTGAGGTCAAACAGGAATGAGGGCTGAGAAGTGGGCAGTTGGTTGAACAGCACTTGAACCAGCGAATATATAACCAGCGGACACCAATTCATTCTCGCCTGAGGTTCAATCTTTTGACAAATGCAAACATTATTAATCTTCCCAGTGGCTTCATAAATATCCATGCCTGCTTACTTGATGGTGGTCCGATGGCCACGATACCGTAGGTAGACAGATCTTGATTTGGGTGTGTAGAGGGATGACTTTTGTAAAGCTTGGCGAATATAGTTACCTAAATAAGCCTAGTGTATGGAATGGTCGGGACCATGACGAGATCTATCCGTCGGGGTCTTACACGCAGTCTCCCAAGCCGAGCAGGGCCGGCTTTCTTTGCCATCTGTGGCATATACCACCACACAAGTAGCTCACTAAACGGAGATGCCATGTGATATCGTTAACGACACAGATAGACAAGGTTGTTACAACATGGTGTATTGACATTACTCATCGTCAGCAAGCATTTGTATCAAAAAGTAATACCCCGTTTCCTTAATAAACCGTGACACACGACAAAACCAAAACACCATTTCCGGATCATTCCCACCAAACGCCTTCAACACTTCACAGGCAGTCTTTAGCGGAAGACTTATGGAAGCCGCTCCAAACAGTTTGAACTCTTCTTTGAGTAGAAACTCTATGCTCCGAAATGTCCACAACGCGAGCTGGTTGATCATCCTGACGTCCAATAGGTCATTCAGGACCTTCGTCTCTGTGGAGGTTGAGAGACATGGGAATTTTGACGTTAGTTTGATGATATTGTAGGCGCAGATCACCTGGAACGCCCACAGGTGGGTGAAAAAGTTTCCGGCGATGATGTCGGGAAACTGGATTGGCAGATCTTCTTGAACTGGGAAGATAGGGAGCCACCGGCGGGCTGTAGTTTCTTCTCTGACAGTTTCGTCTCTGCGAACAAGGTTTTGAAGAATTTCCAACAGTTCCTCGACTATCTTTTGGGCCCTTGCTACGGCTTGGTCGGCTGGGATATCCGACAAATGATCGATTCTGCCCAATATCTCAGCAAGAGGGAAGACCTCTGTGAATAGTGATTGAAGAGGTGATGGGATGTAGAACTCAAAGGGTATCGAGGTCCAGGCAGGGTCCGAGAGAAAGTGTTTTCGTCGGGTAAAGAGTGCTTGAAGAACCTGGGTCTGTGAGCAAAATGCACTTGACTTGGAGGAGCTTCCTTACAAGGACTGGTCTGAATCCCACAAAGAGATGGTGGGAGATACCCGAAGCGTAGAAGCAAGGCTTTTGAAGCTTCATGAGATCCTCTATACCCTTTGCATGGACAATGGCGCTGGTTGGGCTCGTGGGCATGATCATCTGCGTCTGTCAGCTCGGGCTTAATCGAAAATTCCACACAGTAGAAATACCTCGGACAAGAATAAACACATGATGCTGGCAGCCACAATATTTGGTGCTGATGTAGCCCAACCATCCAGCCCGCTGTTCAGGGATTCTAGAGCCGTGGTGTGAGCCGCCAAGGCATCAGACATAGGAGCTCGTCCCTGACTTCCTCTAGCAAGGATGGAAACTGCTAGTGTTTTGATAGCGGGGGAGAGACATAGATCTGCCTTTGATCCCCTTGCCAACTCAGGGAGCATCTCAACCCAGCCGCCACATATCCGATGAGAAAAGATGGAGGCTTGGGAGGGGACAAATTGAGGTGCTTGCCCAACTGGACTGAAATTTTGGACGACAAGTGAGATGATGTCGAGAAGTGGCCAACTTAAGGAGCGAGTAAGAGGAAACTCGGTTTCGGGTAATGTTACTTGTTTCGTAACAACTGGCTGTGCTTTCTGGCTGTCAACGCTGACGCGACGGCGTTGACGTTTGGCTTTCGTTGCCTTGGGTGGGTAGGAGTTGGACATGACTGGCGGACGGAAGATGAGATCATGGTCATATCCTGCACATTTCTTGGAAGAGAATAGGCATTGCGAACAACTCGGTCGTTTTCCATCACACTACAGGGGGCATTAGAGACCAAGCCTGCGAGACTCTGTTTGAGGGACTTACAGCTAACTTCCGAGCCCTGCACGTGTGGCAGGTGGTTATTTTTCGGATCTTCATGATGTTGATACTTTGGAACTTGGATTATTCATGCTGACACGCGTTGAGATGGGGAATCGTTAGATCTAGAGCTGGATTCAGTCCGTTCGACCGGCATGAAATGATGTTGTCAAGTGGCGACGACATACGAGGTCACCTTACGCTACGCCGTTTACGGTAATTAAAACCGCCAAGACATTAGCGTAATGGGGACTCGAGAAGGAATTGGCCAATCATGTAATTTCTCGCGGTTTCAACCTTCAAGCTCATTCTCTTTGCTTTCTAATGCTTTCAACGTTTACACAATCTCCTTGCCCTGGATAATGGATCCGAAGGCGTCGGCAATCTCAAGAAGGGCAGTCTTTGTAAGATCCTCTGCCTTGACTCCCGGAATATCCCTGTCACCGACGCCATCCTCGGCGATGAGAACATCCCAACCCCGCTCAGCACCCTGACGAGCAGTTGTCGACACACAAACGTGAGCCTTGGTTTTATTAGCATCTCTCAAACATGGCGTGGTTGTTGGCATTGTTTTCACTTACCATGAATCCGGTGAGCACAATCTTGCTGCGTCCAGTCGCCTTCAGAAGATCCTGCAGATCCGTGTCGGTGAAGGATCCAGGGTAGTTCTTTGTGACGACAGACTCTCCGTCAACAGGCGTCAACTCAGAAAGCTCCTTGGCAAGCTCGGTTCCGGGGGTGAAAACGGGAGCGCCCTCAGGAGTAGCATGGACGACGTGAATAACAGGAGCCTTGGCAGCACGGTACTTCTCCAGCAGAGAAGCAATGGCAACGCGGGCAGTGTCAATGTTGGACACGCGAAGCTTGCCTTGGGCGTACTCGTTCTGGGCGTCAATAATGACGAGGACACTGTCACTGGTGGACGCCGTGGAGGGCTGGACGCCGATGAGAGAGCGGAATGAGACGGCAGACATGTTGACCTTTGGTGACGTAGAGTTGACGGGATTGAATATGGATGGTATTGAGTAGGATAGACTTGTCAATCACTTTCATAGACTTGATAGAGCATCGTGGTATAAATAGCTTGGATCAGCTCTCCACAAGGGTCATCGTGTGACGGGAATACTAGACCCATTTTGGAAACATATTCCGCCAAGACTTTCTGCTACTGCATGAAACTGTGCTTGGTAATCGTGGAGGTTGATGACGCCTTCAAGTGGCAGTAAGATGGAAGGGATGAGTCGAGTTGCCGACCAACCTTGGATGTATTTGATAGTATGATTTGAGATTAATCCCGAGTGACGCGTATCTCGCAAGGTGGAAGGAATTAATTGTTAGGTAATCTCGCCGATGACCTCGAGCCAGGCATCAAACAGCAGAAGAACACCAGTCTCCTCATTCCGGGACAATCGACCTAGACGCATTCGTGGCTTGAGCCCTTTGTTAGATCACCACCTTTGTATTTCTGAACCTTTGGGTGAGGACAAAGATCCCTTTCAATTGAAACACCTTTGTCATTTGGCAGACTTTTGGCAGCCAATGTCTCGGGCACTGAATCCTTTTCAACCCAACCGACGAGCTTCGCCAGGATATCTCCAGGACATGGTCCAACGCCACCTCGACAATGATAGACGCCAGGAGCTTCAGAGTACCGGAAGTAGTCGGTGATGTTGGGATCGATGGCTGTGGCGATTTCGTAATACTGTCTAGTACCATTGATTGGCACGAGCTGGTCGGCAACTCCGTGCCGCGTGAGGATTTTGCCTCCGTTCTCTCTAACCCCACGGACATCCGGATCGGTAGTTCCTAGAGATGAGGCATACTGTTGAAGTGCCAAGTGAAATATCCTACCGTATTGTTCATGGGTGACATTGTTGAAGATAGGCCTTTGTAGATGAAGTACTGGATCCAGTCTTTGGCAATGGCATATGGAACTCCAGAGCATTCTCCAGAGCCTTGATAATCGCAGGTAGTGTTGGCGAGACCTGATAAAGGGGCGTCTTTGGCTAGACCATGCCAGAGAAGTGTTCCATTGATGGATCGTGCTCCAGTCCATGCAGCCAAAGCAACTTTTGCAGCGGCAGTAGAGATCTACGTGTCTTTGCCGCTCTCCTCGCAGAATATGGTAGTATTGATAATTGTGCGAGGGTCAAATCCGCAATCTTTAGAATTCGATATGATACCGTCAACAGCACCATCCAAATGATCACAAGCTTCGATTGCTGCCCGGGTTATCGCCGTGGTCTCACAAAGCTGAGGATATTCTCCTGACCAGTTCATGATTGGGTACAAGATCCAAGTGGCCAGCTCGGCGTAGTTGATACCGGGAGCGCCCGACAAAATTCCATCGTACAGCTCAGGCCAGCGTTGAGCCAGTGCCAGAGCTTGTCGTCCTCCAGTTGAGCAACCAGTGAAGTAAGAATACTCTGGAGGCTTTCCGTAGTATGCAGTCGTGGCCTGCTTGCCGATGATGGTGAAGTCGTACAGGGAGGTTGATCCAAAGTTGAACACATTGGGCCAGTTGATGTTTCCAGGGCTCTTAAGAACCCATTCCTCGGTAGCAGTCGTCTTGTGTCCTCCATCACTCGAAGCGACTGCATAGCCTTGTGTCATGCCTCCAACCATGGCTGGCTCACTTAGTCCGATGACAAAACCGCCTCCTCCAGTGCCTTGGAAACGACCGTTCCATCTTTCAGGCAACAAGACCTGGACGTTGACATGGTCATCATATCCAGGATGGATGTACCAGATACTGACATTACAAAAGTTTAGCCCTTGGACACTGAAGGCGTGAGATGAGGCATATCTGCCTTGGTCAATCTCATAGCTGTAGTTCTTTGTCCACGTTGCGTTGAGTGAGTAGATTTCAGCCCCAAACAAAGTTGGGATCGGGAAGAAAGAAGCAACACAAGTAACTTGAAGATCGGGAGACATGGTGGACGCATTTGAGGCCCATGACTACTTTGGATGAGATGTAGAGGTCTTTAAGCGGGTGGTAAGGACGGCTAAGAATACCCGCATCGCCGTAGATTGTCGGCTATGCCGGGAGACAATGCCGTCCCCAATATTGGGGAAGTTAAACAAAGATCTTCAACGCGCTTTCAATAAAACCACAATCGACTTAAAGGCAAACCTAGTCGGAGAGAAGATATAAGAGACGGAAAAGCAGCCCTGTCGGAAATTGTTTCTGTTGGCCGTTTTCGCCAAAACCCGACCCCGAGACGGTTTCAGTGTTGAGCATGACCAGGCGGAAATGATCTTGGGGCAAAGTATATCTATAAACTATAGTATTCGCATCTATATTCTCATACAAGTCTCCAGCCAACTCAAGTTTGGCTCTCATCCTTTCACTTATCCAGCTGTTTCTTACAAAGGTATCCCCCCTCCCTGCGGGCGTTACCAAATCCTTTAATGAGGATAGAATCTTAACTTCGCGATACTTACCACTCTAGTAAAGAGCAGCGTTTCATGAAGTATCATGAAATACGCTTCTCCTTGGTAGGTTAGATCCTTGCAAGTGACCTCACTGTAGTCTTATGACACCTCAGGATCTGAATGATCCCTGGCGCTGTGCTGCACAAGTTGGGTCTTGCCTTCAAAGTCTACCTCTCCATCAAATGATCACGAGGCTCCATTGGACATCACGGACGAAAAGCGGTTTGACACCGTCAGTCTATTGGAAAACGCTCAAGATCACCAAGTCATGCCTCAGCTGCTATTGATCTGTAAGTCAACCTGCGTCTGCCACATCACTCTCCTCAACCATCTTCTGCCCCCTCTGAAGCGTTTGTCCTAGTCGAGGCTATTGACTTGAGCGAGGACGGCATCATCAACCATCATCCTGCATCTGAGATACGCCCAGACACGCTGAAGGAGGGCCAGGTGACCCAGGACCTTTCTTCTGGAGATAATATGCCGCCGAGCCAGAACTGAAAAACTCTCGCGGTGAGCCTAGAAATCTGTAGTAGTTGACCTCCATGGCGTCTCGGCAAGAGTTCACCAAAAACAATAATGAAACGGCATAGCAATCGATAAGCGGCATTGAACCTAAGAGGATAGCAGAGAGGTCATGCGGCAGGAAATTATCGATCAAAGGTGCCGCAATGCTGCTGCCCAGGTCAGTTTATGTGTAGATGGCCAGTACCCGTTCGAGAGCCAACGTGATGCGCTTGAGTGTCGAAAGTCTCGACGTCTTGTCATTAACCAGTATGCAATGTTTCGTTAGTAGCGTATAGAAAACAAGAAACAGGTCCTTCAGGAAAGCTCATCTTGGCAAACCCCGTGCATACTCCATTGCCGAGCCTGATTTGATGGGCGGCCTTGCTGAGTGGCCGCCAAAAGGCAACCAACACAGCCTGCCTAAGCCTCATGCAGGTTCAGAGGGTCTAGCAAATAGAGTCAGGCAGTTAGTTGCCAGCTCCTGCAGGCTGGCATATGACAACAAAATGAGGCCACGGGCAAACTTCAAGGCAGAGCGCAGAAGTGAGGCTGGCTTTCTTACATCACCCCCGCTCATCGACACATTTTCTCCCACCTTCATCCTATTCACTCAACTACGTCTTTCTATCGCAATCAAATCATTTATCGTCAGAGGTTTCGTGGCTGGTACAGCTCTCCACGACGCCAAAATGGCCGAGGTGGTGGGCCTCGTCACCAGCGTCGCAGGCCTCGCGCCTTTAATCACCAATCTTGTCAACGGCACCAGACGATTGCGACGCATCCGCAGAGACTCCGCGACGATCCCAGAAGGGCTTGACTCTCTCATCAAAGAGCTGGACTTTCTGCAGCTGGTCATGCAGAATGTCAACGCCCTTCCCTACGCATCCGGAGCAGACTATTGCCAGGAAATTCTCACCGCCATCGCCGAAGGCATTGAAGAGTTGCTGGATAAATATCCCCTGAGATCTGTCTCAAGTGGCAAGAAGCCCAACTTGAAAGAAGTATGGGGTCTACGCCATTGGGAGGAGGACGTCAATTCCCTGCGAGAAAGCGTCGAGAAGGCAAGCCAGAAATTGGGCTTGTGCTTGCAGTTGTTCGTTGATCTATGATTGGTTATCAGTCCATTGCTAACAAAAATCTCAACAGGAATCTCATGCTAAACATGATTCAGACGAAGAATCTGGGAACATCTTCGGGCTCTGAAGCATCCAGTTCGTTTAGTTCAGTGACAGAGTCTGAGGCACTATCGTCTTCCTCACTTGTCAAGTACACACCTTCTCGGCGAGTTGTGCGACAGGATTGTGCAACCAAAGCGTGTTTCTGTTCATGCCATCGAAGTTCACGAATATCAAGACGATTCTGGGCTTTGGACTACACCAGCCTGCTTCCGCCCAGCAACAAATGCGACCAGCCATCGTGCACCGCTTCAGCCTACGGATTTCGCCTAAGGGTGGCACTCTCGCAACTGGGCATTCCTTGGTCAGTTACCATGGGCCTCCGTTTTTTGGCGGGAATTGGGAGCTTCAGCATCCAGCCAGCGCTTCAGGTGGAACGGGTCGTCAAGTACACGTCTCCAGGATTCGAGATAATTTGGAAGTTGACGCACAAGCTAATCACGGTCGACGACGCGTGCATCGCGTTTCGACTACTTGCACGAGAGGACCCAACTCTCGACTTTCATGTTGATCCATCTGGATCTTCGTACGTTGAGGTGAGATAGCTAAACTTGGTTCTTCCTTGGATGTTCTAACCAGTCGACAAGAATCTTCTAAAGGGAGCCTGGGGAATCACCGACCCGAGCGGCCAGCGAAGGTTACTCCGAGTACTAATATCCGAATTGGGAGTGACTCGGGGAATGCAGAATAAAGGGCAAGTGGAAGCACCTTGAAGGAAGCACATGGTTTTGATTGTGTTCTTGCAAACTGACTATTCAACCAGCTTCCTTATTAGCTGTGCAAAATGGTCCATGGTGAACGGAAATGCTGCCCTTCTAGAGGCTACAATTGAGTCCGGATTCGATCCCGCAACAATCGACTTGCCACGTTCTGATGAATTTCCTCATATATGGCTGCCCTGGGCATGGGAATGGGCCTGGGACATATTCCGTCTACAGTTTCTCACCCTCTTATTCAAGAACAACCCAGGTGAAGCGTGGAATCTAGGATGATGAAATGAAACTAAGGCTAAATGGCACAGGTTTCGCGGGGATGACGCCTCTTCACGACGCTATACTATTTGGAAAATCCGAGGACGTACAGCATTGGTCAACACGATCAAAGAAGAATGAGAGGAACTTTTGGGGCCAGACGCCTCTCCATCTAGCCGTTACAAGACCACAGCACCTGCAAGTAATCGTCGACGCCGAACATGACCTGGATTCTTTTGATCAAAAAGAAGCCACGCCCCTCATGTATGCGGCGGCTTACGACGAGATTGACGCAGCAAGGATACTTATTCGTGCTGGTGCTGATCCTTTTGTTCGGAAACACACTGGTGGCATCGGCTTTGCCTCGCTCTTGATCGAGCGTGCCCACTGGGATTTCATGATGGACATCTTCCGCTTTTTGGATGACGAGGCCATGCAAACCACGGCAGAGATGCTTGCCGAAGAGCTTGTTTTCCTCCATTTTGTTTGCTCCTTCGGTTTGGATATGGGCAATTACCTACCACAGTTGCTTTCCAGGTGCAAGTCTCTGGATTCCCCTCTCGAGTTACCACTAGCAGCCACTTACTGGCAAGTGGTCAAGGGCAGAACTCTCCTTCATTATGCTCGCTCAGCGAAAGAAGTGGATGCTTTGCTCGGTCTTGGTTTCACTATGATTAATCAGGTGGACCAGGAAGGCCAGCACGCCCTAATGAGCGTCATTACTAGGGCAAGCCTTCCTAGTCTAGCGCCTTTAGTCCAGCGACTGCTAGATGCTGGTGCTGATATCAACCTACAAGACAGGAGAGGCCAGACAGCTTGCCACGTCTTGATGCAACGCCTTTCGAACATTTGGGACCAGATCTTCTATGGAGGAATAGACTGTCTGCATACACTGGTGACTCGGGGGGCAGATTCTCTGATATCCGACAACTGCAGATGTTCTTGCTCAGTGTTAGGCTGTCTCCCAATAGCACCAGAACGAGAAAATGAGGTGTCTCGTTCCGAGGCAGAAACTCGTGTTATCTTACTAACAGAATGCATCATTCTCATCTTGGAAATATGCGGAACAGAAACGGCCAAGCAAACCCTCCTAGCTATCATCCGACAAATCGAGCACAAAAAGCTCGGCATGACGCATACTTGCTGCAGGAGAACACCCTGTTATGACGAGGATTCAGACCTGATGCCTGAAGATGACATTGACGACATCCTAGAAGAAGAGTCCGAGTTCATTAGGCTCCTCGACGAGAAGATGGAGCACGAGTCAAAAAGAGACATCAACTCCCTCCTACGAAGCGCCATTCTGGATATGACGCCTCCCATGTACGAAACTTTCCAACCATGCCCATTATCAAAGACATTTGGCCCTAGGGATATACAAGATCTTGTAAGTCTCCAGTCTCTCTTGTCTACATAATACTTATTTCTATCCAGAAAAGGTATCGCGTGGACCACAAAAACGATTGCTTCGTCAGGGAAGACGATCCTCGCTATGTGTCAAAATATACTCCGGACAGCATTGGTAGGTATGCCCTATGGCTTGAAAAGCGGCTTCGTAAGAGCAATATTTCGGAACAGACGGCGATAAATCCTTGGGGAGATGCCTATTTTCGAAGGATTTCCTGGTTGCAGTTCCTATGCAATGCCATGGAGATTTCTACCGAGAAATTGGCTGACCACTTCCAGGATGGAGCCACAATGTCCCACTATTGGTCTTATGAGAAAGAACAGATCCGTGAAGATGTCCAGCACTCCTTCCAATCATGGGAAGAATGGAGCACCAAAGGGCCAGCGATGGTGGTTGATTCGACTGATGGAGTCGCCGACTGGCCCTTGGGGGAGGAGGGTGACTAGGATGCGGAGGTTTCTTGTACGGTATGCCTTTCTATACGGATTTTCAAGAGAACAATTTCCATCTCGTCATCATCCAAAATACCGGCTGCGGGGTGAAGGTCATTGTCTCCACAGGTCATGTCATGCAAAGATAAACTCCTCATGATCGACTAGAGGCCCCTGTTGCTTTTACTCTTGTCTTGTCGATCCCTATCGAAAGAGGGGTCTGTTCCTTGCTCTACCCGATTGCCATTTTTGGGCAACGATAACGCCTCGGTGGTTAATGAGTCTCGTTTCACATCCTGATGGTTGCATTGAGGTCCCCTGGTCGAAATCATCCCGACCCAGGGCCTTTAGCTATCCTTATATGGCCTTTTTTTCCACGCTTAAGCATAATAAAATATCCCTATCGTCGAAAACCTAGTTGACCGTTGTTCCCCCACCCCCGCTTAACCTTGATAACCTTACAACAGAGTTACATACGACCCACCAATGGCGTACCCAGCTTCCTTTTCCAGTAATGGCGCCGAGATGCCAAGAAGGACTTGTTGACCTGGGCAATTTTCAGTACGACCACTAGTCACGCCGTTTGTTTCTATCAAGAAGGTCCTATTGTCAGAGGATGCCGGGGCATTTGCCGACGGTTGGCCGATGGTTAGAGACGGAGGTCAAAAGTAATACCGCCGACTTTGTTATGGTTCGGGCCGATATAAGAAGGGATGCTGGTCATCATTCACGTTCTTTAGCTCTTGACACTTTGGAATTGGTCCTTTGTTAGAGAAGTCGACATGTTTGGAAAGGCAATCACTCTGATCGGCCTTTCGGTCGTATCAGTCGCCAGTGCAACTCAATATGGCTACAATCATGTTCCTACACAAAAGAACACGGACCTCGTTGCCGCAAATTTCAAGGATGTCGACATAGACTTGTACTCTCCTGCTTTTCTTAACCCCGACAAGATCCAAGCTGGGTTCTCAGATGGCACACAAGGCGCAACTTCTCAAGATGACTTTGGTCAGTATTTGACGTACTTATCGAATCTCCGTTACTAACGATACGCAGAGGCCTTTGTAGAAGATATTGCTTCCAAGAATGATTACATGACCTACAATACAGCCAACTTCACCTCTGAGGAGCTCCGGCCATTCCCATACGTCAAGCTCTCAACCTCTGGAGGTCCCAAGGCCAAGAGCAAGGTCCGCGTCTGGATCCAAGGCGCCGTCCACGGCAATGAGCCCGCAGGCGATGAGTCCCTCCTCGCTCTTCTGGGCAAATTTGACGCCGAGCCCAAGTGGGCGTCCAAGATGCTCAAGGACCTTGAGATTGTCATCCTGCCCCGATACAATCCCGATGGTGTCTTTTACTTCCAGCGCGAGCTTCCTGCAAACTATGACCCCAACCGTGATCATATAAAGCTCGCTCGCCAGCAGACTCGCAACATCAAGAAGCTCTTTAGCGAGTTTGCGCCTCATGTCGTCGTTGATATGCACGAGTATGGCGCTTATGGAAAATTCGGTCGATACATGCAGGCCGCTGATGGACTCTTCTCTGCGGCCAAGAACCTCAACATCAACAAGGATATCCGAGAGCTGTCTGAGAAGCTATTTGCCAAGAACATTGGCAAGGCTATGGAAAAGGCTGGTCTGAGATGGGAGCCGTATGTCACTGGTTCAACGAGCTCTAATCCTGACTTTGTCCCTACGTAAGTTTACCTTAATGATTCTGTTGATTATTGTCTGATTCAAGTCGCAGATTTGCTGAGGCCGGCTCTGATGCCAAGATTGGCCGCAACGCCATGGGTCTTACTCAATCCATCACTTTCCTCATCGAGATGCGAGGTATTGGTATCGCAGAGCAACAATTTCAACGACGAACTGCTGCCGGTCTTACCATGGTTGGTGCCATTGTTGAGACCGCGGCCAACAACGCAGACAAGGTCCGAAAGACGATCGAGGGCGGTATCAAAAAGTTCATCAACTCCAAGGACCCCGTCGTGATTACCGACTCGTCCAAGGTCCAGGGCCGACTTTTCACAATGATTGATCACACCAACGGCTCTGTTGTCAAAGTTCCCGTAAAGTTTGCTTCCACTACGCCCACCACCGCCAACCTCACCCGCTCTCGGCCTGAGGCATATCTCATCCCTGTCGGTTGGGCCGATCTCGCCGAGCGCCTACGTGTCTCTGGACTCGAGGTTGAGACATTAAAGAGCGAGTGGAGTGGCACTGTCGAGGCTTTAACCATTACCTCTTCCAAGCTCAGTACCAGCTACTACGAGGGCGTTGTCCTTGCTACGGTTACCGCTGAGGCCAAGGAGCGTGAGCTGAAGTTGCCGGCTGGAAGCTTCCTTGTTAGCACGAGGCAGAAGAACGCTGGGTTGGCTATTAACGCCTTGGAGCCTGAGAACATCGACTCTTATGCCAGCTTCAACATTATCCCGATGGAGAAGGATGACGAGTATCCCATCTTCAGAGTCTTGTCATAAGGGGCTCGGGGTATGCATAACAAGCCATGAGAAGTCGAATACATGCACATAGATTCATGTACTATAGATGAACGAATATACACATCATACCAACCAACGAACACTCCTGAAGTACCACCTCTATGTCCTCTGGCTGGGGGTGAGTATGCAAGGAATATCACTATGATACATGAACCAAGAGTTATGGTATTTCCACTCGTGGTCAGGGCTTGTAAGTCTCACCTAAAAGCCTATGTCAGTTTGCTCCAGTAGGGATATGGGAGACACTTACATCGTAATTGGCGTACAGTGTAGCAAACAACTTGTACATCTCAATCTTGGCCATGTGTTTTCCCATACACACACGCGTACCATGACCAAACATCAGGTCGGTACACTCATGCATGCGACGGAAACGATGAGCATATTCATCCTCTGTCTCATCGTCTTTGCGTAGCCATCGCTCAGGTCGGAATGTGTCAACATCGTCGCCAAAAACACCAGTGTCACGGGTGACAACACACGGGTTGATACCGACCTTGGTGTTGGCAGGGATAAAGCGGCCATCTGGAAGCTCGAAGCCACCCTCAGGTACCTCTCGCTCAAGCATGAGACCAACAGCAGGGGCGATGCGCATAGACTCTCGCATGACTGCATCGAAGTATGTCAATTGGCTGATCTCCTTCCATTGGGGCACGGGAAGGGACAGGTTGGCAGACTCGATCTCGGCGATCAGCTTCTTGTACACGGCAGGGTCCTTGACAACGTGATAAGCCACCGAACGCATGGCACCAGCCGTCGAGTCACCTCCAGCAAGCACATTGAGCATCAGCCAGTTGATGACTTGGTTGTCGTCGACGAAGTCATGCGTATCCTTGAGGCCGTTGTACTTATCAATGAACAAGTCCACGGGCTTTCGCTTGGCTGCACCTGAAGCCACCTGCTGCTGGTACTCGGTGAGGATCTTGACGGTGTAGACGAAGCCGTTGACGAGAGGGCGGGGACCAATCCGCCAAACAGGGTTCTTGTCCAGCCACTCATCGAGCCATGGGATCTGACTGACGGGTGCAAAGTACTTGAGGCCCGCGGTGCTCTCAGCGATGATACCACCAACATCACCACCCTCCTCCATGAAACTGTAATGACGTCCAAAGCTGATATTGGCGGCAGCATCCCATGCATAGTAAGCGACCCAGTCATCCATCTTGCAAACATCCCCCGTGTTGGCAAAACGTCTGTCAAGATGTCCGACAAGTTCACCGAGGGTCTCATCCATGACAGGCTCGAGGTCAAGGATCTTGGTGAGGGTCCAGAAGCCTCCAATTGGCTTGGTATACTTGGCGTGGAAGTTCTTGTCTGCCGTGTTGAAGATGTTTTGGATGCGCTGCCCGTTGATGACGACGTCATTGGGGCGGTACATGTTGCTCTGCTACGGTCAACTTGTGTTTTACTACATTGTGCATTGACTACTCTGGGTTTGGATCCCAATAACAAGCACTGGACAAGGTGAGCAACATTGGACAAGGAACGCTTGCTTACCTTACGCCATGGGTTCTTAGTCGTGTAGATGACCCGGATCAAATCTGGGTCACTTATACTGATCGCATTGGGTCCAACACGCACAGCGGAGCCCCATTTCTTGTGCCATCCACGTGTGGTGCTGTCGACATGGCCCTGGGTGGTGAGACCAGCACGGTAAAAGTCTGTAAACTTGGCCAGGATGGGACCTGGAATGTGCTTGAGGGGTGAAAGCAAGAACTCGTAAAGGACTCGAGCAACAATGAGAGCCACGCCTCCATAGAGGACGTAGGTAAACGAGATGGTCAAGAGAGCCATGATCTACACGGGACACTCCCCAGAGCGAGCACTAACCAGGGATACCGTGAGAAAATGCAAGTCAAAAGGAAGGAAAGACAAAAGATAATATTGCGCACTGGAAAAGAGGAAAGAGAAGATTCCAGTGGAGAGGGGGTTTCAAAACAGCCAACTCTTGCATTTCGCCTCCACGTCTGAGATATGACAGACTGCAGCCAACAAGGGACTCTCAATTAGTATTGATACTCCGCCGCTGCAGCCGCTGCAAGCAGGGGATCCATGGCGGCATGGTTCATGATGCTAAGCAGCCTTTTCACTGCACAGTTATTTGTGATCTGCGAAGAGGGAGGAATCAACGCAGAGGAGTGCGCTAGGGAAGTGTTGGTTCCACATTGCGTCCAGGGGTTGTGATGTTGGTTTGGGAGGAGAGGGACGGGAAGCATGTGGGGAATCGGATGTTGAATGGAGAGCAGAATGTGTTTCTATGGAACTAAAGATGTGATTTTCTTTGTTCACACGGGCAGAATGCAACATCAACGGCAACGTTGGAGCCGTTTCTCTCCAAGATCGTGATCCGCTAAGATCGAGAGATTTGCTTTCGGGGAGCCGGAAGTGCGGGCCACGCAGACCCCAGCAAATATGTGACCCATCATAAGAACCTCGACATTACCGAGAACTGACTGAGAGGAAGGACCAGGAGTTCTTGAAAAGAGGCTGATTGAATGAAACCTCGCTTCTGCCGTTCCTGCAGAGCAATCAGAGAAAAGAGGATAAAGAATTGTCGATCTGAGGCTCGGCGGGATGGGGGAACAAAGGCCGTTGTCGAATGAAATCTCCGCAAGCTAACGAACGGGAGCGGTAGCGGCCGCAGCTAGAGGAAGTTATCCCCCACTGTTAACGGTTGGTCTCAAAGGGGGAAGCATTGCGTGTGGGAATGATCTGATGTGATTCAAGGAGATCTTCAAGACCCAGCATGATGCTCCATGCAGCTGAATGTCACCAAGGAGACCATGTTACAGGTAATTGGTAATTACCCAGGGCTGTGCTCCTGGGAGACACTGTGAGAAGCTTGGCGGGGAAAAGCAAAGTGCTGTTGGTTCAGGACACGCGGCACAGCTCCGGGACCGTGGTTCACATTTTTCTTTGGCATTGAGACATTCTGTCAGCAGGCAAACCCTCTGAAAGAGTCAATTGGCCTTTACTTGTTATCTCAAACAATGCTACAGTCCACCTCGCCAATCGACATCCTCAACCTCACTGCTACACCAAGCCATCTCCATTCTTCAGCTCGGCTACCCGTCGACGGCACAACCGGGTCCTCCCCCCCGGTCCTTGTTCTCTCACCTTTGGGTCTGCCCGCGTCCCTAGCTCGGCCCTAACGCCCCGAGATCCCTGCAAGTCTTGTTTCCTCGTTGCAGTCTCCTCCACAACATTCGCCTCATGCTTGAACATGGAGAAAATCCTTTGACTGGTCATGTTCTTGACAGTATGGAACACAGTATCGTCTGGAGTACAGATATCCATTGCCTCCATTCGTGAGGCTGCATATCCTGGAACCTCCTGGGTCGCATCCTTCTTTTCTTTTTCTTACAGGTTTTTTTCTTCTTTCTTTTTGAACCCAGCTGGACTCGGGCGGGATCTTCTCCGGTTTCGCCTCTTTGCCAATGAGCCTATTGTTTCTCTGCGGCATGGATTAGTGCCACTTTGTTCGTTTCGTCGGTAATGTGGCTGGGGAAACAAGACTATTCTTCTCGATGCTCGAATCACTGGAGCACTCAACTGTCATTGTCTCTCCTTATTTGCACACTCTTTTGTAATGCTTTCTTGGCTTTGGGAATATAAGGACAGACGAAAAACACGACCGAACGAGATCACCAGGAGGTGGGGGAAGACAGTTTGAACGATCAACCTGAGACACTGCATCTACAATGGTAGCAGCATCAGCCGAACCAACAATCTCACCGGAGGGCCTCGCCGATACTCGCGGGCCCATCATTCGCTCCGTCACATGGCTCTCAGTCATTGTTCCCATCATTCTCGTCTCTCTCAGAGCGTATACGCGGCTTTTTCTACGAAAGGTTTTCGGTCTGGATGACTGGGTCATTGTCTTTGCTCTGGTACGAAACACCGTCGACACAACCTCAGACTCTTTCAAGGCTGACCCCCGAGCCAACAGATCCTCCTCATCTGCTATGGGGCCATCATCGAAGCCGCTGTGCAAAAGGGCCTCGGCCATCACCTCCAATGGGTCATCACCAACATCCCTCAGAATGCCGTCTCCATCGCCCTCCTCGGTCAAGTCTCGCAGCCGTTCGTTGTCATGTCGTGTGCCATGGGCAAGACATCCTTCTCAATCAGTTTGATGCGTCTGGCAACACAACGCGCCATCCATCTTTTCCTCTGGTTTGTGGTTGTTTCCATGGTCATTCTGCACATTCTCATCTCCATTATTGTGTTTGTGCGATGCAAAGATCCGAGAACGACATGGAACCCGGCTATTGTGAGCGAGTGTTGGCATCCTGATACCTACCTCGGTGTCATGTATTTTATTGGAGGTAAGACACTGCAAAATGGTCCATATAACAGAACTAACTTGTCCAAGCATACTCTGCGGCCACCGATTTTGTCCTTGCACTGCTCCCTTGGGCCATGCTTTGGAACCTCAACATGAAGAAGAAGGAAAAGTTTGGCGTCGCCATTGCTATGAGCCTCGGTGTTTTGTACGTCCCCTGTCTTACCTCGCTGCCCTCTGTGCCCCGCTAACATGGTTTACAGCGCCGGATCCATTGCCATCATCAAGTGCACCAAGCTCAAGGCCAACGCAACAAGTACCGACCCAACCTACGACGTCGGCGAGCTCCTCCTGTGGGCTGGGGCTGAAAACGCCCTTATCATCACCGCCGCCTGCTTACCCTGCCTACGACCTATGCTACGAGCCATCTTCCCATCGACGGTCAAGTCAAGCGAGAACTCGCATCCTCTCAAGAACATCTCGAATAACATCATGTTCATCCCCAAGCACAAGGCCGGACAGTGGAGCGCCATCGTCGAGACCGAACCCCATCCGGACCACACTTCCGATAACCAGAGCGATAGAAGTATTCTCAAGGAACATCGAGGTGCTTTGGAGAGTCAGCACAGAGGCAGCTTGCATGGACATGGCGGTTCTGATGGCCATCACGGAGTTCATGTCAAAAAGACATTGGACGTAGACATTTCGTATGACAAGAACTAGATGTCACTTGTGGAAGGGTCAGGTCTCGGGATACCTGCAGAGGCTTCTGCATGTACAACGCGGGTTGAAGGGTGTGGGCGCATCGGGTTATACACAGGGCTCACTTGACTTCAAAGGGAACATGTTAGAAAAGGGTTGGAAATGGACCATATCCTACAAAAGAAACAAGCAATATCGTATCAATGCTTCAATATGCAAAAGCAACTGACTGACTTCTCCTCATTCTCGGCACTTGGACCGGTGATAGCCACGGGTGTCGGTTCTTGGCTTGCCGCGACTAAACCGAAAAGAGGAGGCCGATGGAGACGACGCTGCCGTGAAACCAACCTGACGGGTGTTATCATTTCTCGTGGCGGCGGTTATCTTGTCATTGGGCGTATCGTCTCCGCTGGACTTCCACATCGAGAGTTGCACCTGATAGCTGTTCTCATGTTTGACAGCGAGGACCGGGAGCCAGATAGCCGCCCGATGGCTTCGGGGAGGCGATATTAAGCATCATCGCTTCCCCTCTTAAGACCATGACTTCAATTGACTTCAATTCTCTTCATTCAACCTGCCCATCAACAAACAGGCACAATGTGGTCCACAAGCCGGCGGCGAGCCACCAACACCATCACAAGATGCACGCTCCAAACCATCAAGACCAAATACCCCCAGAGCCTACGAGCTTCCGTCTCCACCCTCCACGCCAAGATAAACAGCCCACCACCACGAATTGTCAAGAGCCAGGGTATCTGGCTCGAAACCCAAGAAGGCCATCGCATTCTGGACGGATCTTCAGGCGCATCTGTCGTGTCCATCGGCCATAATGATCCTCGCGTCAAGAAGGCCATCACTGCCCAGCTGGACAAAGTGGCATACTGCTACAACCCATTCTTCACTACCGAGGCTGCTGAGAATATCTCTCGGTTCCTGACAGACTCGACCAATGGCGCCATGTCCAAGGTCTTTATCGTCAGCTCAGGTGAGTATCATCTTAGTCTCCGTCGCTGAAGTAACAAGACTGAAGATGTTAAGGGACCGAGGCTGTCGAGGCGGCTCTCAAAATCGCACGCCAGTATTTCACGGAGCTACCCGCACCACAGCCCTCAAGAACAAAATTCATCGCACGGAAGCAATCCTACCATGGGAACACACTCGGTTCTCTGGCTGCCGGTGGCCACAAGTCTCGTCGCGGCATCTATGAACCCATACTGTCCACCAGCTTCTCCCACGTGTCCCCGTGTTACCCTTACCGAGAGATGAAGGAGGGAGAGACAGAGCAGCAATATGTCGCTCGACTCGCCAAGGAGTTGGACGATGAGTTTAAGCGTGTTGGTCCGGATACTGTTTGTGCCTTTATCGCTGAGACGGTGTCTGGAACAGTGAGTTATCACTTATCACTCAAGGTGCCTTGCTAATACGGACAGTCGCTGGGATGCATGCCAGCAGTTCCAGGTTACTTCAAGGCCATGAAAGAGGTCTGCGACCGACACGGCGCTCTTCTAATCCTCGACGAAGTCATGTCTGGTATGGGTCGTGTGGGCACACTCCACGCCTGGGAGCAAGAGAGCGTTGTTCCCGATCTCCAAACCATTGCCAAGGGTCTCGGTGCGGGTTACATGCCTATTGGTGCTTTACTCGTCGGCAACAAGGTTGCAGACGCTTTGGGGAAGGGCTCGGGCAGCTTCATGCACAGCCAAACTTATCAAGGCCACCCAGTCGCTTGTGCTGCTGCCTTTGCTGTTCAGTCCGTCGTGAAGGAGGATAATCTGCTTCAAAATTGCCAGGAAATGGGAGAACTGCTGGGCAAGAGTCTGAAAGAGAAGATTGGCGGACACAAGAATGTTGGGGATGTGCGAGGGCGTGGCCTTTACTGGGGTGTAAGTACGAATCGCCCCGTCCATGGGTATTTACTAACATCGTCCATAGTTGGAGTTTGTCCGTGACAAGAAGACGAAAGAGTCGTTCCCAGTGAAGGATGGAATTGCGATGAAGGTACACAAGGCTGGCCTGAGCCCTGAGCATGGAGTCTCTCTTATTCCGGCCACTGGAAACGTTGATGGTGTTCAGGGAGACATGGTTGTCATCTCACCTCCATTCACAATCACAAAGGAAGAGATCAAGTTGCTGGTCGGCAAGGTGGAAAAGGCTGTCACTTCTGTACTAGGGGTATAGGATTCGCATTAATTCTATCAAAATGACCTCAAGAAACGACCGTTTCCAATGCAATCTGACCCTTACTGTTCTGTGTACCAGTCAAATCTACATAATCAGAGCCTGCGTCGGTCCACCCAGCATGCTCGTCCATCGGATCGAAGATTGTGATGCCCAAATCTCCTTGACCTGATCTATAGCCCGGAGGATATTCCAGCAACCAGTCGTATTATGTAGCGATTCAAGTTTCTGCAGAAAAAAATCTCGATGGGCAACTGTTGAGCTCTCGGCTGCCATGATAAAGTACGGCCAAGCAAGAAGGTGTAAGCCGACAATGTCGATGTAAGCATCCACCTCCTCGATAGCACGTTTAAACCTTTCAATCATGGGAACCGTTTCTTCAGCTGGGGGGTTGAAGATTGCTCGCTGCACATATATGTCGCAGGCCCAGGTCGTCAGGTCCGCCAACTGCAAGATGAGCCCCTCCAGCTCAGGATGGAATTGTAGACACCAGGGTATGAAGCCCAGACAAGCTTGTTGCTGTGCTTGGATGAATTGTGCGCCGTTGGTTTCGTTGAAGAGGGATTCGCCAAAGAGGCAGACTCTATAAACGCATGAGCATCTGGTTTTCGTTTACCTGTGGACATGGAAACATACCTCAAGATCTGCATCTCGACGAATTTCCTCAGCTCCGAGGCCATGGCATCCAGACCCTGTCCGAGAGCATTGACCACGACACGGAGAGATCCATACACAAGTTTAAAGTTGGGACTTCCACTGATCATCTCGCGAATGTGCAGTAGAAGCAAGACAGTGAGGGCCGACTCGTCATCCTGAGGCGCACATCTTTTAGATCTAGTGATGAGATCTCGGACAAGACTGCTGTATGCCGTAGGATCCAGAGACACGGTTGTGCCGTTCTGCAAGGAGAGGTGCTGCTCGACAATAACAACAACCGCTTTCCGCACAAGAGGGTCGATCTCTGCTTGTGGGAGGACGAGATCTCGATATCCGTTGAAGCCTAGGTTAATGACCGCGATGAGATTGGCGATGTGATTTGAGACTATCCAATAGTCAGTATTCTGCATTCTATATGATGTCGGGAGACTCACAATATTGGAGGGAAAACCGGGTCTTGCCATCGATATGATCGAGGCCCCCGTCGATTTGGAACAGAGCCTCACTCTGGACAGCGACTTGCGTGATTCTACTCTCTTCTTGTGTTTCCTCGGCTACCGACTCATCCTCAACGAGTCTCTTCTCCTTCTCCTTACTATCGCAGCAAGAATCCAATGTCAGCGATTACGTTGAATGGGAATCAAAGAAGACTAACGTGGACCTGTTCTTATCTTTCGATGATGAGTCAACCACAGGTACTGTTTTGCCCACAAACCTCCCGCGAGCAGCGATGCCATCGTTGAAACGATACCGCAGTCCAAGGCCGCTGCAGGTTATTCCTTTAGATGCACACTTGCCGCATGTCGGCTCTTGGCGATCGCAGTCTATGCGTCGACGAGAGCATTGATAGCATCCTATAACCGTGTTATCCCCAGTTGCATTTAAAGTATCATGGAGTGTTACTTGCCTCTAACTTTTGGCCTCTTTTTTACCTTGTTTGAATCCTTGGATGAATTGGGTGTCATGTTGCGAATAGCTTCTTGGGGTTGAGCCCGGTTGACAAATTGCACCGGTCCGGCCGGACTAGGCTGTTCCGGTCTCGGAGTGACCAATTGAACGGGATGGAACAACTAGGGGGCGCCGGCGGTTGTCTACAGCAGTTTACAGAGTCCGCGACACGTTGGACAGTCTCTCAACCCATACTCAACGTGTATCTTCTTGTGATGCTAAGGGTGAGAACAACACGTACCGGATGAACAGCGCCCTTCGAGGTCATTCGGACGTGCAAATCCCTGATAAGAAAAGCGGGGTAGACTACTCCAAATGGAGTCATTTGACCCGATGATTGACTAGTGCACAGTATGAGCCGGCTCGGAATAGTTGGCCGACGACTTTCGGGGGCATCTCCGAAGGTTTATCTGTGGAGTTGGGCCGCTAACAATTTCGTGACGTTATAAGAAGAGATATCGCGTGCCTCTATCACATATATTCCTTTCTATCGGAAATGGGTTTCTTATTACCGATGAACAAGTGACTGGAGGTTGCTGAGGCTAGGATTGATTGTAAGGTTACTATCAGCACCAACCAATCCAAGCAAACGTTGTATGTAACTGCAACTCCAAACATATATCGTCATGATAAGACGGAGATTATTTGTAGTCTTATCAACCACCACAAAACACAGTAAGACATTAACAGATCTTATGCGGACCATCAAGGTTGCTGAAGTGGGGGAGCTTACGCAAATGTGTGCTGCTCACTCCTACCCTAGATATTTGCAAAAACACCAAGAAGTACGATGTGTATTTCTCACTATTACTATTTGAATCAGTATACTTGTTGTCGCAGATTTTCAACAAGTAGATATTTGAGAAAGAAAGCTCAAGATGCCCGATTTTTCCAAGTTGCCATGATCCAGGGGAGGGGGAGGGACATAGCCAACTCACGGCTTGACAACCACTAAGCATAGACTGGACATCTAGCTTACAGCACAAGTTTCCAAAGTCTATCCTAATAATTGCCTTGTTTGTTATGTGTATTGTAGTTACTCCGGTCACGATGCCCCTGTCTTACATGACTTGGGTAGATAAGGTAAGCCATGTTGTTCACGCAATCATGCAAAAAGAATGACTGTACAACTGAACAGAAAACTTGAAACTTCAATTTATATACTAAAATGATTGCCTTGACCATCTTGAATCTTGTGTCGCCGTAATACGCGTCTCGGTCCCATACATGTACACCCTACTTGGCCTCTTGTGATCACGGGTAAACCTGTCTTGGCTCCCAGTAGTAGTCATGTTAGACTCGGTGTCTCTTTCAGAGCTTCGCTGAAGCTGAACTGTACTGTCGCCCTTGTTTCCTGTGGAGAAGAGAGGCTTGATCCTCACTACCAGTGGCTTAAAAGTTGGGAGACATGCGCAGGTGATGGCAGATGTCAACTCTGCAAGTGACCACGAGGCTGCTGTGACGTTCCACCATGTCATGTCAGGTGAAGGTTTCAGCCACTGCATTCTCAGAATTGAAACGGCAATGGTGCTTTCGTCGGTTAGTGATAGTCATGCACTGAGCAGAGACACGACTTACAAAAGACCAAGTCCAAAGATACCCGACAGGAGAATCTTTTGGGACAGTGGCAGCTGAAGCTTCCAAATGACGGGAAGAGGTAGGATCAGAATTGCGAAATCGCTGACAATGTTGATGATGCCATTAATATACCACAGCGTAGTCTGGTGAGCTCGACACCAGCCGTCTACCCTGGGATCCCAGACGGCCTTGAGGGGGATGCATTGAGTGAAGGCCATGATGCTCTGGGAGAGGCCCCACAAGGCAACTATGATGATGGCCCCAAGGTAGACGTTTCTCATGTTGGACACTGACATGAGGCGATAGTAATGGAGCAGGAAGGTCATCTTGGCCCAGAATAGAGCCATCATGTAGAACAAGACGGAGACCCAGAAGGCCTGGTGAGGTCAGCCCTATCTGTCTTGGTGGTTGGGCGTGGAGATCTTACTCTTCCGTACAAGATCAAAGTCACGGGTGTTAATGTCCAGTCATGTCTGCCAAGTCCATAGTTGGTCACTATTCAGGTCAGCTATCGCATCAAGTGTGGAAGATCAAAGCAACTTACTTGCGATCATGGCACCTCCAGATCCAATGATACAAATCTGAATGTGTTAGGGTGAAGAAACAGCTGTAGTGAGTGTATGAGAGAACTTACCAGTGTGAGAACAGCAGCCAGGTCATCAAGCCCAAACCCCTTGATCATGGAGCGGCACAAGATCCGCAGCCCTACCATTGTTGTGCTGAGACATAGCAACACCACCACCACCGCTATCATCACCGGCCCCCGATTCTGGGCGCGAATCTCTGGATCGTGTGTGTAATGCATTGCGACGATTATGGATGAAGGAGGGTCCAAAACCCGGGGGCAAGCGACGCCATATCTATATCGACAGATCGAAGATGTGCAAAGTCAAAGCACAATCTGTGCAACTCAAAGTGAGCAGACACTGATGCAAGAGAGGAATGACTGGGTCTAGAGGGTTCTCAACTGGAATGTATTGAGCAGTGATCTTCCTGTCCATACCCCTTTCGCGAATGCAGGAACGGGATAGACTTTGGGGTTCAAGCCACGGCGTCGTCCAGATCAGAGACCTGGCCACCGGGGAACGATCAGATTGGCTAGTAGGATAGGAGATGGGCGTTCCTGGCTGGGTCCGGATCGAGCCGTGGTGGTGTGCCACACAGACTGGCGTAGTCTGGATGTCAGCGGGTACCGTTTCCTGAAGGAACGGGAATTTTATCTCCGGACAAGAATGATGATTGTAGTCAAAGTGTTGCGGATAGCGCCGTAGCCATGTCTCGACCGTCTTCTGTCATGAGACAGGGACAGCCATGATATAAATGCGACTCTTGGCGATGCATCCATCCCTCAACCCACAATGCCACCTCGGATAAAAACGTTCGGACCCCTTGACCATGTCGCACAGGGCGTCTGCATTAGCGCCACACGTCATTTTGACTTTTTCACGCAAAAAGTTCGTGTCTGTCAGGCACACACAAAATGAGTCAAACCTCAAGTGGACCACCATGCCCATATAATCTTCTTTCCGGACCACAGCTTCCAACCAAATAAGCAGTTTGGCGCAGTGGCAGCGCGGTAAGTCATTACAAAACTTCACAACACCAAACACATCAAGCTAATTCAAAAAAGCCGGGCTCATAACCCGGAGGTCGACGGATCGAAGCCGTCAACTGCTAGAGTTGATATTTTTTTGCATTTTTTGCAATTTCTGTTTTTCTTTTTGGTCTTGAGAGGGAATTGATTGCATTTTGGGGTGTTTTGCGCCGTGGGTTGGTGCGAAGTGCGCGGGTGAAGGTATCACGATGTTAAGAGGCCGACGCCGGAGATGAGTCACACAGGGAAGGCGCCAAATGGATCAGCACCTGCCATTTTTCTTAGTAATTATGCACATTGTGGGTTTTATGTTTTTTATTCCGTTTCTCGTCTATAGAGGTTGTTCTGCAGAACAAGAACTCGCCTCCTCACCTACTGATTGAGGACAAAGGAGTGGACAAGTCAGGCATCATGATCGGTCACTGTGAAGCACATCTAAAGAAACACTGTTCCAGATAAATCTCGAGGTGTACAGCCAATTCACGCAAAGTACAATTTGCAAGTCGGGCACAAGACTCAGCAGCAAGACTGCCTCACTTATGCCCCCTCAACTCGCGAATCAGGATCAGTATCGTCATACGAAGCCGACCCAAACGTGCTTGGTACAGAATTAGCCCCCTGTGGAGAGTTCGGTACAGTTCCTATCAGCATGTCCGCCTCGCGGGCACACTCCTCAATAGGTCTCTCATGCTTCCACGTCATATCTGACAAGCCCTCTCCCCAAGCATTATCCCAGATGCCCCTCCTTTGCCACTTGTACTTGAGAATATCGATCACCGGGGAAGTGAGGTGTGGAGTATGTTGGGATCTCTTCTCTTTGATCGCCGGTCCCAAGATCCGGTAATATTCCTTGAGTCCTTCTTCCGAGTCTTCTGAGGGGTCCTTTGGTGTGATTTTGAAATCGGGAGGAGTCGCCAGTGTCTCGAGAAACATCTTGCGGTCTACCATAATTTGGTAGATGAAGCGTTGGAACGGTCGCGAGGCGTCTCGTACACAGTCCTCTTGGTCATCCACCTCGGCTTCCTTGAGCTGCTCCGTCTCTGTAGACTGTGTCTCCTCTCGAGTGAGAGAAAAGGCATCGCCATCTCCCTCATACTCATACTTGGGCTCCACTGAATCAGGGTCCGCTGAACTGAAACTCGTTCCTCTAGATGCCCTGAACTATCCAGCGCTTCACGATTCTCTTACGGGCGAGCAAATCATTTCCATCCCTCCTCCCGATGATGTCGTCGAGCCAGATCTCTTCTTCCTTTACCTCGTCGTGGAACTGTTCCTCTGGACAAGAGCGGAGGCGGTTGGCCTCCAACTTCTGTACGGTTTCCTGGCGGTACTTCTCCAGATTATCCCGCTGCTCCCACGCACTAGGGGGCACGCAGCTACCGAAGGGGGATTCTGGGTGTTGCTCGAGTGCCACTGAGTCGTGGGTTCCGTCACTTCTGGAACTAGACATGATGAGTTGTGATAAGAGCGGTGAATCTTGCTAGGTGCTGTGGTGGTGATTGTGTCGTTGTTGACTGTTGAATAACCTAAATAAATCTGGGCGTACCAGGCGTTCTTATAGTAAAATCACTGACAGGTGGCTCTTCCGGGACGACTTCTGAGAACGGTCGTTCATTCACTCTGTTCCGTTTCACTTGATCTTTGTTCTTTGTCTCTGAAGTTGACGACATGGTGGTTAGTTGACCAAGCTATAAAAGGCAGCCCCTATCTTTCATGAACAACGTGAAAATTCCAAATCCGTCACGTCCATCTCAAAGTGATCTAGTGTTCTTCGTGCCGATTACATGAACGTGCATCACATTGAATTGGGTCAATGATCGCTCTCCATCACAGATTCCTCTACTGCTTATTCACTACTCTCCTCATTCACCTCATGACACAACACATATAAGATCCCCTCCTTTAGAATACCCCTGGTTCCCGCTCCTTTGAGCGTGACCACAAAATGACCAAAGGTGAATACTATCAACGTTCGTACAGGACCTACCTCTCTCCAACCCGTGTGAGCTATGTGGTCAAAAGGCCAACATGACTCAGTCTTTGCACTGATTTACACGCTCCTTCATTACGTTGAGGCACTCTGTACGCCCTTAGAAGACTCCAGTGATTCCTTCGTAAATCTCTAACACAAGACGTGATTTCCATCTGGTTTGACTACTTAAGGCCACACCTCACTTCAACCCTAACCAGCACATCTCTACCACGTCTCATCCGCCTTCACATTTGAGACTTCTTCGTTCTAAAGCCCCCTCAAGTGCTCTACCAAATCATCCCCCGTCGCGCTGACCACTGCCATGCCTCACAAACACAAAGCCCGGATTCCAATATCAATCAGACCCAGGGTCAAGCAGCCCAAGATCAACTATGAGATCATCCACCCGAGCATCGGATCCGGTGCATTTGGAAAGGTGTACAAGGCTCGAAACTTGGACAATGGTGCCATGATGGCTGTCAAAGTCGTCAGCATTATAGATGATGGGCGCGATATCAAGATGCTGAGGAACGAAGTCGAGATTCTTGCTCGATCCAATCATCGCCATATCATCGAACTCATCACGTCCGAGGGCTGGAGTGGCCATGACATCAAGATCTTCATGACCTTGAAGGAGGGCTCTCTGACATCGCTGGCACTAGCAACTTCCAACGCCAAGTTGCACGACATCGCTGAAACCGCCTTGCATCACATGCTCCAAGCCTTGGACTATCTCGCCTCCCAAAACATCTTACACCGAGATGTCAAGCCAGACAACATCCTCTACTCCATGGTCAGGGGTAAGCCTCACTTTGAGCTCGGAGACTTTGGCTTGGCCATCGAAGCACGTCACTACGAAGACCAAGCCGGCACCTTTTGTTACATGGCCCCCGATGTCCTCCTCCGTGGAGCCGCTCAGACAGCCAAATCCGACGTCTGGTCCCTCTACGCCACCATGCTCTGGGTTCTGGACGGGCGAGGTTTCCGTGAAAAGTGTCGCCGACTGAGAGACAATGGCGGGCCCCAACAGCTATTTAGCGACATTACGGATATGACTCAGCCTGTCCCTCAAGAGCTCAGTCACATCGAGGAGATGGCGGCATTCAATGCTTGTTGCAGGGCTTCAGCGGGAGAGATGCTAGACAAGCTCTTTCCCAGGCACGGGAACAGAAATCCGAATGTGAACCCTCCCCGCCAGGAAAGGGTTAGGCGCGAGAGAGGTGGTGGACGCCGAGAGATGGAGCGACCTAGGGAGAGAACTCCAGGGCCACGAGCGTTCAACGTCGACGATCTTGTACGAGCTTTTGACATCAACCTCGAGGAGCAACAACGCGGATTCGACTGAATCGAGAAGGCCATTGTCCGGATGGGCCGCGCGGCCGAACGCTTTGAAGACTCTGAAGAATGCAGATGCAGACGCTGCCGTGGGGGTAGACGGCATGGCGGGGGTAGGCGCTGGTGATATCCAGGGAAGTTTGACGCCGTTGGACGTTGAAGGCACCAATGTTGGTGGTTGGCCGGATCCCTATGGCCCAGTGTGTTGGGGTTGATGTTCATCTATTAAAGAGGATGTTCAGGCATATCGGTGAGAAGTTTGTCTCTAACGAGGAGGGGTTAATCAATGGACCCACTAAGTATTTCTAATGAACAAAAAGTTGTAATATCAAATGTGCCACATGTCATACGATGCCTACGGAATGATGGTGATGATAAGGGTGGAGGCGGAAAGGTGTCTTCGTCAACTAGAAGGAGTCTGAAAGCATGGGACCTAAACCCCCCGATAGTTATTCGTATCACCATTTTATGGAGAGACAAGTTTCTCGCAAATATTATTATGATTTCCCTTTCAGCTGGGTTCTAACATACCAAGACATTCTAGTCTTATCAAGCGCCAATAACCTTCGCCGAGTACACAACATGATAGATATTAAACAATGAGAGTCGCCCCATCGTCCTATGATTATGGGGGTCTCAAGGTATACGATGCTCGTGAGATAAATAGGCTTGATGATGAGAGGTAAGCATGCTCTCCATTTCCTTGCAGCTGGTACTCAAGTCAAGTTCATCAGAGATTATCCATTTTATTCTTGCATAACGACTCTAGAAGACGAAGCAGCACACAAGGACTCAGTTAGTTATCAATGCATGGCTACATTGAAGTCCAATGTTTTGAAATGCCTAAAGCCCTTGTTCCATTTGTCATTGAGTACTTCTAACACGCGAAGCAGAATACTGCAGAAGGATGTCGACGCAAATTTGCCTGTATAGGCATTCTGATGAGGTAACAGAATTGAAGCCTATTGAGCTAAAACCATAGCTTAAATACCGCTCAAAGCGCGTCATATGCTCGTCCCTAGGGATCAGAGAAGCAACTGGTTCGATATCAGGGCGGGCCTTTACAAAACCAAGAAGCGCCTCTCGGGCCTTTGTCTGGGTCGCGTATCTATTGAGTTAGGCAGAAACCTCCTGGAAGACATTAGGATCCATGGTGCAATGATGGCGGTGTTGATGTTGGAGTATGTAATGCGGAAGAGAAGCCGTGCAGAGCGAGCTCCACGAGATTCACCGTTCAAGTCACACCAAACTCTCAAATGGCCGATTCCGCCGAAATTCAAGAGTCACTGTTATTCATGTGGCTGCAGTTTAAAGTGCCAAATCTAAAGTTAAGCCTCGACGTGCATCAACTTTGTTCGACATGACAACTTGGCCTTTAAAAGGTAGTCACCCATGTCTTTTTTCTCTGTCAACCTCCTTGACCTATGACAGTTTCTGAATCTTTCCTCTTGTCACTTTCACTTGTCTATTCGTTACTCAAACACTTCCAACTCTCTCACGTTTGTTAAAATTCTTGACTTGTTTCCGCTCCCTGCCTACTTTGACATACTGACTGAACCACCTCACATCGTCCTTCTTGTCTCTCCTCATCTCCTATTACCTCCGTCTTCCGCCCGTCCAATCAGCTCACAGTTATGGAGTCTTCTAACTCTAACCTACCTTCCTACGACGAAGCCACCGGTGGCCAGGAGCGCCCTCGCATCATCGCACACCTCCGACACTGCTCCGAGCAATCAAATGAGGAATACCTCATGAGCAATCCCCATCTCCAATCCTCGTACCTCCCGATAAGAGAATGGGCGCACAACATGGCCGGCACCACCACGGCTAAAGCCCCATGGTGGCTGGGCAACGACCAAAGGCAGAACAGTGTCTTCACTTGGCAAGTCTTCCAAGAGACTTCAAGCACGTCGGCGGCTTCCACCGAAGAAAACGTGGTTGAATGGTTGCGTCGTCTGTGTATGGAAACTGCTGTGCCTCCTACAATTGCATCGGGTGGCACACCGTTGAGACCAGGCGACATTGAATACACTCTCAACGCTGGGCAGAACTGGACGCACAACTGGGGATGGGAGGTTGCACTCTGTGCATATGCATACCCGGAGCACATTCGATGCTCCGATTGGTCCGTGACGATGCGTATATACCTCCACGACCTACCACATCAACTCCGAATAGGTGGGATTCAATGGCGAGAGGTTGTCGTGTCGGATTATGACTTTCACATCGAGATTGACTCGCAGCCAGAGCGCGGCTGGGACTGGAAGTTGTCGTCGACTTGTGCAGCAACAAGTGACACGGGCCGGTCACAGAGGAATTGGGAAGCTAGGACTATGTCCTTGCGAAGGGTTCTGCCATCCACTGCCGAGTTTTGGGGTTGTCTTTCGGAGGATACGATCTTCAGGTGAGTACGGATCTGTTTGAGCAGAATACATACTAACTGATTTTAGTGGAACGATCAAGCAGAGAACTGGCCGTGACAAGTACAAGATGGTCATGTGGTATTCTCACTTGACGGCATATGCCAATGACCTCACGGAGCAGACAGTCGGTCCTTGGCATGATGGTTTCGGGGGGGCGTTTGCTGAGTTTATACGCCCACTTGTTCCCCGGGGTTCATCCCGTATGCCTAGTGCGTCGGGGAAACACACAGCAGATACTGTTGTAACAGAGTCCGCTGATAGTGAGGGGGAGGGATCAAGCTCTAGGCTGAGTTAACCTTGAGCAGCTGCTTTACGAGCAAGTCTTCAGCCTCTCCCCGCCAAAGCGATCAGATGACTCGACCAATGACTTCTCCATAGCCGTTTCTGCCAAGACACAATTGCCGTTGCAATCTGGGCGACTTCTACATCAGTGGCTGAAGTGTCATGGTGTCTCATTGGCTGGCCGCTTCAAACGCGAAATACGAGCAACGCCCAGCGTCGCAGCTCCAGGCACCCATATTCCCCGGACGATCACGAAATACGGCACCAGATTTCCCTCTTCGGCTTTGGGTATTTAAGAATCAAGTCCCGGTCGATCGTCCAATATGGGAACTCATCAACCCAGCACAAGTTCACCATGGCGACCACCACCACTACCAAGTCGAAATTTCACACCATGTTTTATGATGACCCGTCGTGCCAGGATAACAAGATGGATCTCTTTGCCCCAAGCCAATCGCAAGACAATGGTTTAACGGCATTCGAGGGTATCTCACCCTCCAACATCGTCCCTTTGAGAAAGCTCAAGCAATGGCCCAGAGCCGTCCTTTGTCCAGCCTGTCGAGAACTCTCCATCACCCGAGTTGAACGCAAGATCTGCAGCGGTACACAGTAAGTACACACCCATTATTCTCAGTTAAAACTTGCTGACTTTTTTCTAGTGTAATGGCTGCTTTCATGCTCATGTGCACTATTGTTGGGGGCCCTGTTGTGTACATGTCCAAGGCGTTCAAGAATGTCGAGCACTACTGCTGTCGATGCAACCGGAGGCTAGCAACTTTTCATTTCAACACGGGGACTGAGATTCATGTTTACTAGGTGTGCAATTAGTTGACAGATGTACATCCATCATAGCACTCAGGCCTTTCATTCTTGTTCACAGTGCCACTGGCGTGTGGCCGAGCCCCCTTGGCAGAGCCTACTCCTCCACGGCTCTTCGAGCTTCACATGCCCGTTGATTAAGGATGAGTTTTAGTATAGCTAGGATCACAGGAATAAAGAATTTTGTATGCGAGACAGAATGGATGTGCGCCTTCAAACGCCACATGCGAGCATAATAGATCAGCTGAGCCCTCGAATAAGTCCATGTTATGCAGGGAAAAATCGACCTTTGAGCTCCAAGAATCACCTTTTCAACTCCCCTTACAGGATTTCGGTCTTCCGCCTTTATCTTTCCCCCTCCTCTCCTGTTGGTGGGCTGCTACTCGGGTGGTACCGTTGCATCGAGGCGTCCAACAGCATTAGAGCTCAAAGACAATGGGCCAAGTTTTCCTCGTTGAACCGTTTTACTTCGGAGGTTCTTTGTTCCTAGGCTTCAATCCATCACCTCTTACGAGTTAGTGCGATCCAGCTAGCCTGACAACGTGCGGCGACTCAGGAGTCCGCCCATTAACTCTTTGTTCGTGGTGCAATGAGCAGTACCATCAACCGCTATTGACAGGAGAAACGAGGTCCAGAATGGGTATTCTATGACAGAGCCTAAATTTGCAGCCCTTTGTGGAGGTCATGGCTGCGTGGTCAACAACCTCCTTTATAAGGTCGAGCCAAGACTCTCCTCCAACACTTCATCACATCGCAGCTTCACTACTTTCCTTCACAGCAATACAGGGTCAAGTTTCATCTTTTCTACTTTACCATGGTAGCCAAAGGCAAAGTCAAAGTCAAACCACCCAAGGCAAAGGCCCCCAAGACCAAATCCAAATCCAAGGACCGCAAGGGTTCAGAAGAATCTGAGCAAGGTGAAGCCGCTGCCGCGGGTACAGACCCTGGAGGCTACGAGGAATGGCTCGGCCGAAACACGGGCGGCTACAACTCTTCAAGCTCCAATTCCACACTCCCGCCGATTCCAATCGAGTGGAATATTTCACCCACAAACTTGGACTCTGTCCAGTGTCCTTCTGTCGGAGGCACAGTCGGCTGGTTTATCGCCACGGACCTCTTCTCTGCCGGCACTTCGTTTTTTCTCCTCGTGGTTCTTGTTTCACTATTCGAACCCGTCGATAAAAACAAGAAGAAGCCCAACAAAGGGTGCTGGGCAACCGATAGGATCTGGCTCACGTGGCTCATTGGTTTTGCTTTTGAAGCCTTGGGAAACCTCATCAACGCGGGCATCGTCGTCACCTCAAAGGGCTACGGAAAACTCGCACTAGGCCATGTTTTCCTTGTTTATTCTTCACGTCCACGCATCAAGATCTGGGTCTACGCCATCTTCCGCTCATTGTGGATCGAGGAGGACTACAGCTTTATGACGGCATACTTCAGCCTAGCAGTCGTTGAAGTCATCCTGCACATCATGTCGGCCACGTTTGTAGGAATCACCTGGAGCAGGTATCCAAACGAGCCTATCAAGGAGTACATGAGTCCAGTTACCATGTACATGCAGGTGGCTGCTGGTATTTTGGTCCTTTGCGTCCTCCTGGTGGCACCTATCTGGCGTCGCTCGAAAGACCCTCAATGGTTGCCCAGCTTTTTCTTGGATTTTGTCCTCCTCTTCTTGTTCTTTGGGGTTGTCTATGCTGCACCCTGGGCGTATTGGGGGATGTTTCTTCAGCTTCCTGGGCCCTTGTACGTTCTTCCCTTTGCGTGTTGGGTACAAGCTAACTTTGACAGATGGTGTCCGCCAAAGATTGCCGTTCAAGGGTTTGTGTGGGCGGTTTTCTCGACATTGAGTAGGTTCAAGATTATCATGTTACCATCATTCACTAACTTGCGTCATAGGTAGTGGTTTTAGCATCTAGGGGTTGTTTGGGTGTTGCGAGGGTGATGACTGTCTTTTCGACCATTTGCAACGCGACGAGATGGAATATGGAGGGGCAGAAGTGGGATCCGATCTTGCCCAGGGGGTTTATGCAGTTTGGGGAGGATTGATGCTTGTTTTTAGCCATAGTAAATCCAACCGACAACTCATTTCCTCTTTCAGTATACATACGTCGAGCACCAAAGTCAAGTCTACTACGTGCTGCACCCGCAATTATTGAGTGCTATGGGGAATAACTTCGGGTGCTCAGCTGGCGTTGTGAGGAGCCACAAGTTCATTTTCCGGGGTAATTGCAAGATGCACTCATGAGCACTGTATAACAAGAGGGGCGCTCTATTGATGAAAGCTCAAGACTCGAGGTGTCAGGAATAATCAGTGTTCCACGCAGCGCGCATGATGATAAAGAGTAACGCGCCGAGAAATGTCGGCCCCCTTCCGGTCCGCGGAGATGGGTTCACGGCAAGAGACCCACCCGGACTCTCGGGAGGCCCGTCCCCCCGAAAAGACTCACCATCTGTCCAACAGGATGCTGTAATGACAGCAAATTGTACTTCAGCACGGTCAGTTTAGCACAACGCGATGGTCTCTCGATGCAAGACATTAGTCATTAATTGGATGCCAAACATGCGTTATAAATGCTTCACCGGTCTGCCTGCGATGGCCAAATCACACTCCACCTACGCCCTCGTTTAGAATCCGACCATGACAACCACCTCCATCACTCCGCCCTGCGTATCAAACGTCCTCGATGCAATAGGCAATACACCATGCGTCGAGCTGAAACGTATCACTCCAGAAGGACACGCCCGTGTGTTTCTCAAGCTCGAGTTTCTCAACCCCACAGGCTCGTACAAGGATCGCATGGCGAGAGCAGTCATTGAAGAGGCAGAACGACGAGGCATCTTGAAGCCTTGGATGACGGTCGTCGAAGCCACGGGTGGCAGCACTGGCTCATCCCTTGCCCTTGTCTGCGCCGTCAAGGGATACAAGTTTCGTGTCATCTCTTCAGACGCGTTTGCCAAGGAAAAGCTACGGACGATGGCTGCCTTTGGCTCTGACCTTGATCTAATTGCGAGCGCGAATGGCAAGATCACGCCTGACTTAATTCCTTCCATAAGAGAAAAGGCCAAGGAGTTCTCAAAAGAGGAGGGTGTTTTTTAGGTGGATCAGTTCAGCAATACTAATGTCCTCGTCGGCTACCAGACCCTGGGCCACGAACTCATTCAGCAATTCCCCGATGGTATCGACGCCTTCTGTGGCGCTGTCGGAGGCGGCGGCATGGTCATGGGTGTATCAAAGATCTTGAAGGAGAAATATCCACAGACGCGCATCGTTGTCCTCGAACCAAAGTCTGCGCCCATGATCACAAAGGGCCACGGTGGAAGCCACAGCGTTGAAGGAATCGGCATCGGGTTTATGCCTCCGTTACTAGACAAATGTCTTTACGATGAGGCCAAGGGCATTCCAGAGGCTGAGGCTCGCGAAATGTGTCGTCGCCTAGCGAAAGAAGAGGGAATACTGGTTGGAACATCAAGTGGCTTAAATGTTGTCGCAGCGCTTGAACTGGCAAAGCAGCTCGGGCCGGGCAAGACGGTGGTCACGGTCGCATGCGATACTGGGCTGAAGTACATGAACAGCGGGTTGTTTGAATAAGGCCGGCGTGCCCGAATATCAGGAAGGAGTTCTGACTACCCAGGTAGATCAGTGTGTGCAATGAGGCTTCGTTGGTATTACCAGCTGGCGCTACAACACAGGCCAAGCCCATTTCGTGTGGTGATGATCACAATCATGCACACAATCATGCACACAAGTTTGTCGTCGCGTTAATTTGTAGATCAGCAGTCATCGCCCTGCCTCAATACGGGATGTCTAGTGTTTAGTTACTTTAGCCATGTCGCAGTTATTGAGGCAATGCCCAGCATCGAGAAAAAGACGAACAAAATTGGTGGAACGGAGACGGGGGTGGCCTGGTGGATACCAGAGAGTTGTGTCACGTGCCTTTGGGCGGGACCCACCTGCCAAACAAGGTCACACCTAGACGAATGGAACGAAAATCACAGCATCTAACCACGAACCCGCCATAAAAACAGAAGGAAAAATAGAGGAAGAAAAAACAAAAATGAGAAAACAAAATCGGAGAAAAGAGCAAAAAAATTGGTAGCTTCTCTTTGAAGAGCGTGTCATCCTTAGTGCAGGGGCCATGCTACTGTGAAGATGTTAGTTGGGGATCGAACATGCGACGTTGGGAGGGAAAACGTACATCTTCTCTGTATCGTTATAAATAGACCATTTGCCCGAAGGCGAAAGAGATGCTTGGTTTTTGGCTTAAGTACCCTCCCTTGCAGTGGGACCCTCCTCATGTGGAAAGCGGTGAGGGGTTGTGGGCAATTTTTCTGCCCCGCCCCGCCCCCGCCGTTGGTGCCCTCGAGATGGAGGGGTCAGCAACCCTAGACCTTGGGTGATGCTTCACAAAATGGCAGCTTTGAGGGGACATACCTCGATTTAAAGTGATGTTAATGACTTGCTGGGTATCTTGAAAATGTTTGCCAGTGATTGAGGGGTTTTTCTGCGTTCTAGGCCCTTCAACAGAGCAAGTTGAGTGGAATGGCAATTTGAACCAGAAGATTGCTTACAACACCAACGACTGTGACAGTGCCCCTGAGGTATTGCAAGAGGGAAATTACAAAAAGGCCTCAAAATCACAATGTCAAACAATGAAGATTGACGGAAAAATTACATAAGCCCCTTTTGAGAACTGTGAGACCATACGGGTGGTCTCGGAGGCGTGGGAGGTCCTGTCGCAAAGGTGTGTGTGTGAGGCCACCCTCGGTGCGATCGCGACCAATGAACGCGACTCACAGTCTGGGCGCGTCACTTTGAATGTGGCTGACTCGCCAAGATGTTCTCTCAACTCATCTTGAACAATCATCAATACGTGACATTAAGCATAACCTATCTAAATACCCTCCCTTGTCCTAGATTTCCCAAACGCCTCGCTCGTCCTGGAGTCGACACTGCAATGTATCCCTCCCTCTCCTGTGGGCACACATCACCAAGACAAACCTTCATGCTCATGAGTCGCCTCGTTCTGTCGGCGCCGTCCTCCATAGAGTTTCCCTTTTCGCCCACCCCTTCCACGTTCACATATGGGTTATCTCTTATCATGCTCGTCGCGTAGTCGAGAATATCGGGGCCCTTGCGTCGGATGTTTAATAGCGCTGCTGCCATCGCGACAGAGAGCATGACGAAAGACGCGACGATTAGTGTTCCAAGCCATGGTTTTTGCGCCTTTAGTACGAGCTCGTCTGGGGTCCTCGTTCCATCGACATCTTCCCATTTCAGCGTCTTCAACTCCTTCTGGAGCCTGTCGGCAATTGTCAGGTTGACTCTCCCCATGGGCGCAAATGGCGCGATCTGCGCGAGCCAGAAGCTATTCAGCAGCTGCGAGAAGCGCGCAGAAAAGACCTTGTTTCCGACTGGCCAGATATCCTCGCCGCGCCAATTGCGGTCGTTGGGTAGCACCGCATACGGTATGTCGGGATGCGTGAGGTATAGCTCGATCGGCGATGAGTAGGGTTCCTTGTCTGGTTCCCAGTCCCAGAGGATGTTTGACGAGTTGATAAAGTACCCCAGGTAAGACCAGTACTGCTCGTCGTAAAACTCCATGTCGCCGCTGGGTGCTAGACCATTGAGAACGGTGCTCGCTGCATCGTAGTCGTTCTTCATCTCTCGGACGCGAAACGCGCCACAGTCGGATTTGTGGCACTTGACGCTGACCTCGACGTATGATGTCGAGAGGTTGCAGATGGCGCTCGTGGTCGCGTTGAACGTGTATGAAGTAAAATTGAGCTGCATCGGTGTCTTGTCTGTGTCATTGTACTTCTTGAGCACCTCAATCACCATGGTCAAGCCGTTGTGGTACTTGTCGTCAGCTTCGGTCGACGGCCCATTCTTGGGCTCGACGTCCAGCGCTTGCTTCCAGAGCGAAATGTTCATGCTTGGAAAGTGGCTCAGCTTACAGTCGGTATACATGTACGACGTGGTCAGGTTGAAGGAAAAGTTGGAATGATGCCCAAAGGGATCGTTGGACGCGATTGGGAGCCCTGATAGAGACGAGTACAGAGCACTCCCGTCGCTGACATCAATCCAGCCATCGTCGTCGGGAAAATTGGACACACTCTCAATCATGGGAATCTTGACATGTCCGAATGAATCCTGGCCGGCAGTCTTGACGTCGTTGGAGCTCGCCAGAGCTGCTCCAAAGGTGGCGATAACAGCCGGGAGCGAATGAGGCACGCTGCCGGGGCCCTCTTGGAATGGGAGATCTCCTCTGAACTCGACATACCGTCCTTTCCATGGATTCAGCTCGAATGATGGCGCTGATCCGGTGACTCGAAGCGCAGCCTGGCCACCGAGAGGAGAAAGGGCCCATAGCGCGAAAAGAAGCGGTGTCAGGGCACTAACAGCGCTGAGGGCCATGGGCGACGCGAGGGTGCTGAACACGGTCCGGCTGCTGAGCAGAAACTCGAGACTGAGCACCGAGATGCCTCGCTCTAGCTTCCATGCTGCCAGAGCCTTGAGGAAGTTGACTGCTGCAGCGGCAAAGACAATGGGGAAGATTGTAGGGCTGTAGTTGGCGATGGAGCGAAGCGCGACGGCGGGTTCTTGATCGACGGGGCACCCCTCGTAGGCGAAAACGAGGAATGCGAAAATTAAAAATGCCAACGCCGGGAGCGCAAAGAGGACATCAAGAAACAAATGCCATAGCGTGAGAGGCGACGTAGGAGTTCGTATCCGTCCAAGTCGGGGGCTGTATTCGTGCTCGGCCGGCGGGGGATATTGAAACGTCGGGAAAGGGTTCGGGTTCAGGTTCGATCGATCCGAGGGTCCTGGTCCGTCGTGGATCAAGTTGATCTGCTCAAACGAAGGAGCTCCATCATCCTTTCTCGGGAGGATGCTCAGCTCCGAATCACCAGACAATCTGTTGTAGTCTCGCCGGTGAGACATGATGCCCTTGAGGGTTTCGTCCCGACGTGGAACATCGACATGGAGAGAGTCAAAAAAACAAGAGTGAAGAGGGGAAACAGGGCTGAGAGGGCCGAGGGAGACAGGGCTGAGATATCGCCTGAATCCCCTGTCCACTTGGCGGTGCGACCTCACATGGGGGCCTTTTCCTCTGGTGAACTCGACCCGTGGTGTAGCGGGTACCAATCGTTTCGGCCGCTATAATTAGAGGCCCTCAGAGGCGTTTTGCTCGAGACAAGAGGCTGGACAAGGACCAAGCAGTGAGGCAGACGCTGCCTGCAGGCTGCGTGACCCGTGTTATCCGTGCCGCACAACGGGTACGCCTTGGCAACCCCCGTTCCAAGGCGGAGATCCAACGTCAACTTAACCCTGGGAGGCCTGTGTGTGAGTGGAATGACGCACGCACGAGACAAGCTTAACCTCGTCAACCTTAGATCTCACGGCTAGCTCCCGAGGATTGCAACGTGGGGGACAGGATCGACGCCAGCATTGGTTCTTTTCTAACATGCCTTTTCAACACTGCAGACCAAGCTTTAACGATGGATGAAATGGATCCATGAGTGGGAATCTTGTTGATGAAAACTTGAGACAATCTCCACCCTGGTTAGTTCTTGGCGATTATTGGGGGCTGGAGGATCAGGGCAAAGATGAACTGCAGCCACCACGTACGTACATCGGGCTGATTTCCGAATATGTTGTTTCGCTGCGCTCATTAATAAGAGCGGAATTAACGCCCTGCCTTACGCGTGTCTTTCTCACCCAGCGATGGAGGCTGGCAGGTTTTCAGCCTGTGCCCTGCTGCAGACCTCCGCTGCGGCTGACCTACTCTCAAGCCTCATCGACTTCTCATTGGATCTTTTCAATCTCGATCAGGTGATCCCGACAGCGTCTGTCTCAATGTTGAGGCCATCTCACATCATCATTTCCCGTGGGGATTCCCACCTTTGACACCCCAAGCGCCAAGATGGCAGCCGAGACCATCGGCATCGTAGCCGCCTGTGGTCAATTTGTCGAACAAAGCGTCAAGATCATTCGCTTCTCAAAACAAGTCCACGACAAGTTTCAAGATGCGCCCGCGGAAATTGACGCCTGGCGACAGCAGATCCAGGGTCTCGAGAAACTTGTCGCTGCTGTCGAGGCTTCACCTGCTCTCCAAGTGGAGGACTTGAAGCCGACCGTTGAACAGGCCAAGGCTGTGGGTGATAAGCTGCTGAGGATATTTGAGGGGATTGATTTTGAGAAGAATGATGGCTTTGGGCATAAATCTTGGAGAGTTGTAGGCGGGTTTTTGAAAGAGGATGAGATCAGTAGTCTTTTTAAGGAGATTGAACGATTGAAGGCGCTGCTTGGGGATCAAATAGCCGTCATCAATATGTAAGTCCGGACTACAGTCCTCGTCGATAGCAGCCCCGATGCTAACCTTGGCAAAGAAATCAAGGCCATGACAAGTTTGCACGAGTCGAGTCCCTCATACAGGACCTCGGCCGGTCCTTTCGCCCCGGCACAGACGAAGACCAGTGTCTTCAGGACCTGTTCATCACGGATCCGTTGAGTGACAGAGATGGTATCATCACAGCCAAAGGACGCCGGACCCCAGGCACATGCGAATGGATCCCCATGACGGAAGAGTATCGATCCTGGAGTACGGACCAATCTGGTCTCCTGTGGATATCTGGCCCTCCAGGCAAGGGAAAAACGTTCATCTCCATCTTTCTCACACAGCTCCTCCAGTCTTCAAAACCGGATGCTACCATTATTTGGTTCTTTTGTGACAACAAGGTCGCGTCGCGAAACAAGGCTATCAATATCCTTCGTGGTCTCATCATTCAACTGATCCAGAAGCACAACCAGCTCATCTCTCGCATCATGCCTACGTGGAAAATCCAAGGCACCAACTTGTTCCGGGATAATTCGTTTGAAACTCTTTGGCGGGTATTTGAGGACATGTTGGAGGCCCTGAAGGAACACGAAATTTGTTGCGTACTCGATGCTCTGGACGAATGTGATGAATCGTCGTTATCACCACTCTTGTTCAAGATCCAAAGCTTGTTCGAGCCAGACAAAAAATCTATTCGCCACAGCTTGAAATTCCTCGTTACGAGTAGAGAGCAGCCCGAATGCTTGCCCGTCACACTCTCTGCGTTCCCCCACATCACCCTTGGTCTACTTCAACACGACATCCAACTATACGTCTCAGACCGAATCTCCCACCTAGCTAAGCTAAAGGGTATCGAAGGCTTGCCTCTTTGCCAGTACATCGAATATGCCTTTCGGAAACGTGCAGGAGGAACATTTCTCTGGGTCGCCTTCATGGCGCGCGATCTGGAGCACAAGACCGTGAAGGAGATCGAACGTGCGCTCACGCAACTCCCCCGCGATCTCCCTGAAGTGTACGAACAAATTCTGTCCAAGATAAATCCAGAGAGCAAGACAGAAGTGGGCAAAATGTTGACTTGGCTGCTGTTTACATCACGTCCATTGACAGTTGTCGAACTTTGTGATGCGGTACAGATAGAGCCTACTCCGTATCTAACCAAGGAACAAGTCTGTCTGGACTATATCCAATCTTGCGGACATCTACTTCAGGTGTCGTCTGGTAGGCCTCCAAATGGTATGGACTATCGAGTCAACCGGCTTCCACCTCTTATCCCGGTAACCACCAAAATGACGGAGCTAAACTCGGAGGAATCGGGCACTTCTCTGTACGTTAGTTTTGTGCACCAGAGCGCCAAGGACTTTCTCAGGAGCCATTCCTCTGGACTCGCAGCCCTGAATGGTCCCATGGACCCGAAGAAGACACACGCCGACATCACTAATCGCTTGGTGTCTCTCCTGGAGGCGAACCGCCCCTCCAGCCAGCTGTTCGAGGCCGCCAAGGACTTGCCGCTCTTGCCCTACGCGGTTTTCAACTGGAATTACCACATGCGAGAGATGGGCACTGACTTTGTGACCGTTCTTGACGAGCACAAGGACTTCTTTCGCAGAGCTTCAGAGGCGAGGGACAGGTGGTGGGCGTGGTACCACTTTGAGTATCCTGGCCAAGATCCTCCCAGAGATGTTCCTCTCCTTCACATGGCTTGCATCACGGCCCTTTACCACCTACTCGAGTATGCTCTTCTGAAGAGGAATACGCTACTGGGGCTGCTTCGAGCACGAGAGGTGAATCGAGTATGGGGCCACGACCAAGAAACACCACTCCATCTCATGGTGAAACAAGGACAGGATAAAGTGGTCCAACTGCTGATGAAGTACGGAGCAGATGCGTCCATCAAGAATGTTCGCGGCAAGACGGCTCTTGATAGTGCCGCGTTCCTTGGGCCGTACGCCGTGTTTCTTCTTCTGGCAGCGTCGAGAACATGTCGAGAAATTCTCGAGGCAGATGCCAAATCCTCGATTTCTCATCGTGGCCGGGAAACTCTTCTTCATACAGCTGCTAGAGGAGGGCATCAGGATATTTGTCGAGAACTGGTAGAAAAGTGGCACTATGACGTCGAGGCCAAGGATAAGGATGGCTTCACGCCCTTGCTGGTGGCCGTTCGATGCCAGCATCTGAGTCTGGCCAGTTTTCTCGTCAGGAACCTCGGAGCCAAGACAACACCACGCATCAAAATCCTCGAATCTGCTTTCTATCTGCGAGAGAGGTCCAGGATCAATGAAGCTCTGGAGTCTCTTTCCTCCAACCTAGGTGTCGACATTAACGCAGCGGATGAGGATGGCAACACCCTTTTCCACCGATTATATTCTCCTGCATTTATTATGCTGCAAGAGTGCGTTGCTGCAGGATTACGCTTTGACAAACGCAATCAAGAAGGAGAGACGGTTCTTCATCGCAACTTTTGGCTGTCAGCGACTCACGAGCGCTTGCATCTGGTGTTAAAGGAGTCACATCTCGACATCAATGCTCGAGATATCCACGGCCGCACACCGCTCCATGCCTTGGTTACTGCCGCTGCACAACCCGACCAAGCCCCCTGGAGTTTGGACCTCAGAAATTTGGTTGCGCTGCTTGATTTTGGCGCCGATCGAAGCCTGATGGATGCCCACGGGAGGACACCATCTGAGCTTGCTGCCGAGTACCTCAAACAAGGGTCGGATGAGATCTATATAGACGAGGAAGGGATTGACTCCTCTGATGAGATTGACGAGGTGCCATGCACCATGTCGATGATTCTCGAGATATTGTCGAGGTACGCGACTGCTCCTCTGAATGTGCGGGTGGCAGATGGATTAAGCGAGAATATGGGAAATGGGGATCAACCTGCTGCGACGTGAATAGAAGCTAATGATTCATTGCCTCGATGGCGCCTTTGTGCACTCTTTGCTTAGTGGAGGTCGGTCATTGGGTGCTCACCATCAATCTCTTGCCTCTCAATTGAATCAGCTGACCCAGACATTAAAAAGAAACGTCGTGTTTTCGTATAATCTTTACAAACCCAAGACCCTCATCGTATAATCATGAAACCTCGGCCAAATAGCCAACCCACCTATGATGTAAGGCCCGTTCGTTGGCAGGGATACAGCCATGTGCCCCTCGTGTAGCCAGATGACGCCAAATCCGGACCCTGAGTTCAAGCCACGGGGTCAGCCCTGGCGGGTTCTAGAATTCACGAATCATGAGCCCTGAGTGATGGTGACACCGACTCCACCGGGCGAGTCTCATCGCCGGGGTTACCGGGGACTTTGTAGGGGATCACGTCGAGGTCCTTCCTCTCAAGGAACGGGCAGCAACGGATCCGTGATCCCTGTGACCGTTTTCGACATGTCTCATCATGCAAGTCACTTCTTGTGGTCGGTTGCTCGGTGGGAACGGCTTCTTGGCGCTGACGCTCGAGTGGACGGTACTTATTTGGGAATACGAACCCGTAGCCACGCGCCCAATGGAACACGAGCGAGATCTTCAAAAAGAAGCCGCTAACCCCTGTTCCTGGGTCCTGTCAGACGCGAACCGGGATGGCTTGAATAGGGGTCCCCCCCTCCTCAGCGGCCGACACGGTCAGATTGACAATAATTCCCCGACCCCTCCGCTGACGGTTCTTTGATCGTTCTTTGATCACTCGTTCTCTGTCTCTTGAGCATTCCTGTCTATCGTTTCTTCAACGTATCATATTATCTTGAACATATCTCTGCTGTGCTTCTATGCATACAGCTTAAACCACTCGCTCATCTCGTTTAATTGCCCCTAATCAGCACCGGCTCGGCCGGATCCCACAATAATGCGCGCAACATCTCGCCTCCTTGCAGGCCTGGCTCTGTTCTCTGGCGCGTGGGCCAAAGTAAAGTATATCGTATGTATAGAGCTGCTTTGACTTTGAGTCCCTCACTGACTGTTGATAGGGTGTTGCTATTCCCGGTATTGATTTTGGCTGTGATATCGATGTATGTGCTTTTCTTAGCTGCATGAACTTGCGACTGACGTGCACTAGGGCAGCTGTCCACTTGACACAGCACAGTTCCCTCTCGCCTCTCATACACATGGAGATGGTGAAGGGCAGATGAAACATTTTGTTAAAGACAGTGGCCTCAACACTTTTCGTCTTCGTAAGTCATCTCGTCTCAAACTATTGACTCACTCTGTTATTAACATGCCTCAGCAACAACATGGCAGTTCCTCCTCAACGAACAAGTAGGCGGCAAGCTAGACGAAGAAAAATTCGGACAATACGACCAACTAATGCAAATATGCCTTGACACCGGCGCCTACTGCATGATTGACGTGCACAACTTTGCACGCTACGACGGTGGAATCATCGGCCAGGGCGGCCCCTCAGACGAGGCCTTTGCCGATCTCTGGAGTCAACTCGCCCAAAAGTACGCCAAGGAGGAAAAGGTCATGTTTGGTCTCATGAACGAACCTCACGATCTGGATGTTAATCTCTGGGCAAAGAGTTGCCAGGCGGCCGTCACGAGTATTCGAAAGGCTGGAGCAAAGTCGCAGTTGATTCTTCTGCCCGGAACGAACTTTACGAATGTCGAGACGTTTATTACGACCGGGAGCGCAGATGCTTTGGCTGCTATCAAGAATCCTGATGGTAGCAAGGATGGGTTGATTATAGATCTTCACAAGTATCTGGATATCAACAACTCTGGATCGTTTGAGGAGTGCACGACCGATAACGTTGAGGCTTTCAAGGCCATGGCGGATTGGCTAAGGGAGAACAAGCGCGTGGCTATCATCTCAGAGTCTGGAGCGTCCATGGATCCTTCGGTAAGCACTTGGACTTGAATCTGTTTTCCAAGCTAACTGGTATAGTGTATGGAAAAGTTCTGCGCCCAGAACGAGTTCATCGCAAAGAACTCTGACGTCTACATCGGCTTCGTTGGTTGGGGCGCTGGCAGTTTCAAATACGACTATGTCCTGACTTTAACACCGATAAAATCTGGAGATGGATACGAGGACAACAAGTTGATGAAGCAGTGTATTCTTGACCCTTTCATCAAGAACGCCCCTTCAGTAACCAAGACTTCGACCTCGACCAGGACAACCATGGTCAAGACGACTTCAACTAAGCCCCCTAAAAGCACAGAAACTGAGACCGAAACTTCCAAAACGGAATCAACAGACTCTTCATCCACAACCACCGAAGAAGCATCGTCCTCTTCTACAGCGCAAATATTCAAGGAGGGTGATGGAAAAGAAGCAGACAAGGAGGCGTCGACAAGCAAGCCAGAGGAAGATGATGACTCTGGCGCCTCAAGGACCAGGGAGATGTTTACAGGCGGAGTAATAGGCTTGGCGGTTTTTGCGGCGTTTCATGCATGGTGACGTGTTCACCCCATACTAGATAGATTTGTATTGTAAGCGAGTAATATAGATAAATAGCACTGCCCCTGATGATAGACTAGGGCTTATTCTTACGGTATTCCTTCTTCCTTCCACCTTACGGCCAGGATCCAACATGGCTGACGATAATGGTCCCTCAGAAGAGGGTCAGCCAGCGGCAACGAGGTGATTAACAAACAACATTCGATCTGACGACATTGTCATAATCTAACCTTGGCGTCAGCAGCAAATCCTTCGAGTATCCACCAAAACTAAAGTCAGGCGAGTACCTGCCCGACGAGGACGAAGTTCGAGACGATACCGAGTTTCTCGCCCTCAAAGACGCCTTGTCCAAAGGCTTTGATCCCAACACAATCTGGTTAGAAGAAGATGTGCTCGAGATATTCGAAGTGCGTGACGATGAGTCGGCATCCAACGACAGGATGGATTGGAAGTGCTGGAACACACCTCTTCACCGCTCCCTGCGATCCTTCGACTTCGAGTCAGCTCGACTTCTTGTTCAGCACGGGGCTGATGTCAACTTGCTTAATTCTAACCGAACGACGGCTCTTCAGGAGGCTGTAGAACGCCAGAATGAGAAAGCGGTCAAGTTTCTCGTCGAGCATGGTGCAGATCTCAGTAAGGATGAGGCAGGAGACAATGTTCCGTGGCATATGGCACTGGCCTCGGGAAATATCAACATCTTTCGTCTGATGGTTGAAAGTGGTGCTGACTTGGCTGCTGCTTCACAGTTTGAGTGGTCAATCGTGGATCTCGCTATTCTTGCACAAGATCAAGTGGCTTTGGATATCCTCTTACTTCATGATCCGGAGTTGAAGCCATCCCCTTTACTCCCTGACAAGTCGAGAGATGGAGCAGAGGTCACGCCTATTGCAGCCAGAGACCTGCTTGCAGTTGCTACAAGCAGATGCTTCCTACCTTCAAGGGAGCTGTATGGGGTGTACAGCAACGTGGTGTCATCGATGAAGGATAATCCACAAGAGGGCGGGATAAACTTTGTCGACAGTGTGTATCACGCTTTATACGATGCCGCTGGTATCACAAGGCCGATCAAGCGAGAAACCCTGTGTGATCGGTGCTTGTCTTTCCAGTCTCACGTGTCAGGGTGGCGTTCCCACGCCAAAGAAGCCGTATCTAGCCCCCCATTTCAGATTCACGAGAGCCGCGACGCTCTCAACGAATGCGCTAAGAGCTGCCGGCTCTGTGGTCTTGCTGCAGATGCCCTGGAAAATGCTGAGAAAGAAGGTTCGCGAGAGATATCGGACGAAATGGAGAAGCTGGGCTTGTCCGAAGAAGCATCTGATGCGTCGCACATCTACTTCACGCTCTGCGACATGTGGATGGAGACTGTTATCCTTGTTTGGGACCCAAAGGCGGGGCCTGGGGGATCCCTAGGTGGTGATTCACTTTCCGAGAGGTTCATCTTTGACCATAATGAGACCCCCGGGGAAGATGCGACTACAGGTTCACCGCAAGCAATCAACGTTGCGCAAGAATGGCTTCACCAGTGTAGGAACGCGCCTGGGCATTCTCTATGCCAGCAGTCCTACCAAAGCGGGGACTCGAACAAAACTCTTCCGATCCGAGTGTTGAACTTGACAGAAGAAGGCTGCGATCCTTACCTGGTGGAAGGAAAAGCCATGGAAGGCCCATACTGCGCACTTTCATACTGCTGGGGTGACTTGGGTACTACCAACACCATCACTACAAAAGCAAACTTCTCGCAGTACCTGCAAGGCATTCCAATGGATACTCTGCCAACCTTTATTCAGGAAGCTATCCGAACGGCTAGATCTCTCGGGTTTCAATATCTATGGATCGACGCTCTGTGCATCATCCAGGATGATGATCAAGACTGGGATAGAGAGGCGTCCAAAATGAGCGACGTCTACTCCAACGCTGACTTGACAATCTCGAGCATCGTAGCAAAAGACTGCCACGACAACATGTTTCAACCTCGCATGCTGAGAGTCGCTCAGCCTGTGCCCCTGGACTATTGGCTTCCGAAATCTCAGCGGCCGGAGTGGAAAAAAGGAGTCGTCCACCAACAGGCTGTATTTCCTTTCTGGACGTTGTCAACTGAATCTGCTCCAAGAGGGTTCTCTCTGCCGGGAGGAATTACAGTGGATGGACCTATAAGCTCCCGTGGGTGGACTCTGCAGGAGCAGCTCCTGAGCACTCGAGTTCTCTACTTTGGACCCGGCTACCTCTACTGGGAATGCCTCTGCGCCATGAGCGTCGATGCAGATCCAGGCGCCTCCATCATGTCAAGGCTTGCAGGCAATTTCGCAGCCTTTGATGTGAACCAAAGAGCTCATCTGAAGTGCATCGTGAAAGGGATGCCTTCTCCAGCAACGGATGACGACCTACGAGATAGCCCCTATGCCGTCTGGCAGACCCTCCTCAAAGAGTTTACCTCAAGGAATCTATCCAAGTCTTCAGACCGCATTCCTGCAGTCCTCGCCCTTGCCAAATCTTTAGAGAAGACGGTGGAGGGCGAGTTTATAGGTGGACTTTGGAAGGGCACTAAACTGCTCGAGAGCCTCTGCTGGAAGGCCCAAGACAAGAGCATGCAAGAACCCAGAGTACCTTCATGGTCTTGGGCTTCTGTTGGGGTGCAGGTGGACTTTAACTACCTCAACCGTGAAGCGTTCCATGAGCTAGTCCCGATGGCAACCGTCGTATCGGTTGATGTTGAAGCAAACCAAGCACAGAGCCATGTCTCTGGATCAGTAACCCTCAGAGGCACCTTGCACTGGAAAAAGATTACACCATCCTCTGACGAAGAAGCAAAGAGACCGTTTGCTGCTATTGATGCCCTTGACTACAAGGCTGACATGGCCGACCACTGTTACGCCTTCGATCTGGTTGCTTTTGAAAAGGGGCCTTTATACGAATGTCATGGCCGGTCGATGTGGTCTGACATGGGAGGTCGGCCACCGAGCGTGATTCGTCTGCTACTGCAGCCTCTTGATCAAGACGGTGATTCCCGTATGTTTAGGAGGGTTGGGATATCCATGGATGATGGGGATGAACGGCAGACACTTGATGACTTGAGGGCACCTAGGAAGGATGAGGGATCGCTTACGGGGGCATGGGCTAATATTGAGCGCTCCGAGGCGGATCAATTGATTACTATAGTTTGATACTCCTGGCTATCAAGAAATATTTCAAGCAGCGGGGCTGATGTAAGGTGAAGGCCGTGGCATGCAGGGACTAGAGAATGCATGTATTAGATCGCCAAGTGAAATTTGATGTTGAGCTGAGATGAGACGTATTATCTGATTGATACAAATTCCCTAGCACTTATATCAATGGGACCTGCTGTGTTGAGCAGTGAATACCCCCGCCCAGCTTTGGAACCGTGTTGATATCAACCTGGACAACCTCGCGGTCCGGGAAACATTGCTTGAACAGCTCTAGGGCGTCATCATCTGCTTTCCCAACACCGAAGCGAGGAATGATGATGCCGCCATTTACCAAAAGATAGTTGGCGTAGGAAGCAACAGTTTCGAAAAAGTGCTCGCCGCGCAGCTCTTTAGGATGGGGTTCAGCAACTTCGATGATCTCGATCCGATTGCCAGAGGCGTCTGTTGCGCTTTCAAGTGTTTCCTTTGCCTCTTGGTATGCTTCCACGAGGACTTTATCAGCAGTCTCTGGCATGCGGCCCAATAACACTTTGCCAGGCGAGATGAACCTGGCCAACGCGTCGATGTGGTAGTCGGTCATCTCGTAACCCTTGATTCCACGAAGCCAGATTGTCTTGTCGATGCCAAGATACTCCTTGAACTGTGCCTCAATGTCACTCTTTGACAGACTAGGATTTCGATTCGGGTTGATAATGGCACTTTCGGTTGCGAGAAGCGTTCCTTGGCCATCAACCTCAAATCCTCCTCCTTCAGCACGGAAGCCAGCAGTGAAGGCGTTAACACCCATGTCATTCAAAATACCCGATGCAACTTCTTCATCCCCTTGGCTCTCAAGCTTGTCGCCCCAGTAGTTGAAGCTTAGACTGAGGCCCGCTCGGGAATCATCAGAGAGGTTCTTGACGATGATGGGTCCCGTGTCACGAACCCAGAGCTGGCTCGCCTCCAGGGGACGAACCGTGACATTTTCAGATACGGTGTCTCTGGCTTTCTCCACGTTTTGTGGCTTGGTATACATGGTGACAGGCTCGAAGCGAGCAATGGCATTTGAGATGGCCGAGATTTCTGAACGAGCGTCGCGTAGAATGGCTTCGTCCGGGATAGAGGCAAAGTCAGGCCACACGGTGATAGTCTGAGAATGTTTCGCCCATTCTGGCGGCATGTAGAACCTTGTCTTGGGAGGTTGGGCGTTGGAGGTTGTTGAAGATAATCGAGTCTCAGCAGGAGCCTTTGTTCTGAGCGGCGTGCATGATGCAATGCCGCCGCGCTTATAAACAAGGTTTTTAAGCATGGCTGAAGAGCAATGATTTATTAATTTTGATGTGATGGCTCTTTCAAGAAAGAGTTTCCAATATCAGAAAAGAACCTTGGAGTACTTTAAATGCCAAGAAAGAGTTCAAGTTTGTTGGAGGCGGTTGCTTCTCTTCGGGATGTGATTCTCGCCAAGACGAGGGGGGAGAAACAAGGCTTCGGAAGATGGTTTCATAGTCAGACATTTTAGAGTTTATATTGCATATGAGCTGGCTTCGTTATCTTACTATGTGGCTAGATGCAGTAGTAGGGTTGCCAATAATGCTAGTTCCGTCATCACGCAGTTTGTCCAACCCTGCCACGATAATCATAAGATGGGCGGGCAGAATGCACTCGGTCGTTCGGCCTGGTCAAAGTCCGGGATCCATTGGTGGCACTAGAGTCCGGGCGGGTTTACCATGTCTTACCTCGTTTCTGGTACGAGCCGCCACTCCATTTCCCTGTTCATTGGCTGATTCCCACTCCTCTCTGTGTTTGTAGAAGCAATGACTGCTATTGGAGTTGGATCAGCAGTTTCTATCAAATTGCGCTACGATCATAACTGGTAAATATGCCGCAATGTTATTGTTATCACCAATGACGATTCTGAAAGAGGCAATTGTGCCGCAATCGACTCAGCACATTGACTCAAGCCAGTGGGGCCGCTACACCCACCCTTGCAAGCATTGGCTTTGGAGCTCTTGATTCGCCATCTCGTAACAAGGGCTCTCATCGTCAGCTCAGAAATACACTCGTTGATATAAGTGAAGTTTATTGACTCGATACGGTAATCGATCATGAATGACACAAGGCAGAATCATACCATCTTAGGGTACCTACAACCTGAATTACTCTGGAAGAGATATCGACATTTTAACAATGAATACACTCGTCAACTGTTATTGTAGGGGAGTTGCAGTCTAGCTGAGAGGCTCCTGAGAGTGAATCAGCACAGAGGTGCAAGGTTCACTATTCTTGGCCAACTCTGCCCGAGTCCCTGAGCTTAATTCGGTAATTAACTATCTCCTAGCTCGAGAACTAAGTAGTTTACACGACCCCTCTCGCTTTGGTAAGAGTTGCAGCATATTCCCTCAGGTGTCGGTTCTTAACCACTGGCGGCGGCGGCGGCAGCACCACCACCAGCGCTGCTGGAACTGGATCTCTTTTCCTCCTCACGTTTCTGAAAGTCGTAGATGGATAGTAAAGTCGTGATGACAGCGTACTCAAACATTGGGCCTAGGTCCATGTTAATCTGTAGGGTGCCCACTGAACTGGGTCTTAGACTCATGGTGTGGCTTGTAAAGACCGCCATAATCTGGCCATTAGGGTCCTGAAGTTTGAAGTTGTTGTTGCTCAGCCGTGAGGCCGACATCCCATCCACGGCTACGCTGTTATCTTTCAACCACGTCATTGGAACCGGCTGCCCCATGTTCGGGAAGTTCAACGAGACAGTCCAGCCGTGCTTGTCCTTGCCGCGATACGACATCTCAGTCCATTGAACGTTGGCGGGATCGCCGATACCGATGCGGAACATCTTGCTATCGCTGTTGTAGTAGCGGCTCGCTTCCGGAAAGTAGCACGCTGCGACTGAAGCTCCTCCTGCAGTTAGAGCTAAGTCTGGATGCTTTTTGGGGTTCTTTGATATTTCGAGACTGTAGGCCGAGGGCCCGTCGGGTGCGTTGTCGGGCTTGCACTCATAACGGCTATGGAAAGAAGGCTTTGTGATTTTGAATCGAGCAGCACCATGCACTTGACCTTGCATTTGGCTTTGTGGTGGATGATGCATGGATTGACCTTGGGGAAAGCCATACATAGCGTGTCCTTGAGGGCCGGGTGGCGGGGCGTAGTTTTGTGGTTGTTGGTATGCCATAGCTATGGTGGATTTGGTATGGTGGGGATTCTTGCAATTGATGTTTGAACGTGAAGGAAGAGTGCAGGTCAAGAGGTGAGCTTAGCAGGAGAATAAGGCAGCATAATGACAGGATAGCTCAGAGAGATATGTCACAATGCTCTTAAATGCAGTCGAAGATCAACATGGCGGGACACAACGGAAATAGAGGGATCGACGCTATGAATTCATTTCGACTCAAAGCACTGCATGTTCGGCATGTCGCAACTTGGTTCTAGGGCGAGCTGCAGATTGTAATTCGGTCATGAGGTTGCACTGAATGCCGTCATGCCGGGCTTTTTGGACGAGCTGAAGACTGTAACATATCTGGCTAAAGAGCTAACCAAATAAGGTGTATCCCACCGCTTTATTTCGTGCGCTGTAAAAATTATTGGGGGAATAGCGAAGTGACATCAACGCGCGTCCTGTAACAACGAAACGCTAGAACGGTTCAAGACAAATCGCTTGGTTGCATGAAGTGCGGCTGAGTGGGCCATGCCCTACTTAAACTGAATCCGATCGGATTCACACTCCCTCTGGTAGATATTCTAGAGATGGAATATGAAAAAGATTTCACCTGCCTCGTACCGCATCAGCCTGACCCTAGGAAGATGGTTCCCCAACCTCAACGTGTTGAAGAGACCACCATCTTCTTCACATACAAGTGATTGAAGAAGAAAATACAACATTAAAGATGAAAGAGAAACTTCAATAGATCAATAAACCAATCTAGCCCCCCTTATACGTTCCCGTCCCAGACAATAGTGCCTGCCAGAGAACTCCTCATCACTGGCATCACTCCCGGCATCCTCGCCTTCAGTAGTCTCTTCAAGGCACTTGACAACCTTGCCTCTCACATCCTTGAGAATCTTTTGCCGTCTGCACGCATACTCCCATATATCCTCTCCCCGGTGTCTCTTCCATTCCCACTTCAGGGCCACTCTCACAGTACGTACGCCAGCCCAGCTCTCAACCTTGCCTGAGGATTCCGCCATCACGTCTGAGATCCTGCTCTGCTCTACATGCCGACCCACGAATAACCATTGCCGGACAGCAAAGTCTTGCTTGCCCACGCTGACCTCAAAATCATTTGGCTGGCAAAGGCCGTAGGGCACCGTTGCGCCATTGTTCACAAGACACTTGACCGCCTTGATATGGCCTCTTGAAATTGCAGCGGCCAACGGCGTGCCGTGGTCCTTGCATTGATGCTCAATCATGCCGACTCCAAGTGCGAGGAGGCTCTCGATCGCCTCGACTGAGCCCCAGCATGCTGCTCGGCACAATAGACTGTGGTCTCCTCTCTCTGCAATGTCGCAAAGTTGACGGAGCTCATGATTGCTCAGGAACGGCTGGACAAGGCGCAAATTCTTGGATATTGTCGCCAACCTGCGATCTGTAGCGAGGAACCAATCACTAGGCCAGTGACCCGTCTCCTGTGGCCGGAGGAAACGATGATCTCTATTCAATAGGAATCGTAGGTGGTACCCAGACTGTTTGGCCAAGATCCAATGTAGGGGGGCCACCCCATCGCTGTCTGGCAAGTACAAGCTAGCCCCTTGGTCAATGCAGCGGGAAAGGGTTTCCAGTGACGACCCTGGTCTCGTCGGGTCGGGTTCAAAAATGACCACGAAATGCATACCATTTTCTCCCAATATGTTCGTTCTCGTAATGTCTTTGCAATATGGTCTGAGAAGATCAACTAGTTCCCACTGGCTTTCCCGATACGCACACATGAGTGGCGTTTCATCCCACTCATCCAAAAGGTTTGGGTGAGCACCACAGTCGAGAAGATGTTTGGCAACTTGAAGGGAGCCGTGTCCAGCGGCAAGGTGAAGTGGCGTCTCGTTTCTATCGTTCGTCTCTTCAATGTTGGCGAGGCTGCTGACCAGAACGGCACAGGCATCGAGATTGTTTCTGGAGGCTGCAATATGAAGTGCAGTTTGCCGACTCTGAGCATCTTTTTGGTCGACGAAGGCGGAAAGCGTCTCGCTCTGTGAAGATTTACTTTCGACAACACAACTTGAGTTATTCCTAGGAAATGATTAGTTATCTTCTATTTAGCAGCTGTGTGGCAACGTACAGATTCAATCTGGAGCTACCGTACGTCTCGCGAAGCCAGTCCAACAGAGTCTTGAGCCCCTCAATATTGTCGTAGTCGATGGCAAGATGAAGAGGACTTCGAGCCATGTCAAGAAAATTGCCCCCTTCTTCCAAGAATTTGTTCAACAACTTGTGCAGGATACTGTTCAACCTCGGATGAGCGATGGCTGCTTCAAGAGCGGTCGAGTACCGGTCCTGATAGGGTTGAGGAAAGATTGTCGAGACTGTTGCACCAGCGTCCATCAACCATTGAACAACCTTGGGGTCTTGTTGGTGACAAATGGCCACAGCCAAAAGGGTCACAGGAACTTCGTCATATAGCTCAACGTCTACCGGGCATCCGAGGGCGAGGATTCTCTCACAAGCGGGAACATCGCTCCGTAGAATAGCATTGCGCATTGCATCTGCCAATATTTTCAACGCCGTTGGAGATTTGCTTGGAGAATTCGACTCTTGGAGTTCCTCGGAAGAATTCTGGAGGATCTCAATCATGGCAGCATTTCCTGTTGAGTATGCGTATACCAGTGGAACGCATCCTCGATTGCAGGCCTGATGCTTGGCGCCGAGACGAATCAAGGTTCGAACCGTCTCCAAATGCCCCCCTTTAGCTGCTAGGTGCAACGGAGTCTGGCCGTCGCAGTTTCTGGAATCGATGTTTCCCCCACGAGCCTTCAACCACTTTATGGTTGAGATTTCATTAAATCGAGCAGCGTAGTGCATAGGAGTCTCAAGATGACGGTCATGACACTCCAAATTCGACAGCAAGCCCTGATTGAGATAGAACTCTAAGCACCCTGTCTTGCCATTCATTGCTGCCAGATGGAGTGCGTTCCCACCAGAAAACCCTTCCTCGTCGCCGATACCTGCCCAGGTTCGGTCCCAGCAAGGAGACTCGTGATCAAAGGCGGCGATCTTCTTGAGTATTGAATGACTGCCATAGCGAGCCGCCTCTAAAGGTGCATCAAATGGATACGACCCGTGAGCCCATGGGTCAGCTCTAGATTCGAGAAGAATCTCGGCCGTGTTTAGGGCGCCATTGCACAGGTGATGTGCGAGGGGTGATCCTCGCTTGGGAGACAAGGGTGAGCATGGATCGACACCCGCCGACAACATTTGCCTCAGCTTCCAGTTGCATGCTCTTCCCCTCCCAGTCCATCCTGCGATAAAGTGGAGAGAACCACATCCATCGAACTTTTCGTTCCTTTCTGTCATCTTTTCTAGGGCGGCGTGTTCCAAGAGAATCGCGAAGCTCCTTTCGCCGACTGGGACGCCAGGAAAGCAGGCGAACTCGAACGGGGAGAGCACGTCGGCTCTTGAGTGGATATCAACACCCTTATCCACGAGCAACGATATCATCTTTTTGTCATCGTGCAGGATAGAGAAGGCTAACAGTTGAACCACCTCGGGCTCGCTGACTGCGATGTCCCAACGCTTTGCCTCTCTCGCAACGCCCAGCACCATTCTTGAGAAGTCGTGCCAGTGGGAATACTTTGATAGCTCGTGGCCTTCCAACGCCACCTTTTGATGTATGTTGGTGACATCCCCAATACCAACCCCCTTCGAGAACGATGCAAACGGACGCAGGGCTGAATGTCCTGTTGCTTCGTACTTGGCCATGATACCAAGCTCGATCAAGGTGAAAACGAAGTCTGTGAGCCAAGTCCAAGTTGACGAAAGATACTCCGGGCTAATCAGCGCACTCGTGGCCACCTCAAGGCCCACAAATGACCACAGACTGCTTGCTTCGTGGGGACATGACAGGGCATTGGCTGGTAGCATGGCTTCCAGGACCTTGCCTTCCAGCCTCGTGCTCTCCCCTGTAGCTCGGAGCAAGAACGACTCCAGCGGTGTCCTGTGATCCTCTTCTCTTCGCTGGCTCAGAGGAAATAAACACTTGAGTGGTGCAACGCACTCAACACTGGCTCTTGTGGAAAGATAGTGCAGCGGGCTCCCTGTGATGTCGTCCATGCCGTCCACCTCGATGCCGACATCTAGCAAATGCTTCACAATCTCAGAAGACCCTATTTTTGCTGCCGCTCGAAAAATAGACTCACCACTCTTCCAGAATTCTCGGGAGTTGCAATATCTGAGGAGAAATAGAACAGCGTCTTTTTGTCCCGCGTTCAAGGCGGAGCAGATTGGCGTCTCCTTCCTTGACGAGACCATTTGCAACGCCTCTTGTCTAACATCGAGTTGAATAAGAACTTCCAGTATTCTTATTTGGCCATAATGCGCAGCTGTATGCCAAATTGTCTCTTGAGTGTTGTCGGACGCAAGTGTAGAGGCGCCATGTCGCAACAACGCTCGGAGTGCGTCCTGATGACAGCACATGTGGACTGGACTTTTCCCGTCTGGAGCTGCAATGTTTGCATCAAAACCATGATCTATGAGTGTGTCGAGGGCATCCAGGGAGTTGCGATGTGCCGCCAAGTGGAGGGCGGTCGAATCTTGATAAATGACGTCCTCATCCAGAAACTCAGCAAGATCAAGCCGTTGAATATCAAATCTAGCAGATGTGACGAGTTCAGATCGATGACCTTTCAGGAACCGGCTTAGTTCAATGACATCATTGCTCTGGACCCATGAAAAAATGAAATCAAAAATCTCATCATCGCTGGCCTCGCTCATTGGCTGATATGTTGACACTGCACCGAGGGAGGCTATCTTCATTCTTGCTGCCCAGTGAAGCGTCTTGTTGTACAATAGTGCCTTTGACGTGGTTTTCGTATGTGTGTCTGGAGGGCCGAGAGCCTCGAGAAGCTTCAAAACTGCCTGCGAACTGATATTATTGTACTCCGTGGATAACATTTCCTCGTAGCGTTGTACAAAGCAGGCTAGGTCCTCCTCTTCAACATTGATACCAGTCTTGATGAGCTCCGCGGCAATCTCAAGCTCAGGCCCAAAGGAAGATGTAAGCGCGGAAAAGGACAAAGACGAAAAACTTCCTTCCCAGTGACCTGTGCAGAGCAATTGCGTCTTGGCCCCAGCTTCAAGCAGGACTTGGGCAGCCCGGAGTCGTCCTAGAGGTTGATCTATCCCGTAGTTTTGACCTAGAATCCGCACCAAACACGGCACAGAAAACTCTCCTCCAAATAAAAAAGCCCCAAGGCCAGCGATTGCGCCATGCAGTGGGGTGCCGAATTTGCCCTTGACATCCAAGTCTGCGCCTTGACTGAGTAGATGGCGACAAAGATCGGGAATCCCCAAGATAGCCGCCATGTGTAGAGGTGTGAAGTCTGGTCGAACAAGATCAGAGGGATGGAAAGGCATGCAGATGTCCCTGAAACTCGGTGTTGGACTCCACAAGCCATCAAGAGACATCATTTTGCGGACTACCAACACACAATGAACCACAAGTGTTGTAGCCCACGTGCAAAAGTTGGGGGTTTTTTGAACCTGAAAAAGGTCATGAATGCGCTCAAGACAGCAGCCTTCGCCGGCCTCGCGTACATAGGACAGCCAGTACGTCGCTGCATGCCTGTAGAAAGGATGCCTCAAGTCTCTTTCAGACATGGCTTCACTCATCTCGGTTGTTGTTTCTGGTAGCTGCTCTTCGTTCTTGAGGGTGAGGTAGCCGAGGCAGAGAGACGCGAGAAGCTGGCAAGCCTTTTGTCGAGAGACACCGTACGCACTGAGGGTGGCATGCCTGAGGCATTCGTCTTGGAGATATTCCTGCACAGAAAAGTGTGAAAACTCAATGCCAACTTCGCCGCCGTCCCCAGTGTGGTACAAACCCTTCCTTACTCGAATAAGGCTACCGCACAATCGGAGAATTTCCCCTCCATCTATGATATCCTCATGTACAAGTTCCTCATCACCATCTTGGAGAGAGATGGCCTCACATATTTGTCGGAGGTTGAGGAGTCCATGATGAGGGGAACTGATGAACAACAAGGTTTTCTGCACTAGCTGTTTGTTTTCTTCACCAGAGTTGTTGATCCTGGTCAAAATCTGCTCATAGGTAGCAAAGAGTGTGGGTGGTAGCTTGTCCAATGCCTTTCGCCGAGCCCTATCCGTAGGAAGTTCGCAGAGGTGGTCCAGCTGGCAAGCCACCCACCGAAACCTGAGCTCCCCTATTAGCGTTGAATACTTTAAAGAGGGTTGTGCTTGTTTTATGTACTTACATTCCTTTTGCCCCTTCAACTAGCCTCGTCATGATCACGTCCTTCAGGGCTAGATCGCGGAGTCTCAGCTTCTTCGACTCAATGCGTTGTTTCAGTTCTGATGCCACATAAAGTTGGATGTCTTCAGTGTGCGCTTCAATTTCGATATTTTGGAACTCGCCTCCCAAGATCTCTCGAATAGGAACCTCGTTCCTACTCAATAGAGCTATGTTGAGCCCTTCATCAATATGAGATGGGAGGAGGGCTGCAAGGGATTCCACAGTTTCTTCGACCCGCTTGCCGCATTCGTCCAATCCATCAACGATGATGTATACTCGATCAATCAAGGAACAAATTTTTCGGAGAACCTTGATCAATTTCTTCGCTGATGGCCCTGACTGAAGTTGACGATCAGATGTCAGTTCATGGTAATATTCCTCCAAGACCAAAAACGCCTTCTCATCCTGTCGAGCAAGCTGAGAGCAAAGCGAGGAGAGAATGGAGACGGGATCCTGAGTTTCCTCGTCTCTATAAATACAGAAGAAGTATGCCATGACCGAGCATGGATTGGCTACATTCCTCTGGAGACACTCGTCGATCATGGCAGCGGCGAGGACCGATTTGCCAGCGCCCGGGATGCCGCTACACCAGATTTTCGACCCGGGTGTGGTATACCATTCCTCAAACTCTAGTCCTTCGGTGAGCCAGAGACCTGTGAGACTGTGGCGTAGATTTCTGTTGGTGTCAAGCTCGGAGCGTGGGTTGGCCTTGGTGAAGAATTCAAGCACTTTTTGTCTTTTCTCGTCTAGGCGAATGCTGGTCTGAATATCATAGATCTTGTTGACAGTCTCTTGTATGTGGCTGATCCTGGAATTGGCATCTGATTGCCGGGAAAGGAGAAGCCTTAGATTGCTCAATGTGTCGGCTTCTAGCGCAAGCTTAATGGTCTGCTTGTGGCGTCGTACATCCCGAAGAATCTCTTTTGTGTCGGATGAAGAGAATGGCCATGCCAGACGACTTTGAAGTCTCTCGATGCGTGAAGTAGAGCCAAGGTTCGGTTGTGTGCTGACAAGACCTTGTTCTAGTCGCCTGAGGAGCTGTTGGCAGTCGTGCAAGTGGTGTGGTTTGAGGTTTGACTTCTGTTGGGTACTATCGGAAGACTGCGTCTCCTCCAACTCAAAGGCGACAAGCGACAGGTTGTGTAATATAATAGAAAGATTCTTGACTTCGTGGGAGATGTCTTCGGCTTCCTTTCGTGCGCCGTTGAGATACTTGGTGGAATGGCGAAACACGAGGTCGGCGACCGCCACCAAACCGGCAATGCTCGCTGAGATGGAAAGAGGATCCATGCCCGCGTTGGTATGTAAGGGAGACGGATCATGGGAAGGTGCTTAGAATTAGCAAAGACAGGGAAAAGCTTCGTGTCGTAGCCGAGTGAGAGAGACGAAGATATGATAGAATCCCTGGTGGTTAACGCGTGTTAATGTAGGTGCCCAGGGTGCACATGCACTGGAGTCCAACAGAGTCTACTGTCTGCCTGCCCGACAAGAATTGCTTAACTAAACAATCGGAGAACCCTATGGTAAATCTCCGTCCCAAATTACATTTCCAAGTTCAAATCTATGCATGACCATCTACTTGTTTACTGCGCCTTGCGCGCCTCAAGTCTTATGCATGCTGGCCTCACTTCCATTTGACTTCAAACCAATCAACCTGGCAAAAGAACCAGGGTAGCGCAACTGAGGCACACTTGGGGCAGCCATGTCGCTTAGAAAGTCATGCCAGATACAGCCTCGAATGGGCTTGCAGGATGGTGTACATGATAAGCAGCCACAGCCATGCGATGAAGACCGACGTTGGGGCGCGGGGGTGAAACACTGAAAATAGAAAACATCCATTGGGAGATGAACATGGCTCTACTCTACTATTTGACTTCTCTTAATTCATGCTTGTCTAGTCGCCTCCGTAGGCACTCCGCCAGGTCCAACTGATAGTTCCGTCTTTGAAAAAGAACCTTTACTCCCCACAAGAGCCGATGCAAGCTGCTGGATTGTTGTTCGGCCATACGAGGCTGTGGCTTGCTGAGTTGTCAGCGCAGCTGTAGACTCAGAAAATGCAGTATCAAGTGTCCACCTGACCTGTTTTGCGTTGCATCAATCTTTTCAGGGCGGTATTTCTTATGTCGCCCTGTAAATGCCGCGTGTATGCCCACCACTACGCTATGCACATAGCCCTGAGGCTTTCTTTCAAGGGTAACGAAGATCAGGCAATGAGTTCGCGCCTACTCTCACCAAGCCCCCTGGTCGAGGCAGAAAGCGCTGCCCTCATGGAGGAGCGAGCCATTTTGGACCGCGAGAACCCGTCCACTCTCTCAATAGATCCGAACAACTCCCCGGGAGAGCAGTCGCCACAGCCCAAACTCGGGTGTGTGGTCTTTATCCTGCTGTCACTACCCCTGCACTCTACAAACCCCGATCATCACTGATGACAAAGAGTCTGTTCACTTGCTGAAAAACCATGAATGCCACGACAATTGAAATTCCTGCAAAATGAGTTTGCTCTCTAGAGACTGATCAACCCGTCTAGAGCCCTGCCATGGACGCCCACCGCGGAGATCAGCACCATCAGAATAGATACGAGGTCCTGTTCATTCAAAATCATACTAGGTTTACTCTGGTGTTTATAAATATGCTATTAACCGTGAAAGAGATAGCTAGCAAAGTATTGCAAAGTTTCGTGGGCTACTCCTCAAGCTGAAACATTTCATCCAGCCTCGCGTTCGTCAAGGCTATCTCATCATGTCCAAATAGCCAAGGCTGGAACTCCCTACCGCTCAAACTATTGGGGTTTGCCTTGTCCAGCGCCTCGTCCATGTCTTCGTCTCGGGCGCTAGCCGCCATCGATGCAAACGCCAGATCCCGGGCTTCCTGTTCAAGCCCATCATGCAAGTGCCAGACACGGCTAGAGTCTCGAGTCGCCTGCTGCACCCGCTCGGCTCGCGGTTTGCGGATGGCTTCGTACGCACGCATGAGATCTGGGATATCAGACGGGCTTTTGGCGCGAGATAGACATTCCGCGAGGCATGCGCCATCCTCAATAGCCTGTGCTGCGCCTTGAGCCAGGAACGGCACCATGGCATGGGCAGCATCCCCTAGCAGCACGACTCTGCCGTTTTCACTGACCCAAGTAGTCAAGTTGGGCAAGTCGGCAATCTTCCAGTTAAGACAGCTCTGAACCTTGGACAAGACCTTTTGGATGATTGGATCAAAGTCTTTGTAGTGTTCGCGCATCTTCTCTAGGTTGCCGGGTTCGTTCCATCTGCCAGGCGTTGCGAGGCCACTAGGATGAGACAGGACAAGGTTGTACATAGCGCCCTGACGGATGGGATAGGCCATTATGTGATGATCAGGCCCAATCCAGCAGTTGGCGTTGATGTCCGTCATGAGGTGGGAAATATCCGGATCAGCAGACATGATCTCGGCAGGGACAGTTGCGCGATAGGAGCAGTTGGCCGCTGGGTTTGGCTCAACAATTCTCCCGAGAAGCGCCTCCCGCGTCTTGGAGCGGATGCCATCTGCTCCCACGACTAGGTCGGCCGTCAAAGTCTCCCCACTTGCCAGCTTCACGCTTGGGTCATCAACGTTGACCGACTCGACGTAGCAACCAAGGCGGATATCGACACCCAACTCTTTTGCGGCGTCAAAAAGAAGCCCCTGAAAATCAGCTCTATGGATGAGCCAGTAAGGAGATCCGTACTTTTCCGAGAGATGAGGGTGCAATGGTGTCGTTCCCAATAGCCGCCCCGTCGCGTATCTTTTGAAGGCAAAGTGTTGGGGCCACACGACCTTCCCCAGGAACTTGTCCTTGAGGCCATAGCTGCACAATATCCGGCTTGAGTTGGGAGGGATCTGGATACCAGCACCAACCTAAGGCACGGGAGAGTTAGCTTCAAGCCCGGGTCCCAGGAGCGAGGAGCCGCGTGTGTTCTCACCTCGGATAATGCCGGAGCTACTTCAAGCACCGTAACCTGGTGGCCCTTTTTCTGGAGAGCAATTGCGGCCCCAAGACCTCCAAGACCTCCACCATTGATGATGACTTTCATGTTGCAAACTGTGGTGTTTTTTCCACTGCCAAGTTGCGGGTGTGTTGAAGTTTATCAGTGTGCCAGAAGGGCCTAGAATGGTCAAGTCGCGGAGCCTCTTATCTGTGACAAGCAGACATCAGAGCGGGTATAGATTCGGCAGGTTGCTCACATGGAAGAGCTACAGCCAGCTATGGCGTTTGATCAAGCCTCTTGCCCAATGCCCCGGATGCTCAGCCGCAACCTGTCATTGACGGAATCTTTGCCGCCAGTCCACCATAGACGGAAGCAATTGGTTCCGAACGCAATCCCCGGCGTTCCGAAAATGGCCTCTGAGTCCGTGATTCCCGAGCCATATCCCCGGGGTTTGTTGATGGGTTCCGAGATTATTGCTCTACTGTACTGGCCTGTCCTGCCCTTGAGTCCTGGCTGCTACACCATCTCAAATTCTACGGCTTGGGAGCTGATACGTCATGCTCAATCTTTCCCAGTACACTCTCCTCCTATCTGCGATTCATTCCTTGATTGGTGGCTTTGATTAAAAGTGCTATAGCTAGGTAGGAAAACTATTTAGCAATGTAATATCGTCTAACCCCAGATACACGCCAGCAATATACCCAAAATGCGGATCGAATACGTCTTGTATGATTATTGCCTCTAAGTAACCTGCTTTTCTCTGCGGATGTTCGAAATGAAACATGTTCTTGTCGTTCTAAGCTATCTCTTGGCTCTGTTGACTCATAAGTTTGGTGTTTGGAATTGGTACCGGGTCACTCGGGGGCTTCGCCACTGTGCCGCTGTGTAGTTGATTGTGATGCAACTTATTCTCAGCTGTAGCCATAGGCGACGGTTCTAACCAAAATATCCTGTAGCAAATGACTGGCTTGCGAGGCAGAGAAAGTAGACGGAATACTGATAGATGGAGGCTGGACGGCAGAGCTACCCCACAAAGTGTCGAGCAGGCGGATCTACATCCGCTGAGCGGGACCTTCGAATGTAATCCACCCCCGCAAATTGGTTCTCGTGGCGTCTACGTTAGCGGATGATGGTTGAGCACCCTCGATCCTGATGCGGGGAAATCTCTCCCCAGAGAAAGACAGAATAGCCAAAGGAGGTCAGGTTCTCCGGTTTGATGGGAGGAACAAGTCTAAGAACGGAGTGTATAAAGCTAGGCTGTGCTCCACGACTTCAGAGAGCCTATCATCCAGCTTCACGACCTGCTATTCTTCCTCTTCTCACCGACTCAATCTCACCTCGTCTCAACCCAAGACACACCCAGCCCCCCTTGCATCATGCATGCCGTCAAAGAATTCTCGTATGAGCCCCTTGCCGATGGCATGCTCTTCGGCGAAGCCCCCCGATTCCACAATGGCCTCTTGTACGTCAGCGATATGATTGGCCGCACCATTTACACCATCGACCCAAAGTCTGGGGAGAAAACCGTCTTGGCCAAGGTCGACCAGCAGCCCAACGGCATGTTTTTTCATCCGGACGGGTCGCTCATCTATTCATCAATGTTTGACGCTAAGCTCTATCAACTAAAGGACGGAAAGACGACGCTCTACACCGATCTGTCTGATATCATGACGGGGTATTGCGGCGACATGTATATCGACAGTGTTGGGAGGGTCTACCTGGATGATACAGGGGCTAGAGTCCTCCACGGAGAAGACCCCTCACCTGGCCGCCTCATCATGGTAGATACCGACCGTACTCCTAAGGTTGCCGCGGAGAACCTGGTATTTCCTAACGCGTTGGTAATCACCGACGATGGGAAATCATTGTTCGTGGCCGAGACGTTTGGGCAGGGGCTATTGAAGTTTGACGTCGGGCCTGGAGGCGAGCTGTCCAACAGGCAACTCTTCTGGTCTCCTTCTTCACTCCCAGATTTTGCCGAGAAAGAGGCCGCGGGGAAGATGGTCAAGATCGACGGCGGATGCCTGGATGCCGAGGGCAATATCTGGCTCTCCCTACTAGGCTACGACCAGTTCATTCGCCTCGACCAGGAGGGCAACATCAACGCTCGAGTTCGAGTGAGTGGACATGCTACAGCATGTTATCTGGGAGGTGACGATGGAAAGACATTGTATCTAGTGGTCAACCAGGTCCCGGATGGAGAGAGCATCTTTACCGCCATGGTTGCTAAGAAGACGACTTGTGCGGTTGGCTCGGCGAGGGTAGATATTGGCGGTCGATATCGAGAGTGAATGTTAAACAGTGATATATACTACTCAACTACCCGATTTGAGGTTCTATTACCGTGAGATTAGTTCACTAAGATATCGCTGTGAGCCGGAAAAAGTGCCGCTTGTCTATTCTTCTTTTCCTTCCTCTGCTTCTATGCTATCCTCTCCTTGGGGTTGAGAATGTTCGCCAAGAATCAGTATGGCCTTTCCGAGATACACCAATGTTGTAGCTAAGCAGCACCCTGACACGTGTATTCAAATGGCCGGAGGGAGAAGTACTATTTGATAGAAAGCAGCCCAATCCCATATGCTCTTGTCCTTGCACAAAAAGCCTATTGTTGGAAAATCCGCATCGCATCTCATATCTAATAGCGGCCACCTAAATTTTCATCCGTCACAGTAATAGTCTTGAGCTGAGTAAACTCCGAGATTCCTATCTATGGTTAGCCAGAAGCTCAAGTTGTAATAAGAATTACTACTTACCCCAAGGGACTCCAAAGCGCCCCCAGCCACTTTCCTTCGTCCCACCATGTGGTAGATGTGCCTCGTCGTGGACCGTCATGGAGTTGATGTGAACCGCCCCCGTGTCAAGACGCCGAGCTACTTCGATGCCTCTAATGACGCTGGAAGTAAAGATGCTAGACGATAGTCCGTAGTCGGAGTCATTCGCCAGATCGATGGCCTCTTCGAGCGTCTTGAACGGTACCAGAGTCACCACAGGCGCAAATGTTTCCTGGCGCCAGATGGGCATATCCTGCGCGACCCCAGTGAGCACCCGCGGACTCATATGAGAGTTTTTCGTCTCGATGCCCTTCCCAATGAGGAGCTTGGCGCCTCTCTTGATTGAGTCTTCCACAAGCACTCTTACCTTAGCAACGTGCTCGGCGGAAGCCCCAGGCTGGACTTGTATCTTTCGTGCAGCCACAGCGAGTTTCTCTGAGAATTGCTCGATGACTGAAGCGTGGACGATGATCCTCTCAGTTGACATGCAGATCTGGCCATGCTATAGATTGATCTGTCAGCTTGTAGCAGGCAAGTCAACGTTCTATTCTAAACTTACGTGGGCGAATGCTCCTACGGCTGCAGCCTCAGCAGCCTTAGTCAGATCTGCATCTTCAAGCACAATCTGCGGCGACTTCCCCCCCAGCTCCAACAGTACAGGCTTGCAATTCTGTGCCGCCTTGGCAGCAATGATCTTGCCCACGGCGGCGCTCCCTGTAAAGTTGACCTTTCTCACGCTCTTGTCACTGATGAGAGCGTTAAGAACCCCTGGTGCATCTTCCCTCCTATGCTGTACGATGTTGAGGACACCAGGAGGAAAGCCGGCGTCTCGAAACAGAATTCCTATGTAGTTATGGACTAGGGGCGTCACCTCGGAAGCCTTGAGAATGGCGGTGTTGCCACAGGCGATTGGGGTTGCCACCGCCCTGATGCCGAGATAGAGGGATGCATTCCAAGGCGCGATGCCTAGCTGGACACCCAAAGGCTCTTTTATGATCATGGCATAAGAGTTCGGCTGCTTGCTGGGGAGGAGAGTTCCGGTCTCAGAGTCTTGCACGTGGAAGGCTAATTCCTGAAGGAGGTCGATGGAGCTCTGAATGTTGATCTGCTGGATGACAAAGTCATCGATGGGGATTTCCACCTGCCCAGTCAGATTCCATCATTGTCAAGTTTCTAAATAATACTTCTTTTGCTTACTCTGAGTATCCTTTCTATCTCGCGTCTTCGTTCCTCGAGAAGCTTGGCTGCCTTGAGCAATAGGTCTCGACGCTGCCATATCGTAGTACGACTCCATTGGGCGAACGCTCTATATGAGCTCTCGACGACGCGATCCACGTGTTCTGGTAAAGTTGCCGAGGCAGAAATGGATTTTCCAGTCGCGCTGTTGGTGACTAGAAACTCGACGTTTGTGTGGACGGGCTCGTTATCGATCCATAGAGGTACTTTGTTGTCGTTGGGTGAATTCATGGTGAAGGCTGGTGCGTCAGGTTAGACTGGACTGCATATCGGGTTGAACCGAAGCGTTTTATCGTACTTGATCGGTTTCTTTAAATATTTGTCTATCGCGAAAAAGTACACCGGGCTTCTATGAATGGTATGCCCCAGGTATGATTCCAGCGTACCTAATAGAACTTCTGCTGGGTTTAGTTTTACCATTAGAAATTGCGAGTAACAGCTGTGATGACAGAGGCGGTAGATGATCCATCGCATCCGCCGAAAAGGCGGAGGTCAGTGATGGCGGCGTTCTAGAGGCGGGAGTAGATCCGCCCGGTGTTCGGCAGCATAGCCGCTTCTGTTCATCTCGGCTCGAGACTACCTTGATGCATTTATTAGCCATGTTCAAGTCTTCCTGTACCCGTTGATCATACGTAAAATCCCTGTACCCTGATATTTGTATTCATCACCATGCTAGGCGACTTCCCCTTGGACGGTAAGATTGTGGTCATCACAGGCGGCGCCTCAGGTAAGTTCCTCACTTAGCGACTACTCATAAGTAAAATCCAAGGGTTGAAGAATCATTCTCACGCCGTGGGTAGGCATCGGTCTCGCTTTTGCCAAGTTGGCCTTGACAAGCGGCGCCAGCGTCATCATCGCCGACCTTGCCCTGTCACCGGCAGCCGAACCCCTCGTGCGCAACGACCCCAACGTCCGCTTCATTAAGTGCGACGTTCAAGAATGGGATAATCTTGAAGCTTTGATTCCCTTCTCCGAGAAGGAGTTTGGGGATGTCCCAGACGTTTATGCTGCCAACGCTGGCGTTGGAGAACCTGTAAGTGACACCCTCTTTGAGTCTTACCCATAATCTGACTCTCCAAGGAATGGTCTAGTTTCTGGGGCGATCGTGAGGCAAAGAGATACGCCGAACTCGACATCAACCTCGCTCATCCTATTAAACTTAGCCGCATTGCAATCCGGGCATGCCTCGGAAAGAACAAGAAAGGTGTCGTCATCATCACGTCGTCCATCGCGGGAGTCAATGGCCATTTTGCGACGGCTCTCTACGTTGCAAGCAAGCATGGAACAGTTGGGCTCATCAAGAGTCTGGCCAAAGCCGAGACCGAAGCTCAGGTCAAGGTTGTCGGAATTTGCCCCGGGTAAGTCTTCTATGAAGAAAGAAATTGCAAGCTTGTCTGAACTGTGACTCTTAGACTTGTAGAGACACCGCTTCTGGAGGGCATCATGGAGAGCCAAAACGGGGATGATACCGGCACTGTCCTGATAAAGCCGAGTGAGATTGCAGAGAGGATGAAGGACCTGGTTGAAAAGGGGACATATCGTGGGGGAATAGCTTTGGCAGTGGCCAGACCAGGAGACGCGACCATTGTAGCTGATGGGTCGACTAGCTTGCTCGAGGAATTGCTTCCTTCTGATCTGGAGGTGATGAGAAAGATTATTGCGACCGAGAGGCGAAATAGGGAGTAACCCACTGTGTTGAACGCAATAAACCACTATGCCAACGGCAAAAGTGAAAGATACCTTTCAACAGGTACCGTGGAAAACCGGACCTTATTGCTGCACGACACACTGTCAGTTATACTGTAGTAAACACCCTACCATCCATGAACCAGTCGTGCGTACACGGATTCTAAGAATCACAATAGTGAGACATAGCTATGATCCATTCTTCCAATGCTATCACAACTCAATAACTTCTTCTGAGATATCACATTCTCAGACTCGGTCAGCTACTGCTGTGACGCGAGGAGTGAAGGACATAGTTGTTTGCAATACTTAAGCCCCGCGAGCCTGATATGGGTGCCAAATATCACCGGAAAGGATCCCCATTTCGTGTGGTTAAAGCACAGGAATTTATAAGTGTTATCTATGACTCTCTGAACAACAATATTTACTACATCCAAATTACTACTAGACAACACATCCCGAAATGAGATCGCTGCTTCTACCTCCGTTGCCTGTCAACTTTGACTCTTCGAAACCCCATCACAATTTGGCGCCACTCGAAGAAAACTCGAGTCCAGCCGTGATGCTCGCATGCTTTGCACGCCACAAGTCGTAAAAATAGTTTGTACGTCCCTTCCAAGGACCGGAATCTCCACACTTTGGCATGCTCTTCTCCGCCTGCTTGACATATGTAGCGTCAAGATCCCACAACGGCCGCGGTTGGACATTGCTGGGGAACCGTGGGACAGCGCTTGTCTTTCCCTTCTTCTGAAGGTAACTGAGAAGACGGCAGATTAGGCGCGCTGTTACATCGGCGCCGAGAGTCCACGACGCGTTAACGTAACCTATCATGATGGCTAGGTTGGGTACATCACTCAGCATGGACGCCCGCCATGCAACCTTGTCCGAGAGATGGATGAGCTCCCCATCCACCGTGATCTTAATGTCGCTGCCGACCTTAAGCTTCAGACCAGTGGCGGTGACGATGATGTCTGCCTTCAGCTGCCTGCCCGAAGAGAGGACAATGGCATCACCTTTGACTTGACTGATGCGATCCGTCACGACGTTTGCATTGTCCTCCCGGATGGCCTTAAAGAAATCCCCGTTAGGACTGAAGCAAAGTCGCTGATCCCAAGGCCGGTAGAGGGGCGTAAAATGAGGGTCCATGGGAACATGTGCCGGGAGCTGCTCTCCAACCCAGCGCTGAAGCCTCGACCTCGCGGCATTGGGGAACGCACGGCAGAGGTAGAAAATCATGGCAGTCGTCCAGATAAACGCCCAACGACCAAGCTTGAAGGACCACAGCTCCGGCAGCATACGATGAAACCACGAATTTCCAGTGCTATTGTCAATAGACAGGATGTACGTAGGACTTCGCTGCAGCATCGTCACCTGCTTCGCCTTGCTAGCTAGGTTTGGTAGAAGTGTGATGGCCGTAGCCCCGCTGCCGACGATTACAATCTCCTTATCGGCGTAGTCGAGTTCCTCAGGCCAGAACTGTGGATGAATGACTTGTCCGTCGAAGCTATCGAGGCCAGGGATATCGGGTTTCCGTGGCTCCTTGTAATCGTAGTAACCGGTGCCCAGGATTAGAAACCGTGCCTGGTACTCGAGAGTTTGACCAGGGCTCGCTTCAACCACCAGACTCCATGACTGATCTGCCGAGTCCCAGTTGGCAGAGATAACTCTACGCTTGAACTGCATGTGACGATCAATGCCCTCCTTTTTAGCCGCGTCGCGCAGATATCGCACGATGGAGGCCCCATCAGCAATGGCACGCTTTTCCACCCATGGGAACCAGCCAAAGCCAAAACTATGCAGGTCCGTATCAGATCTGATACCTGGGTAGCGGAACAGATCCCAGGTGCCTCCAAGACTGTCGCGGCCCTCGAGGATCGTGTAAGTGAGGTTCGGGACCTTCTCTTGGATGTGATGGGCGGCGTTGATACCGGATAGTCCCGCGCCCACGATGATGACGTCGTACACACCGTCGAATTGTCGAGCTGACTTGGTGTCCATTGTTTGAGTGATGTGTAGGGGTGCCTTGTTGAGGATGAATGCGTGACTGCGTGATTCGATGACAGGTCGATACTTGGTAGTAGAGCATGGCATTAAAATAGGCCGATATACGGACCTCCCTTCGTTGAGTTTTTAGACCTTGCGGATCTTGATCCGGATGCTGCTGTCAATGATATCCGGGGAAGCCATTGCTGGTGGAGCTGTGGCCAGAAGGGGAAGAGTCGCCACACTGTCCAACCTTGCGGATGAGTATCCGGGGCAGGTGAGGCGGGAAGTTCATGGCTAGGTTTCAAAGCCGGGGACAAATCTGGGGAATCTGGGGACGTGATCCGACTTCTCGGACTCGGCGCGAGCGAATGGGCCTACAAATACATGACCGGGATATGCCCTGATAACGGTCCGTTCTCACTGCAACTCAACATCCTTACACCACATCAAGAACTATATCACTTGTCATCAACCAAGGACCTATACCCAACATGGCTCCGAACAGAATCGACGTCCATCACCACTTTGTCCCCGAGTTTTATCGCCAGGGTAAGTTCTCTGCCGCTTCGCATTAGTCGTCTTAATCTAACCTCCCCCAGCTGTCATCTCCTCTGGCGGAGATCCTTCAGGCTGGTTCATCCCTGATTGGACCCCAGAGTCAGATGCCGCCGTCAACAACAAGTTCGGCGTGGATGTCACCATCTTGTCGCTGACTGCCCCGGGTGCCTGTATCCTCAAGGACCCGACAGCATCGGCTGATCTCGCCCGCAAGACTAACTTGTACGCTGCCAAATTGCGAGATGAGAACCCAAAGAAATACGGATTCTTTGCCGCTCTGCCGAACTTGCTTGATAAGGAGCTGGCCCTTGCCGAGATTGCTTACGCCCTCGACACTCTCAAGGCGGACGGTGTCACCCTGTTCACCCGGTATGGGACCGATAATCACTACCTGGGTCACCCTGATTTCAAGGACATCTGGGCCGAGCTCAACCGCCGTTCTGCTGTCGTGTTTGTCCACCCTACCCATCCCGTTGATACGAGCCAAGTCAGCGGGCTCCCCCAGCCAGTGATCCGTTATCCTTTCGAGACCACCACGACCGCCCTCGACATGATTTACAACAAGACTGTCCGCAACAATCCAAACTGCAAGATCATTCTCTCCCATGGAGGTGGTGTGCTTCCCTACTTGATCGGAAGACCTGCGAGCATCTTGCCTAAGTCCAAGGAAGAGCTCGACGAGTTTTTGGACGATGCTCGAAACTTCTACTACGATTTAGCCGTGGCCGGCTCGGAGAATGTGTTGCGGGTTCTGGAGAAGTTTGCCAAGCCGGGACATCTCCTCTACGGCAGCGACACGCCCTATGCCAATAACGAGATTATCGATTTCCACACGAGCGGGCTTGACTCGTACAAGTTTGAGGACCCGGACTTGATTAGTAAGATTAACCGCGGCAACGCCCTCTCGTTGTTCCCTCGTTTCAAGAATTGAGCCCGGGTGTTGATCCGGGGCCTACAGAGGGTTAGCTGTATAGTGCAGATAGTATCCTATAGTTTAACAAATCATATTATCGGCTCTTGTGCAGAGCGGAGACGAATCAACCACATTGGAGTTTTCAGTTAGACTTGTGCTTGAATATCGCCGGGCTTCATTGTTGGTGATGGCGAGTTGAAGTGTGTTTTGTTGTCTATTTGAAAAGGAGACAAGCGAAGCAATGCGTCTCAACCCTGTAACACTCACCTCCACGCGGATCAGACTCAGAACATCTCAGAACTTTCGTGGCGGCTACGTTCCCGCAGACTCCCAGACCAAACTCATGTATAAGAGGTCTGAAGATCCCACAGTAAGATTCCCCCTTGACTTCTTTCCTATTTATTCCCCTTAAGCTCGCAATTCTTTCAAGTTATCCTTTTTTCCATTTTTCAGTGTCCCGCAACAATGTCTCACCCGCAGAAGCTCGCTACCAAAGCCTATGTCGTTGCCGAGCGAGGTGGGCCATTTGAGCTCAGAGATGTGGTGCTTGACGAACTGCAACCAAACGAAGTTCTAGTAGAGATCGAATACACCGGGCTGTGTCATACGGTACGTTGCCTAGGATATAAAATGGAATTAACGGCTAAATTGAAACTCTAGGATCTTGTTGTCCAGCAGGGTGGGATGCCAATTGGAGGATACCCAGTGGTCCTCGGCCATGAGGGACTCGGAACTGTGCGAGACGTCGGATCAAGCGTCTCTGACCGGTCCCTGAAGCAAGGAGACACAGTTATACTCTCATTTCACACATGTAGGCATTGCCGAGGGTGTCTTGGGGAGCGATATGGGAGCTGTTCACAAATGACTGAAACCAACTTTATCAACCCTGGGCGCAAGGGTCCCGGAGCAAGTTCACCCATCTCATTGCCCGATGGTACACCCGTCTTTGGTCAGTTCTTTGGGCAGTCATCTCTCGGCAAGATGGCTGTTGTCTGTGAGAACTCGGTGGTCAAGATATCGGCCAAGCCCCAGGACCTGGCCTTCCTGGCTCCCCTCGCATGTGGCTACCTGACAGGAGCGGGAACAGTCTTGAACGTCCTCCAACCTCGCAACGACAGCAAAGTTGCAGTTCTGGGTATGGGCGCTGTTGGCCTCGCCGCAATGTTGGCAGCCAAAGCGGTCGGGGTAAAACATATCGTTGCAGTCGATCTTGTTGACGAAAAACTTCAACTAGCCAAGTCGCTAGGGGCCACGCATATCATCGACACGAGCACAGGGCTGGACCTCAATACTGCGATCAGAGAGAAGTTCCCGAATGGAGTCGACTACATAATCGATACGACAGGGGTGGCCAAACTTCTACAAGCGTCTGTCCAAGCGCTTTCTCACGAGGGAACGCTGGCGCTGGTGGGTGTCCCACCACCAACAGCAACAATCCAAGTCAACGCGCTGGATCTATTGCTGTCATGCAAACGCATCGCGGGAGTCATTGAAGGGTACTCCAATCCGCAAAAAGTAAGTTTGCTTGCTTGCTCTAAATATGTTCAATGGCTCATGCGACCAAAGTTGATCCCGGAACTGCTCGAATTATACTACAGTGGCAAATTCCCCATCGACAGAATTTCTAAATGCTATCCTGCGGAGGATCTAGACAAAGCGATCCAAGATCTTAAGCAAGGACGGGTAAGCCATCTACCGCCAACCACTGCTTGCGAGGGGTGTCTAATGGGGCGTGTGTTGCAGGTCATCAAGCCGGTGTTGTCGTGGCAAAAGATTGGTTGAGGGGCGCCTCCGTCTGGGGGTCATGCTGTCCATCTGGCGCTCATTCAGGCCGAAAACTAACGTGAACTCTTTGCATCCCCATTTTCCCGGTTCGGTGTCGTCGGGTGTCGGCTTTGGGCGTCGTCCGGATATGCTTCCGCCGTACGGAGCTTGCGGAAGCATAGCCGCTAGCGCCGGACCAGCCACGGACGAGTCAGCTCCTTCAGCCGAGGACCCCGGGCATACGCGCTTGGCCATGGACTGTACAGTAGACAAGTACAGTACTTGAATAGACTAGGCATTTACTTTGTGGGACCAATCTGGCAGCCAGAGACTCCCGTAAAGAATGGATCATTGTTGCATGAACAGTCTCCGCCAGCCGTCTTCCTCGATTAGATAGTGATAGATCTCAATATGAGCTTCCGAGCCCTCATACCCACCCCAGACCCTTCTATCCAGCATGAAACCTTTCGCGAGGCCAAGGCCAGTTGTCTTCGGTACCCGAGATGGTCGTTATGACCGTGATGTCAAGTGACTTCCTAGCGTCGTCGATCCCCTCACCCCACACCACAACTGCTCGGCCCCCCGGATTTAGAGATTAGTTCAGGTTTAGTACCGCCCTTCCGGGCCTTGAATGCGGGGTAGGAACAGGCGAATAAATTGACTTTGCTTCCAAACTCCTCCCACGAATCTGATGGCCCAGAGACATGCAAGACAGCCGGATATCAAGCCAGCAGCACATAGTCCCCCTTTGACCCCCTGCTTTCTCCCCATGGCTCCTCCAACCTCCAAGACAACAGCCGACTCACCAGATTCTGGAGCACCGCGGAAACGGCGCCGAACTGCCCTGGCCTGTGAGGAGTGCCGCGATAGGAAGCGAAAGTGTGATGGAGTCAAGCCTATTTGCGGAGCATGCAAAACCCGTTCCGACCCACGGTGTGTGTGGAATCAGGAGAGAAACAGTAAGGGATGGTGGAGTAATAGGTGAGTTCACGCGAGCACGCACACACCCAGGGACTAAATGATTACGCAGCTATGTTCAAGAGCTCAAGAGCCGCGTCAGAGAGCTGGAGGATACACAGAGGTTAGCGGGTACCATCAATGTTCGCATCCCTCCACCTGAGGGTGAACTCGGTGACCTTGGGGTCTTGCCAGAAGACTCTCCGGCCGTGGTGCTCGCCGTTCAAGATGATTTAGGCGACCACAATAGCACTCCAAGCGAGAGACCACAACATGACACAGACCAGATTGTTTCCGTCCCTGGTGATAATATGCCTGACGAGACGGAAGCACTGGGAGCTTACCACCTAGGGATACCCTCGCCGTTGGAATCCACAGCAGCACCTATCGATAATGCTTCAGAGCAAGCGTCTGCACCCTGGGTCGATTTGAGCTTTGGTCAACTTTCCGCATTTGTGTCTCCCCCCAAAGATGATCCCCAAGATGAGATCGACAAACCAGCTGTGATCGACACAGGGGCAGGACAGCCCGCAATGGACGCCATGGGAGTTGTCGTGTTCATACACAGTACAGCTCCCCAGTCGTCAAAACACCCAACTGATTACTTCGGTCCCTCGAGCACAATCAGCCTCCTGCGCGAGGCGCGGAGTGTCATGGGTCGACAGAATTCCGGGTACGCGCCTTGGTTGCTTGGTAATCTGGACCGCGGCTCGGCGGGCAGAAATGATACCGTCATGTCGACCAGCGAGCCATCTCCCATGTCGTCTATATGGTTCAACTACGGGCCCGACAAGTTCCATCCCATACTTGGGATGAACGTCCCCCCTCGAGCCGAGGCGGATCGTCTCGTCAACCTCTTCTGGACCTATGTGCACTCTCTATACCCCTTTCTACATTGGCCGTCCTTCTACGACCGCTATCTCACACTATGGAGTCCCCAAACATCTTCACAGGCAGACAGAGCCACCTGTTCCATGAATGGATACTACAGCACCATCAATGAGTCCTTGTTTCACTGCATGCTCAATGTCGTCTTTGCTCTAGGCCTTCTTCACAATACGGAGCTCAGTCAACAAGAACGGTATGATATCAGCTTTACCTTTTTCAAGCGCTCAAAGAGCCTCCTCGGCCTTGACTTGCTAGAAAGCGGAAGCACACCCTTGGTACAGGTGCTTCTTCTTATGGGCCAGTACCTCCAGACCAGAGACATCACAAGTTCGTGTTGGAACATCATTGGGATGGCTATTCGTGTCGCTCAGGGAATAGGACTTCATCTTCAGCCAGAAGAGCGAGATGAAGGTGACACTGGCAACTATCAAGCAGCCGACCAGCTCGAGGAGGAAATGCGCCGGCGCGCTTGGACTGGGTGTGTGTTACTCGACAGGTGAGTGCTTACGGATTTTGCAAGCATGCCTCCTCTAACCTTCCTACGATAGAATTCTCTCACTTACATATGGACGCCCCCTCATGATACACTCAGGTGTCGCACACAGCCGACTCTTGCTTCCATCGTCCATCGATGACGAACTGTTGACACGATCTCCCCATAGTCCAGGAGCTCAACCAAGGGACATGCCCAGCCGTGTGGAATGCTACATTCACGCCATCAAACTGCAGGATATCCTAGGCCAAGTTCTCACTTCTTTTTACCACCAAGGCTCTGAGGATGAGGGTGTATCCGGTCAAAAGGCAGCCGATGAGTCACGACGCAAGGGTATCAGCAATGCCGGGCTGCAAAAGCTACTTGACGTGGACGGCCAGCTTGATGAATGGAACAGAAACCTACCGGCGCATCTGCAAGCCGATAACTACTCGACCGAACACTCGTCTCTGGGCGGTCCGCGGTCCAAAAGATCAACCATTTTTTGCCGACAAGCTACGGTTCTCAAAGCAAGGCAAGTTACCTCTGTCTGTTGATCAAAACCCTTGCACAACGGCTAATTATTATAGGTATCTGTACGTACGTTTGATCTTGCTAAGGCCTTCATTGTCGGAACTATGCGACCCGGCCCAGTCTAGTGCGGCGAATTCGAGCATGCGACAAAGCATGCTGATAAAGACGGGAAATCTGTGTGCGTCTGTTGCACAAGAACTTGTTCATCTGATAACGGAAAGCTCACGCTCCCGTGCTCACCTCCTACCACCGCCCTGGTATAACGTACTTTGTAAGTCTAGCATCCCTCGAAGCTTGCCCCCAGTGCTAACCCAGCAGATATACACGGCTGCGCCCTTGTTCTTCTTCTGAGCTCTCTGTGTTTGCCCAAGTATAACAGCGTTGACCAGTCCTCTTTGATGGTCGACTGGAATCGCTGTTTGACCTTTCTTCGCGAGTATCAAGCCCAAAGCCGGTCTGCGTCACGCTGTATCAGAATCCTAGAACTCCTAGAACAGGAAGCCTCGTCCTACAACAGTGGTATGCAAAAGCCTTTTACCCACACCAGCGATCGCCATAATGACGGAGGGGACCAAGAGGGTAGAATGATTGAGGGGTCTCTATCATCATCCGAGGGATATCACCCTGCCGTCTCTAGTGACTTGGAGCACAATCTAATTACTGGAAAGGATGTCCCTTCAACCTTTTCCCTTGACCTCGATGGAGAGGAGAACAACTGGGTAAACGCAGACGGTTTGGACTGGTTTTCACTGGCTCCGTTCTTCGAAGGGACCGCAGATATTGCCCCCTAGTTACCACATCCCACGGGCTTCGACTGGAATACCCAACCTCAGTCCTGCTCGAGACCGTTATAGATAGCCGTCTCCACATTTGCCCAGAGCTGCACTGCTTTGAGATCGGGAAAGGGGAGCAGCTGGGATGCAACTATCCCTGCCACCCCCTTTTCCCTATCGCACCACCAAAAGCAGTTGGACAGGCCGGACCAATGGGCCGTGTGTTTAGAACGGCCCGTCACGCCCGGTGAGATCATGAAGCCAAGGCCCCATCCTTGTGGCTCACCGCCCGGGCAGAGCGGATATAGTTCCTCAGCCGGGTGCACCAACTCAGGTTTCACCGCCGGGAGACCAGTACGAGCAAAGTCAGGATCTCGAGCCAGTTGGTTCTCAAACATCAACTTAACCATGTCGGGCTGGAGGATGGCTTTTCCGGTGATGGGAGAGGTCCCGTCGTTCAATAAGACCCTCAGAAGTTCTGTCGGCATTGTTAGGAAACTATGTTCATCAAGGCTAGTTGGGAGGGCACATTACTGCTATACTCGCGTGTGGTCCCCCATAGCCCGGCGCCGCCACTCTGGAACATGTCCGGCGTCTGATCCGGGACCAAGGGTTTGCTCAGGGGGTATTGTCGTTGGCTCAGACCGTCTTTTCCGTCACGCTGCCAGAAACCGGCGAGGCGTTCTTTCATGTCCTTGGATGGGAGAAAAGACATGTCCTTGATGCCTGATGGTTCAAAGATGTACTTTTGCATGTAGTCGCCAAGCTTGGTTTGCGTGGCACGCTCGACGGCTATTCCCGCCCAATCCATATTGATCTAGGCCTCTTAGTTAGACAAAATGTTTGAAACGGGAGTATGCCAGAGTGTTGCCATACCCCGTATTCGAATCGCTCTCCTGGCTGGTTTACCAGTGGTTGATGCATGTCCAGAGCCAGTCCAGAGAATTCGTTGTACTTGTCGAGCTTCTTATTGAGGAACGAGTATCCGAAACCGGCTTTAAGAGATCAGAAGCTGGGACTACATTTGAACAAGGCGATATACATACAAGTATGCGTCAGCAACATCCTCAGTGTGATGCTCTTGTTCTTCTCCGTCATCGACCCATCACTCTCGAGGACTTTGACGTCTCGCAGCTCGGGACAAAGTCCTTCCAGTTGACTACCATCATCCAGCGTGAGCTTTTTCTGCTCCACCAGCTGCATACAAGCGATGGCCGTGACGAGTTTCGTGCAAGAGGCGAACCAGTAGACCCGATCGTCGGCACATTCATGTTTGTGCACCAACTTCCCATCATCGTCCTGATCAATGCTTGACACTGTCTCTTGATGAAACAACTCGGATGTGGCACTGACGACCGTGACACTGGCACAGGGCAGGTCAGTTCTACAGGCACTATTAAGGAGCTCGTGAAGGCCCTCGGTGGCAGAAGGAGGGATAAGATGAGGCGACATGGTAGAAGATGAACAGCGTGTGAGGAAACCCGACCAAAATCTTGAGGCATCGCTACTAGACTCTTTATATCTTAATACAAGTCTAATTATTCTGATGAAAGAAACGCTGTACGGAATGGCTTCCGCCACCATGATGGGAACCGTTGCGGGTGATGTTCCATCCGGAGACGCTTCCGCCGAGCAATCCCGTGAGGTGGCGTTCTGAGCACAATTTGGTCAACGGCCTGCCGCACCGGTCGGTGCTTTTCAACTACTGAGTTCCACACTCATTTGATGGAAGATTAGAAACACAGTATCAATGTGTCTAGTATCGCATGATGTCAGGCTGTTATTGTTGATTTGGCCCAGATTCCTCCCCAGGTTCATCCCCAGGTTCATCCCTAGAAACTTCATCTCTAGCGGATAAGCTATTTGGCATCCTAGCCGTGGGGTTTCGTGTTCCCGTCCTTCTCGACGTCAAGCCCGCTCTTGACAACCACGCAATGCGGTGGGCATGCTTTGTAGAGCTTGGCGAGCCTGTTTCGAGGAGCATGGTCCTCCTTCCCAGACTTTTATGACAGAATTCTGGCACATATGATATTTAGGTGCATGCAAGCATAAGGATAATAGAGATTAGGTAGAAAAAACTGCATCAAGCCCCGACTTTACCTAAAGATCATCCGACCTCAGGTACCCAATGATTTGTATCCTAAAATTATGAAGGGATATTGATGAGTACCTAATTATGGAAGATAGATGCACCCCTCCTCCGTCATCGTCGTGAATGTGTCAAACACCCTCTCCCCCCTTCAAAGATCACACCTCGGATAAAGATTGCGAACCTGGCTGACGCTTGGCGAAAGCGTATAAAAAATGGTTCACTAGCTGAGAGCTGCATTTTATATGACTTTGCCGCAGACTGCAGTCCAGCAATTTTCATCGCATCTATCCACCTCGCTCAGATGGCGTTCATCACGTACCATGGAAAAGTGGTATCAATCGGGAAGCAGGGCATTGTTCGCGAAATGATATGTATTCTATGTCTATTAAAAGGATGCAGTCTAGATACAAGTTGCGTGGTCGCTAAACCTCTATCACTGGAGCGAAGTTTTTGGGGTATCATCAAAGAGACCGCACTGCAGTCTCCATGAAGCACGAAGCAGAGCAGTTATGCCCATGTACTTCGAAGTCAAAGGAGCCATTGGCCGACCTATTGCACCAAGCCCAGTTGCCTTCTTCAAAGCACTATTGGCCAGTAGGTCCAAAGTCCCCCCTTCTAGCGTTCAGCCAGAGCGCGACATGCTTCATCTTTTACTTCCATCACCTGAGTTGCTTTGTGCCTTACACATGCACATCAGGCACCGACTTCTTCTGCTTAAAGCGGAACATATCCCGCGTCTCAGTCCAGAAGCTCGTCGGCGGCTCCAGGATCATCATTCTCTCCTCATATGCATCAAGCCCAGGTCGTTCCCAAACAAGGTCACACTCCTCAGCCTTGACAAGCTTGGTCCTCTTGAGCAGCTTCCAGCCGAGGTACAGGAAAGGTGCGATGATTTGCATGGTGTAGTTGGAGAAGAAGTTCTTGGCGTTGAAGGGAGCCAGCGAGGTGTATCCGTAGGTGTAGACCACGACAATCTGCAGGACAAGGGCAATCCAGGCGCCATAGGGCTGGAAGTAGCCGTAGTAGGGCATCTTCTTGCGGTCGACACCCTGCACCTTACAGGCGCGGTAATAAAAGAGAAAGGTAATGCTCATAGTAATGTAGTCCACGATGCCTCCGCCGGTGATGAGGGCCAGCAGGATGCTCAAGGCCTCGGAGGAGCTGCTGTCAAGCTGAAGGAATGACAACAGCGGGAAGAGCATAGTGACGGCAAAGCAGTAGATGGGCACACCGTTCTTGGTCGTCTTGCGGAGGAAGGCCGGGGCACGCCCCTCAAGGGCGAGACTGTAGAGCGAGCGGGTGGCACAATATGTGTATGTGTTGCCGGCAGAGTAGATGGTCGTGAACAGTAGCGCATTCACAACATGGGGAAGGACATCGATCCCCATGTTCTTCATAGCAATGACATAAGGCGAAGCGGCGGCAGTAGAGCTATCGCCGTCACCGAGGTGGACTGACACGAGCTTGGGGTCCTTGTGGTCCAGCACGATACCGCAGGTCAAGGCAGCACCGATGAAGAAGAGACCGAAGCGGAAGTAGACGGTCTTAAAGGCCGTCTTGATGTACCTGCTGGGGTGCTTGGCCTCAGCAGCGACCATGGAGATATAGTCGGGGCCCACAACGTAGAAGGCTGCGGCAGCCATGGCGCCCATGAAGCCCTCGAGGCGTCCAAGGTCACCTTCAGTGCGATATGTAGCAAATGCATCATGCGCATCCTTCCAGTAGGTGAAGCCATACGCGTGGTGCTGGGGGTTTCCGCCGACCATAGTCACGAATGTGAAGGCGAACAGGATCAAGATGAGGATCACCTTGCCGGCAGAAAGCCAGAACTCAGCTTCACCAAAGACACCGACAGCAAGGACATTTAGCACACTAGATAGAGGCACAATAGTTTAGCATGCATACACACAGAAAGGAGCACGGAAGAAGTATGAGACGACACCATGTAGAGCGCTTCCTTGACGATGAACATCAGGATTCAACTCATGGTTCAGTCCTTACCCATATGAGACGATGATGGCAGCGCAGAATCCTGCAGTCGGGCCGGCGTTGGTAATATTGTCGTTCCAGAAGGATAGCACAAGATTCAGGGCGACGATTTCAAATGGGATCAGAAGAGCCTCGTAGAAGAAAAAGTTCCATCCGACCATGAACCCGAGAGCATCGTCGACCCAAGCACCAGCAAGGCGGATAAAGCCACCAGACACAGGCATATAGGTGGTCATCTCAGCGATTGAGTTGTTAACCAAGGCGAGGACGCAAGAGTAGAGAGCGGTGCAGACGAGGAGACTGCCGGGGCCACCCTTGGCCAGACCGGCGCCGATACCGATAAAGAGACCAGTTCCGATGGTGCCTCCGATGGCGATGAGCTGGATTTGACGGTTGTTCAGACGACGGTGAAGACCGTCGGCGTTGTCGCCCTCATTGTTGTTGCTGAGCTCCGGGTTGGGGCTGGCAACGCCCTTGTAGGAGTCCTTTTCGTCAGAGGACATGTTGTCGAGTGGCTGAGGATTCGTTGAGATGGCCATACCACAGTTGAAACCCCCCAAAGATGTCTGGGGTTAATACATGTGGGGATAGATGGAAACAAGAGAGAAGGAAGACCGTTTGAGAAGCAGACAGACAGGCCTTTATGAGAGGGATCAGCACGGGAAGAGCGAGACACTCATAACGAGAACCAAGTCCTGTTAGTGGAGAGGATGTGGAACCTTTGACAGGATCCTTTGATGAAAAGAACCCATGCCGTGAGAAAAGTGATAGAAGTCATCACGTCATAAGGGGCCGAGCAGGGTAAAACTCAAATGGGTCCTTTTCTAAAGAGTGAGATCCAACTGAATCTGTCCCCCAGCTGGTGGATATCGTCGCAACACGAGTCTCCACATGGAGGATATGAATGGATGGGTCATGGATTGTTTAGGTCACCATCAGTCGAGTGAGTCTCCATCAAACAAGGTCAGGCTCGAGTGTCTTTGGGGCCGTTGATGAATAGATAAGCTTCTCCGCGAGCAGTCTGCCAGGAACCAAAGTCAGATAATCGTCCTCCTCGGCTTGCCCTTTAGTTGATGCCAATGGCTGACGTTGTGACCCTTGGTCCTGAGGTTGTCGCCAAGCCACGACCGGCAATTAACAAGCAGCACCATGACGTCGTTCGGCCGAGTCATTCTCCTCCACCCAATCACGTGCCCCGTTGCAAGCCGATGCCTGGCCACTCACGTGATATCTAGCATGATTCGAGTGCGGCAAAGGCGCGCAAAGCGGATCCATCGTCTCGAAGAGTTTTCTTTTGAGCAAGGTAGTTCATGCAAGATGTGTCAAGAAAACACCCGGAATCTTTCCTCTGTGGGTACGGAGAAAAAGATGGTGCGTTTCGAACTTTCGTCATCCCGAGTTTGACGAGTCCAGTGGTCGGCTTCCAAAGCCGAGGGCTTCGGTTGCATTCCCGACCCACGGGAGAGGTTACATGTTCGCAATTGACCCGAGTCCAAGAGATTGGATCGTACCATGTGGTTGTCTCTTTTTCTCTTGGCGTGAAATCATTGTAACCTTGGAGACTGTGAAGGATTTGACAGAACGGGCATCCCTTAGAGAGGCAGCCAAGGCGTACACTGTGCTGACACGAGGATTGCTTCTACACGCCGCTCCAAGAAGCAAGTATTCCCGATCAATCATAGCATTCTTACTTTCATATCAAATTATAAGACTACAGAGGTTCTCGAATAGATGTTGAGATTAGCTAAAAGCTCGAGATAACTTTCCGTCCCTTGGCGTCACTTGGTGATTAGCGTCGTGTGGCATCGGCTGGATGAGGCTCAGCGGCAGAGCTAACGACAAGTGCTCATCGCTTTTTCCTCGTTGGGAAAGCCCAGGCTCTCAATGACAAGACTTGTCTCGCGCTGCGACATTAGCTGAGCCATCGAATCACCGATTGCCCAAGACCCCATTTAGGAAATATCTGAGAGCGGTTATCTGCGGCGCAGCAAAGAGTCCTGTTGCCTCTATTGTCGTCTGTCAATTGGGTGATGGGCAGGGTCTGTGTCGTCCCTGATGCTGGTCTGCCAGGCGATCATCCAGACGCTTGGTCCGATTACCAGGCGCCAAGGCAAATGCTGAGCAGGGTTGAGCCTTGGGAGCAATGTAACGAGCTTCGTAATGAGACTAGTCGGGATGAGAGTGGTAGTTGATGCATGCTCTAAAGCTTGATGACTGAGAATGTTGCTTGGCATCTACATGACGGAGCGAAAGACACTAACATATGCGAATCTTTAACATAGCATTTCCTAGGCTTACCTTACCCATGAGATTTCCTTTGTTAGGAGCGAGATTAGCTCTTTTGCTGATAGTCCTGGAGTTACTGAGCGAAACTTAGCTGGTTCTCGAGCAGGAGGTCAAATTGGACTTCAATCCGGACTAGTAAAATGGAATTGTTTGTTCTTATTGGAATTACAATTATAGACAGTTTCATGCTCTGCATTGGTAGTCATAGGGGACTCTTGGACGTCATTCTTGGGTATTTTGACTGATGCTAGTGTCAACTTCAGCTGGGCGATAACACTCTTCCTCCGAGGCATGCAAAGAGTTGACCCAGCTGTCTTCTTACCAAGATGAGACCACAAGGCTATAGGAAAAAATTCGGAAAGCTACAAGAGAAATGCATTCATGATCAAGATAATACCTGCATTCTTGTTTTGGCTCTAGTTACTTCGAATTATTCCTGTTCGACGGCCTGTCAACCTTATGCTTACCCTACAGCTTTACTGTGGGTCCATGCATTTGCTGTTTTGGATGACATAATCATTCTAACTCGAGCATCAACTTCTCGACAGACACATCTCCAGGCAGTCATTCAACAACAACACAGCCAAAATGTCCGAATACTGGAAATCAACACCAAAATACTGGTGCAAGCACTGCGCCTGCTACGTTCGCGACACGAAACTCGAGCGCCAGAACCATGAGTCGACCGCGAAACATCAGGGCAATCTCAAGCGCTTCCTGCGCGACCTGCACCGCGGCCACGAACGAGAGGAGCGCGAGAAGGAACGCGCCCGGCAGGAGGTTGCGCGACTGAACGGCGTCGTCGCGGGATCTTCTTCTTCTTCATCGGTTGCAAGTTCGTCGAGACCTGCGCCACGCGCGCCCCCGAGCGCACCGTCTGAGGCGTCGTTGAAGAAGCAGAGGGAGCAACTCGCTGAGCTGGGCGTGGAGGTACCGAGCGACTTTCGACCGGAGATGGCGATGCCTGGACAATGGACGGTTACGAATACACGAGTTATCAAGACGAAAAGTGAAGAAGAAGAAGAGGCCAAGGTGGAATCGATCGCGATCGGCGTGAGGAAGCGAGAAGCAACAGAAGACGAAAAGGAGGAAGAGGAAGCTGTGCGTGGCCTTTTCAAGAAACCTCGACGATGGGGACGAGACTCGAAAGCGATGCCACAAGAAGAGGATAAGGAACTGGATGCGCTGCTGAGCGGATCGACATTCACACCTAGGACGACCGAGGATGAGGTCAAGAAGGAAGAGGAGGATAACAAGGACGTCAAGACTGAGGACGATACGAATGGGGATACGGCGCCAGACACGACGGCCGTCAAGGCAGAAGCGCCAGATATTGCACCCCCAGTCAAGCCCGAGCCAGAAGAAGCGGCATCGGGGGTTCAGACGGTGGTGTTCAAGAAGCGGAAACCCAAGGGCATTCGACAAAAGTAGCGACAGACCCGGTTGTATTATACTTTGTAATTGGAGCATTCAATGATACCACGAAAGATATGAGGCTCAAGTCTTTCCAGGATTCGTATCCTTGCCGCTGTTCCACTCTTTAGTATCGCAAGAGGGCGGACCTCTGCCATTAATCATTCGGAGTTCCGTGGCGTTCCGTTCCGCATTTACAGTTCCGACTTCCGGAACTGCCTTGATATCGCACCAAATCAGACGGGATCCAGGGGTTTCTACTTTAGGTCTGTTCGCGACAACTGAGAATTGCACCAATTAGCATACATGGACCGTAATAGTCAGGGATTGATAAGCATTGGCACCGCGGGACCCGTGGACGCATTGAAGCTCTTCTGTGGGCGGGGCAAAGACGGCAGTTTGGTCCGGCGAGTGGGATACCTATTTTGTGCGGTGAAACTCGAGATTTCGGGTTTCGGTTGCGTCACTGAGGGTCCGGGATGGGGGAGGATATAAGTCGGGCAGAGAACCTCGGAGCAGGCGAGTGAATTTTGCTTTCAACACATAAACCACATTATTACAGAATACAATGGCTTCGAATCAACCCGCCAAGTGCTGCACCGTCGGCGTGCGCCATCAGTAAAGACTCCAATCCCCTCATATGGATCTCACTAACACTTCTCAGAGGTGAAACCACTGGCGAGCTCATCACCATTGCCAACAACACCCAGGCCTACCTCGCCACACCCCCAGCCGACAAGAACCATGAGGGCGTCGGTATTGTTTACATCCCCGACATCTGGGGTATTTGCACCAACAGCAAGCTCCTGGCGGACCAGTACGCCGCCAACGGCTACACAACCTTGATCCCAGATCTCTTCCACGGCGACAAGATGCCCGACCCCAAGCCTGAGGATTTCGACATTATGGGCTGGATCAAGGGTGGTACTGACGGCAACAGCCCTCATCTGCCGCCGTCTATTGACCCTGTTATCGTGGATGCTATCAATGCGCTCAAGGAGCGGGGGATCACCAAGATTGGAGGTGTGGGATACTGCTTCGGCGCCAAGGTGAGAATTTCTCTCTCAAATATTATATTGAATGCTAACATGGTCAAGTATGTCGTGAGACACTACAAGGACGGCATCCAAGCCGGCTACCTTGCCCACCCTTCCTTTGTTGAGGAGGAAGAGCTCGCCGCCATCACCGGTCCCCTCTCCATTTCTGCAGCCCAGACTGATCCCATCTTCCCTACTGATATGCGATACAAGTCTGAGGAGATTCTCATCAAGACCGGTCTTCCTTTCCAGATTAACCTATTCTCGGGCGTCGTGCATGGATTTGCGGTTCGTGGAGATCCTAACGTCAAGGTTGAGAAATTTGCCAAGGAGCAGGCATTCTACCAGGCTGTGGCTTGGTTTGACGAGCATCTTCTGTAAGGGCAATTGAAGAGGAAGCTGCAGATGTAGTAAATAAAGAAGCAGATAGCCACGGTACAGAATTAAAAGTCAATAGATCGAGACTCCATTCCCGGCATCATGACCTTGGCATTCCAAGCCGGCACTTCAAGGTTCAACCCTGTCTCGCCCCGAAACAAAAGCCCTGAAGCTCAGGGCATCCCCCAGGGGCTCTAGCCACTGACACAAGCCGCGACGGCAACCATCTCCACCTGTTCCCACGAGCCCCACTCCCCCAAGGTTTCAGTGGCTTTTTCCCATCTGCTTCAGGGGATCATCCATTCTGACACCGCCCAACCAACCACCTCTCGCTGAATATTCGTGATCCAATCCATTTCGACGCCGAGACAAATATTCACTATCTCGACTGCATCATCGATTGGCCGCTTGCGACAACAGCCGGCGATACACGTGCATAGACTCGACGCGCGACAGGCAGCCATGCTTGACGACCAAAAGCCTTGGTGATGGCCGCCTCCGTCGACTCGACAAAGCCCCATCATTTCCCACCGCTTCTGACTCCCTCTCCGACTCCTTCTCCGACGTCCACCACCTGCGCGAACGAAGCGACCTCGGCCACCTCTCCTCAGACGTCGACTGCCGAGAAGCTGCCCACTATCCCTTCCGACGAGGATCGCTCTTCTGAAGAGGGCTCGCATCGGAGCGTGAGCCCTCGGCGAGCAGACTCCAACTCTTCCTCCATCTCGGACCCTGCGATCGAAGATGACGAGCACGAGGATCGGGAGGAGGAGGAGCGACGGCAGCGGAGAGTGAAGGAGCAGGACGGGAAGCAAACCGAGCAAACAGACGACGCTCAGAAATACGTCTCAGATAAAGAACAGGACACGGCGGTGCATTCTGGACGAGCCAGCCGCAGCAGCACCATAAGCAACACCACAAACCCCAACGTCCGTCGTCTATCGGCGAGCGAGATGCAACGCCTCACAAACTCTCCCGACTCTCTACCTGTAGCGCCTGCACCGCCGCAACGAAGGTCAATCGACCAGGAATCCGTCTCTCGGTTTGCTGACCAGCGCGAGGCCATTCGTCAGTCGGTGCGACAGTCGATGATGCGGGATCTCGAGACGTTTCCCGCGCTGCAGCCGAACGGCGTTGCTGTTGAGGCTCGATCTGCGGGATTGTGGACACCGAGGGATGCGCATCGGGATATTCAGAGGAGGCCTTCGCCTGGGGCGAGGACCTTGTCGACTCCTCCAACAAGTCGCGTGCTCGTTGGCGATGGAGCTTCGAGCGGGACGGCTTCACCAAGGAGATACTCGTCTTTCCATCCTGCTGCTCGTCCCGCGGCTCTTCACTTGAATCTCGATGGTGTCGGTGGAACATCTCCTACTCTTGGTCCACGATCAACCCCAGCAACGGCTATTCCGATTCAGCAGACTGATTCATCTGGCCTTCGACCACCATCGCCAATTCCGCCCATAATCCCCCTCCCTCCCATGTCACTCCCAACACACCTGCAACTCGAACTGGCAGCTCAACGTCCAAGTCCGCTGTACATCCACCAGTCACACGCTTACGACGTGCCTTATGAGTCCAGCGCCGTCAAATTCGAGCGTCTCAAGAACGTGCTACTCCTACCCCCATTCCTCGAGCGCACTCTCAACTTTGGAGCCTTGGCGTGTCTCGACGCTTGGCTTTACAACTTTACCATCCTCCCCATGCGGTTCATGCTAGCCTTTGGCGTGCTGGTCCGCTGGTGGGGATATGTCATCCTCAAAGAGGTCCGCTGGCTTGTCGACTTTGTATGGTCTGGACTGGGTAGACTCTGGGCACGTGGACGTTCAAGGACCCGAGCCGGCGATGTTTCCGACGACGACAGATCACGCAGTGAAAGTCGTCCTCGCGGTCTTTCAGGAGATCACTCTGCTAACGGTAACGGACACTTTAAACCTATCAAGAGAAACGCACACCGCAAGGGCCCCTTTCGTCATAAGAGAACAAAGTCGATGCCCTCGAACCTCTCGGCCTTTCATAAGGCGGACCTGCTTCAGGGGGCCGTCATCGTGTGCAGCTCCATGGCGCTCATGACCCTCGACGCCAGTCGCATGTACCACTTCATCCGCGCCCAGTCGGCCATCAAGCTCTATGTCATATACAACATCCTCGAGGTCAGCGATCGTCTGCTCTCTGCCCTCGGCCAGGACATCCTTGAGTGCCTGTTCAGCAGTGAGACACTCTCGCGTAATGCGTCTGGGAGGTCCAAGGTGCTTCTTCCAGCCGGCATGTTTTTGCTTGCTCTTGCGTACTGTTGTCTGCACTCTGTTGCGCTTTACTACCAGGTCATCACGCTCAACGTGGCTGTCAACTCGTATTCCAACGCTCTCCTGACACTACTCTTGTCGAACCAATTTGTCGAGATCAAGAGCACAGTCTTTAAACGCTTCGAGAAGGACAATCTGTTCCAGCTCACCTGTGCCGACATTGTCGAGCGCTTTCAACTCTGGATCATGCTACTCATCATCGGAATGCGCAACGTCGTCGAAGTCGGCGGCTTGAGCGTTCCGGGTGCTGGCTCTGAGCTGAGCTATGACGAGTCAAATACTGTGCCGCTGCACAACCCGTCTATTCTGCCCCATAGCTTCACCGTGTTGCCGTCTTGGCTCATGTCTGGTGAAGTTCTGTCACCTTTTCTCATTGTTATTGGGAGTGAGATGCTTGTTGATGCTGTCAAGCATGCGTACGTGACCAAGTTTAACAACATCAAGCCGGGCTTCTATAGTCGTATTCTCGACATTCTGTGCAAGGACTACTACACCAACGTTTGTCTCTCTCCTCTGTATCATGTATCTGTACTGACTCTTCTAGGCCTTCATGACACCTTCATTGACTCGTCGTCTCGGTCTCGCCGTCATCCCACTTTCATGTCTCTTCATCCGCGCTTCTGTCCAGACCTACCACATGCTCCTTTCCACTCACCTCCCCATGCCCATGCCCATGCCCGAGTCAACGCAAACATCTTTGACCGAGGAGTCGGCAACTCCATCGTCACCCGCCATGATTGCCGCCCTGAACAGATTTGACACTCTCATCCGCGACTCCCTCGGCCGCGCAACTTATGGCTATCCCTATGGATCACCGCTCAACTCACGACCCTGGTACTCCTGGACCTCCGATGACTTCATCGCCGCCGTGACCATGGTCGTCGTCTTCTTCATTGCCTTCCTAGTCCTCCTGATCCTCAAACTCCTCCTCGGCATGGTCCTCCTCAAGTACTCTCGCAACCGCTACGCCAAGATGAAGCAAGCCGAACACCGAGGCCGCACCGAAACATACGATACACCCGGCGGTAGAAGGATCGGTGGCTTCGGACACGTTGAAGTCGGAGAGGAGAGACAACGGTGGATACACGCTGATAAGAATGAAGGTCTCAAGGGAGGCAAAGGACCAGGGAAGAGAGTCGAGAAAACGGAGAAGAAGAGGGATGATTTTGAGGCGGTGATGCGGTACGAAATGGTCGCAAAGAGGATATGGTGATGCTGTGTATATACGGAGTTTTTCTTACTGGTACGGTTTTCATGGGATGGCGTTTTGGAGGTCTGCTTGATGCGGACTATATACTAGGTACTTGAGATTGGCAGTCTTCAGGAAAGGCTCGATAATGATAATATCAAGTCTGACACATACTCCCAATGAAGCATCACGGTCACGTCAGGTCTTGGTTCAGGTAATGAGTGCGCACATATGAACATCTTGTTCCATACGGAGAGGTATCATTCTCTAAACGATCGGTGGGTATCAAACCCCATCTCTATGCCCAAGCCCCTTTTTCTTTATCCTTCCATCCTTGATAATTCCACATCGCTTGCATTCCCAATTGCCCTTTTTATCCCTTTTTCCTTTTCCAGTCCAACACCTCAACAATGCTTGCAGCATGAAGCCCAACCCTCCCTCATATATACTCTATCCAGCAAACCCAGTGCTCAGATATGTACGTCTTTCATCAAAATCATGTCATGTCCTCGTTCCTACTTCAATGGTAGGCTCGTCTTGTGTTTCATCCCCATCTTGATTCATTCAAGTCGTGATGCTGCTTTTTGTGATTTTACTTTTTTGTTTGTTTACTGGATGCCAGCCAGCTTGAGAAGGCCGGGGTTGTTGGCCAACAGGTCAGCCTTGGCCTTGTACAGAATCTGAACGATCTGTTGCAGAATCTGTCGGGTCTCGGGCTCGAGCTGCTCCTCGGGAGGGCTGAGGACCTTCTCGAAGATGCCGATCAGCTGAGGAGTGAGCTGCTCGACGGTCGAGTTGGACTGCTGGTAGAGGTTGAAGATGCACTGGTAGATGGGGGCGTTCTCCTCGTAGTCCTCCTGGAGGGGAAGGACGTTGACAATGGCGGGCAGAGCCTGGGCAACGAAACCGTTGTCGGGGTTCTTGGTGATCATGCGCGAGACAGCACCGGCGACGTTGTCGGTCATGCGCATCTCGTTCACGGTCAGGAGAGGCTCAAGCTTCTCCCAGAGGAGGGGGTACAGAGGGAACGTCTTGCCAGTGTCGGCAGAGTTCAACACAACCAGGCCGATAGCGTAGGCGGCGTTGGACTTGGCCAGAGCATCAGGGTCGGTGAGACGGCGGACAAGAGCCTGACCAAGAGACTCGGTGAACGGAGTCACACCCTCGCCGATATACTTAGTGATCTCGGCAATGGTGCCGACAGCGGTCGAGCGGTGCAGGTCCTCAGTAGAGCTGGCCAGCTTGAGAACGGGCTTCTCAAAGATCTTCCAGTGCTCGGAGAAACCAGCACCAAGGGCGGCGGCAAGGCCAACAACGACATCGAGAGCGGTGTCAATGACGAGCCAGTCATACTCGGAAGATCCAGCATCTACATCCTGCTCCTCCTCCTCGTCGCCGAGATCCTGCTGGCAGGGGTGCGATCGAGTGATGATGAGGTTGGTGATGGTAATGATCTCGTTGAGCAGGGTCTTGTCGTTACCGAGAACAGCGGGACCGCAGGCCTTGAGGGTGGCAGCAACGTTGCGGTTGATGTCGGTGACAACAGAACTATTCAACTGTTAGCATATGCTTCTGGCAGCGTGAATGCAAGAATAAGTAACAGTGCCATGAATCAGAAGTAGATTAGACGCTTTCTCAGCAACGCATATAATGCTCTGAGTGAGCTGGGTATAACGCAAGGTATTCATCCTTTGGCAAGAAACAGCAGAAAAAGAAAGGGGGTCAACTAACCGTTCGGCATCCTCAACCCAGATGCTGGCGGTGGCCTTGTGCAGAGCCTGGCTCATGGCAACGAGAGAAGCAGGGGGAGCCTGCTTGGCGGGCAGACCAGCCTCCCACTTGACACCGGTGCCCTCCTCCCAGACCTGGAAGACGCGGGCGTAGGTGCGCCAGAGGGTGGAGATGGCGGTCTTTCGGCAGCCCTGGTATGTGTGCTCGGCGAAGGGAGTGACCTTGGCGAGGGTCTGCTCGACGTACTTCTCGAGGTTGGAGCTGTTGCAAGAGTTGGAGATGACATCACCGAGAACGTCGAGAGCAATCTCCTGCTCAAGGGCAACAGCAGTGACGGCATCGAAGTCCTCAAGGTCCTCGATATCGTCCCAGTCATCGTCACCACCAGTGGCAATGGTAACGTCGTCCTGGGTCTCGGGAGCCTTGACCTTGACACGCTTGCCACCAACGACAATAGCACCATCACCGAGCTGGCTGGCATCGATACCAGGAAGCTCAATCTCCTCCTCCTCGAGCTCGAGAGAGGCAAAGAGGCCCTTGAAGACACCCTCAAGGAAGTGGTCGAACTGCTCGTGGTAGACCTTGGACAGGTTGGACCAGAGGATGAAGCTGGTCTCCTTGAGGCGAGGGTTGTCGAGGTTGAGAGCCTCCTCGCTGGCCTTCATCAGGTCCATCACGTAAGGCTGGAAGGCCTCAGAGCCGACAGCCATGGCGATACGTCCCAAGCTGTCGCAAGTAGAGCTTCGGAGGTCGAGAGCCTCCTCATTTTCCTTGATGGCGACGAAGCGGCCGAGGGCGGTCATGACGTCCTTGAAGTAGGGCTCGAAGGCAGACTCCATGGAGGAAGCAATAGCACCGATGGCAGAGGCGGCGGCAGCCTTGACACCGAAGTCCTCGTGGTCAAGGAGACGGACCATGGGCTGGATCAGGTTGGGACCGTACTGAGCCATGATCTTGGTGTCGATACCATCGCCAAAGGTGTCGAGGGCACCGCAAGAGCAGCGAATGATGCTAACATTCTTCTTGTCGGAACCAGCCTGGGAGGCAGCCTCGAGGTTCTTGAGGATGGCGCTGATGATCTGGTCGTGGTGGGAAGCCATCTCATCGGCCATCTCCTCGGCGAGGTGGATCAGACCGACAAGAGAGGCGTGTCGGACCTGGGTCTCGGTATCGCAGAGAAGGTTGATGATGGCGGGGAGGAGAGGCTCAAGCTGAGTGGAGATGAAGTCGGGGGCACCCTCGGCGGCGTTACCAAGAGCGAGCATAGCAGCCATGCGGAACTTGGGGTTCTGGTTGGTGGCGAAGCTAGGGAACTGCTCGAGAAGGGGAACAATGACCTGGCGAGGAGGAAGCTCGCTGGCCAAAGTGTCGACGAGGCTGATGGCGGTGCGGGCAGGGGACATGTCCTCCTCCTCATCGTCAGAGTCGAGCTCGGTGATGATGTGCATGGCCTTGACCATGAGCTGAGCGCCCATGTCCTTCATGGCCTGGATCTTCATGCGGCGGTAGCGAACGCATTGAATAAGGAAGGCCAGGGCCTGGGATCGGGCGTCGTCCTCGGCGTTGGAGTTGGCACCAAGCTCAATCATGAACTGGAGCAGATCCCGGAGGTGGACGGCAAGAAGGGAGGAGTCGTAGGCGATGAAGGAGTGGAAGACCTCGAAGACGATCTTGTAGCTCTCCTCATCCTCGGCCTCGACGGTAGCCTTGAGGATGTTAACCAGGCTAGGAACGAAGCCCTGCATGGCCTTGAGGGCCACCTGATCCTCCTCGGGCTCGATGATCATGAGGATAGCACCAATAGCGCGAACGATGTTGATGCGGACCTCCTTGCTCTGAGGGTCCTCAATGCGGGCCTGGAAGAGCTCAAGGAGCTGGTGGGTGTGGTCGCTGAAGTGGGTAGGGTCCTCCTCAAGCATAGCGTAGAGGAGGAACGAACCGACCTCGCGAGCAACGACATTGTCGTTGTTGTTGAGGGGGAGAAGCTGTCGGAGGAAGTCCTCACCCTCGCCATTCTCCATGTCGGCGCTGACGATGCCGGCGACGAGACGGGCAAGCGAGTGACGGACACCAGCAGACTGCTCCTTGAGGGTACCCTCGAGAAGGTGGTTGCGGGCAAGCTGTCGCTGGTCCTGAGCAGTCTTCTCCCAGTACTTGGGGACTAGGCGCAGGGCCTGGACCGAGGCGAGCTGTCGAACGCCGGCGTCGCCATGGGTGAGGGAGACTTCGACGAGGGCGAGCAACGACTCGGGTTGGGAGTAGTAGTTCTTCTGGAGCTCGGCAGTGACGGCCTTGACCTGCTCCGTGTTGGCTGCGAGGGAGGTCAAATCAGCGACGTGTTTCTTTTTTTTTTTGCAAACAAGAGGGGACAGCGCATCAACAGCTACGAAACTGACGATGGCTGACGCGAGAAAGACTCACGGACTTGGCTCCCCTCGAGCAGTTGGGCAAGCTTCCCCTTGTCCATGGCTTCTTTTTCTCTGCAACGAAAAAGACAGAGAAGTGAAGATAACCCGAAGGCTTTTGGTGTGTGGTGATGATGAAGGGAGGAAGAAACGCGAGGGGAAGGACCCGCGTCCAGGAAAATTTATTTGGGCCCGAATCTCAAATTACGGTTGAGAAAAAAAAAGACAGGAAAAAAAAATTGCCCCGCTCTGAGTGGCACAGAAAATGGAAGGTCCCTGCTGGAGCTGCCCCTCGTTTATTCCCACTTGGCGCGGGGCCTCTTTTTTCTGGTGATGATTTCCTTTGCGGGTTAATCTGGTGCCGATTGAAGAGTTCTTTGGAGCTTCACCGCTTGAGAGGGGGCGAATAAACGGTCGGTAAGAAGATGGAATGATTCTAGAGTCCTACTGTACTAGACAAGTTGTGGTGGTGTAGATATTGCATAATGCATCTGTACCAACATAAGACACGAAAACTTGGTGTCCTCGTTTGTCGTGAATATCCATCCATGGCGGCCTAAACAATCCCTTGCTTGCCCTCATTTCGCGCCCTGTTCAAAACCCATGTAACTCTCGGCAAGCTTGGGCACAACTACCGTCTTTCTCTGCTGCCTATTGAGATAATTATCCCATGCACAATTATTGGTACACGTCGGCCATGTCCCTCTCCGCGCTGGGTGCCTTGCTTTTAGTTCTGCCTAGCAACCAGCCAAGCTGCACACATGGGCCGAAGGTTGCAGCTAGCTTTCTTTACATTAGCTCAGTGAACTTGGAGTGTCATCTGCTCAGGTGACAAGGATGCTTGCTTGCTTCACAGAAGTCTGAGAGGAACACCAAAGAGAAATCGATAAGCATTTACTCAAGCAATCAACGCCATGCCTACAACGCCAAAACAGAGCCTACACGATCAAAGTGCTGCCTATCCAGATGTGTACGCAGATGCGTACGGCCCACGGTCGTAAACAGTCTGCCCTTTCCTCCGTTATCCTACCTATTCCAGGTCCCTTACCTGAACGCGAAAAGAACCGATAACTTGTTACCATACCCAACAGTTTCTGGCCAAGCGCCATGTCCTGATCCCTTTCCAGCTCATACCGAGAGCTATACCAGCCTCTATCGCGCCGTCTGTGTTGCTTAGGCCTCCTTCTCTTCCTTGCCCTTGGGCTCCTCATTGGTCTCCATATCCTTAGAGCCCCTCTTAGGCAGGCAAATCCGATGCTCTGGCTTGAGGGCATCACAGGAGATCTCAACATTCTCCTTCAACAGGTCATCCACGCTGATGCTGTGCGACTTTGCAATCTCCCAGCACGTATCGCCACTCTTGATCCAATAGGGTGTCGTGGTACCCGGGCAGTCTGGCAGAGGCATACCCTCCTCGGCTCGTGTACCTCCAGAGGTGTGGAAGAACCAGAACATGCCAAACAGGCACAGGCCGATGAGCATCATAAAGTTGAGGAATGGCCGCATCTCGTTCCGCCATGACAGCTTCTTGTTCTGCTCCGAGACGATGAAGGGCTCGTGGTCCTCGGGAATGCGGGATTCCCCGACCTTTGTAAGGCGGCCGTACTGGTTGCCTGGGGCGCTCTCCCAGTAGCTGCCATCGGCGTCACGGAATGTGTAGACTTGCTCGTCAGCATCGTAGCCGACTCGCTCCATGCCTTCGGGGAGGCGTTCCTCGTCGGTGTCGTAGCGGGAGAACCGGGACATGGTTGCGGATGTTTCGGGAGGGATTTGATGTACAGGTTCGAGATGATGGTATATCGTAATTAGGTGGATGAATTCGATTCAAGAGGAAGAGAGATAAAGAGACGATAGATGAATCCTCTCCGCTGACATACGGACCGTTATCACGTTACGAGCTGTAGGATCTCACCCTTGCCAGGGGACCGCGTCATGGCCTTAGTCAGCACCGTTTTCGTTGGTCTGCGCCTCCGCCACGAACCTCGTCCTGAAACGGCATCTTCATGCGAGTTGGACATTTTGGATGCCTAGAATGCTTGTGCATGGCATTATTCTGGCATTGTGCATTGAACTGGAGGCTACGTTTTCCAGATAACGGACCGACAAGGAGACTATTGGCCTTGGCGCAAACCAAAGATGATTCAACACGACTTCTAACCAAACTACGAAGGAATACTCAATGTCACTCTTGTCAACAGTACTTGGAATCCTTCTCAGCTCCTTCAAGGCTGATTCCAAACTCGATGACTAAGGTGGGCTATCGACCTTCAAACTGCAAGCCACGTCTTGTTGTCCAATGGCATGTTATCAATCTGCACAACTATCCTTGGCGTCGGTTTGCTGAACCTCAGGTATACTGTTACGATTTGACTTGAGAAGGTAACGGGACTCTCTATATCACAAGATGACTTAAGTTCATAAATATCGTATATCTTCAGAAGTCGCATTCATCCTCTGAAAGAAGCCAGCTTCTCCAACACCCAAGGCCAAGACTTCCATCCACCCCAAGCGACTCCAAACAAAGCCACCCAAGCAACCAACCCTCTTCCTACCAAGATGCGCTTCACGAACGTCATCTGATTCGCGTCGTTCAGATGAGGAAACGCCCTTTTGTCCTTTGGCGGCTCCTTGCCGATGAATTCGCACAGAGGCTCCCAGCCGTCTGTTGCCTGCCACTCCAGCACCCGTTTTCCTCGCTTCTTGGCTTCTTCGCGCACCCAGTCGTTGTATCGCTCATAGAACTCGGCCGTGAACATGTCTGCGATGCCAAACCGTCGCTGGATCCAAGCGTAGCTGGTTCGGTGAATCGCGTAGTGAAGTCGGTCTGTCTTCCAGAGGAACGTCGGCCAGTAGTACCATCGTGAGCCAAAGAAAGAGTGGCTATTGCCAATGCTCTCTGCCCACGCCTGTGACGATTTCCTCGTGTTCAAGACCACGGCTGCATCGGGGTACATGTCCATAAGATCAGGCACAAATAGCCACCCAGGAAAGTCGCATGACGACGCGTACCCGTCGTAGATCTTGTGAAGCAGCTTCTGCCTCTTCTCGACATCATCCTCGTTGATGGCGTCAATGACGATCTGTTCTCGGTCGGCATGGGGTGCAATGTGCGCCATGTGCATGCAAGGGCCCACGTTCAAGACATCGGATTCGAGGGCTGCCTGGAGTGATGATGTTGCGCAGCGTGAGAGGCCCAGGCAGAGGACTTGCATCTGGGCAGCCTTGGAGTCGACCTCTCGGTCATCGGAGAGGAAACGCATCTTGTAAGTGTGGGTAGCGAAGGTCAAGAAGAATAAACTAGACTCAATAGTCGGAGATTCGAGAGAAGTTCAAAGTAAACTCGCAGCAACAAAGCCATCTTATACTTGGTCTAGTCCCCATTCTCGATCCCAAAGATCCTTGCCCAGAGTCAGCCCTGTGCCTCAAGAATGAGACGCGATGGAACCTGCGTAAGCTCGCCAACTCAACCGAAGGATGCGTATCCTTGCTATTTCTCGCCAACTTGGTTTGTGACTTTGTGTCTGTGCCCATTTTGCCAATCATTCACAGACGCTCTCAACCTTGCTTGTCCAGACCTTTTGCCGACGACCCGAAGCGGCCATGTTTTTCGACTTGCGGTTGAGTTCGATAACAGTGCCCCTTCGGTTTTGGCTCGGGTTTAAAACGCAAAGACGCAATATAACAAGGGTTTATCATAGCTCAAACATTGCGATCTCGATGGGTCTAGCCCATGCTAATCAGGGACCCTCTATTGTAAGATCTAACCTCGGATAATACCCATGCTGCGAAGAGGATCCAAACAACGGATGAAGATCCCTTGACTGAGAGTTAGAAAAGACTCCAAGACATCGGGGTTAAACTTGGATCTTTTTGTATTAGTTATTAATTACTACTGTATAAAATTATGAAGGTATACTCATAAGGGTACTAGGGATAGCATTGAAGGGACAAGCGGCCATGGGCCCAGGGGTCAGGAGCTCGCAATGCGGATATCCTCAATCTGGCCTTCCGAGGAAGCCTTGATATCTTCAAAAACGTCCTCGATGGGCATGACGAGCCCATACCCGGTCGTTCGACCCGGTACCTGTCCACCGAACAGTAGCCCAATCACCTGGCCACGAGCGTCACAGACTACAGACCCCGAGTCTCCAGGTCCGCAGAACCTGCCGCTCTGCCCCTGGCTATATATGTCGCTCCCAGCAATGACAAACTCTTCGGAGTAGCATCTCGGTGTGCCGGTGACGTGAGCATCATCTTTAATTGTGCAAACAAGCTTGTACTCGTTGAAGGTCCCGTTCGTCGGCCCGGACGTTTCGCCAAACTTCCAGACGCTGTTCGGCTGCGTCTCTGATGGGAGCGATGTAGTCCTGTAGCTTCGGAAAGAAGCCCGGACGAGTCACAAGGGGGCCGGGACGAAGGATCGGAGAGGCAACACGGTAGCAGCCTACGAGGATCGGCTTACGATTCCTTGAAGAACTGCCTGGGTCCATAACTGGCGAGTTGCTAAAGAAGGGGACAGCAGCATGTTTCAGGAATCATAAAGACCCCAAAGACAATAAATAGCTGTTATCTTGGGTTGTTGAGTGAGCGAGTCACAGTCGCCTTGGTGATATTTGTTGCTACCTATTCAACAAAACTCTAACCTTCTGCACGGTACTTCAGCATTCATGATGAGGACATATGGTTGTTTTCATAACCTATCAATCATTCTGGTCAAAGAGTACGTGTATTTTTTGTAACCCTTAGATCTCCCTTTCTCCAACTTCACAGATGATACACGAGTGATGGGTAGCCAAATCCAGGGAAAAGGCAACAAGGTATTCTGCCCGAAACCGTCCATAGAGACCGATATAGGTCCACAAGCGCAGATCCACTTTTGTAGATTTCAGACAAACGCATTGAGTTCATGTTGAAGGGTGCGATGCCCCTCGAGGACTTTGTGGTTTGCATCATTTACTCCTATTATGGTCTGCATGGGGTCTGCCCAAGTTTTTAAAGCAACGGACATTAAGAATGCTAACCTGGAATTTTAATTCTTATCACGACTATATAGGAGAAAGAGATTCAAGACAAACGTTAATTCATATCCATGATCTTCTAAATGGTTATCCGATCCATAGGCCTCCTTTCACGGCTCAACTTCACTATCCGTACATGATGCCCATCGTTCAGATCCCCAAGTCCAACTTCCAACAGAAAAAAGACATCGTTTAACTACTTCGTTCAGAAGAATTTAGTCACTTTGCCACGCAATTTGTCGATGAGTTCCGTGTAACCTCTTGTCTCAGCCAGCGCCAACAACTCGTGTCCTGTCTCGGCGTCTTCCCACTTCGACATTCTGTCAATCATGTCCAAAGCAAGAGCCGTGTGGCCGTGACTGGCTGCGTAGAAGAATGCAGCTTGGTCGTATTCCCCCTTTCGACAGTCAGGGCTCACTCCTCGCTTCAAAAGGTCCTCCATAGTGGCCTTGTGGCCGTGCTCGGAGGCAGCCCATAGCGCATTGTGGCCGTCTTTGTTCGCCCTATGAATATCGACAGCCTTGTAATCGACCAGAATTCTGACGATGCCCTCATTTCCATTTTGAGCGGCATAGTACAGCGGAGTTTGCTGCTTGTTGTCCGGCTGGTCCAGGTCGGCCCCGCGTTTGATCAAGGTCTTGACATGTTGCTCAAGCCCAAGTTCCGCCGCATGCGAGACGGCAGATCTACCATTCTCGTCTCGACTATTTGGGTCAGCTTCCAGCTTCAGCATGTCCCTGAGGACTTCCATCCAGTCATGGCGGACAGCGAGCGACAAGGCTGACTGTAGAGTCTCGGAATGAAAGGCTCCTGGGCCGATGAAGCGGAGCCTGTACAAAGTCTCTGTTCGATCTTCATCCTCGAGGGCCCGCAAGAGGTTAATATGGGCCTGTTTCTTTTCATTCTCGTCTTGTTCCGGATATTCTTTCATCATACTGCTTTGGTCAAACCTCTGCTTAATGCCCCGATAGCACTCCAAGATCTCCCTAACAACCGAATCATGCTGGGCTCGACCACTGTAAGTGCGAAGCATCCAGTCAACCAAGTCGGCAAAGCCGGCAAATTTGGCAAAGCCGTCAAAGTGTTGAGAGGAGGCGGTGGAGGCGGAGGAGGCAGAGGTGACAAGTTCGATAGACTCGGTAGATGCGAACCACCTGCTAAACCTGGTTGAAGTTCGATAGACTTCTCCAACAGCTCGAAGTGCCTGCTCAAAGACGCTGCTTTCGTCTCCTTGCAGGGAGTTGAACTGAACACAGCTCCATTTCAACCACGAGACAGCCTGAATGATATCCACTCCCCGGTATATTGTGTCAAGTACCGCGTCCAAAAGGTCCTGTGGCGGAGGTAGGGGCAATCGCTCTCGCAGGGCTGGAATGATGCACAGCCGCGCATCCTGCAGACCGCACTCTGTGAAGACATTTTCCAAGTCGTTGACAGTAGAATTGTCCAAATGTACTAGGCGGTCTATATTGGCCAGCTTTGTCCGGTCAAAAGTAATGTAACGGGTCAGTGACACAAGGAGCACAGTCAAAAGATCTTGGGCGACTATGTCCAAGTTTGTTGTTGGATATCCGAGACCGACCCAGGCCAGCAAGGCTCGGAACTCGCCCTGGCATCCTGGTTGAATGTCTTCACAGACTGAAGTCCAGCCACAGTAGCGCTGAAGAGGCAACTTTGTAGCTACCGCTGTTGGCAGCCGGTGAACGTGCCCGTCAGAGCCCCTACCCCACAGAGACTTGGCACTATACCATGGCTGGCCTTCCAATCGAATACGCTCCTCTCTAAGGTAGGCGTTGGCGTTGGGATACCAAAAGGTTAGCTCTGCTCTTCTATTGTCAATGTCGTCCTCCATGTTTTCCAGGTTCGGGGTGAGCGAGACTATCCTGGACACGAGCGTCCTTTTGCTCCTCTCCAGGTCACGGCCTTTGAGGATGGTGTCATCGGCCAATGCCCACAGCCAGGGACCCAGAATTGCCTCTATCTCTGCCGGGTCTATTTCCCAGATGCCCTGTCTGGACCGTGGACTCAAGTTAACATGAAGCTCGGTTCGGCAATGGTCATTCCGTTGCGGGTTATAAGCCACCATAGGAATCAACAAGGAGTATTCGCTGTCGTGGGACTTGGGCAAGTGCTTCTCAGCGACCTGGCAAATGGCCGCTGACATTTTTCGTGCCATGGCGCGCACCTTGACGGATTCGTCCGTCCATTTTTGGCCTTTGGACAACATGATCTCGTATGGAAGGGCGACACCCGTCAGCTGAGCGAGGCGTTTTCGAATCGCAAACAGGTTGTGGAGGGAGACTGCATCTTCTTCTATTGAGTTGGAGTCGGTTGAAGTTTGCGATGTTGAAGATCCATCATGACTGGAACCCTCTTCGAGACTCTTGGTAGAGCGCACATTGATGGTCCATTCAAGCTCCTGTGGCACAATCTGGTACGAAAGCCAGTCTAGCTCATGCCCAGACACAATGTCGAGCTTGTCAGCCAACCGGTTCGAGTTCTTGTCGAGCCTTTGCATCCTGAGGTATCCCCGGAGGATACTCATGACGATGCATACGCCAAGCTGTGCGAGAGATACCCAAGCCTTCATACCACGGAGGCCGATAAACTGAGCAATATACCCAATCAACACAGCCAAGACTGCAAAATAGGTCCTCAGTTCGAATGTATCCCGGAACTCTTTTCGTGATGATGTCCAAACCTGGACTGGGTTTGCTGAGTCCTCGACGTAGCCGAACGAGTCAAAACTTTGGTCTCCGATGACCTGTGGGCCAGGCTGTAACCAGAACAGTCGTGATTTTGTCAAGCCTTGATCACATCGTTAAAACCGAACCTCTTCTGTGGTCTGACCGATTAGATACGCACAACTCCACATGCCAAGACACATGAGAATCGTTCCCGCTATGAACATGACTGGCGCATAGTGTTTCGTGGCTGATGTGCGGCCTCCGTTGAGATTCCATCCAAGAACCCAGACACCCACCCCAGCGAGAAGCAAGACGCCAGCTTGAAGGATGATTCCAGTCACAGCTATGGCAATGTGTACCCATTTTGGTCGTTTCAAGATGCCGACGTTCAGAGAGAGGTTGGGATTGGGGGCAATCTTTGTTTCTGCTGACCACTCCAGAATAGTTCCCTTGGTTCTCTTCCAGCCAATAGACAAATTTATAAAATTCTTCGCAAAAACTTTGCGAGACAGATCTAACGACTGATCGCCTTGGTCTTGGTGAAGGCGGAATGCAGGCCGGGGCTTTTGGGTGTCTCGCCTGGGGGTGTAGACAAGCTCAAGCACGTTAGGACGGCCCAGAACACGGGCAATTCCGCCCCGGTTGAAGAGCTCGCATACATCTCGACTCGTCGAAGTACAAAGCTCTGCCTCTACCGTAGCTTCGCCTTCCTGTGATCTTCCGATAAAGGCACGAAGAGATGAGTGGCCACAGACACGTATCGTAGACACCATGGCGGTCAAAACGCCGATGGGTCCCATGGAGAAGATGAGGTAATCGAGGAATGAGGTGCTTTCGCTGAGGTACTGCTTGGTTATCGCATCGCCGAACAAGGTGAGTAGGGGGGCTAGGTCGGTTGCCAGGTCGTTGGAAAAGTCGGAAAGGCCATCATCGGCTCTGACGCCGGAGATGAAGGCCCAGAGCACACAGGGTAATCGCTGGATCATGGCCGCAATTCTAGGAAGGAATTGTATCTTTAGAAGGATGTCAAGGGAGAGCTGGGCTGACATCTCTTGACGAGCTGGAATCAGGCTCTGGCCTTGCCCCGGACGGACAGAATGCCTTGCAGCATCGAAGCAAGCATGCGATTGGACGACACCTGAGGCTGATGGCGGTACCAGGGTTGGCGCGACCATTGAGGATGTGCTTGGCGATAAATCATTTAGAGAGGCATTATTTCGACCAGTTAGCCCAATGATTGGTCATGATTGCAGTCCAACATCGTCGTGCCTGAACGTGAATGCATTCGCGCAGCCGATTGAAGGAGGATGTTGAAGAGCTCGGGCACGTGGAGACCACATAGTCGGTGGAAGAGATAGACAAGATGGACAAATACGAGACCCAATGTTCATTGCTATCAAGGCTAAAAACTAGAAACGCCATTCACCTCAATCATAACTGGTATCCCCTCAAGCATACTCATCATTCACCCAGTCCTCCTCATCGTCATCACCCTCAACAAACAACCCCCCATGCTCCTTGGCAATATGCGAATAAATCGTGTTATACTCCTTCTGCGCTCCGCAAGCATAACACCAGTGAGCTCCGCAAGGACAAGTAATGTGGTCACAACCTCCAACCTTCTGCGTCACGACTCCGCAGCCAGGACACTCTCTCGAGGCCAGCTTCTTCTCTCCCTTGGCGCAGTCGTCGCATCGCCAGTCGACCAGTTCGGGGGGAGCACCAGCGGCACATGCTCTCTCGATGTACTGCTTTGCGAAGCCACAGCCGGCGCACCAGGCGTATACCCAAGAGCCGGCGTCATCGACTGCCTTGCGCAGGTCGCCCAGGTGCGTGAGATCAAATGCTGCAACTGTCTTTGGAGCAGGGCGGCGTCGACAGAAGGGACAAGAAAGAGCCGCCACATTGATGGTACGTCCTCGGGCGTTGATACCATACCAATCCTTGGAACAGCCGTTGCAGATGAGCTGGTCACAGCCACTTCGACCACAAGCACGCTTGAGGAAGTCCTTTCGGAAGTCAGAGAAGCAAAGACTGCAGACGCCTGCCTCGGTGCGTCGTGAGAGAACCCAGTGCTGCAATGAAGCCTTGACCTCGTCCTGGTTTCGTACGAGCTTGCCAGCGATGGTAAGGGAGCTTGTGTCCTGCTCGGGAATGACCTCGACCTTCTCAGGGAGATGAGCGAGGTCGCAATGCGACGCAGTATAGAACAGAGACCGTCCGTTGAAGGTCTCGGCGATGGCCTTATCATCGTTTCGCAAGATCCACTTGGTACCGTTCTCCTTAGCAAGGGCCTGAGCGGTGGTATCCTGGCTGATGATGGTGACGACGTTGGAAGCGCAGGCTGAACACTCAAACTTGGTCAGATCCAGGTTCTTAGGGCGATATTCCTCGGGCCAAATCACTCGGTTGAGACACTTGTGACACTCAACCAACGGAGCTGCACCCGCCGTCCCCTTTCCATCATTGTGTCGGCAGTAGAAGCACTTGGGACGAACGCGAAGTGCCTTGGGGTTGTAGACGACGTACTGAGCTCGACACTCGGATCGACAGCACTCTACCCAGGTGCCCATAGACGTTTCATCGTGGTCCTTGGACACGTTCGCATTAACCCGGTCCTGAAAGTCCTCGCTACGGGTGCAGGCCTGGCACTGGCACTTGGTTGCCCTGAGAGAGCAGAACCCACAGACTCCTCGCTTGCTCATCATGGTGACTGAGCGAGGGAACTTGCAAGTCTTGCAAAGGACGACGGGGCCCAGAGCGACCTTGGTCATCTCGGGGCGCCAACCAATTTTGGCCTGCAGGGTCGTCTTGAGGTTCATCTCAAGCATCTTGTAGTCCACCAAGGTCTTGAACAGCTTCCGGTCCGCCTCCTTCAGGATGACCGCCTCTGCGTTGAGGCGCTGCGTGGTGCCCTCAGACACTCGCTTCTCGTAGTCTCGGTCCGCATCGAGCAGGAGGCTAAGGCATCCAGTATTCCATGTCTCAGGAATATCGATCGTGTTCCACTTGTCGGAGAAGGACATAAGCTCCTGATCAGCCACCTCGCGTAGAGGAGCGATTCCCATCCGAAGAGCGAGTGCTGCAAGGACAGCGGCTGGACGCGAGGTGATCATGGTGCCAGGAAGGACTGCGTGAAGCAAGATCTTCCAGAACTTGCGATTGTACTTGGGATCCGCGAGTGCCATGGGAATCTGAGGAACCTCAGCAGGATCGGCGGCCTTGATATGGGCAGGCAGGTTCTCCTTCTTGTCGACATAGTTGAGACGAGTCAAGACCTTGCCCAGTCGTCGAAGAATGCGGTAGTCGCAAGATCGTCCAATCTCGAGAAGCTCTGCTCGGGTAAACTCGTTCAAAGGACGGTTATCCTCGCCCTCGCCTCTAGGAGTTGAAGTGAAATCCTCCGTTGGGTCAAGGTACACCACAGGATATCGGTCCTCCTCAGGGACAGCCGCAATCTGCTCCTGGATCTCGGCGGCATAGTTGTAAGACTCCTCCAACCAAGCCTTCATGCGTGCCTTTTCATTAGCATCCGCGATACGACTGACCTCAAGTCCAAACATGGTGATGAGCTCATCACGGTGCTCACTAGTGCGATCGTTGCAGACAGTTCGCCAAAGGGTGCCGAAGATGGGGTTGACAGAAACAGCCGACACGTTGGATGCGATGATGCGCCGGAGCTGCTCCACAGCCAACTTCTTGTAGCCCTCGTCCTCGACGTAGCGCTTGGCAAAGTTACGCACGCTGGGACCTCGTGCCTTGAGGAGTGTGGGCATATCCTTGAGAGCGAGTGTAGTGTCCTTGATGTTGGTGGTGACTGGCTTCTTGGAGCAGTCTCGGGTATATCCGGTGACGTAGTACTTGTCGAGCAAGGAGTGTACCTCGGACTTGGCCTTGAGGATGTCATCGGCGGCCAGGTAATGCTTGATGCTACCGACGATGGTGGTGTCCCCCTCGACTGCCTTTCCCGCACCCATCCACGTCAGAAGAAATCCCAGGGTCAACCGCGAGATGTTTTCAGCCGTGATAGTCGCTGAGAAGAAGGCACCTCCTGTGACGGCAGACAGATACAGATAGGCGCTCCACGAACTGGGGTTACACTCGGTCAGGATGGAGAAGACGACAGCCTTCTTGGACCCGGTTCTAAGGGTCGAAGCAGCTGATACCCAGTCGGCAAAGAGGAAGCCTGTTCCACCATAGCTGTCCATCTTCTGAAGAACTGTCTTCTCCTTCTTGTAGTTTGATCCCTTGGTCGACGCGAAATGAGGAGGGGCGTCGCTATAAAGGAGCATAACGGTCGTGGCGTCCTCTCGCATCTTCTGGTACGCCAGTGCAAGGCCAGTCTTGGTCGCTTCAGGCCAGTCACCACCACAGTCAGCTACGATACCTCGGGCCATGGAGAGGACGTCATCCTGGGAGACGATATCGGGACCAGAGACGGCGCCTGAGGGGGAGCACCAGCCGGACCATTCGGTGAGTTCGCCGCCACAGTAGTCGCGATAAGCAACGACGCCGATGCGCTCGAAGCAGCCGGTGAGGGCGGATAAACTGATGATCTCGGGGAGGGACTTGTTGAGGGCATGGATAAACTCGCCCATAGATGCTGTAGCGTCAAGGACGACCAAAAGGTCGTGAGGACCACGAGTCTTGGCCATGGTTGATGATGATGATGATCTGGAGAGCGAGAGACTCCTCAACAGAGTGATTAAAGGCCTTTATAGCCATCTTGACATTCACACATCTCGATCGTGCCTTCTCATTTCCACATTCACTAGTCGGAAGGTGTTTGTTGCCGGTGACTCAGGCCGGTTTGACCTTCCATCAAGTTGGCCGGTGAGTCGGAGGCCTTGGGTGATGGAAGGGTTAAATGAACCCCTGTGCTGCGCCTTTGGCCAAGGTCCCAGAGATCCATCCAATGCCCACCAGGGAAGCCTAGGCGTTGACCCCGCCAAACGAGAAACCTTCTAGGGGCCGTAAGGCTGAATGCTAGTTTATTACAGTGGAGGCGACCCCAGATTGCCGTCCAAGTTGGTCTCGTAGGGCAGACCACAAGGCAATATCTCGACAGTATCAGCTCAAAGAGACTTTGGATAAGATGGAGCTGTGCATACATTATTCAGTTATACAAAGATACATTGTAAGCCTCATTGTTGGAGAGATTGATGCCAAACACTCTCCGTCCCATGAACCCACGGATGGATCCTCCGGATGCATAGGGTAAGCTCAGCAATCATTCCATCCTCAGTTCATATGATCCTTCGTAGCAATTCACTCCAGATGATAGACCTGAGAAAGGCCGATATCGGGAAAGTGAATCATCGCCGTTCTTTGTTAAGTGGTCAGCACCCAAAAGCTGGATGGATGACGGGAAGGGTACCTAGGTAAGACAGAGGTATCAACATTTTATCACCGGGGGATGGATGCCGACAGAAATGCAACAAATTCATGAAAAAATCCATAGAAGACAAGAATATCATAGCCCTTAGTGATAATCGGCATCGCCTTTTCTCTTAGTCTAGGATAGTAAAGTCACATCCTCTTGTTCATGCTCAATACGAAACGTGTGAAGGTACACTGTCCAGGTACGCAAGTAAGCTTCAAACTCAACTTCGACCAGCGAATCAAGGTACAAGTCGGGCAAATCTCCCCGGCTTACGAGATAACGCCAAGACGGGAGACAATGGGAGTAATGGAATCAATTCTTGGCTTCAAATAGAGGTGGTTGATTGTCAATATATATAATACGGACATTAATAATGAAGCTCTCTAAGCAACTTGTTCCACTTGTTCTGGCCATGCCCTAATTTGGACAAGTCAGAAGCCTTCCGATGGAGCCCAGGACTATTTAATCCAAGTAATGTCGTCATGAATATGATCTCCCTTCGACATTGAGACGCAAGGAACTACCTACACAGCATGGGAGACCCTAAATACTACGAGCTGAGCAAGGCTCAACTAGACCAATACTTTGACCGCATCCGTTTGCCTCAAGAGTCTCGCACTACCCTGGACAGAGATGTACTCCAGTCGCTGTCTCCGACTGAGCAGTTGAAGACTCTCTTCCTCCTCCAGCGATTCCACCTGAGAAGCGTTCCCTTTGAGAACGTCTCCCTGCACTACTCCTGGCATCGCGTCATCAATGTCGAGCCGAAGTTTCTCTTTGACAAGATGGTGGTTCGGGGACGTGGCGGATACTGCATGGAGCAAAACACCCTGTTCAACACCATCTTGCTGAACCTCGGCTTCAACGTTTACATGGCCGGATCCAGGGTGTACAATCCTAATCTCGGAAGGTTCGGGGGATTCGATCACTGTGTCAACATCGTTAATGTCCAGGGGAACAAGTTTGTGGCAGACGTCGGCTTCGGCTCAAATGGCCCCGTCTTCCCTCTCGGCATGGACGGTACCGAAGATGAGGTTGACCACCTGGGCCAAGCCAAGATGAGACTTAGGCACGCTCCTCTACCTCAAGCGCTGAATCAGGAAGCCAAATTCTGGATCTATGAGCAGAGACTGGAGCCCACCGCCAATTGGACGCCCATGTATTGCTTCACCGACGTCGAATTCCTCCCCGAGGACATTCAGATCATGAACCTCAAGCCGTCGACGACTCTGACAAGCATCTTTGTTCAGAGATTAATTGCTACACGGTTCGTGACCTCTGAGGATGTAGTCGTCGACGAGAACGGTACACTTAAGGTGTTGAACGCGGACCAATGCAGGATTGCTCCGCTGGATGGCCAGCTGATACTGGAGGGCAACACAGCTAAGCTGAGGCGAAATGGCGAGAAGGTCTTTGAGAAGGTGCTCGAGTCTGAGGCTGCTCGGGTTGATTTCCTTCAGGCCGTTATTGGGCATGGCAAGTTTGAGCTCAATGAGGCAGAGAGGGAGGCTATCAAGGGGACTGCAGCAGCTATTCTGTAGGAGCGGAGAGGTGCTGCTTCATCTACGATCACGCTGAGTACAGTATGTGTATATAAAGATAGGTAGGTAAGAATAGTCAAGATTGTATAACCAGGATGGTAATAGAGTGTGTTCAGATCTCGGCATCCTTGCAACCCGCTCCAATGGTGCAATGCCTCGGCTCGGCTATCACCCCGAATGAAGTCGAGCAGCTGAAGTTCATCGGAGCCGAACGAGAGAATAAATAACCAGACACTTCTTAATCGAGTTGCATATCGCATAGTCAGTTACACAGTGATATATCTAAAAATGACAAAACATCCATCGCTTGAGATAGACTCGCGAGTGACACAGCTCGATGCAACCACGTTTGCAGCCAATCTCACCAAGCCATTCTGCGTCGGAACAGGTAGGCGTCACTACTCATTTGACTGGCATAGCTCACACGTCAACAGTCCCTAACGGCGGCTATGTCGCGTCCATCTTTCTTCGTGTCGCAAGCGCGTATTTGACGCCGAGGAACCAGCCAGATCCCTTTGCAGGGCATTGGCAGTTCCTCAACGCGACACACGCTGGGCCAGCTGTCTTGGTCGTTGAGGAGGTCAAAACAGGTCGTGCCACGTCTGTGGTTCATGTTACACTATATCAAGAGGGCCTCACTTCTGCCAGCCCGTGGATTTCTGACAAGTCCAAGAAGATGGCTGTGGCGTACATTACCAATACGAGGCTTGAACTCGAAAAGGGCGTCAACTTACCAACGGGCTTCGAGATCAAGGACCCCCCTCCGCCTGTGGAGTTGGAGAGACTCTCAACTGATGGAGATCCAAACTGGAAAAAGTTACAGCTCGTCATCATGGGCTTTTTACGAATCTTTGACAATGTGGAGCTTTACACGCCCAAGAAACAGAGCCCACTCCCGGCTACGTACGACCTGTGGATGCGCATGGCCAGCGGTGAGCGCTTCACAATCTCATCTCTAGGCTACGTCGCCGACGCAGGCCCGCCACTCCTCGTCGAGACGTTCCGACCGACGGACCCAGACGCACCAATCCCCGAGGGAGGATTCGCGTTTGACAAGAAGTTCTGGTATCCAACAGTCACCATGAGCCTCGAGGTGAAGAAGGCGCTTCCAAAGGAGGGCGAGGAGTGGCTGAGAATCCGCGTGGCTGCCAAGGTGGTGCGGAACGGGAGATACGACGCCGAGGTGGTCATCTTTGATAGAGCGGGGGATGTCGTGGCGCTGAGCAATCATGTCGCCTTGGCTGTTGATGGGGAGCGGAACTTTGGGCGGAGCGGCAAGTTGTAGACACATGCGTTGCGTGTTGAGGCCATCTCCAGGCATCAGCTGCATATGTGTGTGTGAATTAGCTCACCGAGTGAGAAGTATGCCTGGTTTGGACGTCATTAGAGGGAAGGTTAAGCTTACATTTGACAAGATAAGAAAGATCTCGGAGAAGAGCTGAGACATTCACTTCAATTACCCCATCAAAGCTAGGCAAACGTTTGCTGAGCCACAATGTTAATACGCGGCACAAGACAGGAGAAGAGGACCACTGATAAAGACCTGCCATGTTTGCTGAAGATGGCCTCCATGGATGCACGCTTGCCGCCGTTGCATTGGGGGCCAGACAGGGGCCTACAGAAGCGAGGAAGAGGGTTCCTTGTCCTTGGGAGATGAAAGTGTCAGAGAATTTCCCATCTTTTCGGCTTGAGTGTGGTACTTGCTGAGAGGCTGAAAGGGCTTACTCTTGGCGACAAGTCATGTTGCAAAGCTGTTGTAACGATGACTTGGATATTGTCCTAGGTAGAAGAGTTCATCAGGGATCATCTCGCGAGTCGGGCGTTCACCAATAAACAAACCCTGCATGACCTGATCTTTAATCCATCTGTTAAGAAGCATCATCCATGATCAAGTTCACCAGAGGTCGTCTATCGTTGGTGGGCGCAGTTTGACTCCATTAGCGCCCGAGCCCCGCGTCCACTGGAATGGATCCGTTCCAGGGGCCAAACCGCTAAACTTTGGCGCATTGGATATGGACGCTCCCGCTGCGACGTCATCCCGTCGGGTTACGAACGTGTTCAGGTCAAAGGTTTCATCCCTTGGCCAATTCAACTGCGACTTCCATCTCGCCTTGCCACAGCCGTGATGCCTTCTCTGCCTTGTTCATCCTCGACTTCCGACTCCTCCTGCAGCTTCGGACCCCAATATGATGCTCCGCCTCCCTGCACCCTCGACCCCGTGCGGCCCGTTTGCGAACCAGGGCAGCACACAGCTGGAGCCCAATTAGCCTGTCGATCCAATAACGCCCTGGGTCATCTTGAGCCTTGTGGCGCTTCTCTGGCACCCCCTGCTCCGTTCTGCGGGCCGTGTCCTGGGAAGCTGGGGGACTAGGGGGGGGACATGGGAGAATTGGATGTTCAAACGAGGCTCTGCGCTCTTCTCTCTTTTCCGTTGATCTCTCGAGCCCTCCTTACTCTACTTTTTTTTTTTTGCTGCTGCTGCATAATGGCTTGGCCTTGATTGATATTCAGCAGGTCTCGCTCTTGGTACTGCTCCGCGAATGCTGTGCCATCGCGACGACTGCCTCACGAATCGTTTTTCTCCATCGTCGCGGTTTCACCCTTTTGCTCCTCGACTTGCGCCTTGAGATCGGACCTCCCATTGTCGACCGTTGGAGCTGCAGTATACGTCCCCAGATCGTCAACAGCACCCCCTAGACCTCTAAACGTCCTGTCCATTGTTAGAAGCCTC